TCGGTCCCGTCGTGTCATTCTTACCCTAGACCTTCGCTGACCGGTTCAGCAAACATGAGCGCCTACTTTTGTATGACGATGTGACTCTGTGGGAGGCAGCACGGCAGCCACTCCTCTGCTTGTGGTGGGATAGATTTGGGATCAAAGAGGTTCCATCTTGTCATGACCAGCCTGAAAGGAGGGCTCAATCTACTTGCATAAGGTTGCTCAACTGACCGCCCTTGTTCATTTCCGAGATGTTCCTTTGGATGGAGTCATCTCTCGGCCACCCGCATTGCCTCAAAAGACCAGAACCAATCAGGCAGCGGCTACAACTCAGGTCTGCTCTCCGAATGCGGTATCTGCTCTCAAACACCATGCAAGATGCAATCTGGAACTCACGGTGCAAGTATCGAGGCGGTTCCGTGCAGAGCACAGGGCGTTTACATGCTCAGAGATGCAAACACCCGCCCCAGCTTCAGACTTTGGCCCGGGGTGACAGCAGAAGACCACATGCTCAGTACCTGTCGTTGCCTTCGATATCCCGTGTATCACTTGAGTACTGTGCCATCATCTGAAACCCCTGCTGCGGATAAAGAAGGGCCTTGTGCCATGCCAGGTACGTTTCCTTTGAGGAATCTCCTTCATTTAAACTTGCCCCGATCGTTCGAACGCTAAACTGTGGGTGATTTACTGATGTTATCTTTAGAAAATGTCCAATTCCTTCTTCCAGACGGAGCAGCGGCTAATTAAAGCATGGGTATTCTGGAAGCCTGGAGCATCAATGCCGCACTCTTCTGCGTTTGCCATGTCACCTTGCTCAAAGAGAGAAGAAGAGACACTGACCACTTGACTTTGTCGAGGCATGGCACCCACTGCGGGCTTTCCGTTTTCCACGTTCCAATTTGTGATGGCATAGAAGCAAATAACCGGTTCGATGAACTGGTGATTGCATGCCGAATTGTCGGGCCGTGACAATCGGCCTGCTCGTCCATGATAAGAGACGTTGACAGATGTGGTGCGTATGCCGCCAAGCTTGACTCGAGCCCGTTGAGGACACCACTACCGATGCAGAATCGTGCTGGAAAGCTGCATGGGCCCTCTGATACGTCTGGTCGATGCCGTGGCTTTGTGCAACATACTTGGCCTGTAGCTGGTCGATCTGACGCGAGCCGCACATGGAAGAATTATGCTGAGATGACTGAGATTGCTGCTCATTTTGGATCCAACCCCTTTGGACTTGGATCGAATCGGCCGCCAAATTGACGCAAGGAAAGGGAGGTGCCTCTTCATGATACGGCCGCTCTCATCCTCCGCTACCGAACGGGATTCACGAGGTGATTAAAGTTGTGCTTCATCGGAGAATTTCCCCTAGCCCGTACACACATCCTCCACGGCCTTTGTCCCGAGATGAATGATATGGAAGGGTAACCTGGATCCTACTCTGTTTGCCGATCGAATCTACCGCTGGCTAAGGAACATACATGGCGACTGTGGCAACACTAGCCCAAGGGCTCTGTGTGGACTGACGCCTATACCGGAGGGTTTGCTCGAAGCTCACTCGCAATGGCAAATTCACTGCTTAATCCGCAAACCGACGTCGTCACTGGACAGGAATAAGGTTGCAGATAAGATTTTCCTGATGCCCATGACTATCCGAGACAGACAGAAACTCGAGCCATATGATGCCGCCCCAACACGTGGCTGATTCGAAGGTACTCCGTCATACTTGGAAAGATGTCAACGGATAGATGGAACACAGCCCCAAGCGTCTTGCTCTCTCCCGTGCTTCGTAAAGAATGCAATGGACTGGGGGAGAAGTGAGTGGTGATGCCGCCAATGCAAACACCCGATCCGATAGCCGCTTCTGTCAACGGACAAAAGACGACGTTCAAACAGGTGACTATCCTGCTATGCGTGCGGCAGCCGGTATTTGCGTTCGTCGAACCCATTTGCTCTAGTAAGCGATTTTCCGGCATGCTTCATCTAGAGTAACGTCGTCTGCCACCAAGAACGGCGGTTGTCTGCAGTGGTAGCGGCGCCATGGAGCTGAGATGGTCAGATTGGCATGTCCTCGATCATGCGTCTGGAGCAGCGTTGTTGTGTGCAAGTGGCACCGCTGGCTGGCCTCTGGGCTACGGGGACGATGAGTCTTGTCGTGCTTCATAGCCGAGAGGCGCTGGAACGCATACCCGCTGAAGTGCCTGCTCCGCATATGAACCAAAGCTCATAAGCTGCGAGTCGGGCGAGACTGGGGAGGACTTGGCCACCCTGGATCCTCCATCGCACAGCCTCCGGAGGGTCTGATAGGCATCAACGGGAGATCCTCAGCTCACCGATTTTGCGAGAGCTGTCCGAAGCCATCGAATCTGGTGTGGTCTGCTCTTGAACATACGTCTGAAGCGCTCCCGGCCGGCACTACTTTTGGATCTCAAGGCGAGATATTCTTGGAAGTCCCATTTCCTGGCCCGCCAACGTCCGTTAGAAATACCGGGATACGTTGCGGAGACTTCGGATGTTCTGGCCGTAGCGGACATTCACAAACGCAAGAGAGAAGAAGCTCGATCGTGGACACCAAAGCCGAGTGCTTGAATCCCACCACCTCATTCCGGGCGTCTCGAGCGCAAAGCTCATCCTAAAGACGCACCTGATCTGCGAGCGCACAGTTGAGTGTTTAACGCCTGGATCCCCGCAACTCTCCTGTGGCCCGGATCTGTGACCCCCTATTGACGGACAATCAAGCCCAAACCCCTTACCCAGGCGGACGATACATCACAAGCTGTTGACCCCTTCGTTGTTGTTTGCTAACTCAGAGGGCCGGATCACTGGGGACTACTACACTTGAATCATTTGTTCTTCTTGCAGCTTACGACAGCTACGAAGCTCTTTAAAATTTTACGTTATTTCCTCTGCATTTCAAGGGCAAGGCTGTGCTTGGTCCTTTATGCAATATCATCGTTGAGTCTCTCAAGCGGTTTGGTCACCTCGGCCTAGCTTGTCGGCCGGATCACACGATGCCTGCAAACACCGGTCGCGAGATGCTACCTCTCCAGTCCATATTGAATCCTGTCTCGTCTGCACGACCTGTTGCGAGTTTCCGACATTACGAGCCCTTGGTGCCAGCCTCATCAATATCATCACCTACAGAGACGCTGCGAACCACGAGAAGTGCACCATCGGCAGCACCAAAGGGCAGAGCACCAGTAAATGCTGTCGGCCTGCCAAAGCTGAAGCCGCAAGGGCCGGTCAACTTTGCTCCCTACGAGACTGTCGATCAGGCAGCGTATCGAGAGCTCCGGCAGTTTCTTGTTACGCCGCTTGGACAGATACGGCAGAATTGCGAGCACATTCCTTACAACAGCTCAAAGAAGGACTTTTTCGAAAAGACGGGACGAGAAAGCATTGAGGGTGAGGGCCCCCTTGAGCACATCTTCCTCGCTGGATAGGCAGTCTAATTTGACCTTGTCGCAGTTTTCAAGTATGAGTTCCGCTACAAAGAGTTGACTTATACTGTCATGTGGGACTACAATGTCGGTCTCGTTCGCATGACTCCCTTCTTCAAGTGTTTGGGGTATGCAAAGGTAGGAAATCAGCCTTTCCGTGTGCCTCTTGCTATACACAACCTCTCTTAGGTGTCAGGCTAATGTCAAACAGACCAAACCTTCGCAGATGCTGGATAAAAACCCAGGCCTCAGAGACATATCGCCCAGCATCACGGGAGGCGCTGTGTCAGCCCAAGGTGAGGGCACCACAAAAAAAAAACCCCTATTTCCCCCTTTGGCTACGGAATGCTCATGATTTCCTTTTCAGGATACTGGATGCCATACAACTGTGCCAGAGCCGTGTGCGCAACGTTCTGCGCTGGCATCGCGGGTGCTCTGATACCACTGTTTGGTCCGACGTTTCCGTCACAATGCACGCCTACGGACTCGCCTTACTTTAATGAGATGGTGATTGATCCGCAGATCATCAGGCAGGCGATCGAAGACGTCGAGCGATGTCGCTATGGACAAAGGAGTCGAATGTCGAAAGCTGTCGGGGGAATGGGCGGCCCTGTCGTGCTTGGGGAGTACCCTTTGCGCAGCAGACGAGATACTCAGGCATCATCCGCCTTCAGACTACCATCCCGCCCCCAGCCAGCGCGGCCTCAGCCTGTGTTCGCCCCGGGTCACGACACCGCGTTTCGTCAGCGTCCAATGGCAGTACCGGCTCCGAGTACAACATGCAAAGCGCGAGATTCCAAGCCACTGTATCGAGCGGGCCGCGGTTCCTTTGCCGTCCGAACCGTTGTCGACCGCAATCCTATCCAGTTGCAAAGCTCATTCTTTGATGTATCACTGCGAACGGAGACAAGTGGACCAGAGAAGAATAGAACAGAGAAGTGGCGACCGAAGCGGCGTAGACGACTCAACGATGACGCTGGAACGACATGTTCGCCTATTCCGCTCATGGAGGCGTATGAGGAGAGGCGACCACAGCAGGATCTGGAGCGTTTCAGGGCAGCCGCAGCACTGGTGAGTCTGCATCGAGAGCCTCGAGATGCAGAACCGGCCTCCTCGGTAGTCGTGGAGTCATCAGAGGACGACTTGCCCGAGCGGCGCCACCAAAGGAAACGACCCAAGTCGCATTCCTTTTGAGGGCTGCTTGATTCCGAAAGGGCGGCGAACGTGGCAGGAAGAGATTTGTGTCGTTGGGATAATAAAGGTACTATTCGACTGTCCATCTTTGTTGTCGTGGGATTAGGGGTACCCGCAGGGGTAGGCGCTTGCCATGAGATTGTTTCCGTGCCATCTTCTGGAAAGGTGGTTGAGGTTTGTTTGTTCGTTGTTTATTTTCAGTCATCTAGTTGCGTCAATGTTGACACAGAGGTTACTAGTAGTATCAAATGCATATTGTTTTCTTTCCTTCTCTTCCTATTCTTCAGCCTTACCACTCCGATCATGGGGACTCTTGCTTGTGCTCCCCTTCCATATCTTTCCAAGACTCATCGATCTCCTCACCACCCTGCCCGAGCATCATCATCACCTCTGCCCCCTCTCCGCGGCCCTCTTTTCCTTAAACTCCTTGACCCATCCCTCCGCCTTCCCTGTCGGGACCACAAAGATCTTGACCACCTCATCGACAACCTCAACCTTGCCTCCACTCAGCACCTTGAGCAAAGGAACCTTCTTGCCCATCTTGATCAGGCCGCCGTCCTTCGTCTCAACATAACACGTCACCCCGCCAAGCGTATACTCCCCCTCCTTATCCCACGGCAAGGGGAAGATGTAACTCAAATGATCCTCCAAGCAGTGCGTCTCCTGAAACGCCTTGATGAAGTCGCTCTCCAGATGCAGCGGATACAGCAGCACCGTCGGAAACGCCAGCTCCGACGCCGCATCGTCCTCGTCCGGCACGAGCCTCACCTTCGCGTCCTCCATCTCCGGCGGCTGCTCCGTCGACCTCGTCGCGATGCCCCTCGCCGCAAGCGCCGTCTTGAGGAGCAGCGCGCGGCGCTGCTTCTGCGCTTCACGAGCATCTGCCTTGCGCTTTAGCTCGGCGAGCGTCTGCGCGCGCTTGACGATGCTCTCCGCCACGCTCCTCAGGGCCTTATTCTCCGGATCAATGGCCAGGCCGCGCGCACACACGTCATCCGCCTCTTCGATGCGATCGACCGCGAGGAGCGCCCTGGCGCTGCGATAATACGCCTTGACGTTGCGCGGGTTCAGGCGAATCGCGGCCGCGCAGTCCGTCCAGCAGCTGCGGTAGTTTTGCATCTCGAGATGGCACGCCGCGCGGTTGACGTACATTGCCTCGAGCATCTCCCTCTGCTTTCGAATCTCCTCTTCGGAATCGGGCTCCCCCGTCTCGGGATGCTTGGTGACTTCCCCCCGCGCGCGCTTGCGCTCCTCGAGGAACAGCACGGAGATGCCCTTGCCGTAGAACTCGGAGGCGTCCTTGTAGCCGCGGACCTTGAAGCACTCGTTGCCGCGCTCCTTGAAGTCGGCGGCGTTTTCGAGGGCCGAGCCTTCGTAGGCGAGGGCCTGCAGGGCGGCGATGTCGTCGTTGTCTTCTTCCATTTCTGTCATGAAGAGCGGCGACTTGTTGAGGTCGGCGAGGACTTCGTCGACCGTCTTGTTGCGGTTCATGGCGAGCTGGGGAGGAAGGGCTGGGCCGGTTGATGTGGTGCCGTCTGAGGAGGAGGAGGGAGCTTGGTTGGCGAGGCGCATGGCCTGCTCGACTTGGTCTGCGAGCTGGTCGATGCTCATTTTGAAGGTGATGCTATTTTTTTTTACTTGACTTTGTCTAGATGAAGTTGATGTAGAGGAGGTGTGAGGGGGGATGTGAGAAGATGTGTCCTGGATATGTGGTATTTGTTGATGTTGTGTGTTGCTGTGAGAGTGAGGTTTTACAGAGGTGGCGCATGAGGTTGAATTTTCTCGAGTCAAAAATTTGCGTGAGAGGGCGGTGCTGGTGGTTTACTTAGTAGCCCAATATTCTACCATTTGCCAACAGCTTCGACGGCCAGAAACAGCACATTCAACAAAGGCTCCCTTCTAAAGAAATGAAGTGAAAATCAGTTTTTGAAGTGCAAAAATCATTCATCTCAATTACAGCCGATGATTGTGTCTGTCGCCTGAATTCTGGGGTTCGCAGTGTGGCCGCATCTGCCTAGGAATTAGGCATCATGTCGCAACAATTTGGAGATCATGTTCATAATAATATTCATACTCATTCCATAACTATATCCTCTAATCTCTAATGCTATCTAGTCCTCTTCATTTTTTGAGGACAAGAGAGAGATATCGAAAAATACTGCCAAAGAGTATAAGCATACACTTTTCCGTTCCCCCAAACGCCGAAATTCACCATTGTCTATGCGCCGATTTGACATCCCTGAACCCCTTCCAAAATTGTAGCCCTAAATTGATACCGACCATTGCAATAGGAAACATTGGGGTATATAGCCATCTGAACCTCGTTCCGTAACCAAAATGCCGGTGTATCATGCGTAGACCTGTTATTCATAATTAACTTTTTCCACCACTGCAACTTGCAAGTGGTGTCTCTTGTGACGGCTCCTACTAAGAGGATGCCATTAAATCATGCTCTTTGGATATAAAACTTCTTTCTTTTCGCCCTTTTTGAGAGCATCAATTTATGACTGTCTCTCTCTCTCTGAGCTTCTTCAAATCTCGACAACCTCGACTGAGACTTCAGTGGGCCTAGCGGTGGAGATTTGGTCTTCGGGGTCGTCCTCGGATCGCTGGCAGCTACGATCTCGGGGCACGGAGAAGCACTGCACGGCTCCGACAACGGCAACAAGCGCGCTGCAGTACCACGGCAAGGCGGTGCAGTCGACCTGACTGCCGAGTGTGTAGAGATAGCCCGCAATGGGTGGCGCAATCATGCGGCAGGCGGCGCCAGCGCTGGCGGCCAAGCCGTTGACCTTGCCCAGGGCACTCGCAGAAGGGGTGGCCCCTTTGATCAGGATGAGGAGGAGGGGATAGAGGGTGATGGAGAGGAGGTTGCGTACTGCAAGGCAGAAGTAGATGGCGGGGAAGAGGATGGATTCGGGAACGTATAGGAGAAAGGGGACGATGGCGTAGACGATGGGGTGCAGCACGGTGACGAGGAGAAACAGGCGGTAGACGCCAATCTTCTCGGCTGCCAGGGGGAAGATGACGGCCTGCACAAACAGAGCGATGGCTCCGTTGACAGCCATGATCATTCCAACCTCTCGCAGAGACAGGCCCAGGCCTCCGGGAGAGTAAAAGGGTGAAAAAGCACCAAAGACTTTGGAGAGAGTATTTACCGAGACTCGGTCATCTTCGAAGAAGATGGGCATGAGGTGGTCGTAGGTCATCGAGTGGTAGGTGAAGATGCAGAGCGAGACAATGAAGCCGACGATTTGCTGGTTCCAGATCGAGCTGGGCGCCTTCTTTTCCGCAGCCGCCTCGTTTGACTGGCGGTCGGGGCACTCCTCGCCGCTGTTGCCTCGAATCGTTCCATAGGTCTCATCGCGCAGATCCACTGCCGGGCGCTTCATGGCGTCGGACGTCTCCAGCAGCGGCGTCTCCTCGGAGAGGTAGGTGTCTGCGGGCAGGAGAACTCGGGGCTTCATGTCGGGGTGAGTCTCCTCCAACAGGAAGATGCCCATGACGATGCTGATGAACAGAAGAGCGGCGCAGACCAGGTTGGGCAGCAGATAGGGGTATCGCTCGAATAGAGAACCCACGGGAAAGGCATCGGGCCAGGAGTCGTGGGGGTCGGCAAAGGTTCCACCAATGCAAGGGCCGATGATGGTTCCGATGCTCCAGACAAAGGGCATGACGGAAAAGGCTTTCGCTATTGAGAGTCAGCCAATTTCATTCAAAAGAGCTCGCGGGGAAGGGACTTGCTTACGTTCATGCTCGGGCTTGGTGACAAGCTCACCAACCATGGTCTGGATGACGCCAATGTTGCCGTTGAGGAAACCTCCAATTGCGCGGCCGGCGAGAGCGATCCAGATGTTGGAAGCGAATCCGACCATGATCATACTAAGCATGGTGCCCACGCAGCCGAGGATCAGGACAGGCTTGCGGCCGACGCGGTCAGACAAGCCACCCCAGTACATGCCCATCAGGGCTTCGGCCAGGGAGAAGGAGGAGATGAGGAGACCTGAGTAGAAGGAGGCATCTTCCTCGCTTCCGATCTTGAATCTCTTGACGAGAGGCCAGGCATATGGAAAGATGGAGGTGAGAGCGATTGGTTCGGCAAGGCGAACAATGGCTGGCGAGTGTCAGTTTTGGAGTTCAAGTCTTGGTGAAGATATGGCACAAGAGGAAAGACAAGACTTACCGAGGAGGAAGAGTTGGAGGGTCGGGAAGTCGTCAGGGTTGCGAAGACAAGCCTGCTTTGTTCGGTCCATGTCTTCTGGTCTTGGTGCGCGCTTACGACAGCAGACACAGGCACAGGCGGATAAAGAGTGCGTGTGTTGATGTGCGTATCGATAGGCTGCCGAGTCTCTGCGCCGGGGTTGCGAGAGTTGAGACCCGGGGAGGTTGATCAGGAGATGGGAGACTCGAGGTGGATCTCAATCGCCAGGCAGGCAAGATGTGCTTCTTTGATGCCTTTTGATGGTTGTGTGTTGCTAAGTTCTGCACATGGAGAGGCAAGAACACAGCAACGGATTGCAATCAAGAAGAGTTGGAAGCCTTATGATGAGAGCAAAGTGATGGGGAGGGAGGGTGGAAGGCGGAAGAAATGGTGGGAGCAGGAGTTTTATTTCTACCACTTCTATCAAGGTTTGGGGCGTGCACAGTAGATTCACAGTGCGCAAGAGCTAAGCGCGGTGGGCCTCTGGAAGCATCGATAAGAGAGACATGCATCTAAAACAATACTGCCGCTGTGGCTGCATGTGGCATGTGGGGGTGACGAATGGGTCGCATGCAGCTGCTGCGGCAGTATGCAGCAAGCGGGGTTGCACGAGCCACGCGCTAGACGGTTTAGCCTCTGGCAGCAGCCGCAAGGGTCGCACCCCGGGGGTCTCGATAAGACGGTGAAGGCGTTTGGGGCATTTCCTCGTTAATCACACGCTCGCCTTTGTGTCTCTTCTTTGCTCTATGTCTTGCATATGATGATGTTTCACGACTGCTGCGTTTATCGGCAGATTGTGTGGGAGGGCGGAGCTGCATCAATTGATTAACGACGATAACCACTTCAATATCTTACGCCACATCTATGGTTCCTGCGATGCATTGTTTCCGTCCGGCTGGTCGCCAAGTCTGGGGAAGGCCGATTGTCGTCGCCTTTGCCTTCAATTTGTTGAATCCTCCGTATCTCATTTTCTCAAATTCGAATCCTAGACTAGAGCCATCGCCACTGCTTGCGACATTTATGCTATTATCTAGTAGGTACCTACCTGCAGCACCGAGGACTAGAAGATGGTGGTAGTAAAAACTCTTCGCTTTTCTTCCCCCTAACAAGCAGCGATCAGCCAACATGGAAGCGAACAGACGTCTAGAATGTGACTGTGTGTTTGTCCGTCCAACGTCCAATCTCGCACCTTGTGGGATGCATCTTCATGCTGTTTGCTGGTCTCGTGTTGCTGGCTCCAGATACGCCCATCCATCACATGTTCTGTTCTGCCATTGGCTCGTCGGAGGCTTGCAATCTTTTCCCCAAGCCCTCCGATCGTAGGAGCTTGGACAAAGACGCAGCGACTACACAGTATATGCATCTAACGCAGAGGCGCCATGCAATTGAGCGAGCGCACTGGCCAGTGGGGGTTCTTCCTGGTTCCACGCCGCCCCACCCAAGACGGCAAGTTTTCGACAACTTTTGCATTTTAGCAGCGCGACCTTGACGCAGGGCCCCGACGAGCCGAAGCTCATCGACGATCTGGCAGAGCATCAGCTGTTTTGCACAGGAATTTGCTTTTGTCTGGAGTGACGCTGTCAATCGATGGTGATGCTCTGGTGCTGAGGTCTCGACATGACAGGTCCTTGTCTGACACTTGGGCAGAGCCGGAATTTTATCGCCTACCATGATGACCTCGACGGCAGAGTCGGAAGATCGCATGATGGCGCAGAGACGGTCGTGACGGTGACAGAAGTCTTCAAAAAGTTGAGAACTGCGACAACCCGCCCGGCACATACACACAGTACGAGACTTGTCTTGCTTCTGCTAGCATATTACTATCCCACCACCTTGGTCGCATTTGGTCCCCTGAGCCACTCGGGCTGCGCGAGTTGGTGGTGAAATTCGATCCTCCCTTGCCGTGAAACCCAAGATTGACACTGCCGAACCGGAGATGGGATGCAGTTGCATGCTCGTGTCTGCACTCGTACCTACCTACAGTACCTACGTGCATACTAGGTATAGATAAACGCAGCCGAAGCCGGCCAGGATATCGTCGCCAAACGACTCGAGTTGCCATTACTAAATATTGCAACGGCCAGGTCCATGGCGCCAAATTTGCTCGGTCACGCTACACACTTCTGCTCCCTTGAGCGCCAACTCCATGGCTTCATGCAGCTTCCCCCCCCAGCGCTAAAGACTCGGATCTGCAGCTGGTCGGGTGGCCAAAGGAGGCAGAGAAGGTGAGGAGGGTGAGCAGTTATGGTAGCTCTGGGCAGCTTCCAGCACCATCAAAGGCCCCGGCGAGCGCCGCGCTCACCTTGCAGAGCGTCGAAGCCTGGAGAAGCTCTGGGAACTAAGGCGAACCGCCCACGAAAGCTCCGGCTGCGAATGGCTGCGTGAGCATGCGGATCTGCGCGGCATGAGCCCCCCAAATCACCCGGATGCTTGGTTCCCCGCCACGGGCCCCTCTCACGCCGACCCTCATCCCTCGTCCCTCTCTCTCTTGCGTCTTCTCCCTTCCCCGCCACTCACCTTGGGGGGTCTGGAATGTGTCTCGAATCGCAGCCAGTGGACGCAGACTGGCGGTCTGGTCAGCGACTCCCCGCGCAGGTCCAATGAATGGGGTACTCCTTATGCCTGTCCAACTGCCTCATGACCGTTTTCTCGCAGGGCACCCGCCGGGAGCCACGCCCAGGCGGGTGTCTCGATCCAGAGCACACGAGAAGGGCCCAGACGAGCACGACGCACAAGTACGAGGCAAACAGGCCGTTGAACGCCCGACCCGGGAAGCCGCCTCCGCCGACGCGGATCTTGGCGTGTGAAGACACCCACAGGCTGCAGTGCCGAACCCTGGGGGGTCCTGACTCCTGACGCACCCCTCCTCCTCCTCGACCTCTCGTGGTTGGGGCCACTGGGAATAAGAGAATCGAGCAAGGGTCCATGAGCACCAGCCCTTGTCTATGCACCTATCGAGCACGACTAGACAGAGAATTTGCACTAGCTCCCGAGGGCTGGGGCCAGGCTGGGGCACACTGGGTGGAGCAATCCGCTTCGACATCAGATGGGCTGAGAGTAGGAATTGACACATTCATTACGTGTAAGTTGTTGGTTGAGGCGGTGATGCAAATCTCTTGAAACTTGGACGCCCTCTTTGTCCCATTGGGGTTCCCACTACTACACGTAGGCGTGCTTGGCTGATGCGGCGCTGATGTGTTCCTGATAGCACCTCCTGTTGACGTGACAACAAAGGATCGAGGACAAAGTACCCTGTGCTGTGCTCGAATAGCCTTTACGCCTCTTCCGCCTTCTTGGTAACGGTGGTGCTGCTTGGCCGAGTGCCGCCTCGCCGGTCTCGGGGCGCGATCGCCGTCGGCTGTTCCGTGTGCTTCGAGTTGTGGGTGTGAAGGTGCAAGAGTTTCTGTGTTGCATATGACATGGATTGACCGCAACACCAAAAGGAAAAGTTTTGCTGCAACAACGCACAACCTTCGTCGCAAGTACGCTCGCTCCCCTTTTGTTACTTGGCCACAGCATGCATTGTCCCAGCGATACGGGATGGACGCAGTCTTTGAGCGACGCTTGCTTTCACTGAACATGGCCTCAAGCCCATGACCGTTCCCCATTCATTGTCCTTGAATGCCATTGATTGAGTGTTTCAATCTTGGACAATGTGACGATATGACAACTCCAAGCTTACGGGCCCAATTGGCACCCATTCTGGAGGACAACAAAGACGTGTTAAGCGTCCGGACTAACGCTGGCATACCGCTAACTCATGTTGAGATATCTTCATCTATGTTTACATCAAGCCTTGTGATACATCCAGGAATAGCCTCAACTTGTATCGCCGTCCCATCTAGCAATCGACATCTAAAAGGCACTCACCTCCTCTGGCAAAGCTCCCGACGCCTCACAGCCGCTCCCCTCCTCTCGCAGAGTTCCCAACACCCATCTCCCCCAGCGCCGCCTTATACCGCTCCGCCTCCTCAACCATCTCCTCCATCGTCTTGGCATTCCGCTCCGCGTCCTCGATCCTCGGCATCTTCCCCCCCGGCCGAGGCCTCTGCGCCTGCTCGCGATCCCACAGCGCGCCGCCCACGTTGGCCTTTTCGCTCGAGAGGTGCACGTAGATCTCGTCCATGGGCTCCTCGCCCATGTCGCCCTTGACGCGCGGGATCACGTGGACGTGCACATGGGGGATCGTCTGTCCCGCCTCGGCGCCGTCCTGCAGGGCGACGGTGAAGCTGCCGGACGTGGGGTCCGAGGGGTCCGGGAAGTAGAGCCGCGCGAGGAGCTTCTGGGCGAGCTGGACGGTGGCGAAGAGGTCGGCTGTTTCGGCGGGCGAGAGGTCCAGGAGGCGGGCGTGAGGCTTGAGCGGGCAGATGAGGATGTGGCCTGGGAGGAGGGGCTTGAGGTTGACGAGGCCGTAAGAGTGAGGTGTTGTCAGGAAGACCTGCAGTCATCAGCTGAATGTGCTCCGAAGAACATCCCAACCAAAGGATTCATCGAGAGAGAGTGTGCAATGAGTGAAATTCAGCTTGTCTGAGGCATGCATACCTGCTTCGTGACCTCAAAGGGCCCAAACTTGATCGTCATTCCCTCCGTGTTAGTCGAAGTCATGACGCCCCTCACAAACGGCGAAGTCTTTCCAGCGCCCTTGCGATTATGAAATGCCCCAACAGAGGGAGAAGTTGACCAACAAGGCCGGGCGACAAATCGAGTTCCTGGGAGAAACTGCGCTCTTGAAGCTGATGAGCCTGCGATGCAATCAGTCTCGACACATTCTTGTAGTTCCGTCTGGCCTTCAATTGCCTTCTTTCTTCATCCAGAAGGGGAGATGTCTGTTTCGTGTGTAAATCACTCACCTAGGTGTGAATGGCGGGCTAATGAGTATAAGGGGGGGCTCATGAGGTGAAAAAGAGTGCAAATTCGCCAGACAGTGAGTAATCTATATGACAAGAGAGCTTTCTCCCTCGTGGGATGACGGTGAGATGGAAGTAAGAAGGTGAGAAGTGAGATTCGTGAGATTTAAAGCTGTTGGAGCGGGGCTTTGCACGTTGGCTGAGTGTGGAGAAGTTGGCAGGACTCAAGCACTGATTGGCATCACCCTTGAGTGTGTGTGTGCATGACAGCTTCATCTGCCTAGCAATATGCTATAATGTGTAGTTCGTTAAAGTGGTTCAATGGGAATAATTAGGTTGGTTTATGGTATATAAGAGGCAGAGGACGCTGCATCTGTGGTTGGAGTTGATTTAATACTTTGCTGTAATGGTATCTTCTATAAATTCTAGCAAACTTGATATAACAGACAAAGGAAACAAGGACAAAATCTACGTCTGCCCATCATCGACAAAAGACAAAAGTACATACAGACATTACAAACAAGATACAGCTCATCGTCACAACAACATGCCTAAATGGTTCTACATCCTCCTCCTCCTCTTTCTCGCCACCCAGCGAAAGAAGGCTTCTACTCGAAACGACAAAAGAAAAGAGCAGCCGCTCGCGAAAAGCAAACCGTCAGAGTCATCGACTTTTGTCTAGATGAAATTCGAATCGTCGCCGGCAGAGAGCAGTTGGCCTGCGTTGGCGGCGAAGCGGGCCGAGGTTGGGTCTGCTTCTGCTTCTGCTTCGTCTTGTTCGCCGTCTTCGTCCCAGTGGACTGTATTTCCCCTGCCGTTAGCAGTTGAAAATATATAAAAAGAGAAATCGAGCCTGAACAGGAGTATGGAAAGGGGGGGGGGGGGGAAACATCAAGAATATGAGGGGGGGGGCAACATACCATGGGGCTTGAGGATGAAAGCACATAGCAACCCAATCCCGAAAAGTCCACACAACAGCACGAAAATGGCCTGCGGAAACGTTCCCACCGTCATCGCATACAGCCCGTTGAACAGCACCGGCCCAACCACCCGCGACTGCGCCTGCAAGAAGCCCACGGCGCCGAGGACCTGCCCGACGCGCGCGGCGGGGACGTGCTTGGTGACGGCCGCCTGGACGGTGGCGCTGCCGAGGCCCCCGAGGGCGGTGACCATGCCGCTGGCGAAGAAGAGGTGCTGGTTCCGCGAGAGCGTGTAGCCGACGCAGCCGAGCACGTCCGAGGCGAGGGCGAAGCGGAGGATCCAGACGTCGAGGGTGTCGGCGCCGGCGTTCCTCTCCACGTGAGGCGTCCCGGACTCGCGCTGGCGCCGGGCGGCAGGGCGGATGCGGAAGACGTAGTTGATGATGGGGAAGACGACCATGAGGACGGCGACGCGGACCATGGACAGGGCGGAGATGAAGCGCGACGTCTCAAAGTTGCCCCAGCCGAACATGAACTCGCTGTAGAGCATGAGGACGTTGCCGACGGCCATCATGGAGCCCATGATGATGGTGTCGGCGATGGCGAGCGCGACGAGGTTGATGCGCAGCCGCGACGAGGTGCCCGGCCCGGTGGGCCAGAGGATCTTGAAGACGGCAAAGGGGTTGTGGGCGAAGAAGCGAGAGGGCAGCAGGATCTGGGCGGCTTCGTGTTTGGAGCGGGCGAGGCGCTGTCTTCGCTTCGAGAGGGATTCCGGCAGGATGAAGCGGACGAAGACGATGAAGAACAGGTGGCAGCCCAGGGCGACGTAGAAGATGGAGATGATGGAGCCTGTCCACTTGACAAAGTAGCCGGCCAGGAGGGGACCCAGGGCGAGGCCGGTGAAGAGGCACGCATGGACGTAGCCGATGGACACGGCTCTCCTCGAGGGGGGCGTGCAGTCGCTGGTGTACGACTGGCTGAGGATGCTGCCGGCGGTAAAGGACCCCGTGATGCCGTCAAACATGGCGCCGACCAGCATGAAGCGGTAGTTGAAGACCTGGGGGTACTTTGCGCACAGGATGGTGACGACCTCGCTGACGAGCCCTCCGCAGGACGCCAGGGCCATGAGCTTGCGGCGGCCGTAGCGGTCGGACAGGTGGCCCAGCTTCGGGGCGACGATGGCGCTGAGGCCGCCGATGATGAGGTTCATGCCCAGCATGAAGGTGGCGACGTTGCGCTGGACCTCGGGGATGTTGCACTGCGGGTTGTCGGAGCCGAGGACAATGGGCGTGTAGGTGAAGTGAGGGTTGAGGAGCTGCTGGTCGGCAAAGTACTGCTTGCAGACGAGGTCGAGGATGCTGGGACGGATGCCCGTGTGAGTGAGAAGCGATGGAGCGGGATGGAGATGGGCTTTTGGGGGAGGGGGGAAAAGAATACTTACAGGTTGAGCTTGGGGACGATGATGCCGCCGAAGGCGAGGGTGAAGATGGCATATGGGCCGAGGAGCCAGAAGACCTTGTCAGGCGCATCTTGTCAGTGGACTTGAAGCTGTTGTTGTACGGACATGGAGCTGTGTTGCCATATGGACATGATATCCAAGGTAAGACATCTATCTGTCTCCCTTGTTCACACTTGGAGCCGATGAAAGAGAGGGCCAAATACATACAGACGGCCTGCGCCACCAGGGCAGATGCTGGAAATCAAGGTCGTTGTCCCATCCGTTCTTTGACGCTCCAGAGTCACTGCGGCCGAGCAGTTGCGACGTCTCGGTGGCATCCGAGTCGCGGTCGACTTCGCGAACCGTCGGACTCGGGCTTCGGTCGTCGTCGTCGTCGTTGTCGCTTATCCGCTTTGGTCCAGCCATTTTTTTTTTTCGCGGGTGAATCTGATGCGCTCCAGATATTTGCGACTGTCTTTGGCGTCAATGCGAGAGAAACAACGAGGATAAAGTTGGCAGACGCGCTGAATCTGAATCAGGTCGGCAAGGCTGTAGAGACGCCTCCGGAGTTGCGACGGTGACACAAGCCTTGACTATGTCCCATTTCTCGCCGGGACGCACCTCCAGCTATGGCTCTATGGCAGCCGGGGGAAGAGAGTGTGTGTGTGATTTATAGCCCTTGAGGTATTATAGAATGAGTGAGATGATGCGAAGAGGTAGTGAGGAAGCCTCTGGCAATATGAAGGGAGCGAGATTGATGAGCAAGTGGTGCTGGATTCTAAAGGTCCAAGAGGAGGTGCAGTAAGAGCTTACATGCAGAGGACCCCAGCAAACGGGGGCCCGGGCATGGGGGGGGAGGAATGGGGAGGAATGGGGATGAGATGGGAATGGGAATGGGAACAAGGGGGGTGGAGCCGAGGAACCAACGCAGCAAGGCCGAAATGCCAGGGCCAGATGCAAGCAAACGTGGTTTGACGCCAGTGGATTTAGAAGCGAAGGCCGGGGGAGAAGAGGAGGAAGAGCAGGAAGATGATGATGATGAAGAAGAAGAAGAAGAAGAAGAAGAAGAAGAAGAAGAAGAAGAAGAAGAAGAAGAAGAAGAAGAAGAAGAGGGAGAGGAGGACGAGGACGAGGAGGAGGAGCTTGGGCGGACAAGACCAGGGAGCGACTATCTACAGTAGTATCACAGACCCCGGACAGATGGTGTGGTGACGCCGTTATCTCCCCTTATGGTCAGCTCTGATGTTGTCTCTTTCTTGGGAAACCTCCTCCTCTTTTCTCCTCGTCTCAACGCAGATGCAGACACAGCAAACAATCAATCGGCCCTCGAGGGAGGGTGATGGTCAAATCCCATATCCACGTCGTCGAGGCGAGCAGATCCAAGCGCAGCAAATCGCATGCAGCAATCGGCCAACCAGTTGACGAATCGATGACGCTGCCTTTTTTCCTCCTGCAGGTTCTTTTTGCCCGCGCGATCACGGAACTAGGATCGTGCCTGAATTTGCGGGTTTCGATAACGACGACACACACACCAAAAATCAAAAGCAAGGCTCAAGCTTTCCAGCCTATCCGGGTACTATCAAGTAGAACAACAGCCAGCCCCCATGCAATAAGTACCTGCAAAAGAGGGCGGAGAACTTTGGCGGCACACTTTGCTTGAATTGGGTTTCCTATGGCCATGTTTGTTTGTGGAGAGAGAGGAGAGAGACGGAGGGCCGAGCTGGTTATTGGTTCGGAGGATGCAGCAGTGGCTTGAGTGGGCTGTTGCTAGCATTATCTTTTCCGTCTTTATTACTGGTTCTGTGCCTTGATCTGAGACATTGAAAAGACGTGGGCTCTTTTTGCTTGGTAATTGCTTCGGACTTTTGGTGGGCGTGGAGTCCGAAGTCCGCCTCCGCAGGCTAATACATAGTACTAAAAGCCGAGTGTGTGTGCGTGTTGTGTTTTCTGATGGAGTTTGTTTGGTTGAGATCTGTCATGAGGATCCAGTTGCGAGCTGCCATGATACGTGTTTCACTTTATGGCTGCATATATCAGACAATTGCGGGCAAAAGTCTGATTTTCTTATCCAAGGATGTGAAGCGTGTGAAAAGAGAGTGAAGTGAGAATGGCTCTTTTGGAAGCCATGTATGTATGTACAGTACAGCAGAAGGCGGTTGTGGTTGGTGGATAAGCGTTTGGTTGGGCTTCAAGATGCTCCGTTATTTCCGCTGATAGGGAACAAGAGGTTCTACGTGGCATCTCATGCACGTCGTTGTTGCAGGGGGAAAACAGATGAAGAGAAACAGGCCAAATCGAGGAACTATTGATTTCGAGCTGCAAGGCATTCCAATTGGGCAACACACAAACACCCGTTGATGCCTCATACGTAGGTATATATAGTTCATACCTGATGGATTCCTTTCTAGATAGGTAGAAGGCTTGGTTACATCAGCAACGTCCAAAAAGAGAGACATGCAGCCGCATTCAGTCTAGATAGATGAGGTACTCTAATACTAGTAGTACTAGCATCACCAGTGACGAAAAGTTCAAAAGTTGCTGCATCGGTGTCACGGTGAAGCACTCGGTGACGGCCACAGCTGAGCCGGTGAGCCACCAATAGAATCACCACACACCGATGACTCAGCAACCAAGCAAAGTGCAACGCGATACTACTAGCAGTAGTACAGCTGCGAGATTCCAACATTTTCCAGCAGTCAAACACAACCAGCGATTCCAATCGCATCACCAAACCTCCTCCCCAGCCTCCCATCGTCCGCCGCCAACATGCCCGTCGTCAAGGGAGGCGTCTGGACAAACATCGAGGACGAGATCCTCAAGGCGTCCGTGTCCAAGTATGGCCTCAACCAATGGGCACGCGTGTCGTCGCTGCTGGCGCGCAAGACGCCCAAGCAGTGCAAGGCCAGATGGAACGAGTGGCTCGACCCCAGCATCAAGAAGATTGAATGGAGCAAGGAGGAGGACGAGAAGCTGCTGCACCTCGCCAAGATCATGCCCACCCAGTGGCGCACCATCGCCCCCATCGTCGGCCGCACCGCCAACCAGTGTCTCGAGCGCTACCAGAAGCTGCTGGACGAGGCTGAGGCCCGCGAGTCGTCTGGCCTGGGCCTCACCGGGCCCGAGGGCGGCGAGACCCAGGCCCCGAGCGCGGACGACGTGAGGAGGCTGCGTCCCGGCGAGCTCGATCCAGACCCCGAGACGAAACCCGCCCGACCCGACACCATCGATCTCGACGAGGATGAAAAGGAGATGCTCAGCGAAGCCCGTGCCCGTCTGGCCAACACGCAGGGCAAAAAGGCAAAGAGAAAGGCCCGAGAGCGCCAGCAGGAGGAGTCTCGCCGCCTGGCGACGCTGCAGAAGCGGCGAGAGCTCAAGACGGCCGGCATCAACATCAAGGTGACGACGCGGAAGCAGGGCGAGATGGACTACAACGCCGACATTCCCTTTGAAAGGAAAGCGGCCCCTGGCTTCTACGACACCTCGGAGGAGCTAGCCAAGAATGAGATGCAGCGGGCAGCCTTTGATCCCCGAAAGCAGCAGCTGGCCAGCAAGCGCAAGGGCGAAGGCGACGACGACAACGACCGCAAGAGGAGGAAGAACGACAAGGACGGCATTTCAGAGTCGCAAAAGGCTGCCATCAAGGCCGGTCAGATGCAGCGGATTCGCGAGGCCGAGCAGAGCAGCAAGCGTCGTCCCCTGAACCTGCCGGCCCCGCAAGTGAGCGAGGGCGAACTGGAGGAGATTGTCAAGATGGGCAAGATGGGCGAGGCCGCCAACTTGATGGCCAGAGAGAGCGACAACGATGCGACTCGAGGATTCGTCAACTCTTATTCGACACTCAACACCAACGCGCCGATCCGAACACCACGAGCGCCGGCGCAGGAAGACCACATTGCCAATGAGATCCGCAATATCAGAGCCCTCAACGAGACGCAGTCTGCATTGCTGGGTGGCGAGAACACTCCTCTTCACCAGGGTGCTGGCTCCACAGGATTCGAAGGCATTGCGCCCCGGAAACAGGTCATGGCCACTCCGAACCCTTTGGCCACTCCCCTAAGAGCCGGCGGCGTCAATGGTGCTGTTCCTGGACAGACGCCCATGCGCACCCCCCGAGACACCTTTGCCCTCAACCAGGAAGATGGGGCGACGGCGACAGGAGCCACTCCCCGGGACGTGAGACTGCGGCAAATGGCCATGCGGAACCAGCTGCAGGCTGGACTGGCTGCGCTGCCCAAGCCCAAGGATACAGAGTGGGAGTTTGAGATACCCGAGGACCAGGTGCCGACTGCGGCAAGCGAAGAGGCCATGGAGGAGGACGCCGCCGAGCGGGACAGGCGAGAGCGCCAGAGACGAGAGGCCGAGGAGGCGCTGGAACGGCGGCGACAGACCCAGGTGATACAGCGAGGACTTCCGCGACCGGTGGTTGTCGACCTAACGGACTTGCTGGAGAGGGCAAAGAGGATTGACGACCCCGCTGCGGCGCTCATTGCCGAGGAGGCTGCTGCTCTGATGGCTAATGATGCTGCCAAGTTTCCCCTCAGTGGCTCCAAGGTCAAGGGAACGCTGCGGCCTCTGGCTCCCATAGACGACGGACTGCTTGCCGACGCGCGTCTTCGCATTCTATCGGAGACGAAGCCGTTGCCGAGCTTTGAGGACATTCAGGCTGCTTTCGAGAGCCGGGCGGGTGGAGATTCATTGCTCTTGGGGCTGGGGTGCTATAGTGATGACGCTGCCGAGCAGGATGCTGCCATGCGAGCTGCTTTTGATGTAAGTCTGAGCTTTTTTCTTGTTTGACAATGATCTGTCACTAACTGTGAAACAGGCCGTTCAGGACTCCATCATGACGCAGGCAGAAGAAGACGCCAAGCTCGAGAAGAAGCTCACGCTGCACCTGGGCGGCTACCAAAAGCGGCAGAAGATGCTCAAAGACAAGGTGTCGGACGCAGCAGACGCTCTGGACAAGGCAAAGGTTGCTCTCGCCGGATTCAAGACCTTGGCCATTTCCGAGGATGTGGCCATCAACCGGAGACTGGAATCGCTCAGAGACGAAGTCAACTTTATCAGTCGGAGAGAGCGAGAGGCACAGGAGGAATACCGAAAAGCAAAGGAGGAGCTGGAGGCTCTGCGAGCGGGGGACGTCAACGGATACCATTGACCTGGAGACAACATGAGCATTGTATAATGAACGGGGGGGTAAATGAATGGATAAGGCATCAGGGCGGTACATGTACAAACAAATTATCAAGACAATTGCATTTTCGTTGTGTTTTCTAACTACAACTCATCAAGATCTAGGCTCGCCATCTCCCTGATTCCCTCATGCAATTCATGTCTTTTAGACACATTCGAACTCTTCTCGTCACAGATCTATCACCTCCCCTTTGCAAGCAAGCTGCTCACAACTTGCGACTTGCCTGCCCCAGACGCGGCAACCTCATTGGCAAAACAACCACCACCGCAATCGCCGCCAGCACCGCACAAAGCACAAACGTCAACCTCAGCGCCGCCTCATAGCTCCTCACAACCATCTCCCTATACGGCTCCTCCAGCTCGGCCACAGCCTCCACCGACTTCCTCACCCTCCTGACAACATCCTCCTTATCCGGGCCGTCCACAACGAAAACACCAAGGTAATGCACCAGCGCATTCTGCACGACAAGACTACTCATCGCGACCCCCAACACTAACCCTACGCACCGCCATAGAATGAGGGTGCTCGTGACGACGGCTTGTTCGGCCTGCGTAGACGACGCGAGGATGGCCATGAAGGTGCCCGGGAACTGGAACCCTTGGCCGATGGACTGCGGGACGAGGACGAGGAGGTAGGCGGCGGGGGACATGCCGCGGCGGAGGAGCGCGAGGAGGATGCAGCCGACGAGGTAAAAAGTCGTGCCGGCGACGACGGGCCACTTCAGGCGGCGCGTGTACGTTATGGCGAAGCCGGTGGAGGCGCCGGTGATGGAGGCGATGGCGGAGGGAAGGGCGAGGCGGAGGCCGGAGGAGGTGGCGCTTGAGAGGAGGACTGCTTGGAAGTAGAGGGGGCTTTTTTGTGTTTGCCCTTGGTGTGAGACTGATGATGAATTGGAGGACGGGGAGAGGAGGAAGGGGGGCTTACATGTTGAAGAGGATGGAGTTGGAGAGGATGGCGGCGATAAAGTTGGACAGGAGGAGGTTTGCGCGGGGGGCCTTGCGGATGAGGTGGAGGGGCATGATGGGCAGGGGGACGCGGGATTCGATGTAGAGGAATGTCGGGAAGGAGATTGCCGAGATGGAGAGGGCGGCTATGACGATGGGGTGAGACCCTATTTGCGTGTGAGAAGAAGAGCGGTTGATTTGGTGTTGTTGGTGTTGGATGGTTGGGAAAAGGGGGGGGGAGAGGGGGGGCGCTGACGACTTACACGGATAGATGTTTCCGCCAAAATTCTTCAAAAGCAGACAACCAGAATCATCAGCATCTCATTCTCACCACTCCTCACATATGTCAAGACCAACAAAGGGAGAAAGAAGAAGAAGGAAAAAAAAAAAAAAGAAAGAAAGCAAAACTCACCAGCCCAAGAATCGCACTCGTCGTCGCCACCGTCAACGCTGCCGACCCTCCAAAGTCAAACTCCCCCAGCGCATCCCACACCCTCCGCCTCGGCTTCCCCCCTACGAGTCCAATGTCGTCCGGAATCACAAGGAAGGCGACGGCGGCGCAGAGCAGAATCGGGAGGACTTGCACGGCAAACTCGCCGCGCCAGCCTAGGGTGTCGGCCATGGCGCCGCCGAGGGCCGCGCCGAGGGCGGAGCCGGCGCCAAAGGTGACGTTTACGTAGGATTGGTAGTTGCCGCGGCGTCTTGCGTTGGGAAATATCAGTATTCGATTGTTGGGTTGTTGGTGTTTGTGTGGTGGAGAGGGCTGGGTGATGAAGGGGAGGGGACATGGAAAAGGGGAGGAGGAGGAGGAGGAGAATCTTGAGAACCAAGACGCCAGCAGCGGAAGAAAGAAAAGAAAAAAGAAAGACCCAGGAAGAAGAACATACTCAATCGGCACCAAATCACTCGTCAAGATGGCTCCCAGCGTCATGGCCCCCCCGGCACCAAGCCCACAGACGGCCCTCGCAGCCACAAAACTCCCAATACTCCCCGCAAGAGCGCACCACGCTGTGGCCGCGGCAAAGACGAGCAGGCTGGCCACGAAGAGGGGCTTGCGGCCGACGGCGTCGGAGAGCCGGCCGAGGAGGGGCTGGGAGGCGGTGGTGGTGAGGAGGAAGGCGGTGGAGAGCCAGGAGGCTGCGTTGGCGGCGGCGAAGTGGGAGGTGATGACGGGGTGGGAGGAGGCGAGGAGTGTGCCGTCGAAGGAGGCGAGGAACTGGGCGGTGAGGATCTGGCCGAAGATGAGGCGGAAGCGGGTTGGGTGGGTGGAGGAGAGGAGGAGGTAGGGCTGATGTGTTGCTGAGGGTGGTGCGGAGGATGAGGTTGATGAGGATGAGGATGAGGTTCGATGGAGGAGGGGGGATGTTTCGGTGGGCTCGGGGATGCCTGTGACGTTGTCTTTTATGGTGTTGCTGCTGTTGATGTTGCTTGGATGTGACTGCTGTGTCGATGGATTCCCGTCTTCGAGAAGACGGTCGTCTCCACGATTCGAGTCTTGCGGCCCCGGCCCCGGCCCCGGCTCCGGCTCCGGTTGACAGAGTGGTCCCGTCTGGGGCATCCGGGGAGGCATTGCTCAAGATGGCTCTACTTCTTCGAACCCCGGAAACAATGAACGCTTTCACAAGAACTCTCACAATGTCAAAGAGTGGAAGCCGTGAGGAAGAAAGAGGGAAGAGTTTAGACAATGAAGAAGAGAGCTGGAAAGTAATATGGAAAAGGCACCAAGTTCTGCAAGGGGAGCTGCAGAGAAACCGCGGATCTGGTACCCGAAGACTGCGGGACGAGGGGGGAAAGCGGCTGTTTCCGCTGCAGATGAAGCTTTACTCTTTTTGCGGGAGTACACAATCATGAAATCGAGAGAATGAGAGAGAGAGAGAGAGAGAAGGGGATGATTAAAGGGACATTGAGTGTTTGGTTTTGTACCGCGTGGCTTAAGGCAATAATAAGTACAAATCGAAGCTTCAGATCTGAGTTAATGAGATGGGAGAATGTAATTTCTCATTCTTGCGGCTGATGTCAGGTAATGCATGACACGGGATGACCTATGCATAGGTAGCAGCAATCGGCCATCAGATTTGAAAAGCAAGCCATCTACGTCGTTTGGTAGAAAAGACGTGAGCTTACTCGATTTTGCCTCCTCCACAAGGGGAGGGGGGACGATACAATTCCGGGGAAAAAGACGGCATGAGGGGGGCAGAAGAATAAGGGCTGCTTACTTGACGTCCCGGCTTCGGTACCCCCTTGCAAGAGAATCTGACCTCGTTAATACCTCCCTATGTTCCTTTTGCCTTGATGAATTGCGTATGCTCTGTCTGTGAAGCGTATTTGACTGACTCATTCACAGATTCTGCTGCGGTTCACTTTTCGTAAGTGTGTATTGTTGATGCGGTGGCTGTGGGAATAGGTGGTGGCTTGATGGGGACAGAAGGCAGTGGTGATGTGCTCTGTGTCTTGGATGGCGCAACATGGCTACACAAGAGTTGCCTTTTTGTTGCGATTCACTGCTTGCCAGATGACAATGATTGAAGCTTATTCAGGGGCATGGGTTCGCTCCACGCAGTCTATCTGCAGCATCTATACCTCATCATAACAAGCCATCTATATATCTCTAGTAAATTTGGCTAACACATCTACAATGTAGCTTCCCAACATGATGCGTGAAGAGGAAGAAGGACGACGATGATAAAAAGCACCCGCTCGCATTGCTCGCCTCTCATGCTTTACTCTGCCTCGACAACGCCTCCGCAACAACCAGAATCCCCGCCCCCGTAACACCACCGTCATGGCATGGCTTCAAGACCACACGCAATTTCCCCTCTTCACCATATCTGCGCGATAGCAACTGGTCCAGAAAGCGCTGGCAGTCGGCCAGATAGTCCTGAAAGTGAACGATGCAGCCGCCTGTATAGCCCACGCCGAGCTCGCGGACGGGAGACGTCGTGCCCCCATCTTCCCCGTCCATGCTCTCGGGTAACTCGTCCGCAAGCGTAAGCAGGGCAACAATGGCAGCGGCAATGATGCCGGCCGCCCGGACCTCGATGGCCTTTGCAATGTGATACAGCGCCGCTGCGAGCTCCTCCGTCCACGCAAAGCCAGACCCGGCATCTTCTGGGAGCTGCCGCCTCAGCTTCTCCAGCAGCGCCGACAGCGGCTCCAGCGGCTTGTAGTGGCTCAGAAACGTCGTCGTCAGGCTTTCCTTTTCGAGCAGCTTCCGCGGCAACGTCTCGACGGGGAGCCGACACTCTGTGACTAGGTAGTCTACGAGTATGATGCGGCCCAGCTCTCCCAGATACCGCCCCGCCGTCATGTACTCTAGGGGCTGGAATCCAGGCCTCTCATTCTGCAAAGACAAGGCTTCATCCCACTTCGTGACCAGATTTGCCTCCAGCATGGGCGGCAGCGTGCCGTTGATGCTCCACTCGGTGTTGACTGCAATCTTCGCATCAGCCACGTCCTCGCCCGGCACGAAGCTCACCGTCTGCGGCCGCTTGCTGGGATGCAGCAGGTCCAGCTTCAGGGGCACCGTAGCATTTGATCCCGTCCCCAGAATCAGCGCCATGGCGGCGCGGTGATGCTCCGTGCCGCCGTAGCTGAAGATGCCCGCCACCAGCGTCGACACGGCGTCGTTGGCGATGGCGGTGACCTTGAGGGGCGGCAGGTCAGCGCCCCGGAACTCTGCGTAGCCCTGCTCAATGTGAGCGCCCAGGTCAATGCCCGGCGGCAGCGCGAATCCCTTGCCCATGTCCATCAGCAGGGCGTGGGAGACGGAGCGCTGCTCCATGGGGAAGCTAAAGGTGACGCCTAGGGGAAGCGGCCGGTCGTTGGGCACGCCGAGGGTTTTGCAGCCCTCGGCCACGACGTCGGCGATGCATCGCCCGATCCAGGAGAAGAGGCTGTTTGCGTTGTCATTCTTGAGGTGGTTGTCGATGGGCCACGACTTTTCCAGGGGTCGCTGCACGCGGGATGAGGGATCCGGGTCGTTGCCGTGCAGCTCGATGAAGCCAACCCGAAGATTTGTTCCTCCTCTAGGTGCCAGGTAAGATAACATGTTAGTGTCTGTAGGTAGTTCAGGGGTTGTCTTGGTGAGGGTGTCCAAGTAGACTGCCTTACATGTCTATTGCTAGATGTCTGTACGAATCCACTCATCAGCATGCTGCCCTCTCACCAGTCTTCAGCCTTACAATCATCCTATGTACAGTACCGGACTTCAATTTACGAAGAAAACAGAAAACTCACCGCCCCCCTTGCTCAACAATCGGCCGCAGAATAGACTCTGATATCGGCGTCGGCAGAAACTGGTCCTTCGAGTTCGCCGCCAGATCCCTGAAGTTGGCCAGAAACCCCCGCGAGAGCTCATGTGCCCTGTCGACGTCGATGCTCAGCGGCTCCAAGAACCGGCGGAGATTATCTGGCGAAGCCATTGAGGAGAAATCGACTGGTCAAGGCGAGACGCAGAAAAGGGAACGTGAGAAGGGCTATCGACAGGTTGTATATCTCATGATCGCGCCCTACCTTATACGGAGAGCGCAAAAACAAAAACACCGTTATGAAGCGATGTGCACAATAGGTACAGACGATGAAGTGAGAGAATAACGAGGCTTTTTGCTTGAGAATGCGGAGAATTTCTCAGATGTGACCAGCAGGGTAGGAGGATAAAGTAGAGGTAGTCGATGCACTGAAGAGGCAGATGGTTTTCACCTCCCTGAATCGGTAGGACGGGGGGGGGGAAAGGGTTGCAAGGATGACAAAGATCGGATGCGAGCGAGTGCTTTTTTGATGGAGCAGATCAGATGCTGGAGTCTGATAGTGGTGATAGCTGGCCAGAGGGTTCAGTAGGCGGTTACAGTGCTTTCAGGGAATCTTTAGTGGACTCGATGCCAGGCGATTGGGGGGCTCAGCAGCGGTATAACAGAGCCCTGGAGGGTAGGTTCATGAATGACAATGATAGGGACATACGGTACCTCTACAGACAGATCTCATGCATCACATCGCAGTCAAGTACCGAAGTACATAACATGCCTGATCCATCAACACCTTGCAATCATCTCCATACAGCCCGATATCAAAGAACCAACTGTCCAGCATCACATTGACAGCCGTTCAAGCCCTCGGCACGTCGCTACAGCGGTACCCGACTAAAGTCCCTTCCCTTAAGCGACCCCAGCCCGTCCCCCATCCAGCCTAGCGCCGCCTCTCCACCAACGCAACCGCTCCTCCCCATGACGCTATAACGGCCCGTCCGTCCAACCTTTATCCTCGTCTTCGTCTTTCGCGTCAAGGGTTCCCTCGCGACAGCTTCATCAATCCCCATCCGAGCTTCTTCTTCTCATCATCATCATCTTCTTCTTCTTATCTTCTTGGATAACTCATCTTATTTGACTCCATAGTAGACGACCATATCACTTTCAAATCTCGCGCAACATCAGTGCTTCTTGCTATTAATCAGCTCCATCAACACCTACTAAACTCGAATCCCTTCAGCCAGCCAGACAGCCATCCATCACCGCCTCGCCATGGACGAAAAGCACCGCCCGCAGCCTCACCCCAACACCATGGCCTCTCCCTGCCGCATCCGCGCCCGCGACCTGCTGATCGTCGTCGCCCTCTTCATGACCATCTACCAGATCTGGAACAACGTCGCCGCCGTGCCCTTTCTGCCCCAAGAGGCGTCCGACCTCGTCGTCCCGACTCGCGCCGAAGCCAGCTCCAACGGCCTCGTCCCGCTTGAAGCGCACATCATCAGCAAATGCCCCGACACCAGGGTACGCAATAAGACAAGATCATCCTCTATTAGTGTTCCAGTCTAACCGCCAGTCTAGGACGCTCTTCGCACCTTGATCCTGCCCGCCATGCAGCAGATCCACGACAAGGTCGACTTTAAGCTCTCCTACATCGGCAAGTATGTCAACCCCCCTCACCCTGATGTTGCATCGAAACGCCCATCCGTGTATACATACCCATGCTGACACCGAGCCAGGCCCACTGCCAACGGCGGCGTCGACTGCAAGCACGGCCCCTCGGAGTGCATCGGCAACATCATTGAGCTCTGCGCCCGCGAGCTGTATCCCGACCCCAAGATCAACCTCGGCTTCATCATGTGCCTGACCAAGGACTACACCCACATCCCCGAGCGCACCCTCATCGAGGACTGCGCCCTCGAGCACGCCATCGACTTCAACAAGCTCAACGAGTGCGCCGCCCGCGACGACACCGCTCACGGCCTCGAGCTGCTGCGGAATAGCGTTCAGCGGTCAGCCGATGTATGTCTCTGACAAGTCTCTGATGCTTAAATAAAGAACCCAACACGACTAACGAGTTTCTTCTAGGCCAACGTGACTATCAGCTGCACGATCCGCCTAAACAACGAAATCTACTGCATTCGCGACGACGGCGAGTGGAAGGACTGCCCGCACGGCCCCGGCGTCAACGACCTCGTCCTGGCTATTCAGAAGCTGTACCAGGGCTCGTCTTAAGCAGCGGCTCGTAAACGTCCGTCCACAACTCGCTCGCCTCGCCCAACGTGTAGCTCATCGACAGCGCATCCATGCCCGCCTCGTCATCTCCGCCCATGACCTTCAACGTCTCAATGATGCTGTCGAGGCCGACGGCCTTGCCCACGGCCTGCGTGGCGCCGGCCTCGAGCGCAACATGGACAATGTGTATGTGGAAGTGGTAGTAGGTCGGTTGATAGTGAACATAGAGCTTGAGCTGGTTTTCCTCAATGGTCGGGTACGTCTCGGTGGTGGCGCCGACGACCTTGGCCTTGATGTGCTGCAGCCAGGGAATGTGCTTCTTCTTGAGGTCGCGCAGCGACCAAATGTCCCGCCGCTCGACCAGCGCCAGCAGATGCAGCGCCTCGAGCGTCTTGCGGTCCCAGTTGAGGTCCGGCAGCAGCAGGAAGCCCTCGTCGCCGGCCTCGCCAAGCTTAGTCCTGAATATCACGTCTTCCACCTCGGTCCTGCCCTCGATGATGTTGTAGACCCAGTTGAGCCGGCCCTGCTCGCGCTTGAGCTGCATAAAGGGCCGGATGTGATTCCTATAAATCTCCGGCGTCTCGGTGACGAAGCGCACGCCCTGCTTGCTGTACTTTTTGACGTGCGCCTCCGTGCACGGGTAGATGAGGTTGATTTTCAAGTCGGCAAAGAAGTCGACGCCGTTTTCGTGCCCATTGTCCTCCTCCTCTGTCGCAGAAGAAGCAGGCTTGACCTCGTCCTCGACGGATCCCGTCCTGGCCATGCTCCACGCGTAAATGTCGTTTGCGCCGAGATTCCGGATACGCGCGAGGGACGAGGGCAGCGCCGCGAGGTAGGCTTCCGACGAGGGTATCGTGGCGCGCTCGACGACCATGACGGCGGGGACGTCGTCGATTGTGCCGTGGAGGGCGATGCGGCGGCCTGCTTGGTCTGGCGCGCGCGTGTGTGGGTTAGGCAGGTGAGCATCTTGGTGTGTGTGTAGAGCTTCGAGGAGGGTAGAATTCAATTATAGAGTAGAGATGTTGCTCTGATGATGAGAGGGGGAGGGATGGAGAGAGAAAGAGAGAGTGTGTGTGTGGAAGTAAGTGAGTAAGTACCTTGGTTGAGGACCTTGAGGAGCTTGAATTTGGGCACTGCTGCCTCGGCCCTGGCCTTGAGATCTGCCATTGCGCTGGGAGACGAAGCTTGATCTATAGCTATGCAATCAGCGAGACTCGAGATGTCTTTCGAGGCAAAGACACTGTAGAGATGTCGACGTAATGCGGGAAGCTGCCTGAAGACAGAGGAACTGAGAAAGGCAGAGTCGTAGAAGTGGAAGGGTAAAGTGAGTTGAAGCCTATTAAAGCACGTTTGAAGTGGGGGATGAATGGAGTGGGCAAGTTTTAGGTTGGGTGCGAGTTGCGCACGAGCTGCAGTTGGCAGATTATGTGGAATGGCCCCTCCTCCGCCTTTAATGGCAGCGACTGATAAGATAGAGCTCCAAATAGCTTCAACGTTGGAGATCCATCTATCAAAATCAAGACGCATTCAATTGCCCTCATTACCTAGTTATAGCATGATCCATTCAATACCTAGTACAAGCAAGTCCATAAACATTCTAGACAGGCCTTACAGAGCATACAACCGCCACACACAGGCCACACTCACAGCTGCCGCCTCAGATGTCCAGGTAGGCAAAGAATTGGATGACCTTTACCATACAACGCCCTGCACTCACAAACATAGCCCAGCCTGGTGCCAAAACGCCTCCTCAAGGTAGGTAATAGTTAGTCTGACCAAAAGAGATATATAAGACTAGATTAAGCTAACTGTTGCTCTCATTCTTCATTCCGCCAAAGCATCAACTTCGTCGCTCCTCAAATGGGTATTGTAAAATAATCGTCTGCAATGTATCAAAACGCGCAATGTCCACCCCCAGCTGGGGCATGCTGGAATCGCATCTCATGTACTTCGTCATGTATGCATCTGCAAGATAAGCTCAATAGGCTCACATGTATAACGATGCAACATCTGTCGACGGGACCTTGTATATCCTGCCGCATATAATCAGGATTGCGGGTGCATATTCATATCGTCAAATGACGGCTGCTATTGATCAAACAGGTGTGCCGTGGATACCACTGGCTCCAGTGTCCGTCGAACCGTCCCCGTCAATCGTCTTCTTCCAGTGCTCCGGGAGGCAGACGCACACCAGAGGAAACGCCTTGAGGTCGCCGTAGCCCTGTGGGGAGTGGTCCCTGGGGGCCGACGAACTCGATACGCCGCTATCTCTCTGTGCCTGTCTCCGTGCCTCCCACTCGTCTGCCCGCTGATCCACCATCAGACCCGTGGCCCAGCCGTCGTCCCAGATGCCCACAACCTTGAGCATATCTCCTCGCTCGAGCGCAAACTCGTCCGGTGCTCTTGGCTGATAAGCCCACAACACAGCAACCTTGTCTCCAGGGTGGATATCGTCCTGTGAGTAGTAGTCCTTGAAGAAGGGCAGCTGCTCAGACTGCTGACTCGCCAGGCCGTTGGGGGACGAGAATCCAATGGGACTTCCCACGTCACTGCCCAGCATGGAGTTGCTCGACAGAGAGCCCTGTCTCCTCGACGTCATCGGCGGGCCTCGAAGGGTGGTGTAGGGCGTCTCGGGCTCGGGCGTGTCGCCAAACTCGGATGATGACATTCGGTCGGAAGCCTTGGGGGCGTAAGGAACCGCGCGGCCCGATGGAGAGCTGCCGTGGCGGGAGGGGGAGTCGCCCGAGTGTCCCTCCAAGGCAGACATGCGCGCTATGCGGCCACCAGGGAGAACCTCGTACCCTCGGGGAGGCGCCGCGCTGCCCTGGCTCATGGGCGGCCCTTTGCGGGCCGGAGAAGGCTGGTTGAAGATGCTGCCCTGTGCGCTGCTGGGCCTGCGCCTCAACAGCCGAATGCAGAAGAACAGCAGCGCAGCCAGAATGACAACGCCAGCGAGGGACCCTATCACGATACCAGCAATGGCACCGCCGCTGAGGTGGTGGCCGCCACTGCTAGTAGCTGCGGCCGCCGAAGTCGTCGGAGTAGAGGTGGCAGCAGGCGTGGTAAAGGTCAAGGTGGCGGTAATGTCGGGCAGCTTGACACCTTTGCACCGAGACTCCGCGTCCGCATTGTAGCAACATGTATCCGTGGAGTTGATACCGCCGGCACCGCAGTATGAGCAGAGGCCAATGGTGCTGTTACCAAATCCGCAGTTGTCTGGCTCATTGTCCACGCCGTTGACGCAGTCGCCGGAGAGGGCCTGCTCGGGAAGGGCGCAGACGGTGAAATCGGCTCGGATCAGCTTGTTCAGGTCGGTACTCGGATTCGCGCATAGGGCCGTGTCGGCGGTGATGTACGCTTCGCTCTGGGCATACTCGGCGCAGGTCTCGGCACAGAGAGGCTGCGAGTTTTGTGAAGATACGCCGCAGCCCTCCGCGGACATCTGGACAATCGAGTTGCAAATGACGGTTGTAGTGTAGCGGGCGTACATGTCGCTGGGGCTTGTGAAGTTGACGTCGTGGCAGCCAAACGTTGACTGGAACCTAGAAGGAACTTTGGGTGAGCAAACGCTGGACAGGGGGGGCTGTACCTGGAGGAGCGGCCTACTTGTCTTTGAGATAGCTGGTCTTGACGAAACTTGACAATTCATTGTCGAATGACTCTCGGTCAGAGACATATTGTAAGAATGAGCTGCGACAAGGCCATTAGTAACTCGGTCGCCCTCGGCACAGGGATTGTAGGCGAGCTCACAAAGTATCGATTAGTGACTGGTTGGTTGATATTGAAGCAGCCTGAAAGGCTGGACATGTTGTCGATCCCTTGAGAGAAATGCAGCTGTTCTGTGCTGCAGAAGTACCGGCAAGAAGTGACAGCATGGCTATTGATGCATTCCTCAGCGTCCATTGTGTTGCGTGTCTCGGTAGCGAATGCCCATTGTGGCCACGAGCCCTTGTCGGGCTTGTCTCACGGGTCATTTTGGCGAGCGACGAACTAGCGGTGGCCAAGCAATGCCCAACAAGGACCAGAACCCAAGCACCCAGAATAGCGGAAAACAGGCCCTCGAGGAAATGTAGACAGCCGCAAAGTCACCACGCGGAGCTGAAGGCAAGGATGAGTTCGAGGGAGTCGCGGCGGCAGCGATGCAGTATCGAAACCGGAGAAACAGACGATGTGTCGAGAGGTGCTGCTGCTGTGACCAGATGCTATAAACGTAGGCTGAGAACGAAAACGACTGTCGTATCCAAAAGGTGCTCAAAGCAGGACAGCAAGAAATCTCTGACAGGGCGCGATGGAACGAATGTCGTGCAAAGTCGAGCAAGATTAGATTAACGCAATGTCGATTGAAGTCGTGGCGGAAGAAGAGCAGCACCCAGCATGCGAGAAGCGAAGAAGAAAACAAAGCCGGTAAACAGACCCAGAAACCGAAAGGGAAGCCGCTGTCCAAAGTCCACGGTATGAACGAAAGAAACAATGGAGAGAAGAATCGAATTGAAGAGAAGGAAAGGCCCAATGGTTGAAGGTTGACGGCCAGGAAGGGGTGACAGAAGGGCCGGTGAGTCGAGCAGCGTTTTTTCGAGTGTATGATGGCGGGATGAGCTGCTGGTCCAGGTCGCTCCGTCGTGCTCCGACCGCCTCGAGCCTGGCGAATCTCGGCTTCGCTGCCTCTTTGTCCCCCTTCACCTATTACTCGCTCTATGAATTTTCCTCGTCGCGCCCAGGCAGCTTCCAAGGCCAGACGTGAGTCGACGCTAGGAGAAGCGACCCCGTGGGCAAGCTCGGTGAGAAGATGCACGGACAAAAGAGTGGCCTGCGGACGAAGGAGAGGAGAAGAAAGAAAAAAAAGAGTGCGTGAGAGAGGAGGAATGGGCAATTCGAGGCCTAGGCGAGAAACGGCGAGGTGCTGCTTGGGGAAACACGAGATCCGCGAACCGAAGCGACCTGGAGCCCGAGCAGACCAGGCAACTACTAGCTGGGGCGTGGGATATTAGCAAGATTAGTGAGGGAGGGGGTTGGCGTAGAGGTGGAGCTGCAGGCGAGGATGCGAGACAAGATGCTGGTCTAGCGCCAACGATGGAAGGGAGCGAGACGAACGATTGCACGATCAAGGGCGATTGATTGCATGTATCAGAGAGAGAGAAATTGCAGATCGAGGGAGAGGAGGGTCAGGAAGAAAGATGGGGGAACCAGCAGGGCGTAAGAGCGGGTGGATGCTGCACGAAAGAGTACTGTAAGGCGTCGATGGTGGCTGTGGTGAAAACAGATGGCTGGACAAGACTGAAGATGAAGTTGCGGTGATGGTGTTTTGGCTCTCGTTTCCCATCCCTCCCGTTGTTTTCCCTCACGTCTTGGAGCTTTTAGCGCCTCCAGAGCATGAATAAGGGACCCGCGGGTCCTGTTATAGCGCCTGATAGCGCTGAACCGCCGCTAGCTGGCGGCATTAGGCAGGTCCTGAAGCTCTCTAGCGGCGGGCTAGGCGCAGGCACGGCCCTCTCATTGGCTGAAGTGGACGGAGAAGCGAAAGGGGTGCTCCCGAGAGTTTGTTGCCTTTTTCGGACCTTGGACCGCCTCTGAGCAAGACGAACAGCTCGATCAACAGGTGGCACCTCCTCAGGTGAGCTGTCGCGGATGCAGCTGTAGCACGACTAGAGGCACCGATAGATACTGCTGCTAATGCACTGCATCTCGGGTGCGTCAAGGAATCTTCAGCGGACTTTAGCGGGCCACGAATGCTGATTTGGTGCAGGTGGTTGATGGCAGATGGACTTGTCGCCGCGCATGTCTCTCGTATTGGAGGGTGATTTCGAGCTGACTCCACCATCGGGTACCGTCTTCGACCTTCGCCTTATGAAACATACATGTCCGATTATGCTGCTCCCTGTCTACAGTACGTATTGCGTCTTCCGAGATACAAATAGATTGTACAAGCGATTCGAGGTGACAGCTCCCACTTCTCGACGGAACAATCCTCGCTCGCCTCCAAGTATCTTTGTATCGCCGTCTGCACTTGAAACAAGGCTCTTCGTTTCCCTTCCCCAGCGATCAGCGATGCCAATTTCGCTCCCAGTTCAAGTACTCCGCAGCACGAACGCAGCACCAAGAAAATCCAGAGAACGGACAACAAGGGAAAATTTTGGCAAAGACAGGGATCAGCTGTGGACGGCGTCGCCAGGGGTCAAGCTTGCGAAGCCCGCATCATGTTCCCTACTCTGGGTGAGGTACAGAGGACATCTGCAAGGGCGAATTCTCTAGAGCAAAGTTGTCCCGGTTAGACTGGTCGACGTTGCCATGAGCTGTTGCTCCAGGTAGGGGCATCGATCCGTCTGTAGATAGTTATGTAAATAGCCTCAATAACAACCTGGTGATAAGCCGTCAAAGCTCCATCAATTCCTATGTCAACTAGTATCATCATATCAACTTCCATCTGGCATATCAAGCATCATAACCCGTCTAACAATTTTCACAGATCTCACACCGTCACGACAAGCATACCCTGCGTAATTTCTCAACCGCAACCGACTGGCCCCAACAGCCCTCAGCGCTGCCTCATCTCCCTCCACGTGGGACAGCGGAGCTTCAGAGAGCACTCAAGATCCACTCCCATCTCCTTCGTTTGACAAATCGGTGTTGGACAGATCAAAGTTCCCCCGATTAAGCTGCTCGTGCGCTGAACCACCTGCGATCTGTGGGTTGTTGCTGTGCAGACGAGCACGGTCGATGAGTCTGGGGGTCAGTGATCGGGCTTGAGATTGACTTGCAGCTCGATGTAGACTCGAGATGTATATATGAGAGAAATTGAAGCTTGGCCACGTCGTTCGTGTGGTGGTTGCTACGGTTCAACGCGACGATACCTAAGGTACAAGAAGAGGTCGCTCCCTGTCGCGAGTGAGAAACACTAAAGACATTACCCTGCAGTCGAGATGGGTACCCTGCGGTCACATACAGACACCTTTCTAGACACGGCCCATACCTCTAGTATCATCTGTCTCAAGACGCTGGTTCTTTACACACAGCTAGTATTACTATATCTGTTGAGGTCGCATTACTCTTACGTCTCTCCTCAGCTCTCGACTTGAGCATCTTGCGATGGTCACCTTTCCAGATCACCTTCATCTCATCACCATAGATCAGCGAGCTTGTCTCCACTCCCCCAAGAAAGCCTTCATACAAGCAGCTGCAGTTGCGGCGGCATACCGCTGCCAAACCTTGTTCTTGTGACTATCCGCATAGTCACACACACTCTTAATCACAACCGTAGGAAAGCTGTCCCATACACCGGCCCCTTCCATCTCAAACGCAACGGCCTTCTCGCGGGATGCAATTTCATCGCGGTGGTGCCCCGACTTCATGACTGAATCTCCAGATACAACGACGCCGAAGTGAATCACGGGTTTCTGCGGCTCATGTAACCGTGTCTCGTGGAAGGGATACCGTTCATGTGTAACAAGCTTCGCTTTGTCGATTCGTTCACGAAATACCAACTCATCATCGTGACAACCTAGTTCCTCGCAAGAAGCCTCCAGTGCGACGTCACAAACATCATCGTCAGGGCTATGACAGTTGGCACAGATGCAAGGGGCCTTCGGATCTTGGTGTTTGTGACGGTAAGTAGGCCGAAATAGCTTGTCGTTATCTGCACCGGGATATGAAGACTTGTGAAAGCCGTCCTTTTCACAAAGTTCTTCAAGGTATAAGGAGGTCTTGTCTCGAAGCGTCGTGCGACCTTTTGATCCAGACAGCTTGGCTAGGAATGAGCGAATATCGGAAGTTGGCCGGCCAAGGTTGTCTTGTAGGGTATCTTTCCTCACGAATTTGTTCGTATATTGCCGTCCCAAGTCGAATTGCACCAACGCCGTACTGATGACCACATCGCCAAGCAGAACGTCTTTCTCTTCATCTCTCCCGAATGGAACGCCGCCACAGATGCCAACAACGATCCCAAGCTTAATGTCGGGGAAGCTGGCCCGAAATCCTGCCGCCACGCTTGCTGAGTTCACTTTGCCCATGCCCGGCATGAAAGCTAGCACAACGTGGTGGCCGCATAACCTTCCAGTAGTATATGCGTTGGGGTCACCCGGTGCTTTCCCGTACGAGAGATCGGGTTCGGATTCGTAGTATTCATCAAAGAGAGCTTCCACGGCATCGAATTCGACCCGCAATGCGCAAATGAGGGCGACCTCAAAGTCTCTTCGAGACTTGGGCTGGGAGCTGTCAAGAGAGGCCTCGAGCTCCGAGACGGTGCAGTTAGACGTGAGTTTGCATTCTCTCGTGACAAGCTCCGAGGCAACAGAGGAAGGCCAGTTCTGTGGCTCCGGGGTGCGTCGTCTCTTGTGTCTAGCTATTGGTCGCCGAGGCTCCGATGGCTGTGTGGGCGATCTCCAAGAAGAACTGTTGCGAGGCTCGTTCTCGCAATAAGACGGAGAGGGTGACTCGGATCGTTGGCGCTTGTGGGCCGGCCGGGGGATGGACTCGGCGAGACCAAGCTCAAGTTTATGAACAACTTCCTTATAGAGCGTCTTTCGTATTCTCAGCTCCGCCCTTTTCTCGTCCAGATCCCGAGTCCTCAGCCTCTCCGCTATCTTGCGATGAACATTAAGACATCCTCTAATGGCTTGGAGATAAGAGTCGCCTCTGTCCTCCTCCAGACGGTCCACTAAGCTCACGAGCGTAGCCCAAGCGGCCTGGTTCCGGCTACTGTCAGGGCTGATGGCCAGCTCGATGGCTTGTCCGAAATCTATTTCCAACAAGAGTTTGGCGAAGGATAATAGTGCAGGGTGGCCCATTCGAAAGTTGTACGGATTTGTCGTGGCTGGAAGCTTCGAGTCGAATGAGAGGTATGGAAACTCTTTCTTGGGGCCTGATGTCGAGGCGTTCCAGAAATAAATCCTCCTCGATGTGATGTCGGCGTCGAAGAAGTCCATAAGGCAAAACCCAAGCTTAACAGCCAGGGAGCGCTTATCTTTGATGCTGAACTTGTTCTGAGACGCTCCGTGCATCAATGCTTGGAGGTCAAGAGGTTTAAAGGCTCCCTTGCCGATGAGTTGCTCAAGAGACTCCTTGGACGAAAAGCCCGGCTCGAAGGTTGCCGGATCTGCCCAGGCGCCAAATAGCCCGTAATTCTCAATCAGCAGCATCAGTGCTTTTCCTCGACCAGTGTTCTCTCGGAGGTCTGTGCAGATATCGGAAATGCAAGAGATCGAATTTTCTCCCCTGAAACTGGTGTAAGCTTGGCAGTAAGGGAGGCTATGACCCGGCCAATTGTGGGTTGATAGACTTACAAGTCAACAGAATCGCATCGTACTTGTTGCCAGGAATCTGGATCTGGACAGGACGAGAGCACGAGTTGCAAACTCGGCAACATTGACTCCTCGTCGGGGTCCTCAATGAGTCGTAGGAGCACTTCATGGGACATCCCACACCTAAAATGCTCAAATAGAGTTCCGAGGACGAACGAGGCCCGATTTCGTATTCTAGCCTTCTTCCACATCCGCTTGTTCTGCTGCCGCTGGAGGGGCTGCAGAATCGGCTCTTGAGGAGCAGGTGCTGTGATTTTATCAAGAGTGTCGTTACATTCCGTGACAATCCGCAGGTACCTGCTAAGCTCGGCAGAATCGCTGGGGAGTCTGAATAGGGTTTCATTGGGACCATTGGCCAGGTCGAAGACCCCAGACGTCGACTCTAGCAAAGCACTCAATGCTCGTAAACGGTGATGGGTTTGCCCTTCCGCATGGCTATGGATGCTCTGAGACCGCGCGAGTTGGTCCAGCAGCGAACAGAGACTCTTCAGCTTGACCTCGCATTGCTCGAATGCTTCTGAATCCAGATTATGAGGGAAGTCCCGAACTATAAAAATGCGGCGAAGTTCGATTTCGAAAAACTCGGCTTCCGGATGCACGCGTTTACCGGAGATCCTAGACTGCACCTGATGCGGTGCTTTCCTCTTGTCCAGCAGTCGGGCCAAGCCCTGAATGAGGCGCCATTCGTTTGACTGAAGAAGATACGGCATGTCGATATTGGTGATGATCCGTCTATGATCTGTGACTTACACAGACCCGGACGGGGGCATTTCAAAGGCTCCGACAGAAGGGCTGAGTTGCGCTGGATGCGGAGATGAGGCTCAGCAGCTGGATGGTGGGGATGACAAGGCACAAGTCGATGACATCCCTGTGCTGCCAGAGGTACGAAATACCTACCTAGATACATGCATGCCGTGACCGGGATCATATTGATTCCGTACCTTCCTTCAGTAATACAGGACGCCAATATGCATCCAGTCCTCTACCAGCTACCTACCTACAGAATATCTCCTCCTTCACCTCATTCCATCCAAAGTCTCTCTTCCTAGCATATTGGACACATCTGCCTCATTCATGATTTCGGATTATGGATTCATCTGTCTTTGATCTCTACTTTCCTCTCGTTGCATAAGCCTGAATGGGATCTGCAGCTTCACCGTATTCCCCGCTTTCCCACATTGCTCGATATACAAGTAAGAGACAACTCACATGATCTGGCTCTCAAACTCGACCTCATTCATCCTTTGACGCATGGATTAAACCTCGATTCGGCAACGATCGTGCCTTACCATGGCGGACACGTTCGAGGGCGAAGATCTCCTCTACCACCTGGCTTACGAGTGCGAAGCCCTCTTTGACAAGCTGCAAGACATCTTGCGGAAAACAAAGTCTTCAGATGCGATTGTGCGACTCTGCAGCGAGTTCCAACAACGGTTTGCAATATGGGCAGCACACCTCGGGGTCTTTGCTCGAAAGAGCCAATGCCTAGATACGAGACTTCGGAACCTCCCCGACCTTCAAGACCTCGTTGCTAGGCTCTTGGACATTCTACGCCACAGTCTGCAGCAATGCATGGTTGAACCACCTAGTCAAGCGGGAAATTATGAAATGCTGTTAGATATACATGATTTGCCGCCCGAGGGTTCTCAGATTCAGACGGTTGATCTGAAGACAATCGACGACACTCTCACTCGACTAAATCGTTTGGGCGTTACCATTCGCCAGTCAGGTCGCGGCAAGCTCAATACCAGAGCGAAGCAATTCGCTGCAGGCCTAGACCTAAGCTCATTTGAACATCTATGTGCAACCGCTGTACAGGCCTTATACCCCGGCGCTCACCAGTCCCTCAAAGACCACCTCAGCAGGTCAATGATGGACAGATATTCAAGGATGCTATTTCTCGACTCTCGTCACCAAAAGCTCCAGGCTCGCCGTGAAGTTCCTATAGGACTGCCTCCCATCCATGAAGTTCCCAATGACGAGATGACACCCAACAACCCTTCCTTACAGCCAAGGATGGCAATCAGGAACAGAGCTGTACAGAAACTCTTTCGACAACCTGTTGCTCCCTCTCAGTCAGACTTATCCAGCGTCAACCTTCAACAGATCAGAAGTCGTCTCAGGCCGCCTGATGAAGCGTCAACCAAGCTCCATAAGACATCTTCAATCCAGGTAAACCAAGGCAACTATCCCCGCATACCAGCTACCGAAGATGGCAGCACTGTTATCACCTGCCAGTGGTGTTCGGAGCCACTCATCAAGAAGACGCTTTCGGAAAGCGAGTGGCGGTATATCCCCCCCTCCCTGATAATGGTGCGAGACATGTTGGCCTTGGGTATATGACTACTGATGGTCTTTGTGTGGTAACTATATACCCGAGGCCGTGCTACGAAGGGAGGGAGTACTGGGAATTCATATGCCCTGACATAGGCTCGAGACATATGCTGACAGATTCTCAGCCGTCATATAGACCGAGACCTCAAACCTTATATTTGTCTTTCGGAAGCATGTCCAGATGATCACCCGGCCTATGCCACGTTTGATGAGTGGTACAAACACATGGAACTCCATGACCGGCGGTGGCACCAGCGCGCCTACTTGACATTCAGCTGGGTGTGCGACATCTGTGAATTTGGCTCGGGCACTTACGCCAGCCCACAGGCTCTGTACTTACATTTGGAAGAGTCGCATGGCCAGGATTTTACACACCCGCAGCTTCAGGCCATTTCCCGACTGAGCAAGACAGAGCAGCCGAGAGCTTCCAACGATTGCCTTCTGTGCTGTTTTGCAGTGGAAGAACAGGGAGAGTTTGGTCAGGCAGTGTTTCCTAAGCGCCGAAAGGGGCAAATGACGCAAAAGGCCAGCAAAAGTGCCAGGAACACCCTCGGGATGGCACATCCAAGTCCCCACAACCCAGGCTCCGACTTGTCAGATACCTCCTCCGCTTCGGACGACATGGGCTCTGGTCATGGAAAACACCGCAGCCAAGGCTCTTCGATGGCAGTAAACCGGCATGTTGCTGTCCATCTACAGGGGCTGATGCTTCTGACACTACGCTTTGCAGCAGCTTTGCAAGATAATGACGGGGACGTGAATGATGACGCCAAAAGTAATTCCGTCGATATTGATGAAGGAAACAGCGCCTCTGGCGCTACTGATTTAGGAAGACTCTCACACATTGTATCCGACGGAGATGTCACCATGGAGGATGAGAGCGATGAGGGGAACACCGAGGGTAATATGGACTTTGTCGAGAGCCTAGATGATGATATCACCCCAGACGATATGCCTGTCCCAGACACAGACATTGACCTGAAATTTGTGCCAAGGCAGCACGACAATCTCGCGGTTGAGGATGACGAATTCCTCAAGGGGCTTATTGAGTCTGGAGATTTCCTCTATGGGGAAGATGTACCCAAAGAGTTCTCTATTTCGCGAGCGATTATGGCTGCAACCCGTGTGGCTCTGACGACAGTAAACATCATCGACGGCATCAGCTTTGACCTTTCCAACGTTGATGATGGTGATGGTGATGGTGCTTCGCTTCCAAGCCACCCTGGAGATCATATCAATGACACGCCTCACGACCCTGAGGTAACCGAACAGCTACCGGATGAGATGGGCAAATCGTTTCAACCCAACATAAATAGTCCAGGAGAAGGGGCTCGTTCAATGACTATGGAGAATAGCTACGGGGACGATGACAGGAACAACACAGAGGGCGCCCAGACTGCCGAGGGCGTGACAATTACTGATCTCATGCTCGGTTACGGCCCCCTTGCCCAAGAAGGCGACACTGTCCGTGTCAGTCGCGTTGCAAGACTCCAGAATGGAGAGGGGTTCGATGGTAAGATTGGTTTCATCCACTTCGCTCTCAGGGGCTAATATGAGTTAATAGCAGTCTGGAAAAAAGAAGTCTCTGATCGTGTGGTACTCGGCCGGCCTCGTTTTGTTGGACGACCCGATGACATCTTTCAGTGTTGGGACCTTGGCGTAATCGGCATGGCTATTGATGGCGAGCGCCGTCTGACCATCCCTGCCCATCTGGCCAATCACAAGCGAGTCATAGGTGTCCCGCCAAACTGCCAGCTTACCTTTGATATCAGATTGCTCGACATCTTGGATGAGAGCATCAAGGAAGCTGATTCCTCTGGCCGTGGCACGGATCAGCAGCTCGAATCTGAACAACATGAGTCCCCGAACGAAGCCGCAGAGTTCAAAAGAGATTCTCACCAGCACGAGGGGTCGCCTTCGTCTCTCGATAAGCAACAGACTCAAACGAGTACGGATGAGTATGATGTCGAGTTTGTAGAAGCTCAGACTCCGGCTAGCATGGAGGGATGGCTTCAAGAACCCCATCTGAAATGGGGTTCGCCACCCCCAAAATCTGACATGGGCGCGTCAAGGGACGAGGATAAGAAGCTCAAGCTTGAGAGGTCCAAAAAGTCCCCCCAGGCAAGACAACCTGGCCAAGCTGAGCACCCCAAGACAGCAGGGCCTGCAGTAAGGGCTGGTTCCGATATAGAGCAAGGCACAGATAATGGTAGGGATAATGGTTCCGGTTTTCGCGCCAAAGACATGAACAGACGAAAGCGGCCTTCTGGGCAGGCCGCGATAATTAAGCAAGTTGCAAAGGCGGTGCAAAATGCCACTGGCAAGCGACCAGAGCCCCGTCATAGCGGTACTGACAGAAGTGCGGCCCTGTCTTCGAATCTGGTGTTGCAGCCGGCACCGGGCCGGCAGTTGGAGCATTCAGCTATGGAATCACCTAGGCCAGTCTCCAAAACGGGGCCTGGTGGTAAGACGCATCAGGATGAGCAATTGCCAAAGATTGAGGAGAATCCAGAATTTAAGAATGCTCGGGGTGCCTCCGCAGGAAGCCGGGACAAACGAGTAGAAGAGCCACACTCCTTGTTGGTCTTCGGTGAAGAGACACATCAGATGAGTGCATATTCGACAGAGGCCGAAAGGGTGCCGGAGACTTCCACTCGGCCTTCCCATGAATCAGAAATCACTCCGTCCAAGTCTGCCGATGCTGATGAGGACTCCCCTCCCCGCCTCAAGAGGGTTGGTCATGTGCAATTCGACGGATTCGCTGGAAAGGGGGGAGATTCGCCTTCGAACTCGGATGATGCTGCATCAGGAGACGCCGAAGAATCTGGCTACCCATTAGACCCTTCATCCGCCGATGCAACGGGGAAGCTCGGGGCTGGAACACCCCCAGGAAACTTAGCAAAGTCTGGCAATCCCTTCCGCAACCCGTTTGGCGAAACAGAAGACTTTGCCATTGTCGAGACTGAGAAGCACACGTGCACACTTCCTGGGTGTGGAAAGACTGTCAAGGACCTCAAGGCGCACATGATCACTCACCAGATGGAGCGACTTGAGAAGTGCCCTTTTATAACATGCAGGTATCACACCAAGGGATTCGCTCATAGTTATGATAAGAACCGCCATCTCTTCATACACCACCGAGGTCTCATGATTTGTGGCTTCTGTCCTGGGTCTGGCTCAGGGACCGAAATGTCGTTTGACCATTTAGATGCTTTCGAGGAGCATTTATTGGCTGTTCACGGTGTTGAGAAGACTTCAGTTGGTGGACGCCCAGCAAAGGGCTCTGCTCCTATGGCGCCAAAGACGCTTGCGTATGCCCCTGATGCCACTGGCACATGTAGCATCTGCGGTAGGTTCTTTACTAACGCTCAAGTCTTCTATGAGCACTTGGATGACTGCATGGCGCGCATTGTTCAGCAAGTGAGCCTACCGAATCCTGATGAGGATAGCAACGAGAGGCCACGGCGGCTCGGCTCAGTCCGTAAGTTGTACAGTTCAACAAGTACGGCCGGGCAGGTACTGACAAGATCTTCGTGCAACTAGTAGGTGAGCAACAGGGCAACCCCAGCGACGAATCAGGCGATCTCGTCGCCGCACATACGCCACCTGATCCTCAGAAGCTCGAGAGAAGACTGAGTTTCAACGATACGGATGATGATGGTAAGTTGTACGGACCCAGAGCGATAGGCGGCAATTGATGGCGACCTTGTGGATACTTACCATTTCAAGACACTCCTCCTCCCCAGCCTGTTTCTCCTGTATACGGAAAATAAGAGTCAAGAGCTTAAAGAGGAAGCAGCTTTAACAGATCGAGGCAAAGGATATAAGCTTAAGTATAGCTAAGGCTAGGTAATATATATAAGCTTTAAGTTGAAAGTAAAACATGAATTTATATAAATTACTAGGTAGTTTTGAAAATAATTTTATCTGCCTCTGCTACTGCCCCTGCTATTGCTGCGGCCATCTCCTCAAGTCATATGGCGATTCCAAGTGCCGCTGTTAATCTCGCGCTGGATAGGTGGCCGGCCTCGATGAGGTTAGCTGCGATAGTTGAAAACACTAAAGCCGTGACCTTGTGTGGTGTTGTTGTGTGAAGACGACAAGCCTGCCATTACATAGCTCACACTGTAAGCGGGTGTGCAGTGATGGACTTGACGGTGTGTGCGCAGGAATTTTACACTGTTCACAGACTGCTACGGTTCAAATAGAGATATGCTACGGTTCAAATAGGAGGACTCTAGTTTTATACTGCTTGAATCTTTATTCTATAATAGAAGCTATAATTATAACTACCTCCTCCCCGCGGCCTGTCAAGGTCAGCACCTTGTATGGGCTGCTAACGGGCGCCATGCCCCAAGCTATGCCCCAGGCTGGCCGAGCATTCCATGGCAAAGCCAAAACATCGGGCGTACCACCCTTGCGACCAGAAGCTCAACTCCATGCAGTGAGGCGCACCCTTGATCAAACTGCCATCGACACGCGAGCTGCTGCCGAACGCTTCAACGCAGACCTTGACGTGCTCCTCCGTCCCGACGAAGAAGCAGTCCTGCTCCGACATGCCGAACATGACAGGGGCTTCAACGTGGCGTGCCCAGCCATGCTTCCACGTGGGCACCCAGAGGTCGCGCAGGCTCTCCAGCTCGACGAACGGGGCGGGGGTATCGAGCCGCTCGGTGTGCTTGAGAATGTCCTCATGGACGGTCCCTGGCCGGAACATCAGGGCATCCTTGGCCTCGAGCGGGAACCTGACATGGTGTGGCGGAACGTTGGGCTCACGGATCGGGTTCTCCCTCATCTCAGGGAGCAGCTGGTCGCCAATGCCGGACGCGATAATGCCGCCTAGCAAGTAGGACGGGTTATCGTCCTGTGCGTGGATTGCCCCCGTGACGATGCCGCCCATGGCCCCCAGGCTATGGCACAGCAGCACCACGCAGTTGCAGCCGTTTGGCACGCCGAACTCAGACCAGAGAGCCGGGATGATGAGGTTGTGAAGCCAGTTGCCGGTCTGTTGTGGAAAGTTGCTGTCACTGAGAAGGGGTAAAGGAGAAGTGGTCTCCCCGGAGCCAGGGCGGTCGATTGCTACGAACGGGACGCCAAAGGCATTGCTCGCAATCAATGCCGTGTGCCTAGCATCGCCGTCAAAATAGCGGCAGTCATATGTGCTGCCATGAAGACCGATGATTAGAGGACGGTATTCGACGGGAGACTTAGAACTCGGCGGAATGTTGCTGATGCCGCGTAGAGTCCATCCATTCGCGAGATCGAGCTTGAAAGAATCCATTTTGCCCAGGGGGACGATACTACGTACAAATGGCATGGACGAGAGAGAGGCCTACCCCCAGCAGTGCGCAAAGGTAGGCCAGCTTTATGAGTCGAGATAAAGTTGACAAGGCGGGCACGTCGGCATCGCGAGGATCAGGTTCGGGACGGCATGGACATAGGCGCCACGAGTCGTGAGCGAGTCAGGGTTTCTCTCCTCTTCCTTCTTCACTCCATTGCCCTCACCTCTTCTCCGGACTTTACGACGGGGGGGGAACCGAGTCGCTGATAGGCGTTTATTTTCCCAATGTCCGGAGACACGCTCAGGTCGGCAGAGTCGTCACTTGTTCGACGGCGATAAAACCGACCCCACACACGAGTTAGATGGGGCCGATGCGACCGGATTGTCCTCCGTAGATAAAAGGCAGTCCGGCGCGGTCACTATTCACGATGTTTATGTGTCAATGACCACATCCCGCAGTAACCTCACGACGTTAAACCGGGCATTCAACTCCACTGCAAGACAATCGATAGGAAGACATAGGCTCAAAAATGTCTCCGCCGGCTTGGATCAAGGCCTTACACGTTGAATCCAAGGGGAAGGCTGTGATTCAGAATGACCCCCTACCTAAACTCCGCGACGATTATCTCCTTGTCCGGGTCAAGGCGGTCGGCCTAAACCCGACTGACTGGAGGCAGCTTACGCTGGGCACGGAGCCGGGCGCGAAGCTTGGGTGCGACTATGCCGGCGTGGTCGAGGAGGTCGGGTCGAAGCTGTCCAAGCCTTTCAGCAAGGGTGATCGTGTCGCTGGTTTTGCGCATGGCTCGTAGGCTAGCTTCCTCTTGTGTCTGTGCGGACTTGCCCCCTGACGGAGAATGACGAGCAGAAACGGGAGCCAGCATGACGATGGCGCTTTTGGCGAGTACAGCGTCGTCAAGGCCGGCCTTGCTTTCAGGATTCCCAATAATCTTAGCGATCAGGAGGCAGCTGTCCTCGGCCTCGGCATCGCTACAGTTGTACGTCTGAAACAAGAAACAGCCTCTGCAGCACAGTATGCGACCAGTATTGACCCTCAGCTCGATGCTCACAGGGCCAAGGTCTATATCAGGCACTCAGACTGCCACTTCCGACGCAGCCCATCACTGAGGCCGACTTTCTCTTCATCTACGGCGGCAGCACCCCCACGGGTCTCCTGGGAATTCAGTTCGCCAAGCTGTCGGGCTTTACGGTCGTGACAACATCCTCGCCCAAGAACTTTGACTACGTCAAGTCCTCTGGCGCCGACGTGGTGTTTGACTACAAGGATGCAGACAAGTGCGTCGCCGACGTGCGCAACTTCACCAGGGGCCGCGTCCGGCGCGCGTGGGATTGCGTGTCGACGCCGGAGACGGCTACGGTCTGCGCAAAGGTGCTGTCCTCGGATGGGGGGGAGGAGAGCCGCTACAGCTCCCTCATTCCCGTAGAGCCCGAGGTGTTGACCAGCGTCAACCCGAACATACAGTCTGGGTTCACTGTTGCCTACACGGCATTTGGTGAGCAGTTCGGAAAATGGGGCAGGGTGAACGAAGCGAGGCCGGAAGACTACGATTTTGCAAAGACCTTTTTCGAGATAGCTCGCGGCCTGCTCGAGGAAGGCAAGCTTAAGCCCGTACGCCAGCTAGTTAACCACGGCGGCCAAGGACTCGATGGTATCATCAAGGGCTTGGACGAACTCAAGGCGGGTAAAGTAAGCGCGGCGAAACTTGTCTACACATTGTAGTCATTCGTCTACTAGATAAGAAGAAGCATGATATTTATATTTATAAGCCCTGGCATCAGCGCTTGTCAGCTGGCAACAGCACGTAGCCCCCATTCCTGTTGCATCGAACTTCCATGATGCGAATGCTCTTTGGCCAGTTCTTAAACCTAGGTAGGTACCAAGGTAAGTTAGGGGGGAACAACAAGCGCAGATGAGTTAAGGGGGCCGCTTGTTTGAAAGACGACTTGCATTAGGTCAATCGATCGATATCTATGTTGCGGAACCAAGTTTTCTGTGCTCCTGTCCTCCACGCTTTTGGCCAAGCCACGCAAACCAGACAATAAATACAAGGATGGTGAATGGCACTACGGTGACGGGGAATACCCACCATTTCCTATAGACTTGCATCTCTCCGTCGGCAAAGTTGAAGATCGTGGTGCTCAATATAGACTGCGCGCAGATGACCCGTTAATTTGGCTGTCACCTACAAGTGGCACTCAAGGAAATCTTGGAAGATTAGAGGCCTCACTGCAATGAATGTCCCCGGCAGGAATAACAGAGTGACGGCCGCAATGGTGAGCATCGCAGCGCTGTCCTGCCGTGCCAGTTCGGCGAGTTCACGCGTCGACTGACTTTCTGTTTGGTTCGCAAGATGATATAGCTGTTGATGTCCGTCAACTCATGATCAGATTCAGTCTAGATGTCGATTATTCTGGCTCACCAAGTCAATCCGTGTCTTGGTTCGACCGCTGTAGTCGGATACCAAATAAGCGAGCGATCGGCAGCTCGAAGCGAGATACTCGAGACTCCCACTCAGCATCGCCTTGGTCTGTGTCGTTGAGCCCCCATGGGCGCTTGACGCGATAAAGTACCTTGAAGAGGCACTCTTGAAGAAGTCGAGAAGAGCTGCGTAATCGGAGAGATTGCGGGCGAGGATATGCCATTCTCTAGCGAGGGCGTGTAATTCATGAATGGACTGGATGTTGACTTTTGAGTGTTCAACTGTATGATCCTAGATCTTCGATATCAGCGATCCTGAGTTAGAAATTTACATGTATATGGTGGGTGATCTTCGTACGAGCGATTTCAGAGCCGTCCGCTTGCGGGCAATGTCTTTCTGCCACGTCCTCATCGCCTCGTCCGCAATCAAAGTATCCAAGTAAAAGAAGCTTGTCGAGAGTTTGCACTCCTCGGCAACATCTCTCATAAACCGAGTGAGCACCGCTGCAGGAAGATCAAGAAAAAAATACGTCGTGCTTTGAAAGTCTGTTGACATTTGCGTGCACGAATGCTTCTTTTCCAGAGGGATGTACTCGTAAAACACGTCTACACTCAATATCAGAATCACAAACTCTTTCTGAAAAGCTTTTCCGGTGTAAAGTCACAGGTGATAAAAAGAAAAAAAAAACGATCCATACCAAATTCCCCACGTCCCTCCAGCTTCTCGTTTCTCGACAGAGAATCATCATAGCAAACATGTTTTGCAGAATACCAGTGTCCAATGCCGCAAGTTGCCTCAATGAAAGTGTTAAACAGCCCGGCGTGTTCGCGGAGGCATCTCAGCATGGCTGGGTTGACGGCGGCGGAAAGCACTTCGCCTTGCCAGGAGCCTTTGCTGCTGCTGCTGGGCGTGACCTGGCGGGTTTCGAGTAGACTTTTGTTTGTTTTGCCTCCTTAGTAGTCATGATACTTAAGATATTAAAGGGTGGGAGAATCAACGTACATTAGTCGTAGCTGTGTTTGAGAGTTCTTTCTCTGACGCCCCGAGTCAGCTTTTGTGTCTCTCTCTCGAGAAATAGGGGGGAGTTGTCAAATACAAGGAACATCTCTAGGTCGACAGCAACGTCAAAGGCATAATCTTCTACTGATGAGAAACCAAGTCAGTGGTATACCAAAAGTGACAAGGTGTGGAGATTCTTAAAAGGGCAATTGAAGACTCACGAATTGTCCCGTCGCAAAAATCAATCACACGAACAGATGGCCACTTGCCCTGCCAGCCCTCTCTCTCCTGAAGGGCGGCTTCAAGCTCATCCGAGTTGACAACTTCCAGTTGGTTCATTGCGGTTGAGTGAGAAACCAAGGATGAAGTCACGGAAGAGAGGGTCAGGAAACACTGCTGCATATATAGAGGATATCGCTTCCTGTTGTTCCGTTTTATAGCGACTATTTCTGTAGCTTCTTTTGCGCCCTTGTGACAAGGTGCATATGCATGAACATTGGTTGACCAATCATGACCCAAGGTTGGAAGTTGGATGTAAGCATGGGGTTTCCTTGAGAGAGCAGCAAGTGAGACGCAAGAGGAGTTGTTATAGATAATAGACAAGCGATGAATGGGATAAGCGGAAGCATTTGAGAGGCCAGCAAGTATTGAGATGGAGTAGACCAACATAGGAGTCATAGCAAGTGGTAGTAGTATCATTCTGGATATATAAGTACAAGGCTTCTCAATTGGTACAAGCAGCAATCTCATTCCCTCATCAAACCCGCAAACTCCTTGTTGACACGTCCATTGACCCCAAACTCATCATATGTCCACGTCCCTCATCAACCCTGCAAATGCTTCAACATATCCCCCAACTCCTTCAGACGTCCACGTATGACACAAAACCTGCGAACACTCTCGTCATATCCCCCAACTCCTTCATATGCCCACGTCTCTCATCAAATCGTAAACAAAACCCCAACACCGCACCATCATTTTAATACCTCGTCAACTCGGGACACCCCGGATCCTTGGGCTTGGAAAACTTGGTCTCGACATAGACCTTTTGCATGCCATCCTCCTTGACTTCAAACTTCTTGTACACCTTGTCCAGGTCCTCCAGCCGGACCCTGTGAGAGACCATCTGCAAGGGATCGAGCTCGCCCTTTTGGATCTTGGCGAGCAGTTCTTTCCAGTACTTGTGCACCGGCGCCTGACCGTTTCCGATGAGGCGGATGCCGCGCTGCATGAGGGAGCCAATGTTGAAATGGTTGGTCTAGTTGCGCATGTTAGTTACTGAAGCAGATCAGGGGACGGTAAGGCGTGTGTGTGTGTGTACGTACGTATGCGACATAAACACCGGTGACGCCGCAGCGGCCATAGTTGCGCACGCCCTCAATCATCTCGTTGAGAATCTCGCTCGTGTCCGTCTCGGCGCCAATCGCCATCTCCAGCCAGTGCATCCAGCCCTTGGCGTACTCGCCGGCCGCGCACTCGATGGCGACGTCTGGGCCGCGGCCGTCGCAAATCTCCTTGAGCTTGCTGACGACCGTCTCCTTGGAGGTGATGCCGTGCGACAGCTTCTTGTAGTCGACCAGCACGAGCTTGGAGGCGTGCTCGGCGGGGAACCGCTGCTTGATGATGGTGAGGCGCGGCTCCGTGTCGACAAAGATGACCTTTGACGCTCCCTCGCCGAGGGCGAAGACGCCGGCCATCTGGCCGATGGGGCCGGCGCCGAAGATGGCCACCTGGTCGTTGGGGTAGACGGCGGTGTCCTTGACGGCGTTGTACGAGGTGCAGAGGACGTCGGAGAGGTAGAGGGCTAGGGGAAAGGGGGGCAAGCGAGTTAGTTTGTTTGGTGGCGTCTCATCAAGGAGAATAATGATGATCATGGAGACCAGTAGAGAGCAAAGCAGGAAAAAACTCACCCTTCTCGTCCGAGACGTCATCCGGAATCTCGAGCAGATTCACGTCGCCCAGCGGCACGCGGACATACTCGGCCTGCCCGCCAGCGAAGCCGCCCGTGAGGTGCGAGTAGCCAAAGATGCCGGCGGTGCGGCCACCGTAGAGGCTCTTTGCGGCCGTGTTGGCGTTGGTCGTCTCGCACTGCGACGACAGGCCCTGCTTGCAGAAGAAGCAGTCGCCGCAGGCGATCTGGAACGAGGCGACGTAGCGCTTGCCGACCTGCACCTTGGTGACGGCGCGGCCGACCAGCTCGACGACGCCGCAGAACTCGTGGCCCAGGATGTCGCCGTCGGCCAGCTGCACCACGGCGCCGTGGTAGAGGTGCAGGTCGGAGCCGCAGACGGTCGAGCCGGTGACCTTGAGGATCACGTCGGTGTCTTCGAGGATCTGGGGCTTGGGCACGTCGGCTATGGGAGAAACGCGTGAGCATGAATGTTGAGGAGCAAACATGTAGAATATATATATATATATATAGATCTGGTGGGACATTGCACATCACATACCAATCTCGACCTTTTGCTTCCCCCTCCACACCAGCGCCTTCATGGTGTCCGCGCCGGCCTGCGGGTAGCTGGAGACATCCTGCTGGGTGACGGCGTTGTCGTCGTGGCCAATGGCCTTTTCAGCAAGATATGCTGCCTTGGAGGTTGCCATGGTGTTGATGCAAGTCGAGGCGAATCACATGCACTATGAAGCTGTTGGTCTTTTACCGTACTTGTTTGTTGGTGTTGTTGAGGGGGGGAGAGTGAATGTTACACCATGTTTGAACTTTGTGAGAGTGGCAGCTTGATTCAGCTCCATATATAGTCTTTTGCTCAAGCCGCCGCATTGCATCTTCACCGCGTCACGGGGACCAAGAAAACCAGGTGTGATCATCAATATGACATAAGAGTTGTGTAGATGTGAATATGGATGACGATGGGAGTTGAACTGTGTGTGGCTTGTCAGCTCAACGTCATCGATTTGTGGAACTGACAACTGCATGCCGCTTTTTCCAAGTTGTGATACTAGCGACAACTCTTATAACACAATGACAGTAGCGGCAAAACCCCCCGAGTGTGGATCTCAAGTAAAGGTTGGCTACCTTGGGTATAGCCAAGATACCTTACCATCCTGGATAGTCTATAGTAGAAACTACTTCCTGATAGTATATCCTCCTTATTTCCACTACAGTTATCAAGTGCCAACCGAAATAGAAACGTAGGTTCTTCAATAATGAGGTACTATCGCTATATGCGTCTACTCTTGCTATATGTATACCTTGATTACTTCTCAAGTCAAGTTGTCTATCACGCATCGAAATAACGACAAGCTATTGTTGCCTTTCGCGTTCACAGCATGCAGCCTGCTGACCTCTGGTAGCCGTGGCTCCATATTCACAAACGTCTCCCATCAAGCCAACATTAGACGACCTTGAAGTCGAATATCTTGTCGAGGCAACATGGATTTGGCTCTGTATCCTGAATTGGGAGAAACCTACATCGTCTCGTCGACGCTGATGGACAGAAAAGTAGGTCTGGTTATCACGCAACTCCTGTTCCTGGAAGTGGCTTGTATTGAAGAGTATCGCGACTGTTCATCCATCTGGAATGATTTGCCATAAGAGCCACCCCATTATCCAGATGCGTCCATCAACCACCCTCCCGCCTACAACCCATATTTCATAAATGAAAAAAGGAGGCTTGGTTCCAGAATCCAGCGTCCAAACAAATCATTCAACAAGATGACCCTTCCTCCAGTCGCTTCTCAAACATCGTCCTGGATTGGGTCGTTGCCCCAGACAAGTCTGTCGGCCTTGGACACCAGGGCAGTGATTTGGTTGGCAGACGATGTTCATGCGACCATCCGGCGTGGTAGCGTCCAGCCATTCCGGCGAGTGAAAGATATATGAGCCGCAAAGAGATGAACGCATCGGTCCCCTCGATCCGTCATCAACACCTGAGGCTGATTATGATGCGTTAGCCAACAAGAAAGCCGAGTACATGGCGGGAGGGGGGAGGGATAACCGTCATACGCAATAGCTGGCTTTGCTTCGGATCCTGGAAGCGGTCTTCTGTCGTTGCTGAAACGCAATTGCTATCAAGATGGCTACCAGTTACGGATCGGCGCCAGCCGGGCTGATCGTCGGATGGGTGCCATGAGGGCGTTTTCAAAGACTTTTTTTGACTGTCATGTTGATGCGTCAAAGGCTGATGGAAAGTTGGCGATGAGTGTTTCGTTTTCGTTTGCGAAGAGCAGGATGTTGTTGATTAGGCAGTGCGCACAGTGGCTGGTGCTTGGGCTGCCCAGGTGCCTAGGTACCTACCTAGGTACCTACAGCACGGTCAACGGATCGGGTCCAGGTACTGCTAGTACCGAGCTACAGCCCGTACTCTAGCGGCTTCGCGGGGACTCTCAGCGCTTTGCGGCCTGATTGCCGCCTGTAGATTATATGTACCTTAGGCCTGTTGGATGAATCTGTTGGGCAGCACGGGGGCATCCAACGTCTGGTGGAATTGAACCTGAGGTGGTGTTGATGTACAGTATTAACAGCCATCATGGCGACGATCTTGAATCTTTCTTTAAGAATCCAACGGTTGCACACGAGGGCATGAATCCTCCTTGTGCCTGGTCTGGAGCTTCTTCATTCACCAGAGGCAGTGCTGCTTAGGTGGTACCTACCAGGTATGTAGCTCCATGGATGTCACACAACTTGCACTACCTGATGGGCAGGGTCGCCTGTTCAGCTCCTTCGACTCTCAAACACCTCCAAAGACGACGAGGCTCCGGACATTGACTCTTCCAAAGCCACGACGACGCAGCAGCTGCCGGCCACGATGGACAGGAAACTCTCCTACAACCAAGACGCCTATCTGCTCAACACCGACGCCAGCCTCGCCCAGCAGCTGCAAGACGGCGCAGAGCGTCTCCCCCGTGGCCAGAACATCGTCCACTACCACCACTGACGCGCCTCTTGGGACGGCATCCCGCTCCATCTCGATCCTCTTCTCTCTGGATACGCCGGACTCAGGCCGCGAAACATGCGACGTCGGCTTGACGACGGAGACGGTGGGCGGCGGGAGCTTGCCGGCCTCTCGAACCAACACCAAGGGCACACCGACCCGTTCAGCAAGCGGCGACGCAAAGACAAAGCCTCCGGCCTCGCAACAAACCACCGCATCAGTTTTGGTCCAGCCATCTCCAAACTGGCTCTGCAACAGCTTCGTGCACAGAGCCAACCCTCCTGGCTGCCGGCAGATGCCGAGGACATGGCGGAACTCGATGCCCGGACGTGGAAAGTCGGGCACTGAGCGGACCATGCTGGCCAGTCGTTGCAGGTCTTTGTGGAGGAAGGGGACAAGGCACCGTTGAGCAAACTGCTCTGCCACCTCGGTCCCGTCCCTGTCGTTGTTGAAGCTAAAGCTTGGACACCAGTCAAGGATTGCCGAGTTTGGCGTGCCACAAACATTGTCCCGGCCTCGGTCTCCAGCATCGCTTTGGCGCCCCCGACGGACCCGTAGGATCTCGTCGCTGGCATTGACACGAATCTCGACCACTCTGCTATCCGGCACCAGGTGCGATAGGGCCGCCACCGGGGCCTCGTCTCTCATGCCGGTGATCAGCAGCACGTCCGTGTCCGCGGCGCCGTGCACCACGCCCAGGAAATGCTCCTCCGGCAGCCGAGGCCGTCGCCGCACTTGACTCTGGAAGAAGGCCGTCAACGCTGGCCGGTGTTGCTCCTTGTAGGCCCGGTCCTGCAGCAGGGCTTTCAAGTCAGCGCCCGTGGCCGCCGCATATTCTCGCTTGGTCGCGGCGCTGATACTGACGACCCGCGCCCTCACGGTCACAGGGGCGCTGTTGTTGAGTACGGAAGCCCAGACGTCGGCGCAGTAGTCCTTGCCGGCGCCGCTGTCGCCCGTGACAAGGATGATCAGCTTGGGATCCATCGGCGCCTGCGGCAGCGGACAGCCATACGCCAGCAAGCCGCATGGGTCTGTGCCGCGTTTAAGACGGGCCAAGCGCGGCCGGTTCGGTCCAAAAGCCCTGGTCGCCAGGGCTGCGTCTCGGGGGTCCGGTCCGAGGTCCGCGCCGTAGGCTCCGCTGCTCAGGGGCAGCAGATCCCGGGCGACGTCGTACACCCACCGCACGGCAGCTCGAGCGTCGTCGGTTCCGTCTCGGTCGCGGGGCCAGACGCCGGTGACGACGCAGGCAAAGTCCCAGTCGCGACAGCCGAAAGCCGCGGCCTCGGGGGCCACGTCGGCAATCGCTCCGCCGCCCTGCAGCAGATGGAGATAGCAGAGTGCCGTGGGACGCGACTCCACCGCTCTCACCAACACCTCGGCCACGTCTGCGGACCCGATGTGCTTCAGGAAGAGACACCTTTTGAACGACGATGTCTTGCCGCCGCCGTGGCCGCCATGCAGCACGGATACGTACAGCTCAGCGTCGAACAGACCAACGGCATCTACGACTCTGGAGCTGCACGCTGGCCCGAGAGTTGCCTCGGCGAGCGTGGCCGCCATGGACACATTTGGGGCCAGCCCGGTGCGAGTTTCGATCATGGTCATGCCGAGATGCAAGCGGCCAGCGTCATAATACAGGTACGCGTCTGCAGATGAAGTCCGGGGGAGCTTACTGGCGACGAGATTGTCGAATTCGTCAAGCCTGCGCCGTGCTGCAAGGCCGTCGCTCAGTGGAGCAATCCAGTTCCGAACGCAGTATGTCGGGGCCTCGTATGCTTCGAAAACGACGCTGATGATGATGCCGACATTGGTCCCGGCCCCCTTGACGGCCCACAACATCTCGGCATCGTTCTCAGGGCGCACAGCACAGGTTGGCCAGTGTTGATCCGGCACAAAACCGAGACAGAGGATTTGCGCAGAGTCAACTGCCGCCACCACGGCACCGACAATGGCGTCGCAAGAAAGCCCGTACAGTCGAGCGAGATGCCCGAGGCCCCCTTGCAGCCACAGCCCGGCGCCCACGCTGGGACGGGAACCAAGAGGCACAGTCAAGCCCACAGCCGTGGCCTTGCGGATAACATCACCCGACTTGCAGCCTGCTTCGGCGACGACGAAGGCAAGGGCACTGGAGTGACAATTTTCCCCATCTACCTCAGCAGGGAGAATATGCACCTGATCAAAAGCTTCCATGTCGACTGCAACAACATGAGACCAGAGACAGTGTCCGCTGTGGCCCCCTCCAACGACAGTCAGTCCAACTCGGTGCTTCAGAGCCCACCGAACGCACTGCTGGACGTGTGGAATCCCCGTCGGTCTGACAACCGCCGCGGGACGGTGGAGACGAGCCTCCCAATTCTTGATCTTCTTGTCCCCTTTGGCCAAAGGCACCTGTTGCTCCAGCTCATGAAGCATTGTCGCGTGATGTGTGAAAGCCATCATGACGTCGGGCGCGCTGAACAAGAGATGACCTGGGCGTGCTTCCTCACGACGACCCATGGCACGGCACACCTTACGCCACTCGGCGCGAATAGCCTCGTCCGCAACTTGATCTTGCATGACAAAACCCGCAATAAAAGAAGCGAAACGGTCAAGCACCTTGTCGTCATCTGCCACGCCAACGCTGCCAGTAGGGAACGGAGCCGTTTGATGGCACACTAAGCCATCGAAGCCCAGAGTCCCGTCTCGATGAAAAACCACCACGACCCCGCCCTCGGGTTGCACAACAAGCATGTCCAGCGCTCGCTCGATTACCTTGCGCTTCCTGCTCATGCCGTACATGCTGTGGCAAAAGAGGACGACGTCGAATCGCTTTGTGATGCTCGAGTCCATCCCTTCACGGCTGTCCAAATCAAACGGCTTTCGATGGATATCCGGCGGGCTCTGTAGGCAGGGCAGCGGGGATTCCGTCTCGGAGCTGGGGCACAGCCATTGTTCCAGCTTTGCAGCAAACAGAACGTTGGGCTCAAGTGCAGCGTAGGTCGTGATCTTATGTCTCAACTCGTCAGGCAGGTGCCCGAGCACGCTCTTTGGACCAGGTCCTACTTCCAGCACCGAGATGCAGACCCGCGAGCTGCAAAGAGGGGTCAGCACTCGCGTCAGCTGAGGGACAACAAAGTCTTGGTAGCTCGTCCATCCGGGCCCCTGAAGGAGAATGTCAAAGCCAGCGCTGTACTGTTCGTCGGTCAATGGCTTGGTCGGGGACGTGGCCTTTTGCCTGAGCGCCTGCTTGAGAGCTTCAAGGGTGGCCATGCCTGCTTTGGGATTTGCAATGGATCGATTTCGTATGAGTACCCCGTTCGGATGGGTGACAATGGTAATGGAGGAGCGGTATACTGATGGCCATGGGACGGGGTAGTATTGATGCCCGGATTTGTGCAACGCCACGTGAAAACGCTGTGTACCAGTACATCTAACCCCCAATCTCGGAAACCTGGACACGATCGAGCGGAACAGAGAATGTGTAGTCAAATATCAATATCGATTATCACGAGAAAGAAGACATTCCCGGAACACTAGAGCTACCTAACTGTCTGACACGACTAGCATCATACAAGCCACTTGGAATCCTTACCCGCGGACCCAGAACCCCGTAAAGAAAATGATGACGGCTACTTCTTCTTCAGATTGTGAGGCTTGAGCTCATGTCTCTGCTCAGGCGGCCTCTTGACCGCAACGAAAGAGTTCTGCCCCGTCTCGGAAACGGCATGAACGGCGACATCCTCGCCATAGGGCCACTCCTCGATGAACTGGGCGTCGCCCCTGCGGTCAAACTCGGCGTACTGCGCCGGGTCGAGGCAGAGATGGGCGGCCTTCCAGGCGTCGGCGCGATGGATGTAGGCGCCCTGGATCTCGGTGGTCTGCGCGGCGCCGCTGCGGTCGGCGTTGTAGTCGATTGTGATTTGCAGGACGTAGTGCAGGAAGCGGGCGCCCTCGGGCAGCCGGAGCTCGCCGTCGGAAGACGAGGCGGCGAGGGACTCGTTGTTGGGGGCTGTGTCGATGCCGACGATGAATTCCTTGCCGTCAAAGGCTCTGGCGAAGACGAGGACGCCGTCGCCGTGGGTCCAGGGGCGGGATGATGATGTGGAGGACGACGAGGAAGATGAGTCCTGGGGTTCGCGGACGCGGTAGAGCTCAAAGTCTTCCGGGGCGAAGCCGAGCGTCTCGAGGGACTGGCGGGCAAAGGCCTTGGCTGCGTCGAGGGTGCCGTGGGACTTGAGGACGAAGGGGGTGCGGGTTGCGCCGGAGGAGTCGTGGGAGAAGTCGACGACGGTGAGGAGGGTGTGGAAGAGCTGGTCGGGGACGAAGATGTCCGTTGGGGCGGCCGTGCCGTTTGTGGAAGCCATTTTGGTGTGTGTTGGAGTTTGATATGCTGGAAGAAGGACTTTTACAAGGTAAGATTTGGTGTTTGGTCGGTAAGGGGAGGGGGGAATATCTATGGGATTTGCACGTTCTGGATCATCGGGGTATTTATATAATTGAGCATTTATGAGGTAGGTTGGTCGACTTGTCACATCTCATGGGGGAGGTGTGAGCCATCATACGATTCTCCGTCGGGGACGCTGAGCGATGTGTATGTAGCTTTGTCGTCATTTGGTGCCTCGTGTAATAGAGAGAGGGGAAAGGGGGGGGGGGGGTTTCCCGTTGCTATCCAGGAGCTGCAGTGGTTCCCTTCCCGTCTGAAACATGTACCTACCGAAGGGGGTCGATTGTTGAACGGATGCTTTTCACAGGGAAATCAGATCACCGAGCTGAAAGCTTTCGTGGCTGGATGGAATGAGAGAGGCATGGGCTGATTGGAGGCAGCGTGAGGATTAGAAGTCGTCGAATGGTGGCGTCGACTAAGGAAGACTGGCCCCGGACGGGATGGATTCCCGGCTATGACGGTTGAGTCGGGAGAGCTGGACGATTTTAAGTCGACGACGAGAAGTTGGTCCACTCAGAACGACGAGATTCCGGGTTAGATGGATAGTGGTAGTTTGGTTGTATAACCGAGACGGCAGTGAGGATCTCGCGTGAGAGCGTGCCGCCTACATGGACTGACTATGGGGAATGTCTTGCTATGTTTTTGGTTCCTGTTGCAGAGTGGGTGATCTATCATGTTTATCCATGTAATAGTGTGTTGAGGCATTGGCTACATACTAGATATGTACTACGTATAAAGCAGCAGTTGAATCAAGTTGCATATGATAGACTGGGGTAATAACCCCCCCTTGTTAATTGCAGCCATCGCGGGGGCAGGCTTGGCAGGCCCATAGACACACGGAGATGCAGTTCCAGGCCTTGTAACTCTATAAATCATATCTAACACAAGGCTGAACTTTGCTCTAGAGGATTTGATTCGCTCAGAGGAAATGTTATTTAGGCGGCGATTAAATTGACAAACAAAGCTGCCAAACCTTGGAGAGTTTCTTGCAAAGAGAGGCGGCAAGGAGCGGCTCTAGTATTACCGAACGACAAAGAGGTACTTACAACGCCATCGGGGTAGTCGCACGCCATTTTGGAAGTTTAAATAGCCGGCGTGCTTGTACGTGCTGATGAAAAGTCGGGTGAGCATCGTATGACTTGATTGACTGCCTTCGTCATCATTTTTTTTTTTTTTTTTTTTACTGTGCATGAAACCTTGTGGATGGATTTTATGGAGGCCAACGATGGAAACATGAAGAAGACTGTCGCTAGGTAGTCTGCGACTATACAAGTAAGGTAGGTAGTGTGTATGTCATGGGCGGCGCTGTATGTAAGTGGGCGGACGGCTACCTACTATCTAGATCTTCTGGCTGCGAGCCTTTGCCTTTCGGTAATGGCAATATATTGATGGTCCTCTAATTAACCTGCATATGAATACCTATGAAGAAAGAATGCGTGATGAATTGAGCTTCTAAGCGAAGCTCGTTACATAGGTACATATCTATTCATCTGACCACTTATACCTCGTACTCCTAATATGCATCGTGCGTAGGAGGACACTCGAAATCTCATGCATATCAGAGGACTCAAGTTCCCTCAAAGGTAGGATATTTTCCGTTCCAGCAACTGCGCCGCTCTTGTAGCAGAGACGGTTCTCAAACGGCTCAGCTTAGAGGGTCTGGCCCCCTGCCGATGGCTCGCCATGAGTTCACGTCCAAGAGCAGCCGACTGTTTCGCTCGAGCCTCTCTATTCGCGTCCTCTGCTCGCGCGATTATTTTCCACACCATGATGAGTGACTGAAAGCATGGCCTCCTATCTAGTGCCTCCGGTTCCCATGGCTTCAGTTTCAGGCAGGCGTGGTCTGGAGGCGAAAGCGTGCCCACAAGCATTGTAGAATGCCCAGCTGGACATAAGGTACAGATGGTGTCGTCTTAGAGCTCCCTGATCCGCGGGCATCCATCAAGACTTTGCAAAAAGATACATCTCGACCGATTGAGCCTCCGAGCCGAGCACAGGCAGCGGCAGCACTTGCTTTGCCTGCATCTGCCAGCCAGCTTGGTCGAGAAGGCCGAATACTGCATTTTCAGAAGAGTGTCGCGGCTTCGTCCCAACAAAGACCTTGGTCGTAAACGAAGAGTCCCCCATAGCCTTGGCCTTGCTCACATTCAAAGCGTGCAGGGCAGACAGGGTCTCAACCAATGCGAGGAGCCCGTCTTCGTTGTAGGTGCAGTCGCTCAGCACGACGAGATCCCAGCGCCGGGCTTGGACTTGCGGCCCAAAGCGGCCTTGCCTGCCCTCTTCCCAGTCCAGGTTCTCGTACAGCAGCTGGGCGGCGTTGTCATGTTGTTCAGCCATGCTCGCATTCTGCTGCAGGCGAGCAATGTTGGCGCTTGCTCGCGCCTCTGCATCCTCCAGGTCCGTCAGCAAAACAGTGCAGTCTCCGGCGCCAGCCGGCCGCATCTGCGGGAGCACGGCGCCGAGGCCGATGCCCAGCGTGCCGACGCCGCAGCCGAGCTCCAGGATGTTGAGCTCGCCGGCAGTGCCCAGGATGTCCCGCATGACGGCCATGGTCGGCTCCTGATTCGAGGCGTACTGTTCGCACGCGGGAATGCCGGCGAGGGCGCAGAGCGTGACGACTCCTCCGTCCCAGACGTGGCGGGCCATGCTCTCGCCCAGCTCTTCCTCTATCTCGAGAAACCCCGGGGCTCCCTCTTGCTTGCTGCCGTCAAAGTACAGCCTCCGCGTGCAGAGATGGTCGTCGTCGTCGTGCCCGCTCCCGTTGACGCGCAGCTGCGCCCATACAGGCATGATCAGCCCGTTCCCAGCCTCGGCATCCGTGAGTATGCTGTGCACTCCCGTGGCTGAAAGTGCCGGCTTGGCACTGATACATATCTCGGCACTGGACGACGCCGCCAACGCCTTGATGAATTGTAGGGGAAGATTGAAGCTGGGCTTGAGGATCCTCATGCCCGGCTTCCATGCCAGCTCGCCACGGCCAGTGAGGGCCCATGTCGTCCTGCCAGAGGAGGAGGCCACCTCGGCCGTGATGAGCAGCTCGAGGGCATCCTGCACAGCCAGCAGCGAGTCGCTCAGGTCCGTGTTGATGGTGATGACGAGCTCCAGGCGGATCTTGCCGCCGCTGCCCGCCAGCTTCGGGGGCCTGAGGAGGCGGATGTAGTGCATCGTATGCTGGCGGTCGTGTGCTGAAAAGACCTACAGTAGGCTGAGTAGGTAATACTTACAGGTGTTTCAATGCGTGCAGTTTCGGCCCATGGGAGAAATTGACTGACTCAGCATTGGATTCTGGCTTATCGTGATGCCCCGCCAAAATTTGCATCGCGGGGCACAAGATTTCTTTGCCTCACTCACGTCCCTGCTTCTGGCTTGAGCAGCAAATCTCCAGCAATCTCGGCACAGAGCATCTGCTGGGTGAGATTCTTGTGCGCAGACGCCCCAATTGCGCGCGCAAGAGCCTCTGCCGTCAAGATGGACGCGGCATCTCGTCTCCAGCTGGAGGCGCTGGCTGCTGGTGAGTCGATATTTCATGTCTAGTCTTGCGATGCCTGCTCTTGGATCGCGCGCTGACAAAACCATCAATTGATGCGACAAGACCTGGTTGACGTGTGGCATGCCTATCGCACGCCCATCATCCTGTCGGCTCTCCTTCTCCTTGCCGGTCTGCGCATCTTTCTTCACACGACCGAGGACAGAGAGCCGCTCGTTGCGCTTCCCAAGATTTACAACGAGCCACAGCAGCCCCAAGTAAGCGAAAAGACGATCTCCAAGGCGCAACCGGTGGCCGAGACGGAAAAGAAATCATCTGGCCCACGGCGGATAAAAGGAGGCGTGACGCGCAAGGCTTCGCAAGAGGACAAGACTGCGCCGGCCGAACACGACAGACCCGCAAAGGTGCTCGTCTTCTTCTCTTCTGTGACCACCAAGACGGAAAAGATTGCACACGACTACATCAAGACGCTCGAGGCATTTCTGGACCAGAAGGCCAACGAGACGGACGACAAATTCCTAAAGCCAGAGTTGCTGGATCTGACCGAGATCGACTTTGAAGACTACTTTGTCAGCCCTCCCAAGTCCCCCGAAGGCGCCGCATACTTTTACCTGTTCCTCATCCCGAGCTACAACATCGACACCATCAACGATACCTTTCTTCAGCATCTGCAAGAAACACACCACGACTTTCGAATCGATACCGCCCCTCTGTCTTCCTTGGTAGGCTACTCAGTCTTCGGTTTCGGCGACAAAGAGGGATGGCCAAACGAAGACGAGGGCTTCTGCTTCCAAGCCAAGGAATTGGACAAATGGATGTCCAAGCTGACTGGCCGGAAGCGAGCCTATCCCGTGGGAATGGGCGACATGAAAAGCGACCATGCGGAACGATTCACGGAATGGACCTTTGGAGTTCAAGAGGTCATTGCTCAGGCCTCACAGACCGGATTCCTCGGAGAGGGAGTTCCCGGTAGCGGCGATGCGGTGGAAAGCGACGATGAGGAGGCCGAAGGGGATGATGGCGAAGTCGTCTTTGATGACGAGGAGCCGAGCAACAGCAAAGAATCCGACGGCTCCAGGCCGTTGGACGACGTTGAGGATCTGGGAAAGATGATTCGTCCCAGCAAAGACGGAAACGAGGGTCCTCGCAAAGCAGCCCTGGCCGTTGACTTCACCACCTATCCCTCTGCCAGCAAGAGAAAGGGCCAGGCACCAGTCATCAAGGAGATGGTGGCCAAGGACTCGCCCACATACAACGCTCTCACCAAGCAGGGGTACTCGATTGTGGGCTCCCACTCCGGCGTCAAGATCTGTCGCTGGACAAAGTCGGCCCTGCGCGGGCGAGGCAGCTGCTACAAATACTCTCTTTACGGCATCAACTCCCACCAGTGCATGGAGACCACCCCGTCGCTCTCATGCTCCAACAAGTGCGTCTTTTGCTGGCGTCACGGGACGAATCCAGTCGGCACAACGTGGCGATGGGTAGTTGACCCTCCCGAGATGATCTTTGACGGCGTCAAAGAGAACCACTACAAGAAGATCAAGATGATGCGCGGCGTGCCCGGCGTTCGCGCGGAACGCTATGCTGAAGCTCTGAGGATCCGACACTGCGCATTGTCCTTGGTCGGAGAACCCATCTTCTACCCTTACATCAACGAGTTCCTCGCCATGCTGCACAACGAGCGAATCTCGTCTTTCCTAGTCTGCAACGCGCAGCACCCCGACCAGCTCGCCGCCCTCAAGGCCGTGACACAGCTGTACGTGTCCATCGACGCCTCCAACAAAGACTCGCTCAAGAAGATTGACCGGCCCCTGCACCGCGATTTCTGGGAGCGCTTCCTCCGATGCCTGGACATTCTGCGCGAGAAGCGCTTCCGCCACCGCACCGTCTACCGCCTGACCCTCGTCAAGGGCTTCAACGTGGAAGACGAGGTCGAAGGCTACGCCCAGCTCATCGAGCGCGGGCTGCCGTGCTTCGTCGAGGTCAAGGGCGTGACGTACTGCGGGACGTCGACGTCCTCCAACGCGGGGCTGAGCATGTCCAACGTGCCCTTCTACTGGGAGGTCTGCGAGTTCGTCAAGGCGCTGGACAGGCGGCTGCAGGAAAAGGGCCTCGGGTACGGCATCGCCGCGGAGCACGCGCACAGCTGCTGCGTGCTGCTGGCGAGCAACCGCTTCAACGTCGACGGCAAGTGGCACACGCACATTGACTACCAGAGGTTCTTTGAGCTGCTCGAGGAGAGGGGCCCGGACGGCGACTGGACGCCCGAGGACTACATGGGGCCGCCGACGCCGGAGTGGGCGCTGTGGGGGAATGGCGGGTTTGATCCGAGGGATGAGCGGGTTGATAGGAAGGGGAGGAAGATGGAGGCTGTTGTCTCCCGGGAGGCGCCAGAGTAGGCGACGGTGACTTGTACGATTTAAAATTGTAATGAAATGTTGTCATTAGTCTTCCAAAGCAACGATGAAGATTGAACCGACATGATGTCGATCATCGTGAAAGCAAAGGGCTGCCCAGTTGTCATCTCACGATCATCAATGTACACGAAAGCGGTAGAGGCAGATTTTGCATGTTGGATTGTAGAAACACTGCCCGCCACTTGCCCCCCCCCCTGTTTTTCCCCGAGACCTCCCATCCTACATCGTATAGCCAGCGAGCTGTATCATTTCACCATGACGAGTTACACAAATGCCCCAGACCTCCAGAGGAGCGAGCCCATTGAATGAGAGGTGGTTCACAGATTTATAGTACATTAAAAACAACGATTCTTGCGTTTTCTCGCCCCCTTCAAGGATCCCTAGTAAGACGGGGAGCTGGACAAGTGACAAGAGAGGGGGACTCCAGAACTTCGAGCCGAACGACTTCGTTTTTTGTGTGCTTTTTTGTTGATTTTTGTTTCTTGAGTTGTTCCTCTTTTCGGGGCGTGCCAAGGTCAAAGAGGTGTACAGCGCAACGTCAATTGTAAGAGGTTAGGAAAAGTGATGGATTTCACCTCTTTTCTCCTTCCTCCTTTTTGTGTGTTTTCCAGTTGAGTGGAGCGGAGACTGTGATTTTATGTCAAGAGTCTTTTGTTCCGTTTCGTCGATTGAGACCTCGTGAGTATTGGCTTAGTCGAGGCCGACGTTGGGAATCTCGCCCAGGTTGATGGGGCCCGAGGATGAGGGACGGGTGCGGACCATGATGTCGCCGTCGTACGCAATCATGTCGGCCAGAATGTCTAATATGGGCTGCGAACAGTGTCAGCGAACAATTCCCAGCTTGACGCTTCCTAAACGGGTTTCTCTCTCTCTTTCTCTCTCACCTTGGGAACGGTGCTGTCGTAGATCTTGATCAGGTCGCCGGGAGCAGGATACACCTTGAGGCCCTTGTAGAAGGCGAGCGCAGAATCAATCATCTTAGAAGCTAGATTCAAGCAAACAAAGACAAAAACAAGTCAGCAAAAACTGAATCACGAAAAGCGACAAGATACAAGAAAGAGAGGGGGGGGGGGGTTGGGGGGGGGGCTCATCCATACGATCCTGGCTCAGCATCTCGCCCGTCATGACCTGCTCGTTGAAAAAGGCCTCCCGCTCCTCCACGCCGGCAGGGAAGCCCTCCTCCTTGGCCTCGTCGACCTTGGCCTTGATGAGGCTTCGCAGCCGCTGTGTTGAGGCCTCGGCCTCCTCCTTCTCGGCGCGCACCTGCTTGCGCTCGTTCCTTCTCAGGTTGCGGCGGAACTCGGCGTCTCTTCGTCGCTTGTAGTCAAAGTATGCGGCGTATGCTGTTGGTGGGGGGGAAGCGAAGCGAAGGACGCAACAAGAATGATTAGCGGAACTGAAGGCTTTTTCTCTCTCTCTCTCTTTAATGCAAGGGCAAAATAAACTGCGCGCAAAAAAGGTCATTGGAGCGGCGACGAACCGACGAGGCCTGTCGCGATGGTTGCGACTGATGCCGTCACCACGGTGCTTGTGTTGACCATCTTTACTTCTTTTTTTTTTTTTCTGGGAGACGAATGGAGGGGAGCTTCGGAGCTGCAAGCGCTGCAGATGAGATGAATATAAAAGACACAAGGCTCGGAATTCGGCGGCTGTGGCTGCTATTTCGGATATACAAGAATCGTGTCGTCGGGCAGTGGATGATTGAGCCTCGGAGTGTAAGATGCCGTCGCCGGTCGGGTTCGCGATTCTATGGGGGTGGTTTTTTGTGCCGTTGAAAAGATATCACAAGGAAAATGGAGTTCCGGCTGCGATACCTGCTTTAGCTCCCCAGTCGGAACATCGATTGAGCGTTGAGAGAGGCGGCCGGCTGATGGTCGGGTAAATGCGAGATGACCTAAGGTGCTGCTACCTTAGCTCCAGGACTCCGCTACCTTACCTACCTGCACTTGTACCTGTACCTACCTTTTGTACCTCCGTCTCGACATCCCGTCCGCCACGCAACGAATACGACTTCAATCCCACCTCACGATCAAGCACCTTAGTTGCGGCTGCTCGGGGACATCTACGGCAGTACTTACGAGCATTTATAGTCTATGCAGCTGGGAGATCTCTGTGCATGTCTCTGACCTCGCCATAAGCAGCGCTCCTCGCCCTCTCCTGTGCCGAACCAACCACCCTCCTACCTAAGGTAGTCCGCGATCTCCCCAGCTGGCACCATGTCTGAGGAGCGCAGCAAGATAACGCTGTCCCTCCGGAGCGGCAAACGGCGAAAGGCTCGTCCCGTCATCAGCGCGCCACGACAAATCTCTGCGCCAATCCCCCAGGATGGCTCGACCGGCGGCGCACCGGCCGGTGCTATGCTCCCCATTCCGGAGGCGCCTCGCCCGCGGCCTGTAGGAGCTGGTGGAAAGGTTGGATTTTCATCCCTCCTCGTCGACTGGGAGGAAGCTCGCCGAATTGCTAACGCTGGACTCGTAGACGTCTGATCTCGTCAAGCGACGCTTTTCCTCACGATTCAACAACTTGCCCCCCGAGTTCGACGCGGCCGCACCGCCAGTTCCTAGCCTGCCCCCTCTCGAACGCTTCAACACCGATTACCAGCCCCCACCACCGTCACGAGCCGGGCCGGGGGCAGCTCCCGTCGTCGACCTCAAGGCGCTGCGGGATCCGAATCTCGTTCCCGACCAGTATGTCGCCTCGGTGCTGAGCGAGGCGAGCGAGGACCAGATCCAGGAGTACATGGAGTCGCTCCAGGGCATCAAGGCACGCGCCGCCGCAGATCTGCAGCAGAATCTCCTACAGAACAGGACCCAGTTCATCAAGATTAGTAAAGAGGCGGAGAAGCTCAAGGGGGAGATGCGAGCGCTGCGGAATCTCATGTCTGAACTCAAGGCGAACACGACGGCCCTCAGGCAAGCGTCTGGAAGAAACGAGGTGGACTCATCCATTGGCGGGGCCGTCACCATGAGCAAACGTGACAAGCGAAGCTCTGTTGCGGACCGAAGTGCCCTCTGGACTTCGCAGATGCAAACGCTCTACAAGACGGTGGAGGGTTCGCAAAAGTTTCTCCCAAACGCGATTGGCCGCCACGTGGTCCTCAATGCTGGGCCTTGGATCGAGTTGGACAATGCAACGTACAAGAGCAGGAGGGCTATGCAAATCTTTCTGCTCAACGACCATCTTCTTATTGCTTCCCGAAAGAAGCGCAAGGTCGACGCGCCAAACGCAGACACCCGCGGGCCCATGGTCAAGCTCGTAGCCGACCGATGCTGGCCTCTGCTTGATATCGAAGTCATTGAGATGCCGGGCACGGGCGATTCCATGGGCGGCCGCAACAAGCTGGCCGACGCCATCATGGTTCGGGGCGGCGGCCAGGAGACGTTCATCTACCGCACGGAGAAGCCGGAAGCGAGCGAGAAGAAGGCGCTGATGATGAACGTGCGCAAAGCGGTGGAAGAGCTGCGCAAAGGATTGCAGTCCGAGATGGAGGCCCATAACAAGGCCAGAGAGACAATCAACTACTTTGCATCCAGAGACCCGGGCCTGCTTCAAAAGACGGAGCTGCTGGAGACGCTTTCTGACATCAAGGACATGATGATTGAGGTGGACGGCAAGCAGCAGAACCTCCGCTGGGTGGAGGGCCAAATGGACGAGCTCGACATCGACATTGCGCTCCAAGGGTTTGAGCCCGCCGTGGCTCGCGTGGAGAAGCTCAAGGCGTTGGCGAGGGGGCTCAAGGGCAACACGGTGGCCCAGGACTTTATCAACTTTGAGGTGGAAGAGCGGTGCGCCAAGCTCGCCACCATCATCATTCACGGCATGGAGACGACGCATCACCAGCAGAGCAAGACGAAGCGGAACCTCAGCTGGTTGGCGAGACTGGGCTATGAGGACAGGGCGAGGGAGGCGTATCTTGCAGCCCGCGGCGACACGATTCACAAACGAGCCAGGTTGGTGACCCCTGCCATCTTTTATTCACTAAATGAGCTAACCTAGCTGTCAACAGACAATGCCTCTTCCAGGGTGACCTGCATCTGTACATTTGGCAGCTATCGTTTGTGTACTTTACCCTCATCCACAACACGGTGCAGTGTTTCCAGAGCTGCTTCCCTCCGCCGATGATGAGCACGTGCGTCAAGTGGGCAAAGGAGCAGGTCGAGGCCTTCAACGTGATTCTGGCCAGGCAGCTGAGCAGCACGGAGCCCGGCGGACCAGAGTGGACAAAGTGCATGGACCAGGCAAAGGAGCACGCGAAGAAGCTGTCTGACGTCGGGCTCGACTTTACGAGCTTGGTGGGCAAGGGCGTGGAAGGGCCGCCGAGCAAGCTGACGGCGGAGACTCAGGATCTTGTCGGGCTGGGACTGGCTTGAACTGTTGATGCACGATCATGAGGGAAGCAGTTAAGGGAGCTGTTCTTGGGCTTATGGCGTTGTCTAGGGGAAAAGGTCGACAGACAAGAGTGTGGTGGCTACTATATATCTACTATTACTTAATCAAACACCCGTAATATGTCTATATGTCTATAAGCCTGTCATGGCGTGTGTCCCTATACATATTGTTATTATACCTACCTTATCTGGTAGCTGTGCTTCTAAGCTCGTGACCTAGCAAGGTAGATTGTCAAGGAGTCCTTACCAGGGCCAGAAGCACCCCTCCTCCTTGATTCAAATGTCTCTCGCTCAATGCGATACTCAAGTCACGCTCAACGGCCACCTTACCGTTTCAGCTCCGTTTCTGGACAAGGCTGCGTTGGCGGGGCAGCTCGAGCGGGCAAAGCTTCAAAAAAAGCCACAGGGGAAGCTCTAATTTCGTTTTTGCCCCTGATGATGGAGCTCGAGCTTGCTCCGTTTTGTCAGACAAGAGCGTCAAGAGACGGTTTCTGGCGTTGATTGGGGAAGCTTGACGAAATAGAAAAGAGTTGAGGAGGCTTGATGTATTGGTGATGACTCTAAGTCTCGAGTGGGATTAGAGCTTGGTGTTTTGAGAGAGTGATGGAAGGGAGAAAGTGAATCGAGGTACTTCCTTGGGCACCTTGTAGCGCACAAGACGGGAAGCATGGATGGGTAAGGTAAGGTAGGTATCTTTGGAGGATGAAGAGGTATAGTAGGTAGCTGGATAGAGTAGAAGAGATGTGCGCCATCAAGGAAATTTGAATGAATATGTTTTACTACAGTATTTAGATACCATCCGTCTTGATCGTTCAACATCCTCACCAGACGATTGCAGCCCAGTTCAATGGAGTTGTTTTGATAGTCGAGCCCCTTGTGCCGCGCCCTCCTATCGCTGTAAATCAGCCTCCCTAGGCGCTGCAGCCCCACCCCCAGCAGCTGTTCACCTGCTGCCACAGCAGCTCCGGTGCCTGGGCTTCCAGTGACCTTGACTCTCTTCCAACACTCACCAGCAAACCCCCCCCAGAGGCGTGACCGCAACGTCATTCAGACCGTCAGCCTTCTCACCCTCTCTTCTCTTCTCCCCTCCTAATCAATCGCTTCATCACTCAACCTCGCCGCCTCACCTCCTCCCCCCTTCCGCCCCGCGCCTCTCAGCCAGCAAAAAAAAAAAAAGAATAAATACCCTCGACAATCTTCCAAAGAAGCCGCCGCACCTTATCATGGACACCAATATGGAAGATGTCGGGCGAGGGCCGACCGACGTGGCGCCGGTGCACACGGAGCCCGCGACGAGATCGACGCTGGAACAGTGGATTGAGAATCTGATGAACTGCAAACAGCTGTCCGAGGCCGACGTCCAGCGGCTGTGCGACATGGTGAGCATCCGGCGATGCGGGAGAATGGCGAACGCGAGGAGAGGGAATCGTCGTTGCCCGATTTTTTTTCCATTTGGGCTCTGTTGCCTCCCGATTCCTCGGTTCTTTTGTGTGGTGGTTTCGGTTGGGCAGAGCTTGGTTGATGCTGACTTTTTCTGGTGTCTGCCGTCTAGGGTCGAGAAGTCGTCCAGGATGAATCAAATGTGCAGCCAGTGGTACGTCTCGCCGTCTCTTCCTCGCTGCTGGCGATTGCGTTGCGGTGATGGGAAGGGATTGCTGACCGCGAGGTGTCTCTGCAGAAATGCCCCGTCACAGTCTGTGGCGATATCCACGGCCAGTTCCACGACCTGATGGAGCTGTTCAAGATTGGCGGCCCCAGCCCCGACACCAACTATCTCTTCATGGGTACGGACAGACGCGATCTCTCTGCTGCTTTGCTTGCTTCGTTCTTAACTCCATCCGGCGGCTCGTTTTTGGCTGACGACGAAATCGTGACCCTCCCGCAGGTGACTACGTCGACAGAGGCTACTACTCGGTCGAGACGGTGTCGCTCCTCGTCGCCCTCAAGATCCGCTACCCGCAACGCATCACGATCCTGCGCGGCAACCACGAGTCGCGCCAGATCACACAGGTGTACGGCTTCTACGACGAGTGCCTCCGCAAGTACGGCAACGCAAACGTGTGGAAGATATTCACCGACTTCTTCGACTACCTGCCCCTGACGGCCCTGATCGAGAACCAGATCTTCTGCCTCCACGGCGGCCTGTCCCCCAGCATCGACACACTAGATAACATCAGGGCCCTCGATCGAGTCCAGGAGGTCCCCCACGAGGGCCCCATGTGCGACCTGCTGTGGTCCGACCCCGACGACCGCTGCGGCTGGGGCATCTCTCCCCGCGGTGCGGGGTACACCTTTGGCCAGGACATCTCGGAGGCCTTCAACCACAACAACGGCCTGACGCTGGTGGCGCGTGCGCATCAGCTCGTCATGGAGGGATACAACTGGTCTCAGGACCGCAACGTGGTGACCATCTTTTCTGGTGCGTCTTTTTTCTCGCCTTCTCCTTTTCTTTTCTTTGTATATGGAGGGCCCACGGGGGCCCCCATCTGTCTCGTGCCTCATTACCCTTTTCATCACCGTACGTGTATGACCTTTGCGCTGACATTGCCATGCCTCGACAGCTCCAAACTACTGCTACCGATGCGGTAACCAAGCCGCCATAATGGAGATTGACGAGCATCTGAAATATACCTTGTGAGCCACCATCATCTATCCCCCCCCCCCCTGCTGGCCCTACCCCACGCCAAGAGTCAATTGTCGGACATCCCACAGATGCTAACCAAAGCAATAGCCTGCAATTCGATCCGTGTCCGAGAGCCGGAGAACCAATGGTTTCTAGACGTACGTTTTGCAGTTTCCCCCCCAACACTTGAGCTCTGTCGCTGACTTGCATCTTTCCAGGCACACCTGATTACTTCCTCTAATCTAGCACCAACGTTGTCCATCCACCCAAGTTATCGCTGTAAAGGGCTGTTTGCAAGAGGGTCTATAGCTGTTAGAGCCCACGAAGCCGGGCATCTACAAAATAATGTACGATTAATCCTACTGCCGGTCCGCGCCCACGCCGTGACGAGTCTGAATGTGAAGAGTTGCCCAAGTGCGCCGCGCCATGGGGACAGAAGACGGAACAGGGATGATGCTATGGGGGGGTTGAGGGGATGATTTTAGATGGCCGGACCCAGGAGCCGTTTGAGATGGGAATGTGATACCAGCTACGAGTTTTGCATGCCCTTTTTCTCGCCTGGCCACATGTGTCATGAGGCACCTTTATCACAAGACTGAAGCCTGTGCTAACGAGCTATAGAGGACATGGAAACGACAACTGTTTTGAAACAATCTATTATCTATTCGTTCGATGCAATGACACATTATCTGAAGATTGAGGGAGGAGTTTTCATCTGCCGAACCACTTGGCTCCAAACCAACCATTAAAAAGACCCCCTGCTTTCCGACTGTCCCATGATGACGCTCTGTCTATTATAACCCATCGCTTCATGATTGATGTCTTTTGTCTAATATTCCCCGCGCACACTGACATATATACAGATCTTCAGGTGAGATTCAGCATCCACGTCTTCTCACTCTTTTTTCTGGGTGGAATCTATCGAGCCGTCGCCTGCAGCTCAATCTTGTGTTCCAGCTGCGAGTCCCGCGACGAGTTGTTCATTGCCCGCTCAGACACATTGCCTGGAAGCTCCTCGTCAAACACGCGCCCGTCACCCTCACCACCATTCACGCCATTGACGTAGTGTCCAGGCGAGCTGCTCCCGTCGGGAATATGGAAGCGCTTATCGAACCGCGACAGGGCATACGTGAAGATGACGATGAGCTCAATGGCATAGTTGAAGCAGTAGAAGCACGCCTTGTGATGGAACCACCGTGGCTGGCTGACGGGGACACGGTAGTAGGCGACGCCGGCGCGAAAGGCGGCGCCGAGGGTGAGCAGGCTCGCGCTGAAGAGCATGAGGAAGAGCTTGTACCGCATGCTTCCGGCGCCAAACTTTTCGATGCGCTGCCTTCGGGGGATGATGAAGCAGAGGGCGACGACGGGGATGGGGAGGAAGGCGAGGAAGGCAAAGTAGGTGACGGCGACGACCTGGACGTCGTGGGTCTTGTCGATGGCGGCCTGGTCGAGGGTGTAGGCGGCGTAGACGACGGAGGTGATGAGCATGACGAGACAGGCGGCGACGGAGGCGTACAATGAGCGGAAGACGATGCGGACGGGGGTGCTCCAGCCCAGATGGGGGTGGTAGGCGCGCAGGATGCGCAGGACGAGGATGAGGTTGACGACGAAGATGAGGAGGACGCCGGCGGAGGCGAGGATCTGGGCGGCGAGGCCGATCTGGCCGTCGGTCGGGTAGCAGGCCCAGACGATGCGCATGACGTTTGCGCTGATGCGGGCCATGGAGAAGCCGAAGAAGAGGCCGGAGAGGACGAACTTGTGGCCGCGGCGGCGGTTGCGCTGGAAGATTGTCATGTTGAGGGCGGCGGAGGCGATGAAGAGGGTGAGGATGACGGCGGAGATGGGGATGTCGGGGATGGGGGAGGGCTGGAGGCCTAGGGAGGCGTATTTGGGGGGGTAGGGGGGGCTCTATCGAAAGTTCTCATGTTAGCTGGTTGTTTAAGTTGGTGGGTTAGGGAGGGTGATGATGGTGATGGTGATGGTGATGGTGATGTTGGTGTTGAGAGGATAGGGGAGGGGGGTTGGTGTTGACGTACGAGATGGGACGGCATCTGGCCGCTTTGGCCGCTTGAAGCCATGTTTTCAACGACTTCCTCTCTTTCTTTTTCTCCTTCGATGAGGGTTGGTAATAGTCTAGTGTTGTTGGTGTTGAAGGTCGTTTCGGCGTACAAGACGTTGGGCGATATGTGTGTAAGTCGGGCACCCGAATCACACCACCACGACGATGAACCACGCTGGAAACAGCAGCAGTCGGCAAAACTGGTGACTCGCTCAAGGATAACTCGACACAGACTATTCGAGAAGCTCTGGTGAGATAAAAGAGATTGAACACTAGCAGATTCTCAGTGCAGGGAATCCAAGGAACGAGCTTCGTGTAAATGTTGCTTAGACTCAAGATGGGAGAAAAAGTAACAGATGATGCCGGGCTAATCCAAGTATATGTATACTAGAAAAATGAGAAGAAAAATCCTTCCATCTAATCGATCAAGAGAAGAAAAAGAACAAGGAAGAAGAAAAGAAAACAACTTCCGTCATTGTACATTAGCTGCTCCCATTATCAAACGGCACTCTCTTGATGAGGGAGGGTAGTATTCGCCTGCCTGCCTGCTGCTTTGCTTGCCTCCGCAGCTCAGCTCAGCTCAGCCCGCACCTCGGACAATAATGTCGCGACAAAAGCCGTCACCGAAACCGACGACATGATTCTTCTTCCCCTGTCACACTCCATCTAGTAGGCATCTGTTCAAGCATAAGATGGAAACAGGGCAAGTGGAAGGGTGTGGTTGGGCTGGTCAGGCGCCCGGGATGATGGGCAAAGATCGGTGCTCGCACTTTGTTCAAGATCCGCCCATCTGGCCTAGTGGAGAGCGTAGCAGATTGTCGTTGTCTTTTCCTCGTTTCTTGGACGTCAAGCAGTCTAAGCTCCCTGTGTGAGAGGGGCCGGCTGTTTCCTTTCAGGGGTAGCAATTGGAAAGGCTAAGTCGATAGCCTATTTTCTGAGTTCTTGCTTGTTGCTTCGCTTGTGATGGATGGGCAACAACCAGGTGTAAGTCTCGCTTGATTCTATGAGGATGAACACGATGCCAAGATATACGCTTGCAAGGACTGTGTGAACTACAAGGCCGCATATATGTACACTCAGATACAGATATTGTCTTCTCATCATCAATCTGCATCACCATCCTTATATATGCTAATTCAAGCAAAACATTCAAAGTGCATCAACAGCATCAACTCACAATCGTGTCCATCTCGCTGCTCCTACAGGATCGGAGGTCGGAAAGTCGGAGCTTAAGCATCGGCGCGAATCTCGCTCTTCCGGGCCGACCTTGCATTATGTAAGCGGTGCCTTTGTGACTTGGTGTATCAAATGGCTCCGATACGTACCTAGGTAATCGGCCAGCTGGGTCGTTAAACAAGGTACATACAGCGGACGAAAGCGTAAATACATGCCGGAGTTTAACGATGAACAATGACAGGAAGAAGATTCCAGGCTGGTGGAGTTTGTTTGTTTTTTTTTCATGTGTGGTGATTTCGTACTTCTGGTGGTTGATGGGCGCTTTGCTTTGCTTTGGAAGTAAGGGATTATTAACGACAGAAGGGCGAGAAACAGATGGATGTTGGTCTGCTGAGTTAGCTGCCTCCTATTGATGATGCCGGTTGCAACGTCAGTTCACGTAGGTATGCTTGTAAGAGGCGGGTAAAGGGGAGTGTGTGTAATAAGCTGTTGAGATTGCTGATTACGGTTCTGAAGGTGCAGTCTCTGGTCAGGCACATTTGATCTTGTAAAGAGTAATGCTATTTGAACCGTACCATATTGCTATTTGGACCGTAGTGGTCTGTGCCACAGATAGAGGGACACCACCAAGTGGTAAGGTCCACGCCCACACGCCAAACCACAGTGTAGCACACTGGCGGTCATTACCGTCAAGGAGAGTTCACCAGAAGAAGGGCATAAGGGCTACTGACGCCGGCTGGGTGGCCGGGACGACCTCTAGCTGTGGCCGCGAATTCATGAACAACTGGGATAAGGCCCTGCTGCCTCTGCCGCTGCTGCTGCTGCTGCCGCAACCGTAGACAATAACGAGGGCAAGGCGCCGCCGCCCTCTATCTCATGCTGTGATAGACTGAAGGGTTATAAGCCCTGGTCCGTGATGAGGCTGAAGAAACGGCTGAACCGACTAAGTCGTGGTGTTGTTGTGTAGGCTACCGGCCTTGCCACTATTCCACACTGTAAACGGGTGTGCAGCTGTGGTAGAAGTGGTGTGGGCATAACAATTTTAGTACAGGCATGGACCACTACGGTCCAAATAGCAATATGGTACGGTTCAAATAGCATTACTCCTTGTAAATACGATAGTAGATCTAGATCTAGCGGATATATATAGATCTACTGGTGTCTACCTAGGTAGATATGAAAGAGTGGCACAAGTGAAACCACTATTAGGTAGACATGGAGAAGGAAGGCTACGGAGTCATTTCAGCCTCTTTCGTCCAACTTGTATTAGTCTTGGACATTGTCATGTGTGACTCTCTTTCATATCAATCACAGGTCAGATTACCCTCCACACCTCACCCTAGACCTCTCGAGAAATCTTTGTCTTCTAAAGCTCTGTCTTTGTCTTCTAACTATCTCCATGACAGTTCATCAGGACAAGTCTCTACCAGTCAAGTGAGCAAGTGCCTTTATAGATGTGTCGTGCTCAGCACTAAACTACCTATGTAGCAGCCAGACAGTCCAAGAACCACTTCCTAAAGTATAAGACTAATGACTCTTTATCTAAAATAATGGCACATCTCGGCCCCAAGTCATCATATATCAGCTTTGCTAGTCTTGAAGGCAAATGGTAGCCACTCACTACATTCAACTGGTATATGTGGGCTGCTGTTGGTGTAAATTTTGCTTAAGAAGATCACGTCATTCTCTAAACGAACCAGATAACAATGCTGTAACTGCCGGGCATCAGTTTATCTCTTCTAATCTTGAACATGATCTGTGAGCTTAAGCTGCGACTTTATTATCAAAGTTTATTATATGACCTATACCACGTCTTCGATCGGGCCCAGCATCCGTAATCAAGATGAACCTCACTAGTAGTCAACCCCTGAATCGCCTTTCGGACAACAACCGCCTCATATACAACCAAAAGACAGCACCTAAGCTATCAAGCAGACACACACAAACGATTCCGTTCAAGTTCTCTCCCCTGAGCTCGGAAAAACCCATCGTTCCGCACCCATCTGCCAGCCCAAGTGCCACTCGCCCGTCGTCACCACCCCCCTGGCCCGCGCTCACAGCCGCCACCACCTGCCAGCCAGCCCAGCCCAAGCCCAAAGGGTATATATATCAAAAGTCCGGAACTGTCTGTCGGAAGGCGGGCAGCAGCTGGGTAGGTTGAGCGGTATATCGCAATCTTGATACCCGAGGCTGGTGGCCAGTGAAGGCGTCGATTCGATAACCGTTCGCTGCCCGTCTTTTTGCTTTTTTTGCTGATTCTTTGTTCACCCTTTTGACATGGAACAAACTACTCTGCCTGATATCGATCGATCCTTTTTTTTTCTATTCCAAAAAGAAAGAAATGCGGGCGTATTGCGTTGTTCCTCTTCATACTGAAGCGGGTGACTGAGGCTGTGGCTTACCTACCTATGTGAGGGAGGAGGGAGGAGGGAGAGTGGTGTGTGTGTGTGCTTTGCGGAACAAACAAATTGCGCGCTGTCTCAGTGATTTCACTTCAGCCGGTGACTTGGGGTTTGAGAACAACTTTACTTTGTGAGATCAAAGACTAGACAGGCAAACCTTTTGCAGGCCTTTGAGCTGCGATATCGTGACGGCGACGAACCCCTTGAAGTCATCTTCGCTTCCGCTTTCTCGTCTTGTGTTTGTTTGTCTGGAGATGCTCGTCTCTCCCGCGATGGCTAATGATATTGGAAAAATTGTCTTCCGTTGAATTCAACTGTCTCGAGGCAGTTGGGTCTTGGATCTCGTCATTGCGATACAATAGCTGATGGACGAAAGGTTGATTTCGCTTGTTCTGATACCAACATACTATGTCTCCGAGACTGTTTACTTTGGCGCCAACTAAATCAACACACAGATCCAGGTAAGCTTCTCACCTTTTCTGATGGCCACTTTCGTCTCACCGTTGATACAGAGAGCCATCCACCTTTTGTTGAGACTGGTGGTTCGAGAGCTACCTCAACGAGGTTGGCCCTACAAGAGCTTCAAAGTCCATGGGCCTAAAGCCATCCGCACTTCGATTCAGCACAGTTCCATCCAGAATGCTAATGTTTGATATTTGCCATAGGCTCCGAGTACCGATCCCCTGCCGACAGATTTCATACCCGATCCCGCGATACCCGCCTCTCTCTTCCTCGTCTTGAATAGCCTAATGTGCCACCCTGGAGCCCGAGTGATGGCCATGGAGTACTGGATACCCGCAGAATGACTGTGTAGATTTTATGGCTAGCGGAATGTCAGAAGTTGGAAGAGAGACGAGATACACTTTTTGGGAGTGGCTGCAGCGGCCTTCAGCTCGGTCACTATGGACAACTCTCTCGTCGATGGCTACACAAGAGGAGCTCTTGAATGGGTATAGCTTTGGTCGGTTCTGGCAAGGGAGATTAGAAAAGTGTCCGATATCTTCCAGTTGTGAGCGATATCTCGCCGACTAGGTGCATGCAATTGGCGCTGCAGTTTCTCGTAGAGCTCCACCTGAATGAAGAGGACGTCTTGAAGTCTTACAGGGAGAGACGATGAACGCATGGGAGGGAAGATGGATTCCACACAGGAGGTCTTCTGGCGAAGCAGGCAGTTTACGAACGAGACCCTGTCCACAAAGTCGTCTCTGGAGTTGTCCATACATTACTTGTAGAGATGGGCTACAGTCATGATGACTTCAAAGGTTCAAAGAAGATTGCTCAACAAAGTATTGTACCGAAACCTTCCGGCCAAAGGGCGACATGGCTAAAGTAAGAGGCAATGAAGCACAAACTCAAGGTTTCACAACAGCAAAACCAGATTGTTGATCACTTTTAACGCCACATAATAAACGTTGAGTGTTGATTCAAGATGGAGCTCAACCAAAGTTGCATACGCAAACCTTGTCTCAGTCAGAGAGATATAAGAAGCCAGCAATCCCCCCTCCTCTTCAAGATTTCAAAATAAAACACAACTTTCTTCCACCTTTTTCAAAACTGTGCTCACCACAGCGCAAAACACCCAGTGCAACACCCATTGCATCGTCAGCCTTCAACTGCAAGCACCCTTCGGCGATGCCAAGGTATCCTTCCAACTCGCCTTGGAAAGCTTTGCTTCATCGGGCCTGGGTGTAATAAGGTGCAATGGTAAGAGCCTCATCCGCAGATGAATCGATGGCTGACCACGAGTAGAGGCGATGGTTGGGTGCCTGGAATCGATTGTAAGGGGCAAATGTGAGGCGAATTGCCGCGGCTGAACGACAAGAGCATTTGGTGGTGGTTGAACGACAAGAGCATTCGGCGGTGGTTGAACGACAAGAGCATTTGGTGGTTGAACGACAAGAGCATCTGTGGCCGTCTCCCCTGGCCTGTCCCAGGTCGCTTCATCACGGGTCTTGGTTACGCCGTCTCGAAGTCTCGCCCTTACCTACGCTCCTTCAGCCCCGGGGGGTGTTATCGCCCGTTGCATAATACCCTGCGGTGGACCTAGATCTGCAAGGATGCCGGGGAGATGGTCACCGAAAGGCATGTTCCTCGCGTGCGGGTGCTCGAGTGTCAAACCCCTACGCGCGATGAAGGTGAACGCAGGTGAATCGCTTCAGCGCATCATCGTCCGATCCTGATGTTCTCCGATGGATTTGAATAGGAGCATACGTGGCCGGACCCGAAAGAAGGTGAATCATATCTGTATGGGGTGAAGTCGGAGGATAGGATACTCTGGTGGAGGCTCGCAGCGGCTCTGACGTGCAAATCGATCGTCAAATATGGGCATGCCGGACGAAACTCTCATCGGACCTCCTAGCAGCTGGTCATCGCCGAAATCCTGCTCCGAAGCCAAAGCCAAAGCCAAGCGCAGGCAGACCAAGGATCAGGGGCAATCTTCGTTTCTCTGCCGTTCATCAGATCTTAAGCAGCTTCTGGACTCGAACAACTCCCGAGACCACGTTTCGTCTCTGATCCTTGGTCTGCCTCATGGCCACGCTCCTGTTTTTCGACGTGACTTGTAACACAAAAGTACGTGCTGCATCCAAGACACAAGCGACACTGGATGATCTGTCGAAGCCGCGCAAACATCGACAGGAGAAATCATCAACCTCAGCCTGTTCCAGGCAGAGAGAGGCTCGTACCTTTTGTCTGTAAGGGCATGATCTGACCTACCTGCTTCAGACTTGGCGCTCAACGGATATTGACAAACATATAGCCTTTGTCTGCTTTCCCTCCTCTTTCACATCCAGGCTGCTTGCTTTGCGAATCAGCCGCACAACGACCTCCGCGGCCGACAACGCCAAAGAAGATTCTTCTCGTATAATCTCTACTCTCTTACACTCCGGTTTCATACACGTATCGAGAATCTCCTTTCCAGTCGCCTCAAGTGCGCTCATCTTGTCCAAACACATACCACGGTCCACCCGCGCAGAACGAAGGCTCCCCTAAGCGGCGACAAGTTTCATCAGAGCACAGTCATAGCGGCACGGGCTGCTGATGCGGTATTTCAGAAGATCAAGTTGATGAAACGATATGTAAAGGTCAAGTTTACCTAGGTACCCCAGTGTTTCCTACATGGATCAAGGTACAGAGATAAACAACTGCTGACCCTTCTCACGTTCAGACCGAGCTCTGAAAACATTTCCAGGCATCGTAAAGTCCAGCAACAAAGATTAGTCCAAATGTCTAGAACGCAAACAAAACATGTCATCACCCCTGTTTATGGCAACTCAATGGTATCAAAACTTTCCTACATCTTTCGACCTGCAAGGAGGCAGGGACGTAGTCCTTATCGCTTTTCACGAAACCGTCAACATGAGTATTACGCATCTTGCTTCATGCCCTGCTGTCACAAGCCGAGACCATATCTGTCTGGTCAATTCAGAACCCACCCGGTAACACGGCGACAATCTTAGAAAAAAAAACCTGGCGAGTTTGGCGATTCACGTTGTCATTGAAGTTGATTCATGGACGCACGTGGACTCAGAGCAATGGTGTTCTCACCCATGGACATACTAGACCTTTGGCACGTCTTCCACTTGCGTATGATATTGCAGTGATGAACAGCAACTACCTTCTGGATATATCATCTGTCTTGAAACAGCCTACCAACGCCAGCAAATGCTATGGAAGCCAAGGTCAGCTATGTGTTATGTCTTGATACGCAATCATCTCCCAAAGAACCACAGATAATCTGGGTATATGTCCTAGCCGCTGTCTTTTGATGTTGCCGAAAGTCGGGTAGGACCGCTTGTAACTTAGTGTCGGAGCCGCGTAACGAAAAACTTGAAAGCTGTGTAGAACCCGTTAAAACTACTGGGTATGCGCATGCTCTCAAGAAAGCAGCTTCATCACGTCCGCCATCCGCGTATCTTTAGACTTCTTGGCCTTGCCCTTTTCTTGAAACGCCTTGGTCACCAGGTCCCGCTTCTCCTGCTGAACATCCAGCACGCGCTCCTCGATAGTCCCCTCCATTATGAGGCGCCAGATCTTGGTCTCGCGTGTTTGGCCAAGACGGTGCACTCGATCGACAGCTTGGTCTTCAATCGCTGGTGCCCACCCTGCAAAAGTAGAATGTCAGTACGGCATCACAAGGCCTATATCTCTACACATGCTCAAAAAAGAAAAACTTACAGCTGTCGGACAAAATCACTGTATCCGCAGACACAAGGTTGAGCCCCACGCTGCACACTGCCAGGCTGGCCAGCATGATGCGCGTCTCAGAGTCGTTGTCCAGCGCGTCAATGGCTTTATCTCGCTTCTCCGCGTTCATGCTTCCGTCGATTCTGCAGTAGTTTAGTCCTGCGCCCTGGAGTTGCTTCTGGACAATGTCGAGAAACGACGTCCACTGCGAGAAGATGACAATCTTTGAGCCCTGATTCTTAAGCGTGGCTCGAATGATTTGCAACATTGCTTCCGTCTTGGAGCTTTGTTGCTCCGTATCAAAGTGCTTGTCAAAGGTACCCTCGGGAGCTGGCTCAAGTAGGTCGTCCTCCTTCAACGGGTTGCGACACATGGGACATTTGGCCTGCAGTTGAATTGCCCTGGTGATGCAGTGGCGGCAGAACACATGCTGACAGTTTGTAATCACTGGGTTTGTCGGCGTGTCGTAGCAAATGGCGCAGTCGTCTTGACTGTCGATGAACAGCCTAAGGGCTTCCTGCAGCAGCGCGCGATTCTTTTCCGTCAGGGGGACGACGTCGTATTCTTTGAGCATCTGCATAAGATCGTTAATCCGCTCTCTGCACAATGTCCAGTGATTACACCTATAACACGTCAGTGGCGGCCAAGGCATTACCGTACATTGGACAGACTCACGATTGCCTGAGTCGAAGGAGGCGCTCCAAGACATTTTGGAAGCGACCTTTCTGTCCGGTCTTCGACTTTGCTTGGTAATCCTCCAGCACGCCTCTGGCCTCGGATCTACAAGCGAGGTTAGCAGTGAGGTCCAAAGAGAATCCATGCGAGCCAGATATAGCGCGGCGGACATACAGTAGGGCATCGTATTTGGTCTTTTCTTCAGGATGAAATGTGATCCGGTGCAGGTACTCCGTCTTCTTGGGAAGCCGAAGGTCCACGAATTTCATATCTTTCTTGCGTCGTAGACAGATGTCTTGCATCAAAGATTGCAAAAGAGCTTCCGCACTACGATCACCCGACATGAGTTTGCGTGAGATTGCATTGCTGAAAATTTCGGGTTGTTCGATGCCTCCGGTGATGTGAAGGAATCTGACCAAAGACTGCAGGTCCTTGACGGAGTTGATGCTGTTGGCGGTTAGGCAACGAATCCGGCACTGTTATGACTGTGAATGACTGTAATTGATTGACTTACATGGGTGTTCCGGTCAGGACCCAACGGGATTCAGCTGCGAGCTCGCAGGCTGCCAGAGCGGCCTTGGTTTTGACGTTCCTGATCGTGTGACCTTCGTCAAGCACAACCCGCCGCCAAGGTTTCTTTTGACCCAAGAGAGTCTTGTTGCCATCGACTAGCTCTTTGGCGAGTGTGCCATAGCTGGTGATGACAACATTGTATTCCAAGAGGTTGTGATATGACCCCCGCTTGGCGCCATGGTAGACAAGGATGCTTGGCTGATGCTCCTCTTTGACGTGCCTGCGAATCTGCTGCTCCCAATTGCTCATCACACTGACGGGAGCAATGATTAGAGTTGACCCAGGGCCACCGGTAAGGATCAAGCTAATGATTTGGAGCGTCTTTCCCAGGCCCATGTCGTCGGCAAGAATGCCGCCTGAGAACAGCGATGGCGCTTTGGCAGTGATGAAATCCGAGGCGAGATTCCAGTATCGACCCTTCTTGTCACGTCTCCAGAGCTGGGTTACCGTATCCGACCCGACGGGCGGAAGCTGGGGGTTCTCCTTGGATTGCATCCAGGCGAGGCCCTTTTGCACAGATGATGAGCCCAAATCACCAAAGAACAGAGTCTAGATGAGGAGAATGTGCACAAGCATACCTGTAGCTGATATGGCAGAAGCGTAGACTTGAGCTGGCTGGGTTGGGCAGCCTGTGGCATCTTAGCCAGGTCGTCTTCGCTCAAAGCGAGCGTCTTGATAGCATCGCCGCCATTGCGGAACTCGACTGCATCGCTGGATTCGAGAATTTCTTCGAGAGATATCTCGGGAACGGGAGGCACCTGGCTTGAGGCCAAGCCACCGGCGGTAGAGACCCTTTGGGTCAGTCCGAGAGCCACCCTACGTGCTTCGGCGTCCTTTCTGGTCTGCTTGAGCTGGGTGGCCTTGACAAACTTGTCTGCCTTGAGAGCATTCTCAATTCTGGTGCGCTGTGCAGGGTCGCTTGGCCCGTAAAAGGACAGTCTGATGGGACAGTCATAGACGCCTTTCTCTCCTATAATTTGGCCTTCAACCGTAATGTCCCCAGAATCCTTGTTAAGAGTCAGTCATGACGCCAAGTGGAGGGAAGTCATGGGGCACAAACTCACGATATGGCGAGCGAGCTTGGAAACGACTGTGCGAGGCAGATGGCCTATTTGCTGGTGAAGCACATTGTCTATTCGGATTGCGTTGCTGTCATACTATTTCTGTGTTAGTCCATCTGCTGGTGGTAGTGGTGGTGAGTGCCGATGCATAGGTACCTGGTTGCTGGGTTCTCTATGGCACAAGACGACCTCGCCAGGCGAAGCATATCCGTTGTAATATCTAACGCCCACAATTTTGGCATCTTATGACGGTCAAAGTTAGTGCCAAAAGAGACAGTTGATTTGGTGGTTTTATACGAACCAAAGGTGCCATAGAGCTCCTTATCCAAGGCGTCATCGTCTTGGGTCAAGTCTAGGTAGTCTGATTCCTGCGTAGAAGTAGGATAAGAAGAGGTCTGACTCCTCTGTGAGGAGCTGGGGGCACTGAAAGATGGTCGGGACAAGGGAGCTTGTGAAGATAGAGCAGGGCGTTTCCGAACGGGCTCAGGAGATGCGCCCGTTAGGTCGATGAAGTCGACGGCGCGCTTGCCGCGAGGCATGACGGATAGTTGATGTTTGACTTGCAGAAGAGGGGATAGGCGAAAAAGAAAAGGGGGTGAACAGAGTGAAACTATGCTCAAGACTATGCTGAGAAATTGAGTGGAAAAAGATCTCTGTTGACGATTTGTGCTGCTGAAAGGGATTGAGTTTTCATTCTCTATCGATTTGCGGCTCTCAACAACTAACTGCTGAATCCACGACTTTGGCAGGCACCGCCAGTTGACCTCGCGTCCGATTTGGCAAGAGCCAGTACGAGTACGAGAGCTAAACGCGCGGTCATGTGACTTGACGAGAGCTCAGCAACAGCAGATAACCTGAGAGTTGAGTACTAGTTGTAATGCGGTCCAACGATATCTATCGTAGATGAAAATTATGGTAGTACTTAGGTACTACGTTATATAGATCAATATTATACATCCAGTCTTGAGGTTCATTCTGCGCTTCATATGGCATCGACACAGATCACAACTCATTGTGCACTCTCTCCCTGTAAATAAGGTATTATCAAACGAAATCAATGAAAGCATGACTAAGCACCTCGAGCCCCCCCATAATCCATCACCGATATCCGCCGCTCACAGAGCAATCGACTGTCCCCGATTAGGTCTAGCTGAAATCACGCCATCGATGGCTCTCCAGAACAAGAGCAGCAATATCAACGACATGCGACCGTCTTTCTCTCCTCTCCAACCTCACTCGTCTTTCTGCTCTGCAGAGGCAGACGAGCTTCTGCGGGACGAGGCGCTTCGTTCGGTACCGAAAATGCTGCGTTTCCGTCACAGAACCCGTCTCTCACGACGGTGTCTTCATCCGGTGTTGATGAACACCACAAATGCTACCCAACGAATTCCCAGAACAATCAACTAAAGCACAAACAGTCAATCTAGGAACCCAAGACCCTTGAGAAAAGCCGTCCGATCAAACGCCATATCGCCGCTGCCAGTGCATACGCCACCGTGAAGGCTCCCTACTCCTTCAACAGGCGGCCGTACGCCGAGAAGTACGAGCAGCCGGGCACATGACTTCTCCTGCCAGTCCTCTCGTCAAAGATGTGGCAGCCCTCCTTTGCGACGTTGGGAGGAGTGTACACTGGAGAGGGTCTTTGGTCAGCTCCAGCACAAGTGTCTCGGGGCCGGTTGCAGACTTACAGTGCAGCGAGACAGCGAAGTCGCTGCCGCGGTTGGACACTCGATGGAGACCAAGCTCGTCAGACATGTACGTGACTTGGTTCTCTTGGTATTTCTTCTCGGCGAGGACGGTCATGGGTCCCTCGGGCTCGTCCCTCTCTGGAAAGACGTAGCGCGTCTCCGTGAGCTCTCCGCGCAGGATCTTCATGATGCAGTGCGCATTTCCGTGGTCGTGGATGGGGCTGCCCTTTCCTGGGGACCAGACGAGTACGAGCTGGTCTCAATTGTCAGTGCCGGCTGTCACTGGGCATTGATTGGCCTCTGGCATGAGGCTGCATGGACATGACCTACCAAGTTGCTCTTGCCATTGCCCTCGTCGACGAGGTTACGAGTGTATCCTCTGCTGGCGTCGCCGAATGCATACCTGGACCAGTGCATGTCCCTGGCGTCATAGGCTTGCATCAATTCCATTAGGGTTCGCACATCGACATCCTCGGACGTCAAGCCAGACGACGGGCCAAGGACGTCCTTGAGCGCCAGTACGAGCTCTTCGAATCGATCCTGCGCGTGCGCTACGTTGCCGATGTTGTTGAGGGCACTACCACTTGACGCAACGTTGACGGCCATGATGGTTGATGATGATGTTGATTGCTATGAGGATGGGGGAGTATATGGATGGTGTGTTGTGAGAGACCTAATCAAGGAGCTTTACAGTACGATGCAACGGCTGCATTTATCAGAACCTCAAAGATACGCAACGAAGCAGCAAAGAACGACACACCGACTGGAGCGGGGATGGCCGGTGTCTCTCGTGTCTGGTCAGCTGAGCGACACCCCCGACGGATGGCTTGGACGGATAGTGCAACCCGGTGCCGGCCTGCAAAAACCCTCGTCACGTCAAGCCACGGAAAAAGGGAACGGCGAAGATCGGCCTGCATGAGCGACGGGGGCAAACGGGTACATCTGGCAACTATCGGGTGGATTACGTTTACGTCGCGCAAGTTTCGCAACACCTGGTTGGACGACAAGGCGCTAGGAGCGCACAACGGCCAGCAGAGTTGGAAGGGATACGGCCGGCGAACCGTCTGCTGACGCGCAGCCCCGATAAGGAGGGCTTGAAATGGATTGACTACGCCGGAACTGCTCGATTGCAGCGCAAGGGGAAAACGGGAGGATAAGAAGAGCAGAGACTGCCGGGTTATCGACCTTGTCACTGTGTCAATATGATTTGCGCCACTTGGAATGTCGCTGGTCTTATTTCTCAAGGTCTGCGACAGGATATTTGGGCCATCAAACGACCAGACAGACGGCAATGGACAGCTTCTGCTGATAAGAGCCACAAAGTTACCGCCAAGCGTGGGGCTTTGTGAAACCTGGTTGTATGTACCAGGCGGTAGCGTCGTGCTAAGAGGGAAAAGCTTCAAGGGAGCCATGGATGATTTTCAGGTGCTCATTGCGGTTATGCGGGTGGAAAGGGGCTGGGGCAGATCCAGAACTGCGGGCTTCTCCTTGTGTATTACGCGTTATCGCTGGACCTGCCCCTGAGCGGTTGATGATGATGGGATATCGAAATACATGAGTTGAACTGTATGAAAATCAGCTCAAAAGTAAATGGCCGTCCAGGCTTATTTGAGGTACTTCTGGGTCAAGGGTTATGAGCATGAGTAAGATCTGCGAGGTACAGAGGATGTACATATTACAGGGTCCACGGCTGGGGAACGTTCGCCGGGCTTCTCCGACATCCGTCACCGACATCCGCCTTGGTCACCGACTGGCTTGTTCAGCCGTTGAGCAGACAATCTCTTCTCATCAGGTTCTTTTATTCAGATTGTATGGTGGACATTGCGTTGCTTTTAGTGCGTAGGCACAGATGCTTTATTGAGCAGAAAATCCTGCTTCTACTCCAGCGTTTTGCAGGAAGCCGTCCGTACTCATCAATGGGCTATTACCATTTTGCGCACAGGCGCTTGTCTTTGTCTGCCTGCCGGCTTTGACTGAAGTCACATACCTACCTACTTACCAACCTATGTCAGTAATTCTAGAGACAAAATGTGCTAAAGAGATACAGAATTGCCTGGCGTGCTCTGCTTGTATCTGGAGTCAGAAGCTGATAGATCAGATTCCATAAGAGTGGTGGTCATTTAGAGGTGATCCAAGCAACCGGGTGTTTGGATGCAGCGATATAAGGGAACGGTGAGAATTCTGTGTAAGTGGCGACGTGTAACTGCCGGACGTAGTACGAGGTGCAACCTGGATCAAATGACACACAGGTGGTCAAGAAAATGTAGTGTCATCAGGTAAACCAAGAGATTCGAGAGCAGACCAAGTATGTAAGCTGTGTTACTTTAGAACAATATCATTTGGGGTTAAGTCATTGCAGGAGAGGGTCATGTTGTGTCTCTCACCAATTGCAAACCACCACGACCAGACTTCATGTTGTCAAGATACAGCCTCAATATCTTCAGCCAGTGGCAACATGGCATCTCGTCAATTGATCTCCTTTACGGTCGCCCTCTACTTTACACTCTTGCAGGCGCAGCTAAAGTCACCTGGAACAGACGGCACCCCCCAGATCCCCCTCCAGTCGCCCTCCCGCAGCATCCGCGTCCTCATCACAGCAAGAGCAGCACTGCAAACAGAGGTAGTACTACTAGTAATGCCCCGATCTTAAAGGAAAACCCGGTGAATGGATCGATGCTAGGGATATGCAAAAAGCCCACATCTCGGCCCGTCGCTCATCACGGAAACAAGGCAGCTTTTTTCTTCCAGTTGTCAGCTACTTGCTAGAGAAGATGTTCCCCGACAGCCGCTCCTGTCAAACGGCCGATGCCGAGCTTTCCCCAGATTTACTTTGGAAGGCTAGGATGTATGTACGTACGACGGCCGTAACAAGGCATGTGAATTGATGCAAGGCAGATTAGGGGGGGGAATGAATCACATCAAAGAAGACAGCAAGCTGCATGTAATCTATCGCCAGGAAAGTTGGGGAGTTGCCAATGGACGAGGCAGTTTTGCTGCATACATACACATAGGTATCAAGATGTGCAGGACAGACAGCCAATCATTTTCAGCTTCGAACATTCTACATATTACCTACCGAACAACAACTGGGGACAGAAATCGAAAGCCACATGAGAGCTGAAAGGAAGCCGTTGGTCTAGCAGAACTACTAGTAGTAGCAGGCTTAGATCGGCCTGCAGCCAGTGCATCACCCGAGAAGCGGAACTGGAATGCCAACGGCTGCAAAAAAAAAAAAAAAAAAGAGACGAGAAAAAAAATACTAATGTTTGGCCTTGATACGAGGCGCAATGACTCAAGGGTGCTTTTCTAACACCAGCTTTTTCTCTCTCTTATTATACCGGCAATCGGCGTACGTTCCGTCGCATATAGTTCTAGGCCTTTCCTCCTTGTAAGCTGGAGAAAAGAACTTGCAGGCTTGCTCACCCCCTTTCGGCTCAGCCTTTCCGAGCGACACTACGCCAACGATTTATTTTGCCCTGCCGGTGTGGACGGACATGGGATCAACGTCATAGTGCCCGAATCCCGAGAAAGCCACTTCTTGTCTATATAAATCGAGAGAGAGAGAGATCTAGTCACAGTCTTTTCACGATATACAGGGACAACCTCCAGACTCTGACCAAGTAGTCAATTCGGACAATCATAGCACTGGTTTTGCATTATCGTCGACAATTGTTTCCATTTCATCGCCAATAAGAAGTCTTCATATATATATATATACAGCCCTACATACGGGAATAGGGACTTGTATCACTTGTTGAAGCATCATGGCATCAACAACAGCCCTGCCTCCAGACAGCCAGATGTCAACCGAGAAGCCGCCAAACCCTTCCGATGACGACGACGGCAGCAGCAGCGATCCGGATGCTCAGGATCCCATACAAAACAGCAACGACAACAACAACAACAACAATAGCAGCAACAATGCTCCGAATTCTTGTCCGTCAAGAAAGCCCTGCAAAAACAATCGCGGCTGGCGGAAAATCGTCCGCAACTTTACACCATCGTATGCCGTCCCATACACACACCCTTCTTCCCTTTCTTCATCTACACACTCCTCTTCCTCTCTCATCATCCTCTTTTTTTTTTTCTACCTAATACCATTCCATCTTATATGTGTACCTATGTACTGACGGTCTTATATAGATGGTTCGCCATAAACATGGGCACGGGCATCGTCTCCATCCTGCTCTTCAACCTCCCCTGGAACGGCTACTGGCTGCACGTCATCTCGTACATCTTCTTCGCCCTCAACGTCCTCCTCTTCGTCATCTTCTGCATCATCTCCTTCTTGAGATACACGCTGTACCCTGAGATCTGGCCCGCCATGATTTCGCATCCGGCCCAATCCCTGTTCCTGGGTTGCTTCCCCATGGGCTTTGCAAGTAAGCTACATCTCTCCCTCACTTCTCCCCCCTTATTCCTCTTCCCCATCATCTCCCAGATATATCTCCTCTCTTTTCTCCTCCCTACTATATCGCATCATACATCATCTTATACATCATCTCCCCTCCATCTCCATCATCACAACAAACAGCTAATTCGTTCCCCCCCAGCAATCATCAACATGATGATCTTCGCCTGCTCCCACTGGGGCCCCGGCCTCATCTACCTCGCCTGGGCATTCTGGTGGCTCGACGCAATCATCTCCATGGCGACCTGCATCTCCATGCCCTTCATCGTCATGCACCGCCACCGCCCAGGCCTCGACAAGACCACCGCCACCCTCCTCCTCCCCATCGTCCCGGCCGTCGTCGCCGCCGCAACAGGCGGCATCGTCGCCGACGCCCTGCCCTCGCCCGGCCACGCCTACGCCACCCTCGTCGTCTCCTACGCCCTCTGGGGCATCGGCCAGGCCCTCTCCGGCTGCGTCCTCGCCCTCTACTTCCACCGCCTCACCATCCACTCCCTGCCCCCGCGCGACGTCATCGTCTCCGTCTTCCTCCCCATCGGTCCCCTCGGCCAGGGCGGCTTCGGCATCCAGCAGCTCGGCAAGGTCGCCCTCAAGGTCGTGCCCCAGACGGCCATGTTTCGCGTCTCCGGCGTCGATGCCGCCCGTGGAGCAGAGTTCCTCTACTTCCTCGGCGTCTTCTTCGGCATCGTCATGTGGGGGTTCGCGCTGGCCTGGGTCTGCTTCGCGCTCATCAGCTTGAGAACCACGCGCTCGTTCCCCTTCAACATGGGCTGGTGGGGGTTCACGTTCCCGCTGGGCGTGTGGGCGACGTGTTCGAATGCGCTGTGGCAGAATCTGAGCAGCGAGTTTTTCAAATATGTGACAACGGTGAGCCTTTTTACCATGATTTGCCTGAACTTTTTCGGAAGAGCTACGTTTCTAACCCCTTTTCCCCCACCTCAAAGATCATCAGTCTCTCGGTCGTCCTTCTCTGGATCCTCGTCAGCCTGAGGACAGTTCAGCTCATCATTACGGGCGAAATGTTCTTCGCCCCGTGCCTCAAGGATCTTCGCGAGAAAGAGGAAGCATCCGGCAGCGAAGACGGGGCAGTCTGAGCAGAGTCTGCATGTATCGCGCTGTTCCGACTACATAATGCAGTAAATAGGGGGCCTAGGAGTCAATGGCGGAACAAAAGCATCATCGGAGTTCACATGGAGTGTTTTCAACAAAGCGTTTTCTTTCTACGATAATTCATCATCGTCATCTGTTCAATCATCGTCATCATATTCTATAAGCATTCAACACATACGACAGCGCATCGTTCGGCTATGAACCACTGCCAGGAGCTGTATAGATTTTAGATTCACAATACCCTAGACAAATACTCGTAAAGTCAAGACTTCGTTGGTGATCAAGTATCTCAAGACACAAATGCTCTCAACATCGTACAAGGCTCGCTTGGCTGTCTATGTTGCCGTCATACTCAAACAAGGCTTCGCGAGAAACATCCACCCTCTACCTAAGCCATCTAGCGTACGCCCATCGGATCCTCTCCAAGGCCTTTGCTTGGATATGCACCCCCTTGACATTCGCCAGGTCCTCCAGGTCCTCCAAAAACTCCTTTTGAATGTTGTCCGGCATCAGCTTGCTGGCCAGGTTACGAAGCACGTGGACTTCGCACAGCAAAAGGCCGTGGTCCTTGTACGACAGGACGTTATTCTCTGTCGGCCTCGCCTCAGACAGGATGCGGTCAATGTTGCGCAGGATGCGGATGGCCTTGCCAGAAACTTTGCTATGGCGCCGTCCAGATCGGCCGCCAAAGATGCTACGAAGGTACTGGAACACGCCGACCGACACAAAGATGCCAGGAGTCAGGCCGACAAAGCCAAACACAAGCTCTTGGCTCTTGAGGAGCGAGTCAATGCCCGTCATGGCCACCTCGAGGTCGACCTTTGTCTTCTGAACCTGGATCAGCAGAGACCGGACAAGATCGCCGCGGATCGCACCGACAAAGGGACTCCTGAGCTCTTGTTCATACGCTCGCAGCACAGGCGTCACATCGCCTTCAGCCACCTTGGAGCGGATCTCGGCGAGTTGGGCATCGGTGATGGATGAATTGCCAACGGCGAAATGGGGCTTGTCCGAGGCAAAGTCCACAACCATTCGTTCCAAGCTCTCCCGGTCGGCCTTGAGACTGTCCCTGCTCATGATGGCGATTTCGCTCGACTCGTCGTGGCGTATCGTCTTGATGACCTTTGTCGTGGGCTCAACAACCCAGTTCAGCCAAAAGTCTCGCAGCGTGCTCCCAAAGTCCGTGATCCATTCAATAATGTCTGCCTTGCGGTTGACCAAGATCTTGAGGATGGTGGTCGAGGAGGTGATGCCGATGAGAGCCGGCAGCCAGTATCGAAGCAGAACCGGCGGCCGGCCGTTGTGGCTCGCAAGAGACTGCATAGCGTTGACATGCTGAGGAAGCGTCTTGTCAATGATTTGAATCAGGCGGCGAGCCAGCGTGCTTGGGCGATACGAGGTCATGTCCCCCTCGACGTGCACAGACAGCTCGGCGTCTTCTTCGACGCCCGCAAACACCTTTTCCTCAAAGTCGTGAATGTTGGCTTCCAAGCTGCATGCCTCCTTCAGAACCATGTCCATCAAAGCTACGCTACGCTCGACAACACCTTTGAGGTCTTCGTGATCCTGTGCTCCAGCACGCTCGTCATCATGCCCCAGCTGGAGGCCTTCGTCCATCAGCACTCCGAGGCCGCTGGCCGTCATTTCTCTCAGCTTTCGTAGCTGTGCCTGTTTATGCCTGGCCTCAGCTCGGCACAGAGCAACAGGCGAGAGCACCTTTCGCTGCAAGTTGGCAAACGAGTGCTCTCGGATGCTCTCGCGGACAACGCCATAGAACCTGCTCCATGGCTGCGATATGGTGGATCGTGTGGACTCGACAAGCTGGGCGGAAGCATCTGCCGCGGACATGAGGCGTAGTCGTGACCGGCTGGCTTGGTATATGTCGTACGACCACGCCCACAACCGCAGGGGGGATGTCTGCACCGCGTATATGCTGCTGTATGTGTAAGAGCTCAAGACTCCGTCCCAGTACCACATGTCATCGCTCAGGGGAATGATGCTGTCGACCAGCGTGTTGAGGATGGCTCCATAGACTTGGACCGTCGCTTTAGAGACCAAGAGCCACTCGATTTCGTTCTCGTACGGCGTCTTGGGCTGCGCATAGGCACCGCTGGATGCGCCATCGACCCGGTCCGCTATCGCAGGAATGCCTGATTCGTCGAGGAGAAGCTTGACACGCTCGATCGAGAGGAGGGGTTGCGAGGACGAGGTGGTGCTCAGCGAGCGAATGATGCTCATCAGATGGTCTAGGCGCGGGACATCAAACGCCTCGGCGGCGGCAAAGGCGTGTCCAGCTTCTGAAGCGCCATCTTCCGAGCCCTCTTCGGACAGGACTGGGAGCCGGTCGAGGTAGGCATCCAGTCGCCGCACTTGGCTATTGCAGAGCGCAGCAGCAGGTCAGCACACAGCCAGACGCACACCCAGAGGACAGGCAGGCATGCTGCCCTTCTGGAAGCTATGGGGAGGGGGAGGGGGGGGGGGGGGGGGGGGGGGCCTCAAACTCACTCGGCGACCAGCGACATGGTTCAGGATTGTATGAGCCGATGAAACAATCAGACAGGCGAACGGTCCGGCTGGCTCGACCAGGGCTAGGTAGGTTATCCTTGACCTTGTTGAATCTGCATCGATCTGGGCGGGAGCTGGACCAGGTGGCGGGTGGAGTCGAATCCGGAGGTGCTCGGACGAGACTCAGACCATCACACCACAAGCAGCGTTCGGGAGTGTAGCTGGCCGAGAGCAAGCGGGATTATCGATCCATTCGACGGTTGCCGGAGGAGGATGAGGAGAAGAGGAGGCGACTTGTCTGCGTGGGGCGGTTTGTGCCCGATTTTTCCTGAGAGCTCCAGAATATGGAACAACGGCGAGAAGATCGTTGGATGGGCTCGTACTCGGAGCGACAACGAACAGCTCACGTCATGCAGCGGGATAGGGGAGAAGGGGACCTTGACGCTGATGGCGAGGTCGAGATGATGGGAGGCAAGAAGAGAGGAATAGGCTGAGCACGATGATGTAGCTTCAATTGTATCTTGCTGTGTTTCGACGGGAGAACAGCTACAATTGGCTGCTGTGATGTCACTGATTTGCGGTGCTAGTAGAGGCTGATGGACGACGTTACAGCACTTGTAGGGCTGCTTCAGCTGTTGAACCGCTATAAGTCATTGGATTGGGCATATCGGCCATTTTGTAAACTTGTCGGGTTGACAGACAGCTCGCCACACAGACAACTGCAGTGTAGAGGAATACATACTTACCTACTATCTACAAGCAATACTACTGGGCTTTGATGGTAGTAATAGTATCCAGCATCAGGCTGTTGTGCAGGAGGACCCTTTGCAACAAGGCCGATCCGCCAATCGTTACATGGGTCTGGGTGAAAAGCAGCCCAAAGTGGTGCTTGGGAAGCCCCTGGCTGTAGGGAAAAGATACATGGTAAAAGTACCCATCATCTTTCATGCACGAGCAGCAGCATCTCAGGATGCCGCAGGTCAGCCCAAAGATGCCGCAATATTGTTACTATGTAGTACTACAAGTATGTGGAAGCGGTCAGGGCAGTGTCAAATGGCGAATCAGCAGAAACAGCAGATCAGATCGCAATAACGGCTAGACTGCAATTGGATCATTGTTAAGACATTTCTCGTTGCATGAGCGAGAGAGAGCGAGAAAGAGTGTGTGTGTGTGATCAAAGCAAGCCACAGCTCGTCAAGAAAGTGCTTATTAGCATCTGCCGCAATGCGAATACGAATGCGGGCATGCAGGAACGCGCCCAATCACAGCGCCTCGCTCGCCCATCTCTTCGCCTCTTTGACGCTCCAGTCCCTCTGCGAGGCTGCGCGGCCCGTCCGTCGCCCCCCGATTTGGCATGCCTGGATCAAACCACCGGCCATCCCCAGAGAGCCGGAAACTCTTGTTCCAGGTGGGCTCATTGCAGCTGCGACTCCAGTTTTCATTCATTTGCCATCTCCTGACTAGTAGTAGCCCGCCGTCTGCGAAAGAAAAAAAAGCGGCCAATGAACGCCTCCCAGCATCTGCGAAACCACCGATAAAAATCTCCCTTTGCGCCCCCCCACAAACGGCTCTCCTAATCCCGACTTGTCCTTTCACAGGCTCCTCTCCTTATCTACTTCACCTGTCGTCCTCGCCTCGATCTCGACAGGTTTCCCTTCCTTCTACTTTCTCTCAAGCACCGCACCTCTGGAGGGCAGATTTCCACGAGCATCTCAGCAATTGGCTCTTCATCATGGACGTGGCGTAAGTCAATTGCCTGTGCATCACTGCTGGCCTGGCAATTTTGCTAACCGCCAATTTGTACAGGAACGCGACATTCGGCGCGTTGAACCAGACGCAGGGCTACCTCACCGTCCTCGAGGAGGTGGGCAAATACAATGTCCACCTCAACTACTTTGAGCGCCTCTGGGCCGTACGTCTTCACCCTTTTTTCCCTCCGTTATATCAACGCGAAATCCGAACGAATAACTGACATTGCATCTTCCAGGCTTGGTACCTATACATGCAAAACGACACTCTGGCGACCGGCATCATGAGCTTCGTCATGCACGAGGTCATCTACTTTGGCCGCTGCATCCCCTTCATCATCATGGACAAGATCCCCTACTTCCACAAGTACAAGATTCAGAGCCAGAAGATGCCGACCCTCAAGGAGCAGTGGGACTGCGCCTCCATCGTCCTCATCAGCCACTTCACCGCCGAACTGCCTCAGATCTGGTTCTTCCACCCCATCGCCACCTACTTCGGCATGGACTACAGCGTTCCGTTCCCCTCGCTCTTCACCATGGCCTGGCAGATTGCCATCCTCTTCGTCATGGAGGATACCTGGCACTACTGGTTCCACCGCGCGCTTCATTACGGCCCTCTCTACAGGAGCATCCACAAGATGCACCACCTGTACTCCGCTCCCTTTGGTCTGGCCGCTGAGTATGCCTCGCCCATCGAGACCGCTCTCCTTGGCATTGGCGTCGTTGGCTCTCCCATCCTTCTCCTGGCCATAACCGGCGAGCTCCACCTGCTCACTATGTACGCCTGGATCACCCTCCGTCTCCTGCAGGCCATCGACGCCCACAGCGGCTACGACTTCCCCTGGAGCTTGCGCCACTTCCTGCCCGTCTGGGCCGGCGCCGACCACCACGACATGCACCACGAGAAGTTCATTGGCAACTACGCTTCCAGCTTCCGCTGGTGGGACTACATGCTCGACACCGAGGCCGGTGCCGAGGCCCACAAGAGGCGCCGCGAGAAGAAGCTGGCTCAGATCAAGGCCAAGAAGGCTCAGTAAACGACTCTGCGCCGTCCCCTCTGAGTGACCCTGCACCTAGGTGCTGGGAGAAGACACCATCTTTGAAACCGAATGACAAAAAAAATAAAGATGATGCACGAATGGAGACACACAAAACCACTTTTATGAAGAAAAAGAAAAGAAGGATTAGATTAATGGTCAGCTAAGGCCTAGCTGCGGCAGCCTCCGAGATGGCAATGGCATCATCACACGGCGTTGGGAGGGAGTGGCTTGAGCATCAACCTTGATTAATGTTTTGTATATATCCTTATACACGTACTTTGCGAACCCTTAGACATATACCTAATACAGCTCAACGTCAGGCCCATGGTCAGGAATCATTCCATGCCCCTTCAAGTGACGCCCTAGATGTCAATGAATTCACTGCATCAAAGAATCTGAGAACTGCAATACTGACGAAATTGTGAGTTGATCCACTCTATTATGTAAGCAGCACAGCGCTCTGGGTATTTTCGTGCCATAAATTTCGCGCCTCAAATCCACCCTCTTTCTTTTGCTTCCAACAGCACCACGATATTCCTTTCTCCTGCTGCCACGAAATACCACACAATGGCAACCGTGAAGCTACCTACCTGCTATCGAGACTTCTCTTGGCTCGACCATCGGCCTTTGACTCAAGGCTCCAGCCGTCGCATCAAGAAGAACGTCGCTACGCAGAACCTGCTTCGAAGGATATCAACCCGCCAAACGACCCCTTCTCTCTCTCTCTCGCAACCGGTGATTGATTCCAAAGCCAGGAAGCATCTGAAAAAACTCATCCACAGTGTCCATTTATTCGTCCCCTCCCTACTGCCTTTCATACTGCCCTGACAGCCACGCAGCCTTACGAGCTCTGGCAACTGAGACGGCTTTTTTCTTCCGTGCGTTTTTTCGGTACTCCGTCAGGGCAGAGAGCAAAACTTCTTTCGCGATTCCGATTAAGCCGGAGCGTCATCTGCCATCCTCTTGCCGAAAGGCGGGAGGTGCATAGTTGAGGCTTGACTTTGTGGATCATACATGTCTTTATTTCCCTTGTGATAAAACGCCGTAGAACGTGAAACCCCCCATTTGCGCCATTGTGATGTCTCCCAAGATGCTCTTCCTTGTGTCCTTTCTTTCCTCTAGTAATGATTTCATAACGTAGTTTGATATTCCCAAATCCCATCTCGTAGCTCGTCCAACCGCTCACTTCAGAACCGTGTGCGCGCCTCGAGCAGCTAGAAACTGCTCCGCAGAGCTCTGGGGCAGCGTCCTGATCAACCCAAACACCTCCTTGTTATGATACCGCAGCCGCGTCTTGGGATCCAGATACGGCGCAGGAAGACCCGTGATGTCGCAGTAATGCTTGGCATGCGCCAATGAAGGCGCCGACTCAATGTTCGTATACGTCGCGCTCGGCGCAGCAGACACGCCTCCGGCTCCAGCAGCGCCCCCCGGCGGCCTCAGCGTCTTCTCGAGCACGAGCTTGGACAGGCTCCGCGAGGCCTGGGCGAGGTTCGGCGGCTGCTGCGGCGGGTTCCCGCTGTTGCTGCCGGTCGCGGGCGTGGAGGTGCCGCTCGTGGAGAGGCCGTCGTCGGCGGCGGACGGGGTGGCATCGCCGCTGACGTCCTGGGGGGTCGCGAGGGCCGAGGCCTCGCGCTTGGAGGCGTCGCCGACGATGGCCTTGAGGTTCTTGTTGCGGCGCTGGTTGGGCTTCCAGTTGGGGTTGCGGAAGTTCTTGTGGATGGAGTGGATGTCGAGCTGTTCGAGGAGCTGCGTGTGCGCGATCTGCGCTTCTGTTGGGGCTGCCATGGCGGGAAGGCTGGGGCTCTGACAGAGGTTGTATTGGTAGGGTATATGATGGGGGAGGAGCGCGTTTGAATCGTCTAGACCTGTTGGTGAGGTATGGTGATGAAGCAATTGATGATGGTTTAATGTTAAAAGTTGAGAGTTGAGGCGTTCCTGGAAGTCGAGCCACGCTTAGTCAGGTGTGATGCTCTCGCTGACTTCACCGAAACCCGCAGTCGCTGAAGCAAGGTGCTAGACTCTAACGCCCCTCTGTAGGTAGTTCCGTCTCATCAACAATCACCCATCACCAAGTCTGTAAAGGCATCTGAACGAAAGACAATGGTATCTCATTCTCATTTTTTATAGACATACACATGACAACTTGCTAATGCAAGTGCAGGAGAGCCCCCACGAGCATCAGCAGAGCTTGCTGCTATCGCGCATCATCACAAACGTCGTATGGCCACTCCACCAACAACACCGAGACAGGCCGTGGCTGACGAATCCAGGAAAAACTAAACGAAGCAATCGTTGTCATGAACAAGAGCCTTCAGGTCAGGAAAGACAAGAGCCCATGTTGATTGCCGTAATCACTCACACCGCGCAGGAGATCAACGTCCAGAACATGAATGTCGAGCTCGTCGCCCAGATGTTCAAGAACTATCAATCCAACGTCCTCTTTCATCTAGAAGGTCAGTCTTCTACGCCTAGTCTGGAAAACGCCACGAGTATGGGCTTGATTCTGATATTGACTGTGTTTCGAAGCGACGGACAACCTCAAGCCTCCTTCATAAGGTGATATGTACCTACCGGAGCATGATATTGCTTGGCCGAGCTGCAAGGAGATGAGACTATGACTGTATTGATAATACCCCAAGGGATGGCGCATATGGATTCAGGAAACAGTGGGCAAGAACAAAACTTGAAAATCTAAAAATCAATTAATTCGAACATCATGGGGTCGTATGGCGTCTGGTGGAATCCTGTGCCATCTGAAGCCATCTGAAGCCATCGGTGACACGGTGCCATCCCATGTACTGCTACTTGTGCTCCCTGCCTCCAAACCCGTGAAGCTCCCCAAAAAGAACGTCGACGCGCTTGTTTTAGCGGTGGACCCACGCCCAGCATTTGCCGTCATCAGCCTCGCAGCCTCGCGATTGTCCATTGAACCTTTTCAAGCTCGCCAACTTTTGTTGCAGCCCATCAATTGGTCATCCCTCGATTCCCGCCATCCATCAGAACTCGCGCCAGCGCCCACCCGAATCATCTCCTCTTCCACCAACATGGTCTCTATGTGTTGAGGCCCAGTACGACTTCCATCATACACCTTTCGTGCGACGACTCCCTTCGAGACGAAACGAAATCATGGCGCCCTCCGCGATCGATGACCGAGTGCCCCAGGCGCCCCAAGAAAAGACGTATCCGCCTGCCAAGATTTTCCCCGTCAAGGAGACCAAGTTTGAAAAGTTCATCGAGCCCCAGACCGACGGCCGGAAGAAGGCGCTCGAGCAGCCCGGCAATGCTGCCATCGTGATAGACAATGGTCCGCCATCGCAGCCTCGAGCAACCGGGAGGGAGGCAATCTGGCTGACAGTTCTATAGGCTCCTCCGCCGTTCGAGCAGGATGGTCCTTTGAGTCCGCACCCCGTCTCAACATCCCGCCGATTATGGCCAAGTACCGCGATCGAAAGCTCGGAAAGACGTTCTCATTCGCCGGCTCGGATTGCTACGCTGATACGACGGCCCGCGGGCATATTCGAAACGCATTCGAGGCGGGCACCGGCATCATAAGCAACTGGGACGTGGCGGAGCACGTCCTGGACTACGTGTTCTTGAAGCTGGGCATGAACGAGGCCGACGGCGCCATCGATGTGCCCATTGTCATGACAGAAGCGGTCGCGAACCTGCCATATTCAAGAAAATGCATGTTCAATTCACGGCTGGACGACTCAGAGGTAGCGGAAAGCTGACATTCACCCGTGTAGCCATGACCGAAATCATCTTCGAATGCTACGGCGCACCGTCGCTCGCGTACGGCATCGACTCGCTCTTCTCATACAGGCACAACAAGGGAAAGACGGGCCTGGTCATTTCCTCCTCCCACACCTCTACCCACGTCATTCCCGTCTACAACTCCAAGGCGCTTCTCTCCCAGGCCACGAGACTGAACTGGGGCGGCTATCACAATGCTGAATACCTGCTGAAGCTGATTCGGTTAAAGTACCCTGCCTTTACTGGTAAACTCAATCAGTCACAAGCAGAGCACATGGTGCAAGACCATTGCTACGTCTCAACGGACTACGACAACGAGATCCGCAATTACCTCAACTGGGAAGGGTTGGAAGATCGAGACATTGTGATCCAGTATCCGTACACAGAAGAAGTGGTCGTCCAGAAGAGCCAGGAGGAGCTGGACCGCATCGCAGAGCGAAAGAAGGAGAGCGGGAGGAGGTTACAAGAGCAGGCGGCCAAGATGAGGCTGGAGAAGCTCATGAAGAAGGAGCAGGATCTCGAGTACTACAAGAATCTACAAGCCCGCTTGACCGACGAGACGAAAAAGGAGACGCGCCGCCTTCTCGACAGCCACGATATCAAGGATGAGGCACAGCTCGAGAAAATCATCAAGGAGCTCGAAAAGTCCATCAGAAAGGCCCGCACAAAGGATCTCGGCGGCGATCCTGAAGAAGAGCAAGAGCAGCCAGACTTTAGCCTGTTGGACGTTCCGGACGAGGAGCTTGACGAGGCCCAGCTGAAGCAGAAGCGGCAACAGCGTCTTCTCAAGTCCAACCACGAGGCCCGAGCTCGCGCAAAGGCCGAGAAGGAGGCCGAGAAGGCTCGCATTGCCGAGGCCGAGCGCCTTGACCAGGAGCGTCGCGAAAATGACCTCGAGGGCTGGCTGGAGGAGAAGCACCAAGCGCTGCAAGAGACGCTGCAGAAGATCAAGGAGCGCGACAGGCTGAAGCAGGACCTGGGCAACCGCAAGTCCCTGGCGTCCCAGATCCGCATGAAGAGCATCGCCAACCTGGCGTCGGACAACCCGACCAAGAAGCGGCGGCGCGGCGGCGACGACGACAACTTTGGCGCCAACGACGACGACTGGGGCGTGTACCGGCAGATTGCCGTCGGCGACAACAGCGACGAGGAGCAAGAGGAAGAGGACCTGGCGTCGACGCTCAAGTCGCTGGAGCAGGACCTGCTCAAGTACGACCCCAACTTCACCTACGACAACACGCAGGAGGCGCAGACGGTATGGTCCAAGTCGCTGCTGCACGCCTTTGCGCGCGGCCCGCGGCCGTTTGACCCGTCGTCGCAGGCGGAGCTGCACCAGATCCACCTCAACGTCGAGCGCATCCGCGTGCCCGAGGTGGTCTTCCGGCCGTCCATTGCCGGCGTCGACCAGGCGGGCATCATTGAGATTGCGGGCGACGTGCTGACGCAGCGCCTGGGCGGCCTGCCCAACCGGGACGACTTCCTCAGGGACATCTTCCTCACGGGCGGCAACACCCTGTTCCGCAACTTTGACGAGCGCGTGAGGGATGGCCTGAGGGCGCTGCTGCCCGCGGAGGCGCCGCTGCGGGTGCGCAGGGCCGAGGACGCGCTGCTGGATGCCTGGAAGGGGGCTGCTGGGTGGGTTGGCACGCCGGCGTGGAGGGCGGCGGCGATTTCGAGGGACGAGTATCTGGAGAAGGGGCCGGAGTATATCAAGGTGAGTCTCTTCTGCTTGACGATGCCCCGTCGCCGTTTTTCTTACTTTGCCTTTGAGTGAGTGAGAGAGAGAGTGTGTGTGTGTGTGTATGTGCTAACTGCTGTTGATCCATCTGCAGGAACATGACATGGGCAATTCATACGCGTAGGGCTGTTTCGACTTTTGGGGGGAAAGTTATCTCTATACCTACTTTTCACTGCTGCTAGGCTTTCTTATCTCTCATAGTGTGACACTACATGTACCTTTGGTCTCCTAATGTTCAGTGCCCGGGTCATCTATCGAATTCAGACGCCAGATGCCAAATCTTTCAAGATATTGCGATTTCGGCACAGAGCATGCACATCAAGTAATCTGCATGAACGAGCCTTTCTTTATTCTTCTAAAAGCGCTCTCTCCGGTATTTCGTTTCAATATCTTGAAGGTTTTCCGTTGTTCGATTGCGGCTACTACATTCCCATCAAAGGGGAGTGCAAGGGGGCATCCTGGAACAACACCCAATTCACACCCAGCTACTACACACAATACCCTCTAAGCTCCACAACACGTCAAGCACTCACACACACAAAGGAAAACACATGAAAGGTTAAGATTCAGATTAGACACACAAGAGGTCTCCCGGAACGCCATCCCGTCAATTTAACCCCTCCTCCTTTCCTTACTGAAGAAAAAGTAAAAAAAGACAGACAAAGAAAATAGAAAACACGAAAGCTGCGTCTGGGATTATATCTGCAACACACACAACGCAATGACAGCCCCGCAACGCCTCCAAAAAACAACAAATGACCGGGGAAAAAAAAAGGATAGGTAGGAATCAGAGAAGACAGTGAAGAGGGGGGGGGGCTTAGTCTGAACCCCCAAAATCAAAGCGTGAAATCAAGCGTGAGACCCGGTGGCGGCACCTAGGATTGACCAGGCCGTGCTTCAGAGTTGATTGGCCTTTCCAAGTCTTCTGTCGCGGCGCGGGAGTTGGCATCCTGTTCGCCTGGCTGTTCCGCCTTGAAGGGCGGGCTGGGGTACGTCTGCGCGCGCTCAACCATCTGTTCCTGGGCGGCCAGACCGGCAACGGCCTGCGCAACGGCCTCAAGAGGCGTGCCGACACCCGAGTTGCTGCTGTTGGTCGGCTGCGGCGGCGGAGGTTGCTGGTGCTGGTGAGGGTGCTGCTGGTGGTGCTGCTCGGGAGCGGTCGGTGGAGGCGGCGCGGCAGTCGACGGCTGCGAGAGGTTCACGTTGGGGGGAGGCGGCGGGAATTCGCCCTGCGTATCGAGCAGTCGAGATTGGAGGTGGATCACGTATTCCCGAAGCGCGTAGTTTTCGGATTGCATCGACTTGTACGAGAGCTCCAAATCGGCCAGGTCTCTAACCTGCTGCTCGAGCTTCTTGATGTAGCCCTCCTTGCGCTGGCGGAAAGCTCGCTATGGCAGAAATAAAAAACAAGAGCCGTCAGCAATTGCACCGCCATTGACATTGAATGAGGCCACTCTTGGGCTCAACACGGGTATTTGTCGCCCAGCGTATCGACACGGGGGCGCGATGGCGATGCGCAATGGCTTGTCGCGAGACCTGCGAGCGAATCCGGAGGAACCCGGCGAGGGACTGCTCAAACAAGACATGGCGACATTGACCAACAAACATCGTCGCGACAAGGGAAGAGAGCCAAGACGACAGATGGCGCAAAACTCACCTGAGCAGCTCGGTTCTGGGCGGCGCGCTTGGACTGCGACAGCTCGCGCTTCGCCTTGCGACCGTCGGCTGGGTTGGAGTCGTCTACGGGCATCTGCTGCGGCGGCGCGGGGGCCAGCGGCACGGCTGAGGGCCCCGGAACGGCGGGACCGGGGCTGTGGCCGGCGGGAGGGACCATGGGCATCATGTTGGCGGCGGGCGCGTGGCCGACGGAGGCGCGGAGGTCGGGGTGGATGTGCGCTTCAGCGTCTAGCTTGGCGAGGGGGCGGGCGACGTCTTGAGGCGGCAGGGCGTCGTATCCATTCGGGGGCCGCGACGGAGGGCCTCGGGGATCGCGCGCGCTCGAGGTGGGCGAGGCTGACGAGGCAGCGGAATCGTGGTTCTGGAGGAGCTCGAGCTGTGCGCGCAAGTGCTGTTCTGTGGCGGCCGCGCCTGTTAGCTCAGCGTCCATTGTCGCCGTCCAGGGGAGGAAGAGTGATGGTTTAGGACATGGGGGAGGAAGCGAGGCAAGAGGGCTGAGGTTTGGTCTGGTCCAATGGAGGCGTCAATCGAGCCAGCGACCACAAGGCAATGCCCGACTAAGGCATGCCGTGCCGCGGCGAAGCAACTCGCGTTGCCGTGCTGCTGCTGCTGTTCCCAGAGCCGCTGACCTTGGAGCAATTGCTTGCTGAGGAGGTGTACGGACCGTCGGGGCCAAAGGGTTGCGCCAAAGGTGATTATAGATCAGCTGTAGCTGGACGTGTAGGCGGAGACGCTGGGCTGGTGGGTGCAGCAGCAGCCAAGTCGGAAGATAACAGGGGGTCTGATTGTGCAGGCGGTGGTGAGGAGAGCAAGTCGAGACAGAAAGTACCTCCAGCAGCAGAAGAGACAGTGGGAAAAGGGTGCAGCAGCTGGCGATGTCGATCGAAGCTGGTGCTGGTGCTGGTGCTGGTGCTGGTGCTGATGCCGATGCTAGCGGGAGCAACGCCGCAGAGGCACAAGCAACAGACACGGGCAAAGGAATCGGATTTCAAAGCAGCGCCGAGCCGAGCAGGGGAAAAGACGAGCTGAGTGACGAGAGGGCCAGAGGCAAAGCCGGAGAGGGTCAAGACGAGGGCAGATGCAGGAAGAGCAGCAGAAGCAGAAACAGAAGCAAAAGCAGAAACGAAAAAAGGAAGAACAGCAGAAGCAGAAGCAGAAGCAGAAGAGGTACGAACCTTGCGTGTTTGCGCCAGTGTTGGCAGGAGAGCTCTGCATTGCTCGAGGACTCTGACTCAGCATCCGGGAACACGAGCGAACGCAGCTTTTGGGGCGCGAAGAGGGAATAATAGTAGGTAATAATAATAAAAAAAAGTTGGTTATTAAGGCAGATGATGATGAGCTGTCGCGGGTGCTTTTTTTTTTGATGACTACACACAGAGCAGCCAGCGCAGTTCCGGTTCCTAGAGGGGGGCGCAGAGGATTGCTGACGTGAAACATGGGAAGAAAATCACAGCTTGGTCGAGTTTGGAAGCGTGGATGCGACGGGATTATGTAACGCGGCGGCGTGGCGGGATCTCGTGCGAAAATGGCGTGGCTGGCGGGCTTGTGCAGGTACTCTGCGCTCCGTACAGTGCGAGCCTGGGCGTCGTATTCCCTTACTACTACTACTACTACCTAGGTACTTTCTGTCCGTCTTGACCTTTTTCCTCTGTTCTCCTTCTCCTTCTTCTTCGATGTCGTGTCTTTTCCTTCTTCTTTTTGCCTTTTTACCGTACCTTAGCTGCGTAGGTACTACGATGGATCCGTCTCTGCTTATGTAGCTGTGCTATTAGTACGGATACTATTACTGCGTTGCCATGCAGTGCGCATGGCTGGGGCTGGATGATGACTGATCGGATGCCCGGACGCGGAAAGGTTGGGTAATCACAGACGGACTTTTCCAATGACACCCAGCATGAAAATAGCGGGACGACGACAAGGGCTGCCGAATGTCAAGTACTAAGGTATCATGTTCTGTTGTTCAAGTTGCATTTCCCTCGAGCACAGTAAATGACTGCATCAAGTTGTCCGGACCCTCGACCAGACATCCAGCTGCAATACCTACCTAGTACTGTGATACTGTGCACAGCTCCCGAGGTGCCAGATGTTGTTGCTGCCTGTGCGTGTGGGTGAAGCTTCGGCTTTTTTGCGTTGGAATACATGGACGTGACGGCGCGGTACCTGCGGATACCTGGAGCCTCGCACGCGCCAGCACCGGCCGGTACATCCGAATACTGCAGGCTTGCCGAGTCGTGCCACGTACCGCATCTGGTCCTGCCGTTGCGGCTCCGCGTGCCGCCAAGTCGCCGGCATGTATTGCTGTTTTTGGGCCGTGTTGTCTTAGCAGCTGGGGTGATGGTTCAACTTACCGAATCTCCGTGTCAATGTGCAATAAGGTATTACTACTCCATCGAGGAATCGAGCAACTCTGCACACCTAAGCCATGGAGTAGGTATTATTTCCATATGCATGTTGTCTTGCCTTTTCTATTTGATCATCCAGACACCACTTGTGCTGGCTACTTACCTACGTATGCAAAAAGAGCAAACCGTATAGAGCCCCTCCACTTCGTTCACCAGATGCACAGTATCACTCACACGCATCTCCAACATCGCCAGCTACCACCACCAACAACAACACGACAAACCTAGGTGATAGTGGACACAATCATCCCAAATTCAGCCACGTCGCAAAAGGCACGTCTCCTCCTCCTCTTTTCTTCTTCCCATATGTTTTGTCAACGCCTGCGGGCGCCTCGGACACAGACTCAACGCCGGTCCAGCACAGCACAGAAAAATAGGGCCGCAGAGTTGCATCACGTCAAATCCCGAGTTTGTCAGCATTGCTGAGTTTTAACCGCTTCAGGCATGGCCGGATTATGTCATGTTTGATAAGAAGTGGAGCCTCCTCCGTGTGCTGCCTCAGGCTCTGGGCAGGTCCGTCGTTTTCTCTCCTCCGGAAGCGGTAAACGCTGTTTGCTTCCGCTCCTTGTACCAAGAAGACAAACCAGCGCCGACTTCCAATGATGAGATACCCGCGGGTACGAGCACTGGCTCTCCCACTGACCCGAGGAAGGAACGCTTACAGTGTCAATCCAGTGTGTCACACGATGCCGCAGCACAGTGCATCGGTTGTCCCTCCTTGCACAGTCAGCCAACCTCTCTTCCTCTTCTTCTTCTCCCATGTTTCTCTCTGCTAGTAGCTGTCTCCAATGACGCCGCGATTCCGCCTCGGGAGGGTGTCCGGCTGGTGGCACTGATTCGCCCATTCGACCCCTTGTTCCTTTTTTTTTGTCTTTTCTGTCTGCCGCTTTTTACGTGATGACATGGCCCGCGACTGGCATGGGCAACACAAGCTGGAATGAGGAGCTTATTTCCGAGCCTAGCACGGATGTTCTCCCGGGACGTCGCCTTTCTTCCCTCTCTCGATGACAGGCGCAGGACAGGGCGAGACGAGACAAGCTTCTGGGCGGGCCGTGTCACAGGCGCAAGTCGATGGCTTACGGCTTACCTATGTGCTTGCCTTGCTTTCTCGGATTGCATACATAGGCTCCTCGGTGATGCTGCCAACTGACAACCACGTAGTCAACCCCAAGCACCTCGATGGATCACTAATACGCGGGTGACGCTCATGGTCTCACGGCACGTCTCCATACTCGTATGTATTTGTCCCGAGGCGGCTAACCTCATACACTGCTGCGATTACGGATGCTCGCCCAGACATCCATACTGTACATACAGACGGGAGCAATGGCGTGAGCGGGCAGCAAGAGAGCTGTGTCCGCCCTCGACTGAGGAGCAGGGGCTTTCGGGTTATCTTCACATGGACCTGCATGGCACCGTTCAAAAGCAGCTCTCAGACTATTCGCCGTCCCAACGAGGTCTTGAAAACACAGCCTGCGGAGAACGAAGCGAGAAGCTCCAAGAATGCACTTTCAGGCGTCAGCCGGGCTTTGGGCCACCTACACACAGTTGTACCTACGAGTGCCAGCGCTATTGCTCGTGTCATGATATTACCCCGTCTTTCATTGCTGTGCTAGCCACGACCTACGGCCAAGCTCAGACGACGGACGACCAGCTCAGCTTACTTCACTAGCAACTTGAATGCCGATTGCCATTTCCAGTCTTGTGCCTCGGCAAGTCCCGTTTTACCTAATACTGCTGAAGCTTCCAAATCTCGATATAGAATAGCCTCCCCGTCTATCAAGGGCGGAGTTCAACTGTGACACGCGACATGGTGGAAGTTTTCATTGTCTACCGTGTCCAACACTTGCTGAGGAGAGACTGACCATTCAGTCATGAGGCATTGGGTGATTATGCCGGCCTTCAACAGCAGCAAGGGGTTCATACATATAGTATCCAATGGACAACGTCGGTTTACATACAAACATGGACGTGGGTCAGCTCATCCGGCCTGCTGCTTTTAGAAGGGCTGGGCGGTATTCTTGGCCGGCTCTTGAACAGCTTCCCGCCCTTCCAGACGTGTGTTATGTTGTTGGGGTCCGTCAGGACGCCGACATCATTCAGCGGGTTCTCGGCAACGGCGATGATGTCGGCATCATATCCCACCCTGAGTTGCCCGCTCAAGGGCGCCATTCCTCCCAGCGTCTCCGGCCCATTGGCCGTTGCGCACTCGATTGCCTGGAGCGGCGTCATGCCCATCTCAACCGCGTACGTGAGCTCGTGGGCATTGTTGCCGTGTGAGAGGGCAGACGTCCTGGCGCTGCTCGTCATGTCTGTGCCAAGGGCAATCTTGACTCGCTTCTTGATGGCTAGCTTATATGCGTCCTTGGACTTGTCGATGATGCCAAGCAGCTTGCGTTTGACTGGCGGAGGGAGCTGGTCGCCATAGTCACGAGCTAGGATGCGGACAATGTGCTGCGTAGGGACGTAGATGGCGTCCTTGTCCAGCATCAGGTCGGCCGCCTCCTCGTCGAGGTACATGCCGTGCTCGATGGACTTGACGCCCGCTCGAAGCGCAGACATGATGCCCGCCTTGCCGATTGCGTGCGCTGCCACGGCTCGTCGGCTCCTCGCTGCTTCGTCCACCATGGCCTTGAGCTCTTCGTCTGAGAACTGGCGATCCTCCGGGTCGTCGTTCAAGCTGCCTACACCGCCGCTGGAGCACACTTTGATGCAGCGAGCGCCTCGGCGCACCATCTTGCGAACCGTCTTGATGCAGTCGTCAACGCCATCGCAGATGCCAATGGGGCTCCCACCGCAGTTCATGGCCGCCGTGACGGTGTCGAGGGGCGATGAATGGTCGTCGCCGTGGCCTCCGGTGATGGACAGCGCAGCAATGGACGAATAGATGTTGGGACCGATGAGCGGGCCGTTGTGCACAGCAGGCCACACGTCGCCGCCATAGCCGCCCAGCTCGCGCACCGAGGTGTAGCCCGCCATGAGCGTCGTCTTGAGATCGTCCACCGTGACGGCGCCGCCCAGGGCATTGAACCCGGGGAGGTACGCGCTGGGCGCGGCCCAGGTGCCGAGGACGTCGAGTCCGACGAAGTGGACGTGGACGTCCCAGAGGCCGGGCATCAGGACGGGGACATGCCTGGGGGGGATGTTGTGGTATTTGGGGGGCACGTCGTCGTGGCGTCCGATCCAGTCGATTTTGCTGCCTTTGATGGCGAGGACGCCATTGTGAATGGGCTCTCCGCGGCCGGGGATCAGGAGTGTTGCGGAGATGAGGGAGATGGTTTTGGCGTCTTCGATTGGGGGCTCTGAGGCGATGTGTGTTGGGGGTTGAGGGGGCTGGAGAGGGACACGCATGACGACGGATAGAGATCAATCACAAGCGATATGAATGTGAGTATCTGAGGTGAGATAAGGCAGGAGACGTTGCCCAAGAAGATGGGAGCGAGAAGGATAACACTGAGCAGTGACCATACCGGAATATTGGTCCTTTTTATAGCTGTTGCCTGTATTTGATCTATCAACATCCCGGAGCCAAGCCTCCAACGGATGCGAGCGACTTGTCCGAAAGAGGATCTTGGCTAAATATCATTATCTGATCCTAACAAAAGGACTTTTTGGGGAAGCGGGATGATTGACTGGGGAGTTTTGACGTGCGGAGTGGTTAAGTTGGGGTTGGCGAGTGCCGCGTGGAGGATGACGTGTGAAGTCTTATTCATGCTCCGTTCATGTCTATGTTTTCGGCAATGGGTTGATGAATGGAGTATGGAGGAATGAGATCAATGAGAGTCCAGTGTCAATTGTTTGCTCTTATTTCTTGGTAAATGACGTCTTGTGAGATGGAAATGCTTGCAGAAAAGATTACATATTACCCTGGAGTCCGGTCGGTAAAAGAGAAGAACCAAATCCCTATCCAGCACCACAGCAACTTCAGGTTGGCTATCCAGCATCCCGGCAGATTCAAATCTTGATGACTGCTGCTGCTGTTGCTGCTTATATAGATAGATAATACCTGAATTCTACTCTCTGCCACTTGAGACTACGTGATTGTAAGCATCTATAGACGTTATATAGATAGGGCAGCTGAAGAGCTCTATACCAGCGTGTTGACATGTATAAACCTGGGATGCTGGATAGCCAAATGGGGGTGCTAGATAACCACACACTAAAAAGAAGCCAAACCGTTGGCAACCCATTTTAACGCATCATCAAACCTGCATCTTGCATTACAAAACAATCACACCAGCCCTCGTCCACCACCACTTTTCAAACCCCACAAGGAAGAAATGCCACGCTTAACAGTCCCGTCTCTCTTCATCTCCAAAGCCACACCATTTGCAAATTCCGCCGTCAGACAAACGAGATTCATGTCTTCCTCGCAAGCAGCACCCAAGCCGGACAGCCTCCTCGTGTCCAATGGCGGGAGGTGGACGCTGACGGCTGATGGAGAGGCGCTGGAACGGAGTTTCAAGTTTAAGACTTTTACCAAGACTTGGGTATGCTTTTCTAGTACTTTTCTAATTACTCACTCACTAGGCTGCAAGTTGAGAATATTTGAGAGAAGAGTTGTTGGCTGATTTGGTTCTGGGAATAGGACTTTATGACGGCCGTTTCGCTGCAGTGCAAAATCCATAACCACCACCCGGAATGGTCCAACGTACGTACTCCCTTTTCTCTTTGGAAAAAGCCACACAACTACTGGCCAAAAGCTTTCAAAAGCACCAAATGCTGATATATTGAGCTCATGTACATCAGGTCTACAACACGACATTCATTCGCTGGACAACACACGTCCCCAAGGGCCTGTCAGAAAAAGACATCAACCTAGCTTCCATCTGCGATTCCTTAGCCAGGGACTTTGGTGAACTGGAACCGGAGCCGGAAACGTCGAGCTGTGAGATGAGGGGTTTGGCGGATGAGGTTGTCAAGGATGGGAGTTGCTGTGTGAAGAAGTAGATGCTGGTACAGTCCGTTGAACTTATATATGAAGAATGCTACTTGTCGTTAGATTGTTCTGGTAAGAGATACATGTATGTACTCTATCATGAGTTGAAGAAATCGCGGCTTTGAATTGGCCCTCTCTCAATGTTTGAGACTCCTGCTCTGACAGTCGTCCTCATGCACCTCGATTCCTCCTCATACTGTTCTCAACCCATGCAACCCCCCCAAAAACCACTTCCTCGAGAATCTTTACGAAGACTCCGTATCATTGGCCTCTTTACCGGAGCGCACTGGGTCTCCATCAAAGCACAACAGATGCCTCTGCTGACTTACAAAGCGGCGTTGCTTGTCAAGATGGCGTCAATTTTCTGTATGGTTTGCCATCGTTGCACGTCCTCAAAGAAGAATGTGCCAGTCGATAGTGAAGAAGGACAGCTGAAAGTGCGGCCTGTTATGCCTGACGCTCCGCCGGTGCATCGCATATCCACAACGCGCCATCGGGTTCAGACAAAGGAGGCGCCTGAGAATTTGAATGCTCTGTGGCGACATTTCGCATCCTCTTCTGCTTCAATCAGTTGTTTGTTGAAAGGATTGTCTGGTAATGGTCGTGTGATGTAAAGCCAGTGGTGGGAGCAGCTCAGGGTTCTCGACGTCCGCTTGGCCAGAGCGCCCTGTGGAACAGACACACACACCACACACTCTCTGGTATGTGGTTCATAGTCTGTATGACTGGAGGTCTGATTCTTTGGCTGAGACTTGCTAGATATCGTCGACGCGTGTTGATCTATTCATGATCTGTGGAGAGCAACCCCGATAGGGTTCTGCTGGCCGTGGATGCGTAAAATCGAATGCAGTCATGGGCACAGCCGTGATATATTGTCGATAAGTCCCACGTCTTCTGACGCCCCGATAATACAGTGATCTGTTCCGTCATTTGCATTTGGCGCGTCTCCTCTATTGTACGTCTTTGGTAGATTCCCAAGACCAATAGTCTGCATCAATGGCACCCAACCGTCATCCTTGATCGCAACTAGTAGATGTATTGTATTTGCTGAGATAGGCTCGGAGCCTATAGTGGGTGGTATCCTCGTGGCTGTCTAGAACCACCAGAATATTGCTCTTGGAAGAAGATAATACAGTAAAGCCTCCTGGTTCATGTTACTGTGCTTGAAATGCGCTGATGGACTGACAGAAGAGGACGTTTGTGCTCAGCATACCTGACACTTGTCAGTCCATTTCCAAGTCGCTCTTTTCCTAGCTGATGCCGTGATCTTGTACCGGTAGCCCATCCTCCGTGTCTGTGGGAATTGAAAGCAGCGCCCGGTAACGTCTTTGCAATGGCAAAGTCAATCTGGTTCTCCCGTGCCCCGGAACTCCCCCCCGAGGGCGCCATCAATTCACCTCCAAGATTCCGTACCTCTACCTCATGCTCGTCATGATGTTCCATCTGTACTACCTTGGTACTGGGGTAGTTCCAGTCCCGGCCCCTTCCACCCAGCGTCGTGGAATCTTGCGTTTTTCGTCGATGTAATCCGCTTGATAGAGCGGCTTCTCATCAAGGCCATCCGGCATGAACGAGAGCTGCAACCCGCTGTCATTAATTATGTGTGATTCGAGCAAATCCATGGCATATAACCGGCCCTTGAGAAGGAGCTGTCTCTCAACAGGCCAGCCGATCGTAATGATGGGGCTCACGAAAGCCTCCAAAGTCGATGTTTCCAGTTGAGATGGGTATTGTTTCCCGTCTTCAGCGGCCCTGTTGTGCAGCGAGCATGAATATTATTATTCTGTTGTGATAGACCGTCGTAAGCGGAAAGAGAGCGATGTACTAGGAGTACTTCGGAAAGTTGCCTCACTCTCGTGATTGTAGTCTCTGTATAGCACATGATCTAAACTCTTTGATGACCACGATAATGTTTTGTAACCAGTTGATGACGCGGTAGATATCGACTCAAAGACAAGGGCTACGACGACCAGATGGCGACGTTACCACTGTGTCATATCGCCTAATCTGGTTGGAGCAGTAGCCACACTCTGGTCCAAGTCTGAGATGGTCACCGATCAAGCTGGCAGAAACACCATGGTCGGGGTGTGTAAGTGGGAAGTTGGAGAAGTCGCTTCGACTGATGGTGAGAAGATAAAGGGCTGGCGAATTTCTCCTTCGACTTGTGGTGTCTTCTTTCTCTTGCACGAGTCAAACAATCATCGCCAGGTAGCATATCTGTGGATAGGAGAAGACGTCGCGTTGAAAAGATCATCAACAGGTATCGTCTGCCATACTGTTGCTGCGAAAAGCTCATCATCTGAGTCCAGCGCGATTCTCCAGTCAGTGATTGTTTCTGATACTTTGTTAAGCGTACCTTGTGGTGAGTAAGTAGTGCGCGGGTGCCGAGCTTCATCAAGCATGATCCCAGACTGGAACTTCTCCTTGTAGGCGCAATAGTCTTGGAGAGTCGACGAGGCGAGGCCTCTCGAGCCGAGGTCGGATAACGAGAGCGCCCGAACGCAGGCCAGCAAATTTAGAGTTCTCGTATATATGGATGTCCATGTGTTTCTCTATGTCTGAGAACAGCCATGATCGCGTGGGTTTGTAGTGTTTTCGTAACGCCGGTGAATACCTGATCGTTACATCTTCAGTTCTTTGGGATCCTATCAGTCCTGTGCCATCGAAAGCCGTAGATGGCTCCTTGATGGTTTGATGAAGTGATTGTATGGCACTCCGATCCATTTGAGGCAGGGTTGTAGTGTACAGTCATGACTGAAAGTGAGCCTCGTGGTGTAACTATATCGTGTAAGGCAAGTTGTGTCTTTGGTCCCACGACGTCCAATGTCGTGGAAGCCAAGCAGCTCAAAGGTGATTGAACATGATTTGCCCGAGCTCCCACAGATAGCCGCAGGTCGTTCGGACGTTTGGAAATCGTAAGTAAAGGAAGTTATGCATCCACCACATAAAAGGTGACCAATGGGGGAGACAAGTCCCTTATTGAGCCACGAATAGTTGGTGTAGAACACGTCTCTCTCATCGGCAGAATCGTTTGGAGGCAAGCATGTCGCATGAATTGCGAGCATCTGAAGTCCGCAATTGACCTGGGCGCTTGGTCTGCCTCTATCGACAGATGACCAGCGAGAGACTATTGGCAACGTGAACGACAGCGTAAAAGTCCGGGTCGTGAGCTTCTGAGGGCAAAGGTTCTGCTGTAGCAACGATAAATGGGTTGCTACAGTATGTGAGGAATCCGTTGGGCTGCTTGCGCAGTTTCGGGACGCTCTTGATAGCGAACGCCAGCTCGGGGCTGGCTGCCACTGTATTTGTTGCTGTTTATATGACGATCAAGGTGTTGCTTTATTCCCTCCGCATGACTGTCCAACTTCAAATGTCAGATCTTGAGCACGCGTTGTCATGACTGCATCCCTCCTTTCATCAATCGCAAAGGCAGGGGTCCAGCCCCCAATCTGGCCAAGTCATGGATAGCGACCTCATCCTGGTGACTGGGAGAGGCGACATAGGCTCGAATATCGACGTTCTTCTGCCGTTGTTATCCGAAAACTTTCAATTTCGAAAATCAAACGTGGTCCTCGGTAAACTGCTGTAAACAGCGTCTTTGTAGGAAGTAGGACGAGAATATGCGCCAGTGTCGGAAACAGTTTTTGCATGGAATCTCGATAGATTGCTCACATCAGGATCGCCGTCCATCCAGAAGAGGCCAGAGGCCATGGTTGTGAGCGCTTCCCTTTGCCTGCCACTCCAGCCGATACCAAGACTCGTTGACGTGGAGTTTTGGCATCAACGCGAGGCGGAGCAAGGAGGTCAAACAGATAGGGAAATCCCTGTTGGCATACACTATCAGTATACTGTCATCTGTTCAGTATCATGAATACCACTTACGGCCGACCGATGGGGCCGATATCTGTCTATCTGTGAATTCTGCAGCATTTGAGTTATAGAACCTGATGATCTTTCTTGAATGCTGTATAGGTTTTTGACCTGGTACCTGGAAGAGATACATCTTGAATTTGTTGGTCTTGTATGTGTCGTCAAGGAGAGCCGGTAAGCACCCGCCACGGAGGCTCTCCCAATGGAGGCTGGGACTCTAGGTGCCTTCGATAACAAGGTAGAGCTCAGGGTAGTCTCCGGATGAATGATGTGACAAGCTTCTGTACATGACCTGCCAAAATGTTCGGTGGTGGATGTTCCCAGCGTGAAACTACTGTGTGGTTGTGGGTGCAAGCAGGCAATAGCTTGGTGTTGAGCCGTGATATCGATATTGGACTGTGATATCGATCTTGAACTGTCATATTGATAATGAACTCCGTGGACTCATATGGTTTCTGTAGTGGGATGCCTTTCCCAGCAGGGGAGTTTGCTCCTCGATGGCAGTGGTATCGCATCCACCTACAGGTGGACTGCCAACAGCGAGTGATGAGAAGGGTTGTGTCGAGTCCATTGGAACTTCTTCTGTGCGGCGTCAAGATGATGGCTGCTTCCTGTAAAGGCGTATCCCCGAGAAGTACACATGGAAAACAGTGCTTGATGATATCAGCGAATGTCTGCCCAACTGTTAGTACAGGGAGATGCTCACCTGAGGCAGTCTTTCCTGGGCCGGATGTTGATCTTGATCAAGTGCCGTAAGGCTGCTCTTCCTCGAGAGATGCCCATCATACAGCCTCCAACGTTGTTCTGTGCCGCGGCAGATCAAGCAAATTCCGGGCGGGACATTCAGGGTCAGGCGGTAATGACAGTTCTCTCCGGGCTCGGATTCAGCGCCAGATCTGCATCAGGGTCCCAAGAATTTCAGAAGTCAGCAGTCAGAAACATGGCGAATTTGACTTGGACTGCAACCTACCTTGAATCAACAATGTGTTCCCCCGATGGTACAATGATCCTTGGGTGTCCTCGTTTATGAGTAAGTGTAGCATCAACCGTCTCCGTGTATTCGCCTCTGTGTCGGGTAGGCAGCATTTTCTAGTGAGGCCGCGTCTGTGGAGGGTTCTGGTGCGTTTGGCTGTAGGTTCCGTTTCCTCTTTCGTGAAACTCCAAACGGCTGCAGTTTCGGTTCGAGCCATTGCATCTGACGCGAAAGTGTCCGGTCAGTATGAATAATGATATTTCTAGATATATAAATAGATGGAGATAGAGAGATGGGATAGAAGGGCTGCGCGAGGGTAAACAGAGTGAATAGGAAGAACCAACTTACTACATGTACTCGGCCTCATCATCATCAGAGTGTATCAGTATCATAGTTCCCTTGCATCATTGGGTCTTCCTCGGTGATGCATATCAGTGCATGGCTGTAAGATGGAAGATGTCAAAGTGCGTATGTCTTTTGGGAACAAATCTGAATAAAAGAACAACAGGGGACTCGGGGGGATGATATAAGTTGTCATAGACAGAGTTTCCGAGCCCAGGGCCAAGTGATTCGACGATACCTCCCTCGTTTGGAGGCCGCCAGTGTCTGGCCAGCTGCGTCTGCGTTGTTGAGACTCATGCGTAGTCCCGGCTCAGTCCACCAGGACACGTATACCTGCGACGTAGTCTTCCACTATCAAACGGCTTCTATCGTTGACATCTGACGGGGAGAGGCATTGAGTCCTCGCCAGTCCGGTTAGTCGTCGGCCCTCTGCAGGTATTTCGTTGAGCATGGCTGCGGTTTTAGCATCTTGAAGCGGCGACTGGCCGATGCTTACACGTAGCACTGTTGCCTACATGCTATTGTCCGCTTCAAGCTCAACATGATTACAGCGATCTTTCACTTCTGGGTTTCCCTGAAACGTTAAGACCACTCCATCCTGGGTGTAGGAGGCGTCATCAGAGGCACAGTTGACGGCATGGTGCACTCTTGGTCCATCAGGCATCATTCGTGACGACGGTACCCGGCAGATGAGGCGTTGCTTGATGTGCCAGGGTGCGGTTGATTGCGTCTGTTGGGCTTGGAGCCGGCCTTTGATTGTGCACAAGCTGTCATTCAAACGGCGACGGAACTTTGTCTTGCCTTTTGGTGTGTAGAGTTCTTGCCTTGGCATGCCCTCATACGAACACAGGGCTGACTTTTCAAAAGACGACTGTGAGAAAGACTAAACTTTCAAGAGAGAAAATTGAGTCTCAGAGAAGCTCCATGGACCCTTTGTTTCGATTGAGCCTTTACCTCGTAGCTCACCAGGATCGTTTCTTGACGTTGACACACCCTGTATAACCCATCTGGGCCGCAAAGCAGTGGAATAAATGAAAGCAGATAAATCGCCGTAATGATAAGTTTAGATGTGCTTCACGATAATACATTCGTCTCACAAATAAATCATCACCACTAGAACAGAATACAACTTCAACTGCCTCGCGACGACAGAGAACCGTCCCTCTTCCTCACAAAAGCTGGGTGACGTCGAAAGTGAGGTACCTCCCCAAGATACTACTAGGTACTACTAGTAGACCCTTGCACTAAGCCTAATCCGCGATAAGGTGAAGCGCCGCTCCCAATCGCGTTCCGCCATGGTGTCCTGAGACAGTGAGAGACAACGAAGCTGCGAATCGCCTAATACTAGGCAGTATCAGCATTATCTCGACATTTTCCTCATCCCTTCACCGAGACCAAACCTCGCGCCACCTCTCCTGCCTCTTCAACGCCCAAAGAGCCTTGTCGCATCATCTCCAGGGATTGTATAACCCGTAACAAATCAAAGAGGAGAGAACACCACAAACCCGCCAAAATGTCAATGTGGCTATCAGATAACCAGAGTATGCAAACACCCCACGAAGACCTCACGCGACCATGCCCGACTCCCACTACCTACTTACCTACCTGAGGTAGTCGATGCGATACAACCAAGGTACTGACTCGTCGCGTGTAGAGATTGGGGTCGTCTTCTGCTCAGGCGGTAGGTACGCGACCCGTCCGCGAGCTTCGAGCTGCGACGAACACAAGCGCCTCGGTCTAACGCACGTCGCTCCGAATCAGGTGGACTCTTCCTCGTTGGGGGAGTGATGCTCTTCTTTGATCGTGCCATGTGAGGTTTCCCATATTGTCCCCAGGCTTGCCTCAAGCAAAGGTGGTTTTACCTGGCTAACACTAGTTGTGCTTCGCAGGCTTGCGATGGGAAACGTACAGTCCTTCCACCCCCTCGATCGCGACACACCATCACCCTCTTCCAACACGGAACTGACCCGACGACTTCTTAGATCCTCTTCCTCATCGGCCTAACCATCATCATCGGCCCGCAAAAGACATTCTTCTTCTTCGCCAGGAAACAAAAAGCAAAAGGCACCGCCGCCTTCTTCGCCGGCCTGACGCTGATACTGATAAAATGGACCTTTATCGGCTTCCTAGTAGAAGCCTACGGCATCGTCGTACTCTTCGGCGACTTCCTAGGTACCATTGCAGGCTTTGCTCGAGGGTTGCCTGTGGTCGGGCCTTATATCGGGATGCTGGCGGATCGAATAGGGCTTGGTCGACGCAATGCCGAGTTGCCCGTCTAGGACCTTGATGCGGATTTTCGTAAATTGGCAGCTTCAGCGGCCCAAGATGTTGGTGTACGCTTGATTCACTGATCTGTCCGAGAAGGACGATCCGCGATGATGAAGAGCTCGGGGGTTGGTACAGAATCTGGGGCAGGTGGGCAGCGAACACCTGTATTTTGGCGTTAACTGAACAGCGGCGTTGAGGGACGGTGTAACGATAAACTGCTGGATTGTAGAATGTATCTAGGTATCAGCCCGAGGCTGGGCGTGACAGTCATGATACAAGCGATGGTAGCTAATAGCAAGCCGTGAAGACACTCATGGAACCACCCTGAGATGGCAAACAGCAGCGATAACGAAAGTTCAGTCACCAGAGTCATGAGTAACAAGGATTTTGAAAATGTTGGCTTTTTTTGTCGTTTTTTTCTTCTTCTTGGAATCTGCCGAGAAAAGATGACTTTGGTCCTCCCAACACATGGCAGTTAAGTTGCAAAGATTTCCCACGCAAACTCCTCCTTGACGTCCTTCCCCTTTATATCATCCAACGCTGTCACGGCACAACTGCTCGACACCTTGAATTTTGCACTCCGTCTTCAGCTTCCCCCCCCATTCCACCAGCGATGTAATTATACTTCTTAGTATCCGGTGTTCTTGAGGTGGTCGGCGAGAGCGCTGACGACCAAGGTGGCGTTTCCGGCCTGCTGGGTCTCGTTGTGGATGCCGATAACGATGGCCTGCTTGGAGGCGGTGATGGCAACACCCTCCCGACCCTAAGAATCTCCTATTAGCACAAAACTTCGAGCTATGACGTGGATAGACGGCGACGAATTTCGGAAGAAGCGGATCGGGGAGGATCAACGTACAGCTCGGGCGTAGATGTTTCCCTCATCGACTCGGGTCACGACGTAGCGCTGTCCGGCAATGTACAGGCCCTCGGCGCGCGCCTTGTCGGAGGCGGCCTCGTTGCCGCTGACGATGTCGGCAATGACCTTCATCTCGGCGGGTTGGATCTGCATTCATTCCCCCCTTTCCATCAGTATAAACCGTTCTGAATCCGCGAAAAAGCTCCCGTGCTGGCAGTTGAGGTGGGGGGAACACAATACCGTCAGAGAAGGAGAGGTGGCCCAGGCGCTGTCGCCAGCAATGCTGATGATGGCGCCCTTGGCGACGTGGCCGGTGGCGACCAAGCTACATTTCCCGCAGTCAGTATTTCGACGTGTTCGGATCGTTCAGGCGCAGCGGCGGGAGAGAGAGGGAGAGATGGAAGTAAGCACCTAGTATCGACGAAAGCTGTGGTTGACGAAATGTTAGTAGCTATATCACTTTCTCCCTTCTGCTCGTCCGTTTCGAGGTCGAGGTGGGGTTATTCTCGGATCAGGGGGGAGCTGCTGACCTTGCCAGGACATGATGACGGCTGTGTGTGAAGCTGTGAGTCGTGGAGACGGGAGAGACTGAAGAGACAAGAGAGAGCAACGAGAAGAAGAAGAAGAAGAAGAAGAAGAAGGAAGGAAGAGAAGAAGCCGGCAGAGATGAAAAGAGGCAAAAGGGTTCTCGCGAGCTGGGAAGCAGGTCCAAAGGGTAAAATGGCGGAGTGGGTTGTTTATCTGGTGAGGTGGATATTCGTCGAAGCAAGCAGACAAGAGACAGACAAAGCCTCTCAGTTGCCCCTCGTTTTCCGTCCCATTAATAACCTCTGACCCAGAAACCTTGCCTTTTTTTTCCTTATGACAAGTAGCGGGTACCTGTCCGCACCGGTGATTTGGCGCTGAGCACCACGTCACTGGGACCAGAATCCGAGCCCAATGTTCCCCGCCGCGGGTCCTTTTTTTTTCCCATTCCCTCTGGAGCGGGAAGAGAGGAGAGAGAGAGGAGCCAAGCTGGCCCAAGGAACCCCACCAAAAGAAAACAGTGAGCAAGCAGCTCAGCACAGCTCAGCTTCTGGCCATCGAACGTCTACTACTAGTAGTACTTAGGTACCTACTGCTAATGTCCTCTACAGGGTGTCTACAGGGTGTTTTACAGGGTGTCTACCGCCACTTTGGTGCCGCTGCGGGTACATGTGCAGTCGAGGTCCCATACGAGTCCCCCGTCCCGTCCCGTTATAGGAGGCTGCGAGAATGGCCGGATTCCAAGGGGGATGAGCTGTGCCTGATGCTAATTCGGGTGCCTGCTTATTGACCTCGAGTGCAGTAGACGCAGCGCTAGCTTGGGTTTTGACGTCAAGTTCCGGAAGATGATGCTGGCTGGTCACGCGTGATCGTTGTGTCGACAAGTATCAACAACCTGTATAAGGGGGAGAGACACGGAGAGAGGTTGTAGTGGCGATATCATCATCAAAAAAACGCACTTGGCAGAAACTGATACTACATACCCTCTAGGCAGCCAGTCTCGGGCTGTTGTAGAACTCGGGTGCCTTGGTTGAAAGTGGCAGCCTGACCGACTGTGCTTGACAGCCTTCGGTCAGGGCCGCGATATCAACAGCTTGACTCTGTTAGCTTCTTCGACCCAGACTATTCCTACCAGGTCCCTTTAAGGGGGTCCCTTTCTCCAGCACAACAGTTGCAGCCTCGGCACTGCTGCAGGCCGGACAGTCCACTCCCCCGCTGGCGGCTCTTTGCCCATCTTCATCTTCATCTTCTTACTCAGAGACTCATCACAAAATGTGATAGATGCCAAGCCTCGTCTCCCGGCTTTGACACCTACGTCATCTCCCGAAAAGCTGGGAGACTCTGAGACACGCCATAGGAGCTCGAGAGCACGGGTATCAACGTTAACCGAGCTTCTCCCAGCAGTCCCATTGCTTTTGCTGTTGTCGGTGAGAAGAAGTGCCATCAATCTACACTGTATTACATCCTGTTGTGCACCCATGCTCTCACCTGCGAATGACATTCTGGCGGATTACCTGGCTCATCTGCTGCAAGGCCATTGAGAGTGACAGGCTGATCCGAGATTGATCACATGGAACGCAACCTGTCGTGAGCGGGGCCCCATTTCCACGTTGTCTGTTGAGACTGGAACAGCGAAGGCATGTGGAGATGACGATATTTGACGGCAATTTCCTCTTTCGTCTAGACAAAGAAGAATTATATTGGCTTCTATTACGAAATGGCCTCCGCTGTCGTGAACAGATCTAAAAGGAGCAATTTTGGAAAGCGTACCTAATGAGGAGATAGGCCACTCGGTAAGACGCAGTAAAGCTGCAACATGTTCTCTCTGCTTGCCGTCTCTAAGTAGGTATATAATGCTGCCTCGCCTTTCTTCTTTCTTCTGCAACACACTAGAGCTGAGATTCAATAACCGGCTGGTAAGCGCCTTCTCTACAACTCACCATAGGACCCAGTAGTTCCGCCTAAATTACGCCGCTTCACGACGAATCAGCCTTTACGAATGACCAAGTCATGACTCTGACGAAACATCCAGCATCACCAGATATCGTGCCGCTGTGGATGAGGCCGATTGTTTAATGCAGCAGCATACAGAGCCGTCGAGGGTCGATACGAGCCGGATGCCATTCCGAGATTCCAATACTAGGCCTGACATGCATTCGGCTTCAATATAGATGGAATCGCGCTACTCCCGAAGCTGCCACTAGCTGCTTGCAATCTTCGCCATCCACGCCCACTCTGCCCTTTATCTGATACAATGACAGCGAAGCAAATGTCGAAATTACCGCTGGAAGCATATGTACAGTTGAGATGCTTGTTGTCGTACATGTGATTCGTCATCAACGGCTCCCTGGTGTTTCCGACGGCAAGCCCAGGTGGAAAGAAGTGAAGCCACTCAATGTCCGGCTGCCTACATGTACCTCAATGACCTTGGCCCTGCTACCAACAACTTCAGCTGTTCCAGGTTACCTTACGATTCCACGTCAGGATATCTCATGTCCTCTGACCGTACAAACACACTGGCGCGACTTCATAGATTACCTGACATGGGGTGCTAGATTTACATTGTGCGAATCTAATCTATAGAGCAATCAGCCTTGGCCAATGACAACGTGAAAGAGCATGAAGCCTTTAGCATCCTCGTTTCAAAAAGATCCGGCAAATACCAGCTGCAGATTACACGGAGGGAAATGGAACACTGAACATTTCCCATGTTCACCTACACGGTATTACAAGGACACTATCCATCAAGTTGAATCCTCGGCTTCGCTTCAGATGGAAAAGCCGACGCCTTTGCCGTTGGTGGCCTGGGTAATACTGGCTGCGATAGACGAGAGCCCCTACTCGCCTACTTGTAAGGCAGTTGTTTGTCCAGTCCCCCTTTTGGGCGTGTTTGCATCTGTATACTTCATTCCTTCAGTGATCGGCCTTATCCTGATACCCATAGAAACACACACAGAGTCCAGCATACAGAATGCATCAGTCAACGAGGAGCGTATTCTGGCGCAGCGCTTAATAGCATGGGAGCTCGCGTCTGTCTTCAGGAGTCGGTCTTAGTGTCGCACCCCGCCACGGTGAAATTATCAGGGGCCGGAGGAGCCACCGCGTCTGAATCTCAGATCGGCCTCTCCAGTACATACAGTAGGTACGTGGGACCGACCGCATCTGGTTCCTCCTGGCTCTTCTTCCTCTGCAACGCGCGTGTGAGCAGAGGCTCCGGCTGCTGGTGTTGCTGTTGGCGCGTGGAATGGGGACGTTTCCCCGCGGCTGGCCGGTGTGTTTTGGATGTCGTGATATCAATAGGTGTCTGTGCTCGGAGCCAGATACTCCAAGGGTCAATCGTACATGCGAAGCCAGGGTTGAAATATCCACGCAAATGTTTGATGCCAGTTGGACAGGCATGGAAAGGCGGTGCCTGAGATTGATTGAGGCTTCAAGTTTCAACGGCAATATTCCCAGCTCGCCAAGGCGGTGACGGGGGGGCCACCTCCGATCGATAAGGTAACGTTTGATTTGATTTGGTCCAGTGCTGCCCTCACCACCAAACTGCGTCTCCCCAGCCACAATACAACATCCCGTCTCCACGAACTGCGTCTACGACTACTAGTATATCCCCAAATTATCCCGAAGCTGCAATATCGTGCAGCACTCATCGTCAAGCCAATTTCTCCAGCTTGCCCAATCAGGCAACCCTTGCTAGTCCCGTCGTTTGGGTCCATCCTGGTGCGGATCAGGCCGCCTAAACATCCGGACATCGCGACCCCTCTCATCAACCTCAAACATGGCTTCGCAGCTAGAAGTGCCGCGCGATATGCGACTGGCCACACGATCCTGTCCCCGGGCACCGCACTTTGCTGGCAAAGGCTTCCGCGTTAGGGGCAGCGAGGCCCTTTGTCCCGCCGCCTTGGTGCTTCCAAACCACACGGCCGCAGAGCATTATGCTGGCTGTTACGGCCGGAGCCAAGGGTCGTCCTAGGGTCCTTGGGGGGTCTTTGGGCTGACGACAAGCGTCGACGCAAACATGGGGTCCCCAACGAGCCAAAGGTGAAGACGCCCTCCCCCAGTACAGGCTGCCCGGTGAGCAGATTGTGTAGCATCTGCTTGTTATGCCCCAGACGAGGAGCGCCGCTAATAATTCCGACGCGGCAAGTCCTTTAAAGGCGGACGAGGGTACAAGTTTGTTGGAGGACCGGCTGTTTGCGTTTCGAAATCCAAAACGCCTCTGCCTTCACGTCGACTCGGCGCTAGGTGCTGGATGTGGTGCTAACAGCTCGCTACACTAATAATAACATCTCAGTCCCTTCTCAAACGTCTCCTGCCCGTCTGACCCTGAGCCCAGAGGGGAAAATCATCGCATGATCGCTTCGGCTCCAGGCGTGTCTCTCACCGGTTTCTCGCTTCCATCGCACGGCGACGCGGCCTTGGCGCTGAACCATGGGCCTCTTCAAGGCGCGGACAGGGGACACCACAACCTTGCCGAAGCCAAATTTCTCTCACCAACAAGAGCCTGTCCACAGCGGCTCGCCGATTCATGCGGCATCTGAAGAGGGCCCGCAAAAATGGCCAGATGAGAATAGGAGCGGCAAGTCGTCTCATAAACCGGCCTCGCCCGCACGGTCACCCAGACCTGCCACGACGGAGAGCGCTCTCAGCCCTCACCAACAACACGGTCCTTACCTTTCTCCAGGCCTGGATGCCACTTCTGCCGCCGGACGGCTTAGACAACTTGATCAGTCGGGATATAGCAGGTCTACCGAACACATCAGCTTAGAACCTAAGTCTGCGACTACGAAGCCTCTCGAAGGGCGAAACTACAAGCAATATCACATACCGATCCCACGCCAAGTACCATCGCCAGCATCGCCTCCCAAGGAAATGCCGACCTCAGTCTCACTCGCACCGCCCTTTTCCGGCGCCAACGACACAACCGCCGTCATCGGCATGGCACTCGGGAGCCCGAACCACCCCCCCGTGTCTGCTAATGCACCATGGCATACTCAGACGCTCACGACTGTAACTTCAGGTGGGGATGCCACGGAACCCGCTGCTAACACCAACGGCCTCTCAAGGTCAATGTCCAAGAGGTGGAATCCGTTTAGCAGGACGAAGTCAAAGCGATCCAAGCCGGCGGACGGCTCGCTTTCAAGAGCGCAGGACACGGATTCAAAGAAGAGTCTTGATCTTGGAAGCCGAGTCCATTTGGTCAAGCATAGTGATGCTTTGGGAAGCCAAAAGGGCAGCTCAGTCAGCCTATTAAAGGAACCAGTCCCAACCGTCCATGTATTGCCAGAACCCCGAGATGCAGTGGTACCGGCACGAGAACCCCCTGCGCCGCCACAGCTTCAGTCACTCATGAGTATCGAGATTCCGACTGTGGAAATGGAGCGATACAGCATCATGTTTGGAAGCATTCTTCAAAAGCAGCAGCCGCAGTTCCCCCAAGTCCTACAACAACCCTCGCTGCCTCGCCCGCCGCAGGAGTCGCAAAAGCCGCAGTTGGCACCCGAGGCGCAGCATCCTGAACCCCCTCAGAGGCCGGCGCCAGTACCGAAGCCGCAGCAGTCAAGGCCCAAGGAATCCGAGAGTCCCCGGGAGCGGAGAGAACCTCAGGGATCACCACAGAAATTGCAGCTTTTCCCGCAGTTACGACAATCACAAGAATCACAGCGGCCAAGCTTGCCAGACCGGCGGCAAGTCAAGGTGGACAAGCTCAACCTGCCCGCAGCCAAGGAGTACCGGGATGGCTCCGTGCCTTACGAGATAGTGGTGCCGCAGAGATCGACGTCCCCTTCTCCGACAGGCTCATCATCGGTTGCCGTCTCTGCCCATGATCAGGCTCCTCCTGCAAACAACAACCTTCCTCCTCGCGTGTCCTCGCGGGCCCGATCCAACACCACCACAGCAGTGGCCAACTTCCCCAATCCCGCCATGAACAAACCGCAATCGCAGATGAGGAAAAGAACATCGTCTGTTTCTACCCCCTCCCGCGCCCCCCAAACCCTGCCCGCAGACGCCGAACCGATGCCGGAGCGACGTGACCGCCTCATCTCCAAGTTCCACCGAAAAGAATCACTATCAGACGACACTGACGACAAAGTCACTCACTCGACCGAATCTCTTGTTTCTGCTCCGACACACGCACCGCCACAACCTCGATCTATCCTCAAGAAGCCAACGGCACCCCCGCCGCCTCCCCCTTCCAACCGCTCAGCCGAGCACATTGCGCCTCCAAAGCAGCACCAGTCCAAACCCTCCGAGGCATCTACTATCCGGAGTGAAACAGACGAGGAGGGGGTTGAAAAGGCTCTGTACGAGGCCGTGGAGATTTCCATCGCGCGCCAGATTAGTGTGTCAAGGCAGCAGCGGAGATTGCTGGTGCCTCTCGACCGCTCCGCTTCAAGGAGGGGTGCGAACTCGCCAGACGCGGCTGCCAAGATCAACCTGGGCAAGAATAAGAGGCTCGTCGAGACGAAGACCGCGGTGCCGGTCCTGATCCATCAGGCTAACAGGACGAACTTTTCGCACGGGGGATCGCGAAAGAGCTCGCGTGTGGTTCTCGAGGGGGCGTGATGGGACAACCTTTGACGTTTTCCAACTGATCATTCTTGTCCTATTTTTCCTTCTTTTGTCCCCTGAAGTTGATCTTTCTGTTCATACTTTACCTTGATCTTCTTCGGGTTCATCAACGGCTTCTTTTTCATGATTCTACCCATCACCTGGCGTGCAATGCTTTCTATATGCCTACTCTTCACTTCCATTTTCTGTGTCATTTTACTTCTACCTGATAACCGGTCCTTTTTTTTCTTTGTTCTGGACACAAAAATCTATTTCTTTCCATGAGCATCTGTGCATAGCCCCGGGGGCCAAGCCTGGACAGCGGATACCTACATATCAAAACAATAGCGAAGCGCGGATTTCGCGAGACCTCCTTCAAACCCATCTATATGAGAACGGCTATTTAGAATATCCTTTGGTTGTTATAGATAGATTGTGATATAAAGAGCCGTCTTGAAGTGTTTCCGTCTTTTCACCCCTTGCATCTCATGCGACATTTCATGTGGGATTGAGAAATACAGGATATATGTATTAGAGATGGGAAAGATAAGGTAAGGTAGGTATGTTTGCGATTCTGTCTTTGATAACCAATCTTTCGATAAAACAAACAGCCCATTCATTGCTGAAGAAAACATGACCGTATGCAACGCCATATAAAAGAACCTCTACATCAATACGCAGCAGGAATTCTGCTTCTTTGCTTGCTCTATATTCGAAACACGTTAGCCACAAGCCTGACCACAATTATCCCAGGCATCAAATCACATCGGGGAAAGGGGGCGCGCGGAAAAAGAGACAAAAGGAAAAAGAAGAAGAAAAAAGGGGGGGTATCTCATACGATAAAACATCTTGCTCTGCGCACTCAGCCCATCACTCTTAGCCACCAAATCGTCAATCTTCTCCCCCCTCTGCAGGACGCTCTCAATCGTCTTGTGCAGCACAATCTTGGTCTCGTCGAGCTCCTTCTGGATCTTCATGATGCTGTCGGCCTGCTGGGGGTCCTGGTACTTGGCGAGGTAGTCCCTGAGCTCGGGGAAGGGCAGGACGGGCTCGCCGGTGGCCCACGAGGAGCGCGGGTGCTTGGCGAGGAACTCGTCGACGACCTTGCTGAGGAGCTGGTGCGCGACGAGGGCGGGGTACTGGTGGTCCGAGATGATGATGCCGCAGATGCCCTCGGTGCGGCCGTAGGCGTGGAAGGTGTAGTCTGTTGATGATTTGGTCAAGATGTGTGAGCTCTCGTTCTCTGGGAGATAGAATCGTCTGATTTTCTTTCGGGGCTTCGATAAAGGGAGGATGGGTGTCCAACCTTGTTCTTCGACGTCTTGTCGTTGGGCGGGACGGGTGCGCTCGGCGACGGTCTTTGCGAAGAGGGTCATGAATTCGCCATAGCTGCAAGATGGAGACGGTGATTTTTTTTCGTTCGTTAGCTGCTTGTTTTTGTTTTGACGAAGGGCATGTTGCCTTGCGAAGCGGAGTGCTTGTTCGCTGTTTGAGTGCCTGGGGAGACCAACTTTTGGCGTGTGAAGCGCGAGTATGCGCTCAGCTCCTTCTCGGCGACGAGTTCGTGTGCGGGCTGCGTATCGTTGCGGAGGATCTATATCTCGAGGGGAACAAAGTCGTGTGTTAGCCGAATAGTGGACGATGACGCTCGAAAGATTCGGTGAAGGAGGCGAGGGAAGCAGGGCGACTCGGAGGGGACGTACGCCAATGTAGTGAAGCTTCATGATGGGCGAGTTTTGATCGGGTTTGACGGTTTGTTCGGTGTGAATGTTCGTCGGGGATTCGAAACGTGCGCTGGCGAGTTGTGCGAGTCGAATCACACCTAGACAAGAAAAAAGGAGACTGGAGTGTTGATGGGAGAGGGTGGGAATTGGGGGAGCAGGTCGACGTTGGGAAGAGGCCTGAGGTGGTTTCACAAGTCGGAGTTTCAGATGCGCTAATGGGGGAGCGAGGCCTTGAGTTCAGGTTCAATCAAGCATTCCAGGCGCCGCAGGGATGAGGCTTCAGTTGGCATGAGGCTGGATGGATCACCCGCCCCACGGACCTTTAGGCGCTCGACTCCACTGAGGATGGACGACGAACCCCGCCAAGTCCACTGGGCAGAGGCTGGATTCAGCGCTGCGGGAGCGCTGTAGCGTCTGGGTCTTTAGGCGGACTTTAGTGTGGGGGGGCGGGCGGTGTGTGACTGATGCGAGCTTCTTAGTGTATGTACCTTAGGTATGGATTGATGCGTCATCCGGGCTGCTGGCCATCTTCACCTTTTGTTGCCGTAAAGATTTAAAAAAAGGTCGAGGTGCTTCATGCAGCTGCACCATCAAACATCACTTCACAGTTCGGACTGCAACTTTTCAAATCTCCATACTGCCGTCACCAACGTCATCATACCAAGGAACAAGGAACAAGCCTGGGCGAAGATGGCTTCATCCGATCTGATGAACGCAGAAGCCGAATGGCGGCAGCAGGTCGCTGCCATGAAGGCGGCCATCGCAGACCTGAAGCTCCCCCAAACCAACGCCAAACCGTCCGATGCTGATGACGACCTAGACGAAGATGACTTTGCCAACCACATCATGCCCAGCGGCCAAGACGTTTGGGAATTTATCTCCGATGACGACGAGTACGAGTACTGCAGCAGCGACTTTGCGGACGACGGCGCCGACGCAGCCACCGGTGGGTTTGGGGCCGAGTGGCTTGCTGCCAAATGTGATTCGATTGCGGCCAAGAACGGCATGTCTGCGGATGTCTTTCAGTCTCAGATTGTTAGTGTTCTGTCGTCTGGGCAGCCGGACGATGAGCTGCAGGCGCATCTCACTGATCTGGTTGGGTTTGATGACCTGGACTTTATCATCGAGCTATTGGGCCACAAGGACGACATCCTTGCGTCCGTCTCGACTCAGCATCATGAGCCGGAAACTCAGACGCGGAAACTCCTGACCAAGGCTCAGAGAGAAGAGGCTCTTCGTATGCGCGACTACCAACACAAGAACGCAGCTCTGGCACCCAGCTTCTCCAAGGAGCCGCAGTATCCTCACGTCTACCGGGCCTATAATGCGGGAAACACGCTGAGCGCCTCTGGCAAGAAGTACGGCTTGCCGGCTGGCAGTGAGCGTCTTCAGTTTGAGAAGTATGAAGAGTATTTTGTACCGGCTGGGAAGAAGGGCGTTCTAGGACCCGGAGAGAAGCTCGTCAAGATCTCAGACTTGGATGGACTTTGCCGCAATACATTCAAGGGCTATAAGACGCTCAATCGAATGCAGAGCCTAGTCTACCCGGTGGGATACAAGACGAGCGAAAACATGTTGATTTGTGCACCAACCGGTGCTGTAAGTTTGAGGAGTTCAAAAGCTGTTACAACATGCTCATCATCATCATAGGGTAAAACTGATGCAGCAATGCTCACAATTCTTCACACCATCGGACAACATTGTCAGCCAAACCCCATCGAAAACCCAGAGGCAACCGAGTTCGCCGTCAACACAGATGAATTCAAGATTGTCTACGTGGCACCGATGAAGGCCCTGGCGGCTGAAGTTACCGAAAAGCTAGGCAAGCGCCTTGCCTGGCTCGGCATCAAGTGTCGAGAGTACACGGGCGATATGCAGCTCACCAAAGCCGAGATTGTCCAGACCCAAATTATCGTGACCACCCCTGAGAAGTGGGATGTCGTTACGAGAAAGGGTACTGGAGATACGGAGCTCGTGCAAAAGGTGAGACTGCTCATCATCGACGAAGTCCACATGCTACATGACGAGCGTGGAGCTGTTCTGGAGTCTCTGGTGGCTCGAACCGAGAGACAAGTCGAAAGCACTCAGTCGCTCATTCGGATCATCGGTTTGAGCGCTACACTGCCCAACTACGTCGACGTTGCCGATTTCCTCAAGGTCAACAAGTATGCCGGCCTGTTCTACTTTGACGCCTCGTTCCGTCCTGTCCCACTGGAGCAGCATTTCATCGGCGTCAAGGGAAAGGCGGGTTCCAAGACGTCCAAGGACAACCTGGACAACGTTGCCTTTGACAAGGTCAAAGAAATGCTACAGCGCGATCACCAGGTCATGGTTTTTGTGCACTCTCGCAGGGACACCATGGTGACGGCAAGGATGCTTCACCAGAAAGCCATTGAGCAGTTTTGCGTCGATCTCTTTGACCCGACCGGACATCCTCACTACGGCCAGGCATCACGGGACATGAACCAGTCCAGGTCCAAGGATATCCGAGATCTGCTTCCTAAGGGTATCGGTGTCCACCACGCTGGTATGGCACGAGCCGACAGGAATCTCATGGAGCGGCTCTTTGCGGATGGTGTACTCAAAGTCCTGTGCTGCACAGCTACACTGGCCTGGGGTGTCAACTTGCCAGCTGCGGCGGTCGTCATCAAGGGTACTCAGGTGTACAGCGCCCAGGACGGCAAATTTGTTGACCTCAGCATTCTTGACGTGCTCCAGATCTTTGGGCGTGCTGGTCGTCCCCAGTTTGAGGACACTGGTATCGGTATGATCTGCACCACTCTCGACAAGCTTCCTCATTACCTGTCAGCCATCACGGAACAGCAACCTATCGAATCCAAGTTCTCGACCAAACTGGTGGACAATCTCAATGCCGAAATCGCCTTGGGCACTGTCACTTCCATCCCGGAAGCCGTTCAGTGGATCGGATACTCGTATCTGTTCGTGCGAATGCAGAGAAGCCCCATGAACTACGGCATTGAGTGGGCGGAAATCCGAGACGATCCAAACTTGGTTCAACGGCGTCGCCAGTTGGCGATTCAGGCAGCGCGGACTTTGCAGCAGTGCCAGATGATTATTTTTAACGAGAACACCGAAGAGCTCCGCAGCAAAGACATTGGCCGCATTGCCAGCCAGTACTACATCCTCCACACGAGCATACAAGTCTTCAACACGATGATGCATCCCCAAGCCACCGAGGCTGACGTCTTGAGGATGATTAGCATGAGTGGAGAGTTTGACAATATCCAGTCCAGGGACAGCGAGGCGAAGGAGCTGCTGCAGTTCAAGGACATTGTCCCGTGTGATGTCGACAAAGGCATCGATACGCCTCAGGTCAAGACTAACATTCTACTGCAGTCATACATCTCCAAGATACAGCCGGATGATTTTGCTCTTTCCAACGATATGAACTACGTTGCTCAGCAATCTGGCCGAATCTGCAGGGCCCTGTTCATGCTTGCTCTGAATCGGAGATGGGGCCATCAGTGCCTGGTGCTTCTGACCCTGTCCAAGTCGATTGAGAAGAGGATCTGGCCATTTCAACACCCTCTCCATCAGTTTGACCTCGCAAAGCCAATCCTGAACCAGCTCGACTCCAAGGAGAACTTGACCATTGACGCCATGAAGGAAATGGAGCCGGCGGAACTCGGAAGCCTGGTGCACAATCAGGGCGCTGGAAAGAACATTGCCAAGATACTCAACAATTTCCCAATGGTTCACGTGGAGGCTGAGATTGCGCCTCTGAATCGAGATGTTTTGCGTATCAAGCTATATGTCATTCCAGACTTTGCGTGGAAGGATCATATTCATGGGACGTCAGAATCCTTCTACATCTGGGTCGAGAACTCGGAGACTTCGGAGATTTACCATCACGAATACTTTATTCTCAACAGGCGAAAGCTTCATGATGAGCACGAACTCAACTTCACCATTCCCCTGTCGGACCCGCTGCCGAAGCAGATCTACGTCCGGGCAATCTCTGACCGATGGCTTGGGTCGGAGACGGTGACACCCGTATCCTTCCAACATCTCATCCGCCCAGATACGGAAAGCGTGTACACGGACTTGCTCAACTTGCAGCCGCTGCCCATCACTGCGCTGAAGAACCCAGGTCTGGAGGAACTGTATGCGAAGCGCTTCAGCTTCTTCAACCCGATGCAGACCCAAATCTTCCACACTCTGTATCACACCTCGGCAAACGTTCTCCTGGGATCCCCAACGGGCAGTGGAAAGACGGTTGCCGCCGAGCTTGCCATGTGGTGGGCGTTCCGGGAACGACCAAAGTCCAAGGTGGTGTACATTGCGCCAATGAAGGCTCTGGTTCGCGAGCGTGTGATTGATTGGGGTAATCGCCTCGCTAAGCCGCTGGGACTCAAGTTGGTCGAGTTGACGGGTGACAACACCCCCGACACGAGAACGATCAAGGACGCGGACATCATCATCACAACTCCCGAGAAATGGGATGGTATCTCCCGTTCTTGGCAGACGAGGGGCTATGTTCGGCAGGTCAGCTTGGTGATTATCGACGAGATTCATCTGCTGGCTGGAGACCGTGGTCCGATTCTGGAGATTATTGTTTCTCGTAAGACGCATGAACTCGTGACCATATAAGTTGCAGCAGCTAACTGATGGCAGGAATGAACTATATCTCGTCGTCAACCAAGAACAAAGTCAGGCTGCTGGGTATGTCGACGGCATGCGCGAATGCTACTGACCTGGCCAACTGGCTTGGCGTGAAGGAAGGGCTGTTCAACTTTAGGCATTCAGTCCGCCCCGTGCCACTGGAACTGTACATTGATGGCTTCCCAGAGCTTCGAGGTTTCTGCCCGCTGATGCAATCTATGAACCGGCCCACGTTTTTGGCAATCAAGAATCACAGCCCTGAGAAGCCCGTCATCGTGTTTGTCGCATCCCGACGACAGACTCGCCTGACGGCCAAGGATCTCATCAATTACTGCGGTATGGAGGACAATCCCCGACGCTTTCTTCGGATGGACGAGGATGATTTGCAGCTCAATCTGTCGCGCGTCAAGGACGAGGCTTTGAAAGAAGCCATCAACTTTGGCATTGGACTTCATCATGCCGGTCTCGTTGAGTCTGATCGACAAATCGCCGAAGAGCTGTTCTTGAACAACAAGATTCAGATCTTGGTCGCAACTAGCACCCTTGCCTGGGGTGTCAACCTGCCAGCTCATCTCGTGGTTGTCAAGGGCACCCAGTTCTACGACGCCAAAACCAGCGGCTACAAGGACATGGATCTCACCGATGTCTTGCAGATGCTGGGACGCGCTGGACGACCTCAGTTTGACAACTCTGGCGTGGCTCGCATCTTTACACAGGACGCAAAGAAGGATTTCTACAAGCACTTCTTGCACACTGGCTTTCCCGTGGAATCATCGCTGCACAAAGTTTTGGACAACCACATCTGTGCCGAAATCTCGGCAGAGACAATCATGAATAAACAGGACGCACTCGACTATCTCACCTGGACATTCTTCTTTAGGAGGCTCCACAAGAATCCGTCATACTATGGACTGCAAATCTCGGCGGAAGAGCACAGCACCATCGCCGCGCAGCAGCTGGCCAACGAGTACATGATCGGCATGGTCGACAAGTCCATCGAGGAGCTCGAAGTGTCCAAGTGTGTCGAAGTCTTTCCCAACGGCGACGTCGATCCGACGCCTCTCGGCAAGATTATGAGTTACTACTATCTCTCCCACTTGACCATCCGCCACCTCGTGCGCAACGCAAAGGCAAACGCGAGCTTCCTCGACGTCCTATCGTGGATGTGTCACGCCACCGAATACGACGAGCTCCCTGTCCGCCACAACGAGGACCTGATCAACGACGTACTCTCGCAGAACCTCCCCTTTTCGGGCAACTCCTTCAACCTCCCCATGTGGGATCCGCACGTCAAGTCCTTCCTCTTACTGCAGGCATTCATGTCGCGCATCGACCTGCCCGTGACGGACTACGTCGGAGACCAGACCAGCGTCCTCGACCAGGCGATCCGTATCATCCAGGCCTCCATCGACGTCCTCACCGAGATGGGCTTCCTCTCGAGCTGCCTCCAGATGATGAAGCTCCTCCAAAGCATCAAATGCGCCCGCTGGCCCACCGATCCGCCCGCCTCGATCCTCCCCGGCGTAGAACCCGACGCCTCTTCCCCATCCAAAGAAAAAGACGAGCCCTCCCTCGCGACAATCAGCACCTACTCGCAAGACCAACTCACCTCGTTCGCAAACAAACTCCGCATCCCGTCCGGCATGCAGTCCCGCTTCAAGCGCGCCGCCTCCATGCTCCCCAACGTCGCCGTCTCCGTCAGCGACATCACCACGCTCTCGCTCACGGTAAACATCAAGCGCCTCAACCCACTCCTCGACCGCGAAGCCCGCATCTGGGCGCCCAAGTTCCACAAGCCCCAGACAGAAGGCTGGTTCGTCATCGTCGCGGACGTTGCCAACGACGAAGTCATTGCCGTCAAGCGTCTCGGCTGGGCCGGCCTCTCGTCGTCGTCGTCGTCTACCAGCGGCATGAAGAAGGCCCCGTTAGGTCAGGGCGGCTCGTGTCCTTCTGCTAGGGCGGTGCTGAGGCTGCCTGAACCAAAGGGTGGAGAGGCGCGGAAGCTGGATGTCCTTGTTGTGAGCGATGGGTATGTCGGGCTGGAGCATAGGGTGCTGGGGGTGGATATCCCGGCTCCGCCTGCGGTGGACGACGACTTGAACAAGTCGAAGCAGGGAAAAGTGACGGCAGGAGCATCATCATCATCGTCGTAAAGCAGCAACATGGAGAGTTACTCTGAGAAGCATCTGGAGGGGGACGTTGGAGGATTGATATGAAAGCTGATATTTGTCATACTTTGCTTGAAGATGGACTATATAGACTGTACAAGTAGAAAGTACAAGCATGCTACCTCGCACTACAACGCAGAATCAAGCATGTTAAAACAAGAAGCCAGCTTGTTTCACAGACGGTAGAGAGAAGCAAGAAAGGAATAGCAAAGATAAAAAGTACAAAAACCACAAGATGACTCAAAACACTGTCCCAAATGTCCCTTGAATTCCCGCCACTCCCAAAAAAAGCCAAAAATCAAGAGAGATGAAAGTTACAAAGCCATGTCTCGTGAGAGCTCTCTTTCCCAAATGTTCTACATATAACAAACAAACAAACAAACAAACAAACAAACAAAGAGAGAAAAAGAAACAAGAAAAATGAGGAAAAGAAAGTACCTACGGCCCCTTTCCGTCAGTCCCGCCTTGACCGGTGCCGCATTCCTTTTCCAGCCCTGTGTTGCGTGCGAAGGTAAAATGCGATACCTAGTATCCTGAACGCCATGTACCAGTTTGTCTAGAAAAGAAAAACGAATCGCATATAAACGAAGAAAAAGGCTCTCTCGTCAAGTCTCGCTTGTACAACAAAGACAACACGAAAGGGTGGGGGCGTTGAGGACTGAACCTTGACTCAACCTTTAAAGCAATCATCAGGCTGTAACGACAAAAGCCCTTCATTTAGCAGCAGCTGCTCTGGCGCTGCTTCTGCCGGCTCTCCACCCGCTGGTCCTGCTCTTGCGTAGACCCGGCCCTGTCAATAGTCACGGCAGGCGAGAAGCCCGGTGGGAACAGCCAGCTCCGCCGGTCCCGTCCGAGGCGGAAGCTCCCGCGGCCGTTGACGCCCTCAAAGTACCCTCCGTCCATACCGGACTCGTACCCGGGGGTGTTGGGCGTGGCAGTGGCCTGGAGCAGGGCCTGCTGCATCTTGCGGTTCTGCTCGACGAGCTTCCGGGCCACGACGCGAAAGACCTCCTCGACGCCCTCGCCACTCTCGGCGCTGATCTCGTGGCAGGCGTCCCAGCCGACCTCCTGGCCCCAGAAGCCGGAGCTCCGCTTAGAGCTGGGGCTCCGGGGCTCGAGGCCGCCGCCAATGGAGAGGAACGAGGGGCCGTTGTTGGGCGTGGCGGTCGGAGGCGGCGTGCTGCCGAGGCCTGGTGAGAGGTTCTCGGCAACGTAGGCGATGCAGCGCTCAAAGGGGACCTGGCGCAGCGAAGGGTCGCGGGCAACGATGTCGGCCTTTGTGCCAACGACGTGCAGGACGACGTCTGACGGCAGGTTGCGGCGCAGCTCCGTCAGCCACTCGCCCATGTCGGTAAAGGATTGGGCATCGGTAATGCTGTAGCAGAGGATGCATGCGTTGGCGCCGCGGTAGTATAAGCGGGAGATGGAACGGAAGCGCTCTTGGCCGGCTGCAAAGCGAGTCAGCAGGGAGCATGTTTGTGTGTTGTGCAGCATGACGCCTCGAGGACAAACGGCGGCGGAAAGGATTCATCATCAGGCATGAAGCCCTGTCAAGGCAGCACCGCGCCGAGGCAAGGCAAGGCAAGGCAAGGCAAGGCAAGACAGGGCAGGGATGCATGAGGCATGACAAATGGGCAAATACGCAACACCAAAAAGGCAACAAGATTGCACATACCCGTGTCCCAGATCTGGAGGCGCACAACAGTGTCGGAGTCATTGTCGACCACGCGCTTTGTCAGGAAGCTGGCGCCAACGGTAGACGTTACCTGAGCCGGGTTGAAGGAGCCCTTGCAGTACCGCATGACAAGGGACGTCTTGCCCACGTTTTGGGCACCCAGGACCACGATCTTGGCCTCGAGAGAGGACGACATGGTCTCTGCAGAGGCCCGCACAGGCGCTGTTCTGTGGCGAGGACACTGTCTAGATCCAGAGAAGGAGCAGCAGATGGAGGAGGAGGAGGAGGAGGATTGGTCGGCAGGCGAGGCTGTGGTGAGACACGAAAGACAGACGACGGGACGGAAACGAGAAAGGCGACGTTGGACGAGGCCAGAAGGAATGATGATGGTGAATCACGGAACTGTTGTTGGACGCGCGGGTGGGTCGAAGAAGGCAGCTTATGGCATTGTCGATCGCGTCAGCGTACTCGGAGACGGTGTCGGCCAAGAGTCGAGGGGACGATGCGATGGCATCGTTGGAAGACAAAGTGGCACGGAGAGAGGAAAGGTTGAGGATGACGGGAGAGGAGGAAGAGGAAAGTCATAATACGGGCGCGTTTACTCTGCCATGCGAGGGAGCTAAACAGCTTAGTGGCGTAGGGGGGGGGAGATCGAGTGTGTAAGCCCCTCCAACAGGCGAGCGAGGGGGGTGTGATTTGGTGCTCTGTGTCTGATTCAGGCGGAGGGATGGGAGAAAGAAAGGGCCTGTTCGGATGAGGCTATTCAGGCGTCTGTCTTGAGGGGTGCAGGGATGATGGACCGTGGAGGAGGAGGCACGAAGATGCAGTATCAGGTAGTAAGTAGTAAGTAGGTAAGCGAAGGCGGTGGTGAGAGGAGAAACCAGATAAGAGATAATGGATTCGGCAGCATAAATGTATGGAGACTGGTATAGGTAAGTACGAGATCAATCCAATGCATGACGATGGGCTGCAGCGGGCCATCGCGGAGGTGCTACAAGCGCCATGGAGGGGGGGCGAGATAGCGGGCATTAGGCGATCACGGACCGGTCTTAGCGGGTGCCACGGCGCTCACATGCCCTGTAGGCCGGTAGACTACATGTACCTAGGTAGGTGGTGATGCCTTCACGTGAAGGGCTCCAGTGCTGCATGTGCCTGACATGGTACCGGTTCAAAAGTGACAGCTACAAGTGAGCCCTGCGTGATCACAAAGAAGCTTTCTTAGTGAGAACCCCTAATTCCGCATCAATCAGCTCCCGGTCGAGTATGACTGATGAAAGGATCATCGCTGTTCTTTGTCCCTGACAGGGCCAGTTCTATACACCTTGCTCAAACACCAGCACTCACAACTTTGAGAGGTCCACTCACCTCAAATGGCAATGTATAGGTACTGATACTCACCTTCACAGCAGCAATTTACCTTTACAGGATATTTTCATTGATCCAACCATGTCATCTCATCCTCAACCCCGCCTCCCGAATTCTCTGCCCACAGAAAGAACAAGCAGTCGTCGATGGCGGCGACAAATGATGCTGAGGAACAAGGGTAACACGCTCACAATGTCATTGAACAAAACGCTCCAAAACGCCCGCTAGATCCGGATATGCCCGCTAAAACAAATCATAACGTCGTCTCATCACGTCCTCACTGGGGTATCATAATCAACACATCTCCTCTCACAATCTGCTCCGTCAAAAGTAACATCAACTGCTGGTATCCCCAAGCATCTGTCCCTGAGCCCCCTAGAGACTCCGCCGCTGCACCCAGCCCTGCCAGGATAACGACCATGTCTCCAGGGCCAGCCACGGTATGATCGAGCCATTCTCGAGCTGCGTCGCTGCCTCCGACCCTGTCAGATTAACGACCATGCTACAAGACGCATTCATCATCCGTAGGCTGTTAGCCGAGCCAACAGGCTGCTCGCTGCCCCCAGCCCTGCCAGGTTAACGAGTATGCCTTATGGCCAGCTAGCACTCAGTCCCAGCCGCCACTCGCCTTGGGTCCTGATGATAGAGACGCTGCCCACTGCCCCCAGCCCTGCCAGGTTGATGGGTATGCCCTCCGTCGACCAGCCCATGACGCTGCGGCTTCTGAAGGAGGCCTGTCGCTTGGTTGTCTTGAGCTGTTGGCCTTATGACAGCTAGATATTCCGCTTGCCGCTTGCCACGCAGGCTGTGGCATCGTCAGCGAGGAAGAATAACGTTTGTCCAGCAGTTCGTCTGGACGACCGCCTCGACTGCAGAAGCTGCTCGACTGGAACCAATGTCTCGCGCTCCTGGTGCTTCTTCTTACGCGGTGTCCTCTGCGACGACGACGATTGAGATTCCTCGCTTGAGTGACTTGAGCGTCTGTTATCGACTCGTTGCCGGTGTAACGCTCGAGACCTCTTCTTTTTCTGTTTCCTAGCATCCGCTGCTTCATTAGTCGTGTCGTTGGCCTCATGCCCTTCTGGCTCTTCCTGTGAAGGAATCTGGGTTCCCGCAAGATGTCTCAAGTCCGCCGGCTCCTCCTCTTCCTCCTCTTCTGCTGCTTCTGGGCAAGTGTGGTATGAAGCCACTGACGAAGCCTGGCTCGACATGGGGCCTTGGGGAAACATGGGCCATTGAGTTACCATGGGATCCAGGGTTGACGTGGGATCCAAGGTTGACGTGGGATCCAAGGTTGACGTGGGATCCAAGGTTGACGTGGGATCCAGGGTTGACAGGGAATCGCCTTTTGACGTGGCATCTTCGCTACTGCCTGCTGAGGGTAAATAAAAGGCTTTCTGCGGATCCATGATGGAGTCGTGCGCGTCTTCGTCCTCGTCTTCGCTGCCGTCTTCTGAGGGTAAATAAAAGGCCTTCTGCGGATCGATGGAGATGTGCGCGTGTCCATTCGCTTTCCTTTTACTGGACGGAGGTCTCTGCGGCCGGCTGCTCTGTTGCTCATTTGGGGAGTCACGGTGGTGCAGGGGCTCGTCCTCATCTTCCATAGAATCCAGTGACTGACTCCTCGATCGCTTGTTTCTGTGCTCATCCGGGTCATCGTCCATTCGGTTGCGTTTCGCGGCTTGTCTCGGCGTCGGCAAGGGCGCTTGGGTCTCCCATACGTCATGTACAGCGGCAAGCCATACGGCATCGTCGTCATCCTCATGGCTTTCGCCCGTCGCGCGTCGCTTCTTCCGCTGAGATTGTCTTGCGTCTTGACCGCTCTTCCTCTTTCGTGACGTCGAGCTCGCGGTCGTTGAAGAACGCGGCGCCGTACCATGTCGCCGCTGGGACGACGAGGATCGTAGCTCGTCGCTAGATGCATCTTCTGGGAATGATGCGTCGCTAGGTGCTTCCAGCTGGCTATGCGCTTCGTCGTTGCCGGTTTGAGGTGCTGTCTTTGTCTTATCAAGCTTAGCAATAGCTGCTGCGTGTCTGGCTGCGGCTTCCTGCCTGAATCTCTCCAAGGCCTTGTCTGCTGAGCGCCGACGGTCTTCTACTTTCTTGCGCCGATCTCGAACAAAGCCGTCGAAGAATCGTATCAGAGTGTCAAAGGACAGCGAGCGGCTGAAGTAGTTAAAGAGTGCCCATTTTTGGGGCATGGAGTCGTTCAATGTGCCTGGCGGTGTCTTGACATCACCGGTTTCTGGGTTATAGCATAACGGGCATGCTAGAACCCAAGGACCCGAAGCAATCAAGCGGCAGATTTCGCTGAACGCCTCGTTCATCTCCTTGACTCGCTGTGCTCTGCGCTCCGCCATCTGGGAGTAAAACTCCTCCAATGTTCCAGAGCGATCAATAGCCTCGCACACATCTCCGTGGAATGCCATGGGATCCTGTAGAGGCAGCTGGTGCATGTTGAAGCGATCGTGAAGGGTAGTGAACAGGTCATCGCGCTTGAGGTGAAACTTGAGAAACGGCCAGTCCCACTCCTGCCGATCGTACCCGTTGATGTGAGGCAGCTTATACTCCATCTTGGACAAGACAAGAAGTGGAAGACCTCAAGGGTCGTGGAGATGTTGCGGAGGAAGAAGAAATCGGAGCACAAGGGCATGTATGTAAGGTAACAGCTGGGCTGGGGAAATGCAGTCGCAACGGTGAGTGAATGGGTGACTAAGCCATCCCAAACTGGGTGCGTCATTCTGTGAGAGAGCTTGAGTGGTAAGGTAAGGTACTAGTAGTAGGTACCTTAGTTAAGTACCTTAGGTATGTACGATTGTGGCTGTCTGCTGGCGCCAAACTACTAGGTAGAGTGCCGAGGTCAGCATCTTGCGGGGACCTTTGTTTCCTTTTCTGGCAATTGCTAAAGGACCCTGTTTCTCGTCATCGCCGGAGTGAAACTGCAATTTAGATAGAAAGTTTGCAGTATGCCATCAATCCTTTGTCAATCAGACCAACTCACTGTCTGCATCAATGGTATCTGTGTCACTCACTCAGAGCAATGATTGCACATTAGTACCAGACAACATTTAACAAACACAAGCGCAAGCGAAATACCGTACAACCTGATTCCCCGATCCCTGTCATTCCTCAGACCATTGGACAGCCAAACTCATCCCCCGGACCAACATCACTGTAACTACCCGTCGCCACGTCACGATTGCTGTACTAATCACGAGCTCTCTGCAGCTTCGCTTACACGTATTTGTCCAACTGCATGGACATTTCGCGACATATCCACTCATTCATCTGCTCCGATTGGCGACTCAGCCCTTATTTGCTTATACGAGTACGTACAGACACATATTACTACTGCAGCTCCCCATGACCACTGCGGTTCCCGTACTCCGTGAACAAGAGAGTGCGGCTCTTTCAGACTGATTCACGGTCGATGGTTGTGATGGACAGTTGAGGTCAGGGTAGCGCCTCACATCCACCATCTTGAAGTTTGGGTACCTACAGCAGTATGAACAGGTACTAGCAGTAATGCTGGTCATGGTATACTCAACTCTTCACTCTTCAAGGATAACAAACAGACAAGTAGTGATATAGCTGGAGGTATAGGTATAGCGCCAGTAGAGAGTAGCATGCAGTATAACTGTGTTGAAGAGCAGTACCTAGTAGTACCTTTAGTTCTGCCAGCAGTGACGAGACCCAGATAAGTCTATTACTACTACCTACCTACCTACCTACCTACGTCCCTATATGACTGGCCTTCTGTCGCTTTTTTCAAGCATCCCAAGAGCACTTACATGCCTATACATTATTTCCAGCTTCCGTCATCTATCTGCTTCAAACTTGTTTAATTCAATGGCGCACGTTCTCGGAGAGTTCCTTACCATGTCAACTACCTACAGCGAGGAATTCCAAACAGCTTCAGAAGGCCTAGACCAAGTAACTCCCAGCCAGTGGAAAGCCATCCTCCGACGCAATGGACTACAAACAGCCGCGTCTACGGAAATCACCGATCCGTTCACGGCCAGCCAGCTCAGAGCGAACCTCGAGCACCATAAGCAAACGTATCCTCAGCCGGACGAGGATGCTTGGCCCAGCTGCTCCGGCTCCACGAACCCCTTCACATCGATACAGCTCCAGATAATACACGGGTCGCATGTATACACCGCTCGATCGATGAAGAAGAAGAAGAAGAAGAAGCTTGGAACCAAGCATCCTGCCTTGCAAGGCCCCGTGCTTGAGCCCGGCCGGCCGAGCAACCGGGACCGCTCTGTACATCGTGGTGATCCCAGGAAACGACGCGGCGCTGTCAACGTGAAGCCAATTGGACTGCGTCGCGCCGCTTCCAGTGACAAGCCAACCCAGCTGGCCAACCACACTGATTACCACAAGACAAAGAAACAGGTCCATATTGCTGCTCAAAGCAAGCCGAAGAAAGGGATCCGCATCCACACCCCTGAGCGCGGCGAGTCCAGCAAGCAGGGCTCGCGTGCTGGTGCTCGACTAAGACAAAGCCAACAGGGAAGAAAGGACTCTCCTACGGCCAACCTCCCAGCCGTAATCTGCCGGCAGAGCATCACCAGGGCCACGCTCAAATTGGGCTCGGAACTCCTCAATATCAGCACGCAGAAGATTGGGCTGTCGGAGGAGCACGTCCTCCACACCACGAAGGAGGTGGCTCTCACCCAGTCGCAGCATGACTTCGGCATCAGATTATGCATTGCCAGGCTGCCCTCGGAGGATACATCATGGAAAGCACTGACCTGGCCGCTTGAACTGGATCTCTTCTTCGATCCCAACAGCGATGCCGTGCTGCTGGTCAACAATACAATCTTGGACACTCGGGAGTTGCTTGTCATCATGCCAATGGCACCAGGGGAAAAGCCAACCAGAATTGGCGCTCTTGAAAAGGCAGCTCTCGAGTCCTCGTCTTCATATGCCTTTTTCGTGTCGAATAGGCACATGTTTGACATTTCTGTCCTCCCACGACGCTATGTGGCCTCGACCTCGGCGCCTCTAAGACTGCTGACACAAGGCGGCAAGAGGACGGTCGATGTGCTGTCGCAGCAAGCCATGCCGTCGGCAGCCAAGAGGACCAAGACAGAGGCGACACATGGCCAGTCGAAACCCTACTGGGATGGCGAAATGAAGCAGACAAAGAATTTTGCAAAAGACAAAGGAAAAGAGGTAATTGACTTGGTGAGGGACAAGAGTAAAGGAAAGGGCAAGGCAACCAATGACACGCCCGATACATCGGAGGCAACTGATGTACTAGAGGCAACCAACGGACATGGATCACCAGACGGGGAAGAGAAAGCAGACAGCCAAGAGGCGACCGATCCATCGAACGCGTCCACTGCCGTTCAGACGCAGTCATCTAACGAGCTCGTTCTCGCAAGCGCTTCTCCGTTTCCCAGCGGTTCGGATATCCGAGCCGGATACATTTCCGCTGCCAGCCATCCGTTGAACGATCTTCCCGTGAATTCTTCCATCAAGATTGCCAATGCCACCAGGGAGAGCGACTACACGCTTGTCCGCAGGGACAACATTGCAAGGCAAGCCAGCACCTTGGTTTTCAAGGCTCACCACTCCAAGATCCCAGGCAAGCTGGTGGCAGTCAAGATATGGCACAGTGTATTCGATCTCGACTTCATTCCCGATGCGGGCGTGAAGGTTATATCCCAAGTCAGCGAGTATTTCCTGCGCGAAGTGAAGAATCACATGAAAGTGAGCAATCATGTAAGTGGCAGTCATGAGACCCCGATGCAAGCACAGATTTGATGACAGAAACTATGTAGCCCGTTGTTGCCAGCCTCTATAGCGTTGATGTGAGGTTCTTGGCTCTATATATAGAGCACATCGATGCGTGTGACTTGGCCAATTGTCGCCAACCCGGAAGAAATCCCTACTGTACGTTGGATGACGGCGACGCGGAGCGGGTATTGCACGACATGGCCGGTGCCCTCGAGTTCATACACAGTAGAGACGTCGTCCACAACGACATCAAGCCGTCGAATATCCTCTACAGCAAGGAGAGGGGCCCGGTGCTCATCGACTTCGGATGGTCGACTGACTCGGAGACTGTTCACGTCGCCGGAAGCCCTTGGTATGTCCCGCCCGAATACCCAAAGGAGGGCACGCGCGGCCCGGCGGGCGACATCTTTGCCTTTGGGGTTGTCATGCTTTTCCTGATGCGCAAGATTCCGCTTCCAGAGCTTCTCTCGCCACCACTGAGGTGGCGCATTGGCAATCTTCGATCAAAGGGCCCCGAAGCCCTCGAGGCCTTGGAAACGATGACCAAGTGGGTGCGAATGGTCGAGGGCGTCCTCAATAGGCTTCAGAGCGTCCATGATGGGGGAGGTGGCGGGCTGCTCGAACTCATAGTTCCAAGGATAGCAGACGTCGATTACAGACTAACGGGGCATGAGATAGTTTGTATGATACGTGAAAAGCAGAGTAGATGTGAGGAGATAGCAAGACTGGAGGCATGTGGCTACTAGAAGCATGGAGTAAGAATAGCAGATTCAGAAGTCTGTAGTAAGGTGAGGAGATAGGTTGCGAAGATATCCACATCATTCCTACTAAAGTGTATATTCGTTTCATCTCTCTAATATCTGGCGGGTGGTCTCATAGCCAATTGCTCCATATGGAAATCTGCATGATGAGATTACATGTACGCTGTGAAATGTGAACCTGGCTGGCGCTTAGGATACATGTAGCCGGCAAGTCTAACGCCAGGATATAGACTAGGGGATCGATAGGACGCCGCATCAGCTCACTTTTATCCAGCTGGTTCCGATCTTCCCCAGAATGATCTGAGCCGATACTATCTAGATGCGTTGAGCAATTCTGTAGCGTCGTCCCTTTTTCACATTACTAGCCTACCCTGTCGCAGCTCAATCTGGAGTAGCGATGTTGAGCTCGTTGAAATTGAATGTATGTATTTCAGCCGCATTGGCACCACGCACGATTGTTGCCCTCTGATGAACAGGTTCAGCACATGATACAACAGGGAAATACCTTTTGTCGTAAAGCAACACACGTAGCTAACGAATCAGAAGGCGAATGACAGAATTGCATGTTTTCCAAGCAAACATTGACGCTGCGATGGGTGGTATTGTTCGTTCAAAGTCAATGCTCAGAATAGGTGCGCGCGCAAGCCCTCCTACTTGAGTACATACTACATATTGATGAAGGCGGCCTCTCCAGTTCAATCATAACTTAGACTCAGGATCGCCCATCAGGAAGAAACCAGTCAAATGTACAGTTGCCGTGATCCAGCGAAGCATCTCACAGCCTCATGCTGTCCTACAAATCTCAAGATGTGAGCCCGTCCCGTGTCTCAAACGACAGCCGCTCGCTCGTTTCAGCAGCCGCCAGCGCCAAACGTCGGTGCCAGCGTCTCATCGACTGGCTCTCCGCGCGCCCCGGATTGCCCGTTTTCCAGCCTTGTGAAGTCCGCTCCCCTGTAAAAAGACGGCTGTGTGTGGAACGGAACGCGGCAGTCGTTTGCGAGGCCCACAGCGGCAGCCGGGGTGGATTGATGATGAGATCGATTAACGATGTCTCCAATTGTTAGTGAATGATGCTTCAGGAGTCCCATCTTTGATATCACACAAAAATCGAACAAAGTCTGCCCAGAAACACGATATAATATTCATCTCACTATGAAGGTCATTTCATTGTTGACATTTCTGTTTGACTCATACTCGTAGAAACACATAAAGGCGGCACATATCACCGCCACTTCACTTACCACCATCAAGAGCAGACCCCTGTCCGTTGTTCACGACAATCGCCAGCCAATTGGTTCCATCCCGCGCCACCCTCATGATGCAAAAGCGCCCATCCCCTCCACCAGCCCAAGCGGCGAAGATCATTCATGCCCGCCAACCCCGTTTCAAACCGATTTGCGCCCTTCTGGCCTTGTTTTACTTCTTCTTCTTCCTTCTTGTCTTGCTTGTCGCAACACCCTTTGTCGCTTGATTGTCGCGCGGCTAGCCAATCCAAGCCACCGGCCTGTGGCAATCTGCAGCAGCAGCAGCAGCAGCAGCATGAATTGAGCAAGCTTGGCCAGTTGCCCCTTTGGCTGCCTCTTTGACCCCCAGCATGAACGTTTTGATACGCGTAACCTGTTTTTCTGACCCAAATGTCTTTGATGGGGGGGCTCAAGGAGTGGAAAGATGTGAGGTTGAAGTGAGCAGCCGTGCGTGTGTGTGCGCGCTGTATCAATAGCAGCCGAAGCCTCATTCACACACACAATCATGGCTGTCAGTAGCTCAGCCAAAGGGCTGGAGTACATATATAGAGGCGTTGTGGTCTGCCACATGCGCCCGAAACTAATTCCCTTCTTATGATTCATTTTCTCTGTTTTTGCCTCATAGAATTGCATCCTGGCGATACAATCCTTTATACCTCCTCACTAACAACCCTCAAGTCACCATGTCTGCTCTGCTAAGATTCGCCGTCCTCATCCCCCTGATATTCTCCCTCGTCGCCTTTGTCCTGACGAACTTGGCGTTGTTTGCCGGGCATCAAAAGGGCTTCATGGAGGAATATGCCGTCATAAGGGTATGTAAAAACTCAGTCTCTATACTAGGTATACAAAAACACTCAATCGACGAGTTGCTAACCTCGACACAGCTCAACACATCCATGCTCGGCCAAGACATATTCCAAAGCGACGACAGCTCAGATAGCAGCAGCAGCTCCAGCGATGATGACGACGGCGACAGCCTCTGGGACAAGATCACCGACAAGGTGGACGACATCAAGGACGATGTCAAGGGCAAGATCAGCGACATCGTGGGCGACATTGCCGACGACCTGGCCGACGAGCTGGGCATCAGCGACTGGTACTCGCTCCACATCATGAACGCCTGCATGGGCAGCTTCGGGCCCAACGCGACGACGTCGCACTACAAGCTCAACACCACCAACTGCACCTCGTCGTCTCCAGCCAGTAAGCCTCTTTCTATCTCATCTTAGGTATCTCTGAACAAGAGCCCTCCCCCACCTGCTAACCCACACCGATCGATAAGACCGCTTCAACCTGACCGAAATCCTCGACCACCAGCTCTCCATCGGCCCGCTGGACCTCAACCTCGCCGACATCCACTGGCCCGGCTCGATCCAGAGCAGCATCGACACGCTCAACGGCGCCCTGCTGGCCCTCTTCGTCTTCTACGTCCTGGGCGTCGGCTTCAGCGGCCTCTCCATGCTGGCCTGCGTCCCCGCATTCCTGCTGCAGCAGCAGCAGCCGGGCAAGAGGCTCGTCCTCATGGTCAACGCCGCCCTGGCGTCGCTGGCCGCCGCCACAATTACCCTCGGCAGCATCATCGCCACGGCCGCCTCCGCCGTCGCCGTGAGCGCCATCAACGACAAGGGCGAGCCCGTCACCCTCGTGGCCACTCAGGGGAGCAAGTTCTACGGCCTGACCTGGGCTGCGGCGGCGCTGATGATTGTGTCGGCGCTGTTTTGGGTGGGCAAGTTTGCGTGGTTGTGGAAGAAGGAGAAGAGGGAGCGGGAGAGGTACTCCAAGGAGAGGTTCTAGAGGTGAGCTCGATCTTATTCGGGCGGAGTTCTACCTGGTGCTGGCGCTGGGAAAGAGTAATTTCACCATATAATACTGCAATGCTTTGTTTTCCTTTTCTTTTGTTTTGCTCGTTTATTCTGAGCAGGGGACAAAATAGGGATGGGATGGCTGGATAAAGGGCTTGGAATGGGGACTTATATGCGGCTGAAGAAGAAGCCAAAGGCAAAACGCCACGAGGACAAAAACCTCGCTAATTCGCTCACAGAAGCGATGAGATCTTTAAAAATACCTTTAATAAGCATAACGCTCACATATGCACATCTGATACCTACCTTACCTCCTCTTACACCGCATGAAATGTGAAGACATCGTCAACGCAATCACCGCAGCACATCTCCTGACCGACCCTGTCGTTTTTCTCCTCGCTTACTACCTAGGTATCTGCATCTATTCCACAACCCCACGCAGGACAGCGCATCAAAGCCGCAGCGCCATCTGCGTCATGGCCTGCCCAAACAGGAAATGAGCGAGAAGCTCGTGGACAGCTGCCGATCTTTGGGCATGAATGAATCCCCTCTCTCCCGATTTCGAGTCCAATGGCCCTTGTCTCTCTTTTACCCACCTCGTGAATACACATATATAAATAGTAGAGAAAAAAAAAAACACTCCAGCTGCGATGGATGCATCGTCAACTCACTCCAAAGCATCCCGCACCTTCTCCGGTAAAGCGCAACAACAAAGGCCAGAATGAGCTCCTCCTCCAAACGCCCGGCGATGCCCTCTCGCGATGTCGAGTACGGGGGTACCAGCGAGACGCACTCGCTGCTGGACAAGGGCCGGACAAAGGTGACGCGCTTCTTTCACGGTTTTGTCGATTTTGCGTTTCAGGGCAACATTCTGCAGCTTGCCTTTGGTTTGATGTGAGTTGTATCTGTATCTTTTTCTAGGTACCTTGGTACTCTTCCAATCTCGCACGACAGCAAAGCTGCAAAAACCGCATGTGTGTTGCGAGAAAGCCAAAGCATAACAACAGCTCATACAAACATTCAAACCACCACCACCACCACCATCATCACCATCTCAAACAATAAAAAACATCAAACAGATCATAAAAAACCTCGTTTGAAATTCCACTCGCTCACTCAAAACCAAAAAAACACAGCCTCGCCGCCGCCTTCACCGACCTCGTCAAGTCCTTCGTCAGCGCAATCCTCATGCCCCCCATCTCCGTCATCCTCCCCATCAACAAGAACATTGAGGAGAAGTTTGCCGTCCTGCGCCCCGGCCCGCACTACAACGCGTCCGAGCGCAACGGCGGCTACAACACGCTGCACCAGGCGCAGGCCGACGGCGCCGTCGTCATGGCCTACGGCTCCTTCATCTACCAGATGGTGTCGTTTGTCATGGTCGGCTTCTCGCTGTACGGCCTGGCGCACGTGTATGAGCTCGTGGGCACGGATCCGATCATCAAGTATTCCAAAAAGTGCCCGTATTGTTTGAAGAGGATCAATGAAAAGGTGATTGCATTATTTTTTTCTTCTTTACTTATTCTAGTTTGTTTCTTCATGAGATTGCGCCTGAAAGGACGGGAAAGCTGACAATTGAGATGCTGAATGTGTGCAGTCTCGTCGGTGCGTCAACTGCAGCAGCTGGCTTGACGGCAGAGAAGACGTCGACGCCATAAACCCAACCTCTACATCCTTTTCCAGCCAACGCTCGTAAAATGACCACCAACCAACGCCAATTTACCATCCCTCTATAATACGCATCAAAACAAATCGAACCAAAACCAAGCCCAACCCGAACCGATCCCCCCCCTAAGAAAGACAAAGCGAGCATCAGACATGATCCGAATACAAGCCCAAGCCAACTCCCGAAGAATATCCCATGCTCCCAACCCTCCTCTCGTCGAGATACCTCTCCCTCAGGTACGCATCGCCAACGTCCCACCGGACTGTCTTGTTCTTGTTCTTGTTCCTGTTGGTGCTCGCTTTGCCACGCGCAGATGCCACCAGCCGTGCGGTCGCGCAGATGAGCAGCACCATGCACACGACGATGAGGAGGGCCATGACTGTGGAGGCGGCGGCGGCGGCGTCCAGGGGCGAGGTGCGGGAGAAGCTGTGGTAGCGGCTTTGCGAGGGGAAGTTCATGTTGGCGTGAATATGTGGTGACTTTGATTTGAAAAAGGTTGTATAGAGTACCTGATGTGAGGTTGTTGTAGGTTTCAGAGACTGAGGATTTTGGTAGAGAATGGAAGTCATGATGGACGGTTGACTCGTCCTCGACGAGCTGCAAGGGGGGGATATAAATGCTTGGAATGCATCTAGAAACAAGGCAGAAGGCGGAGTGCTGGCGGCAGAACGGTTCAAGATTCAATGCTGTGTTTCAAGCTGTTCATTAACAAAGGCCGCAGGGCATATAGACATTGCGCCCTTTCAGCCCGTGTCCAAACAAGGCAAAAGTGACCAGAAACGCCGTTCATCATTGTGCTACATCTTGCCTCGGGGTATACATACATTGCAGCGATTCATGTACATCTGATGGCTTTGTTCAAGGCCTATTCAAAATTGATCCACAACGCGTTTGCTCAAAGAAATCTCAACGCTGTTCCTAACCCATCATAGTACATGTCTTTATCCGTTCCATTTACAGCATCATGGCGCTGCCGATAATGGCAGCAACACCGACCAACAGTCCGTTGCGAGCGTTCAGGACTCCGGCAGCGTTGGTCGTCGTGGGCCCGGCAGTCGACGAGGTGGTCTGAGTGCCCGTGTGAGTGCCGGTCTGGGTGCCGGTGGTGGTTGTCTGCCTGGCGAGCGTCGTGGGCGCAGCTCCGGAAGCAGCAGTCGTCTGAGAAGCTGCGGAGGAGCCGGTGCCGGTGCCGGTGCCGGTGGGAGCCGAAGAATCGGTGGCCGTGGCGCCGGGAGCGGCCTGGAGCTTGTCGAGGCCGGCGGTGACGGTGACGGGCAGCTGCAGGTCCAGGAAGGTGACGGTGCCGACGCTGGCGGTGGCCATGGTGTTGCCGTTGCCGTCGTCCTGGGAGACGGAGGCGCTGCAAGAGGCGACGTCGACTGCGCTGGAGAGCTTGCAATGGGCAATCTCGGTGCTGTTTACATTGTAAGCTTGGGTTCATTGGATGGGTCTTGGGGAGTCTCAAGTATAAAGTCGGTTCTTCAAAGACAATGAAGTCAATGACAAGCAGCATATGACTTACTAAGATCCTTCATCTCCAGAGTAAGCCATCGTGAAGGCATAGGTAGATGGGCCCTGAGTGATGGTTTGGCTCTCCGCGAAGCCACACTCATCGGAATCGGTGCCTGGCGGGCATCCTACGGCATAGGTCGTGGCCGAGCTGTCCGCGGCGACGACGGAGGCAACGAGAGGCTGGGGATCGGCAAAGGGCAGCAGAAGCTTGACGGTGGTGGTTTGAGCAGCCAGGACGGCGCTGGAAAAGGCGAGAAGAGCGAGCGAGCGAGCCATGGTTGAGTCGAGAAGCGAACGAGTTATGCTGGCGACTGGTGTTCCGGTTGATAGTTGGGGCAGTTGTATAACTGTGTGTATAGAGTTGGACTTGTATTGGTATGTACTCGGACTTGTAAACGAGTGAACGAGCGACTGTGCTTGGCTGATCGGCGACAGAATGAGTGGATTCGCGATGGCCAGAAGAGAAGAAAAGGAACCACACGACTCGAGTCGCACAGCCTGGAGACGTCAGCTTTTAAAGCTTCTTTCGATCCTGTCAACCCGCGACACTATTGCTCCCCTTTCCCCTTCAAGGTAGCGTTGCCCATATGCTAGTCTCGGCGATTGACTTTATGAGTTAGATCGCGGAACTGGAAATTGCCTTAGTCAGGACTTGGAACCTCACGATCTTTAGCCGAGGAGGCTTTGAGTTGCCTCTGCAGCTGTTCGTACTGCATATGTAAGTAGTAGCCAGGTAAGTAAGTCTGCCGGCAACCGAGGGCTTGTCACTGCTCGATTCCTCTTGAAGCGACACGGAGAACCGACATCGTGGGCGACTCTCTGTTTCTGAGCCGTCGACGTGGTTCACATTGAGTGCGTTGAGCTGCTGGGATCAGCGTCGCCTTGCCGCTGCTGCTGCTGCTGCCGATCGATCTTTGAGTGATAAGGTTCGTTCGAAGCATGATCCGAAATTAGCAAGCTCTTGCATGGATGGCCAATTTTGCCCCTGCCTACCTAAGGTTGGGTCTGGCGGGAGGCGGCATTAGCATGACAGTGATCCAGTTTTCCACGTTTCCATGTTGAGTTTTTTGGTGCCTTTCGCATTGACTGGGCGCAGTTTCGGCGGCGGAGTGAAGCAGTTCTCAGCGCAGCTCCGTGTAGCAGAGTATAAGCATAAAGCAAATGCAACCTCAATGCGCAACTGACTTTGTCGTTTGACTCCTGCCTGTTGAGCGGTTTGATATTACTATTTCCGCCGACTGAGCAAGCATACGCGAGTGTACGAAGTCAAGTCTTGTCCGGATCCCCAGCCAATGTTTGCTGCCTCCGCAAATGGCTGCGGTTGTGGCTCAAACGGGCGATCTGTGCTGCTTGGGCTTGCCGCTACTGCAGCTGCACAGCCGTGTATCGCGGTGCTTCGCTCACTGGACCGGGAGCAAGATGGTCATGTGTGACACTGTTAGAAGGGAGGCCGATGAGGTGGTGATACAACGTGCAGATTGACTTTATGGTTCTCTTGAAAAAGATTCTCTCATGATGTTGCGGACAGCTTGCCAGGGCAGACATTTTGAGATGTCATTGGATGCTCAGTCATCATCGAAACCATAGCCAGCATAGAGAATTTCAAACTTCAACTGTCAATTGCCTGCTGACACGGCATTCAACTCTGCTCGTTTCGCAATTCCGCGCACTTGCCGAGGATGCTCTGCAGCCCCCACCGAGATAACGGCAGATATGCGGTAAGCGGAAATGCCCGCTGCGCAATATGCACCTATCCGTCATCCCTGGCGCATTCTTGGCAGCCACGAGCCGGCATCCAACCTTCTCAGACCTTGTCTTGGCACGGCCTTGGCGTCCCGGCGGTTTGACTCGCAAAGCCCGCAAGGGCGGCGTCAACCCAGGAATGAGGGCAAGAACGAGAGGAAGGATGATGATTGCGTGGCAGACTTTTCCTTTGCCTTTGGGGCAAGAACTAATACCTAGTATGCCAAGACGGCTTCGAATTTCCTTTCCGTGTCTGTTGAGGTGGTGCTGCCCTGCGACTGCCTTTTTGGCTTTGCGGCCTGGGTCTGCCGTAGAGTGGAAGGACTGTTGTGTTCTACCTGCCTGGAGTTTTGGGTGCGGTTGGGAGGTTGCTGGTGACGGCCTTGGCATTCAGAGGGACCTGCTTGGACTTGGCGCTCGGAAGAGTCCATTCTTCCGGCTCTCCTGTCTTCGCTCCTCCCGTAGCCTCTTCACCGTAAGGCACCTAAGCGAAAAATAGGTAGTACGAGTAGTTGGTATCATAAGGTAGGTAGTGTCATATTCTAGAACTAGAATCCGTGAATGGCCTCTTCTTCATCTCATATTCTTAAATCTTTAATAATCAGTTGCCTTTTCATAGGTCAAGAATTGCCATCTAATCCACTCCAGGAAAGAGCAACGAGCAGAAAAAGGAGCCCAGCACATGCCAAGACATGACGGAGAAAACCCCCTTCATAGCGGCACTCGCCCTAACCCCAATTGGCCGCCAGGAGAGCAGAGGTCCAACTCTTGGCATCGTGGAACCAAAATCGCTAGCATTTCACCCTTGATGCTTCCCATGCCATGGACCGCGTCGGCCGTCTGCTGGTCCCCGGCTGTGAAATTCTGCCGTTCTGTCTTTTCTCATCTTCATCGCCGCCTCTCTCTTCCATGCATTCACGGGTCCGTCTTGCGAGCCCAGGCATGTGGTGACGGCGACGACTCCGTCTCGAGCCTTGTCTGTCTGTGCCCGCCTCCCTTATCGCTGCTGTCTGCCGGGCTTTGCGTCGAGAGCCAATCGATCGCGTGGGTGCGCACATTTGAGACTCGATTCTCGACGAACTGTCCTCCCTCGATACCTCATCATCGGCGCTCCAAGTCGTGAATCGCCCGTATCCGACTGCCCAGGCCGCATTCTCTTGGTTTTGTGGCGATCTCCTCTGGCGGTGTTCATTGCGCTACGAAGCTGCACCAGCCCGTAAAGGCGCCACCTCACCATGGCCGGGTTTGCTCCGAACGTCTGGCCGGCAGCGCTGCAGGTTCTGCTCGCCGTGATCGCTCTATGCCCTGCCAACGCGATGGCCCACGACGACGATGATCGCCGAACGACGGCACCGACACCAACTGTGACCGAGGCCCCCATCTATCTGCCGTACTATGACGAGCGCTCGTGGTCGCTGGTTCGAGGGAGCATCATTTCGACAGTATGCGCACCCAATCACTGCAACTTGCTGCGGCGCAAACTTTCCGTCGCCTGCGATTGAGATGCGCGGTCCAGTCGGGTTAACACGGCCTCTAGGATCCCTCTGCGAGCAGAACAACGTTCACCATCTTCTGCCCGACGCAAACACCCCCAGCATGCGACCTGGCCCTCGAGTTCCCCTTTGTCATTGTGGAAGGGCCCGGCACGCTCGAGTTCCACGGAACGGTGACCTCGACATAGTGAGTTGATCTGCCGTGGTGACCTGGTGAAATCCGTGTAGCGGTAGGAAAGGGTTCGTGGGCTAACTTTACGTCAAAGCATTGCTGACGTAGAGTGCGACTTGAACGGCACGACGGCCGCAACGTGCTCGGGTTACTCGAGCTACAAAGCCGGTTACACGAACGGACACCTCACTGGGCCTACGCAGCTTTCGTGGACATCCACCTTTACTGGATCCGAGGTGCAATGGGGAACCCTCACGATGGCTGATGCCCCAGGGGCAACTGACGATTCCTTTGACCCCAACGGAACCATGACGGCGCCCACAGCGCCCTCCGGGATGATGTACGAACCTTCGCCTACGTCGATGGGATCGAGCTTGCGCGTCTCCGGACTGCGATCGCTGTGTGGGATCATGGCTGGCATTATCGCCGTGTGCCTGGTGTCATAACTGCCCATGCACTCGCCCTCGAATCTTGGAGATGAATAGGGTTGGGGATGGTCATGGCTGGTTCGAGGGAACTGTCCGACAGACTCCGGGCCGTGCTCTTCCGGGGCCTCTTCCTCGCTTTGTCCACAATTTTTTTTTTTTTTTCCTGAAAAGCGTTATGAGTGCGTTGTGCCCTCACTGGGCTTTGTCGTTCCAGCAGCATATAAAGGCGTTTGTAATTATGGCTCAAAAGCGCGGAGTTTGGGATCTGGTCAACATGTCTTCTTGTTTTTCTTTTCTTCTCTGCCCATGGAGTATCTGGTACGAAAGGGGGTAGAATCTTCAGTGGATGCCGGGGGTACTTATGCATGGAGGGCTGCGTGTCTTCGGGTTGAGTCGCCGTTATACATGGGGTGTGATGTGGCTCAGTGATAGAGCCGTGCCGGCTTGCTCAGATAAGTATGGCAATGGATGCATGACCTGAATCTTGGAGTTCTTCTCAGCTTCTACAGATCATTCTATCTGATGTGTAGTAATATGGCTCCCGCCACACTGGATGAACCGCGATGGCCAACAGGTTCACACCCTTGTCAGCCCGGTGGATCTGACAGTTTCAGGTCCCTGTCGCGAAGTCGGCTTGAAGCGCTGTCATCCAGTCTTACGCTCTTGAGAGACTCAATGGTTGGCTGAGCACAGCCGTTTCTTTACCGCAGCCAATCCGGCCGACTGTCCTGCAGGCATCTTTTCCATTGAACGATGGCCGATTTATGAGACTATTTGCTGTCTTAGCCGCGCGGACACGCTAAACGATGACCCGAAAGAAGTGGCATTATGCTTGTCATTTACTGCTACACAAGGGACATACGAGATTGAGATACTACGAGCATAAAGAGGCTCTTCTCAGTCGCCCCAGACTGCAAAAAGATCCGCCGAGGCCCCCTCCCTTGCAGCATCGCGCCTAAATTCCGATGCTACCACGATTCGAGGCTACAGCAGCCCAAAGACATGGTTGAGCGTTTCGCCGCGGCCAAATCTGTCAAAAATGATTCGGACCTATGTATAAACCGGACAATTGGACTGGATGGACCCCGGATTGCCCCAAGCAGGTCCCAGGTAGGCGCTTGAACCGACGGCTGAGTGACTTTTCATTGGACTGAGAGGCACGCTGGTGAGCCGAGACAAGGAAAAAGAGGCTCGGGGCCGAGATCTTGGCTTCCTTGTTTGGCCAAGAGGATGCATTGGGCGAAACAAGATGCTCGGGGAAAAAAAAGGCTGAGTGCGACCTGTTGCGACGGTGGGATTGCTCTTGACTATTCCTTGTAACCTGTTCCAGGCTCGTTGGCTGGTGCCCGCTGATTTATTCATCCAGAGCTGCCTCTTCTTTTTTATTCTGCGACCTCCCCGGTGTCCGCGTTCTCCTCTTCCTCTCGTCAAGCCTTTGCTCACTACTCCTCCCTCCTTTTGCCCTTTTCTCTGTGTTTTTTGCCCTTTTTTTGCTTTGGATTTCCTTTCTCAACAACTGTCGCCTTGAGTCTCTCCACTCGCTTGCTCGGCCTAGTCCTTGTTGGTCCGTGTTCCTGGATTCTCTATTGTGAGGTGGCGATCCGGTTCCGGTTGAATATTGATCGCCCTCCTATTGTTGAGCGTCTTACGTTACAACCTGCATTCATCCGACCCTCTTTCGACACTATTGTTTGCCGCACGCTTTGGCCGTGATTTCTTTCCTTCTCTTCTCTTCTCCTCTTTGCTTTATTACTTTCGTCTTCTCCTTTTGCACTGTTTTGTTCAATCTTCCAGGTTGAAGATTGAAGATTGATTCTTCGCTTCTTAATCCTACCTGCATCAGTACATACACTCGGCCCCAGCTTTGAAACGAACGACTACTAGTGCTGGACACAAGATCAATCATTTCATCTAAACTCTTTTGCCGTGCATAAAGAACAGGAGCAGCATGAGATTCGTCAAGAGCCTGAACATCGCTACGGCGGGGAGCTCCGTCATGACGGCTCCCGCCTCCCTAGACGTCAAGAGCCTGTGTGAGTATAGCCTCCCCTCCCGTGTAAGATGGCAAGTCGACTAACACCAGACTCACAACAGCGTCTGTCCGAGATGTCGCAGCTACTCTTGCATTCGACACAATGTCCTACTACAAGGGTAACCTCTCCTCGGCGGACTCCATCAACATGGGCGACCTCCAGGATCCGTACTACTGGTGGACGGCTGGCGCGCTCTGGGGAGCGATGCTGGACTACTATCACCTCACCGGGGACCCGTCGTACAACGACGTGGTGATCCAGGCTCTGCTGGCGCCGACGAACCTGGGAACGGAAAACGCCTACATGCCGGCGGAGCACGCCTTTGAGGAGGGCAACGACGACCTCTTCTTCTGGGGCTCGGCCGCCATCGCCGCGGCGGAGCGCAACTTTCCGCAGCCAGACAGGTCGCTGCCGTCGTGGCTGGAGCTGGGAGCTAACGTCTTCGACCAGCTCATGAGCCGCTGGAACACGCAGCACTGCGGCGGCGGCCTGCTGTGGCAGATATACGAGTCCAACCCCAATGGCCTGACGTACAAGAACAGCGTTAGCAACGGCGGCTTCTTCCAGATTGCGGCGCGCATGGCGCGGGCCACGGGCAACGACACGTACCTCGAGTGGGCGGAGAAGGTCTGGGACTGGTCCATGGACGTGGGCTTCATCGACGCGGACCTGTACCACGTCTACGACGGCTCGGGCATCGACACCAACTGCACCAAGACGAACCCGGCCTCGTTCACGTACACGAGCGGCATCTACCTGCACGGCGCGGCGGTCATGGCCAACTACACGGGCAAGCCCGAGTGGAAGGAGCGCGCCGAGAAGCTGCTGGACGGCGCCGTCTGGTTCTTCCACCCGCCCAACGTGACGGCCACGATCATGTACGAGGGGGCGTGCGAGACGGTCGAGAGGTGCAATGCGGACCAGACGACGTTCAAGGGCTACCTGGCGCGCTACATGTGGCAGGCGACGCAGATGGTGCCCTCTCTGCGCAGCAAGGTCGAGAGCCTGCTCGTGGGCAGCGCCGAGGCCGCCGCGGGCACCTGCACCGGAGGCTCGACCGGCCGCGCCTGTGGCCAGAAGTGGTACGTGGGCCAGTTTGACGGCATCCCCGGCTTCGGACAGCAGATGTGTGCGCTCGAGGCGATTCAGGGGCTGCTGATTAGCGAGGCGGCTCCCCCGCTCGAGGCCAAGGACATCAAGGTCGTGCGGGACGCGAACTGGAGCGCTGCTGGTGCCGGCAAGGATTTGCCTACGAGGGCGGTGCAGACGTCGTCGACGACGAAGAGGGGGAATGCGGGCGAGGCGCAGCCGACGGGGAATGCGGCGGCTGGGAGGGTGATGGATGTGGGATTGGGATCTTTGATGGTGATGGGATTGGGATTGGTGGTGGTGGTGGTGGCTGTTTGAGGGGGACAAGTTTACCTTTTGTGTTACGCCTTTTGAATCGCCTTCATCATCCCTTTGTTTTCCCTCATTGCATCTAGATTTCCCCTTGGCCTCGTTCTCATTCTTTTGTATATTGTGTAGATACAGGTAATAAGTGGCCGTAGCTGGCGATGGTAGATATTGCTGCCGCTCTGGGATAGAATAGATGAGGCTGCTGTTTGTGTGGATAGATGTGTATGCTTTTCTATTCAAGTCTACTTTTTTTTCTTGTTCTTCTTCTATATGTTCCAATATGACTTTTATACCGAACTCGTCGTCAACCACGGTATCCAGATGGACAAGTTTCTGCACATTGCCTTCCATCTCATCTCTCAAACTCGTCTCTCAGTCTCCTCATTTAAGCGCTCCCCCTGACTTCGGCCAGCGTCTTCTTCAACGCCTCCAAAAACCGGGTGACCTCGTCCTCGGTGCCCACCGTGATCCTCAAGCACCCCTCGCACCCGTGCTCCTTGCCTCTGAAGCGCACAACGACGCCCTTTGTCTCCGCGAGCCTCTCGTACACGGCCAGCGCCACGGCGTTATCCGGCCTGCCGTCCTTGTCCAGCATCTCATACAGCAAGAAGTTGCTCTCCGTGCCGCCGCGCAGCCTTCCGACGCCATCAATGGCCGGCAGCTCGCGGATCAAACGATCGCGCTGCGCAAGCAGCTTGTCCCTGTTTGCGCGCATGACGGCGAGGCCCGCGGGGCTCAGGGCGGCGGAGGCGAGGGCGCTGGTGGGGCTGGAGATGTTGTAGGGGGCCTTGAGGCTGTTGAGCAGGGCGGCGATCGGGGCCGGGGCGAAGGCGGCGCCGAGGCGGATGCCGGCCATGCCAAAGGCCTTGGAGAGGGTCTGCATGACGACGAGGTTGGGGTACTCGGTGACGAGCTCGGCGAGGGAGGCATCGTCGTCCGGGGCGAAGTCGATGTAGGCCTCGTCGAGGACGATGACGCCGTTCCAGGACGAGTGGTTGAGCAGGGCGACGACGTCGGACTTGGACAGCAGCGAGCCGGTGGGGTTGCCGGGGGAGCAGAGGTAGACGAGCTTGATGGAGGGGTCGGCGTCGAGGGCGGCGGAGATGGCGGGCACGTCGAGGGCGAAGGTGGGCGCGGGGAGCAGCGGGACCTTGACAATGGCCACGTCGTTGACCTGGGCGGAGACGGCGTACATGCCGTAGGTCGGGGGGCAGGTCAGGATGCGGTCCTTGCCGGGGGCGCAGAAGCAGCGCAGGAGGGCGTCGATGGCCTCGTCGCTGCCGACGCCGACGAAGAGGTTGGCGGGCGTTAGCGTCTTGGGGGTGTGGGCGTGGGTGTTGCGGAGGGAGCAGAGGAGCTGCTTGAGGTCGTGCTGGTGGGGGTCTGGGTATCTGTGCAGGCCGAGGGGGTCGATTCTGAGGGCATCGTCGTCATTGTTGGTGTTCGTGGAGGAGGAGGAGGACTTGATGGCGGCGATGGCGGAGGGGGAGAGGGAGGGGCCGTAGGCGTTTTCGTTTGCGTCGAGGAGGATGTTTGTGCCGTCGTCTTTGTAGTCGCTGTTTTTTTGGAGATTGTCAGTTTGATTTCGAAAAAGGTTAGAGAGAAGGGGAGGATATGGAGAGGAAACCGACTCTCGGGCGCAACGGTAGGGTTGCAGGGCGAGGATGTTGGGGCGAGCGCAGGTTTCGAGGTTGAAGGGAGACATTGTGCGTCTCTGTGGAGGGAAAATGTTCCCCAATTAGACGATTGGTGAGAGTGTGTGGTGTTTTGCGAAGATAAAAGGAGGAGGAGGAGAAGAAGAAGAAGAAGAAGGAAGATAAAGAAGAGAAGACGTAAGGGGGGAAAGGAGAGACGGCGCCGAAAGACTGAATGCGTCCGAGATGGAAAAAAGAGTCAACGGTATGAATCAATCCCGCAGCGATAACGACGATAAGCCCCGAGGCCGGAGGCGGGCTTTTGTGGGGCGTTTAGAAGGGGGGAGCCGGATCGAGGGCCGGAGAGGCGGGAAGATGATACATATATTGAAGGATGATGATGATGATGATGAGAGGTGAGTCATTACGTGAAGGAGTCTATTTTATTCTATATGAAATTGATGATGAAGAAGAAGCAACGAGAGAGAAAGAAGTGAACAAATCAATTGGTATTGCTTTCAAAAACCCATCCATTATATAGATAGAAGAGGCATATCCCGTACAAGTCATCCATACATAACCAAACCACACAATCCCGTATAAGTCAATTTTGAGCAAAACAGAAACAGAACAAGACAAACTGCAACCTGTGAAACCCAATCATAATATACGCCATCCAGAAGTCGACCAATTATCCCTACAAGTGATAACCAAACAGAAACCAGCACCGCGGCCTCAGAAACAGCCGGTGCGCCACAACCCTCCACAGCGTCAGTCCACACGCCAGCCCTCCCGCCAGCAGCGGAATCAGCTGCCCAACGGTCCCAATCTCGTCAATGCCCACCTCCTGAACGTCGTTGACCGAGATGAGATGCTCGACCAGATAAATCGACATGCCAATCAGCGCCATCGACAGCGCCAGCAGCGCCAGCTCCACCCGCGGCCGCACCTTTTCCTTCTTCTTGAAGCCCTCGCGAAAGCCGCGGCTGAACCTCGTCCCCGTCGCCCACACGCTGAAGGCGAGCGAGGCAACGCACAGCACGACGCCAACCGCTGACATGACCTTGCCCAGCGTGCGGAACCAGCCGTGCAGGCTGACGCGCCCGAAAAACGCAATGTCCGGACACGCGGCGGCGGCGACGTGCATGGCGTCGATGCCGCGGAACCAGAACCAGCAGCCGTACGAGGAGACGGCCGTGTAGAAGACGACGCGGAAGATGCCGGAGAAGTGGCTAAAGTGGCTGATGCCGTCGCCCGTGAGGCTGGACAACGACCCGAAGAGCAGGTACTGCGTGATGACGGCGCCGATGAGCGAGTCGCCGGGGCGGGACTGGGTGCAGAGGCCGAGGAAGATGGACCACTGGATGATGAGGTTGGCGATGCGGTAGGTGCTTTCTGTGCGCGGCTCGAAGAGCGTCGCCAGCAGGGTGGCCGTCCACTGGGCGTAGAGGCCGACGCGGACGCCGATGCCGTAGAGGTCCGAGTTGCCGGGGGGGCATTGAGGCGTGGCGATGACGGTTGAGTTCATGTCGATGGGGAGGGTGATGAGGAGTTGTTGTGTCGTGTTGGGTTGGTATCAAGGGGATGAACAGCAGTAAGGAAGAGTGAGAGAGACAGAAAGAGTCGGCGACTGATACTGACGCTCTCACGCTCTCTCTGTCTTTCAGGGGATAATGGACAAAGGCGAAGAGAGACCAAGCATCGTCAAAGTCACGTACGTGATCTGTGGGCAGAGAAAATCGGCCTCGATTAAAGTTGCGGGCCCCTGCCGCTACATATGTAAGTGAGCGATCCCACGACCCCCCCTCCCAGCAGAACGACCATCGGACATCGTCTCCTCGGTATGATGGGTACATGTAGGGTGGTGGCAGTGCTCATGCACCTCCAGCCAAGGCAAGACACGGCAAGCCTCGCCTTGGCAACTGATTCCGCCTCACAAGAGAACCACCACGATATACCGACTAGCTTGTACAGCACTATATGCAAGCTGTAGGTAGCCATCATAAGGTGGTCACAAGGTATGTAGATCGGTGGGCTCATGTTCCCATCTCTCAGCCCCAGCAACTAACGAGCAACTATTCGACAGCCATCGCCTCATCGTATCGCAGTGGTCTTGCTACTGCGTTCTGTGAGACATCGGGCACAGACAGGACCAAGAGAGAGAGACGGACCAACGCCGCAGAAAGTCGGGTTCTGCAAGGCAGGGTCCGAACCGCCCTGGGCCACAAGAGAAGTACTGCTAGTCCTGCAATCACAGCCAATCATGGCGTCGTGCGAGGCAGACCCAGGACGGGATGCTTGTCGACAGGGGTAGCGGAGAGGCGATCCAGAGGGCGCTAATCAGTCGGTTCCCAGAGCTGCTTCTGGGCTTTGTCTGCAACACATTTATACTATGGCACATTCTCAAGCATCTGCTCTGGTCTGGCCTAGTCGTGTCTCGCATGTGATGCCTGCTACTAGTCCCAGCAGCTGAAAGGCAGACAGATGTGGAAGAGGGTGGGGAGGGGGAAGACGACAGGGGGGGGGGGGGGGGGAGGGCGATGAGGGCTGAGAAGGATTGAGGCTGAGAATTTGGGAAAAAAAGAGAGGCAGCCTCTGGGGTTGCCTTGAGGGTTTTGCACTGCAGATCCCATGTCCCATAGGACCTGAAGCTGCGCGCAACCCATCCCATCCCGGTCGAAGGCTGTGTGGCCCGTGGTTGCTGTTGGCCATGTGCTGTATAAGTGTGTTAGAGATTCTCGTCTTATATCCTTGCACGCACAGCTTTGCTTCATGCTTCCTCGCCTGAATTCTCCTCGACTCAAACCTAATATTTCCTCCAACCTCATCTCGTCCCATTTCTACAATCCAATACGGGGACAAGCTCCCCCCCCCCCCCCCTGCCAACCCTCCCCAAGCAACCATGAACTCAACAACCCTCACCTGCCCCGTCACGGGCAACCCCGACCTCTACGGCCTGGGCATCCGCCTCGGCATCTACTTCCAGATGATCTCCGTCCAGATCTCGGGCCTCGCCTCCATCGTAATGCAGTCCGAGGACAGCCTCAGCCAGGGCGTAATCATCTTCGTCCTCGCCACCGGCATCGTCCTCGCCCGCCTGCTGCGCGCCGCCGCCGACATCCAGGCCGTCGAGGTCTTCCCCATCCTCACCCTGCTGCTCGCCCAGGTCGGCGTCTGCCGCGTGGCCGGCCGCAACGGCCAGACCACGGCCCACATCTACGTCTTCGAGGTCGCGGCGCTCATTGCCCTCTTTGCCTGGTTCTGGTGGCATGGCATGGACACGCTGCCGAGGAAGTGCCATGACGACAAGGCCTTCTTCTTTGCAAAGGTGAGCATCTGGCATTGGTTCCGGACTCTGAACAAGGTCGGCTCCGTGTTTGCCATCATCGGCGGCGTCTTCCTCGTTCTCTTTTACCTCGGAGGTGAGTGTTTCCCTCCCTCCCCTCCCTCATACCACACAGCTTCATATAAGGCGCAGTGACTTACTTACTCAATCGAACTTTGTAGCCACCATCTTCTTCAACGTTGTCCGCGTCGCCAACTTCCTCAGCTGGTCCCGCGGCGAATCGGGCGGCCGCGGCTCCAGGGGAGATGGCGACTACATGGGCCTTGGCTCGCTCGACTTCCTCGTCAACGTTGGCGCCATTGTCTACGTCGAGATGGCGCTCAAGTGGAACGACATCTCGGACGTGCACAGCCTCGCCGCGCCGGGGCAGTTTATGCCGTTCTTCATATCGATTGCGCAGCTGCTGAGCGTGTTTTACGGGATTGGCAAGGGAGTGCTCGAGATGGCTGAGGCCGAGGATAGTGATTCCGATACCGAGTCTGGTTGGTTTGCCCCCCTTTTTTTTTTTAATTCCTTTTCTTCTTCCTTTGTTCCAATGTGACAGAGAGGACGTCTTTTTTGCTAACGAAGATTGTTGTAGATGATGGGATGAACTTGCCGTGTCCGCATGAGAAAAAGGGGTGGTCGTATAGGAGCCAGCAGGAGTCGCTTCCCCTTGTTGTTGTTCAAGCAAACGTCAAATGAATGCTGCGACGAGGTCCTACATTATGCTTGCTTTTATGCCTGTTTTTGTTCTTCCTTCACGTCTGTATGAGCTCGCCGGCTTTGTCTTGTCCGCGATTTCTTTGGGTTAGATTCTATAGGTCATGCTGGGTATGTTCTGTTCATGGGTCGATGAGATGTCATGTTGATGGCAGTATAGCGCATCTGAGTCGTAACAATATATACAATTCTATACTCAAACCTGACTTATCTGGACTATAAGGAGACGGCCACGACGACGCAGAAGAATCCGTAGGTGCAAAACTCCTCTCAATCACCACATCACGCTTCCTTCATGTCTCACAAGTCGTCAACCAGCACTCATATCTCCAGACTCCTTTTTTCCCCCAAAAAGCAATTTCACCTCAATCAAGGAACGAGGTATCAAGCCCGGACAGGACGAGTCCGCCTGCTCGAAGCACCGCACTTGCCAACAGGGGCAGCAGTGCGATCAGAATCAAAGTCGGTATCAGGACCAGGACTAGGAAAGAGAACATCGGCGCCCTCGAGAGTAGCGCAGCCATTGTTGACGTTGGCAACAAACTGCGCAGGGCGGTTGTAAATCGAATCAGCAGGGCTGCGAGCAGCACGCCCCGAGGGCCGGATGGTGACGGCTCCGCAGTTCATGTACATCTCCCGGTTGCCGATCCTGTTGAACCAGGTCCAGGCAAAGAGGGCCTCGCCGGGGGGAGTGTCGTTGGGCAGGGTAAAGTCCCAGGTGGGCGTCAGGGGGCATCCGCCGATCCAGGAGTGGACGACGACCCAGGTCCGGCCCCGGTCGTAGGACAGCGAGGCCTGGCAGCTGCCGCCGCTGTGGGTGGCCGAGCCGGCGACGGTGAGGTTGTACGTGCCGCCGGCGCGCCAGGTGACGCCGGGGGCGCCCTCGGGCCTGCCGACGTCGACCTGGTAGCCCTTGCAGGGGTAGTTGGAGCCGTCGGCGTTGAGGGGCGACGTCATGTCGTAGTTGATGAGGTTGCCGGGCACTCGGGGGTTGTACTTTGAGCGGAAGACGGGGGGCCATGAGACTTCCATGTGGGCTTGGGCCGTGGCGACGAGGCTGAGGAGGGAGGCGATGCTTAGGAGCTTCATTTTTTTTTTTTCTTCTTTACTTTTGTAGTAATGACTGGTTTGCGAGTATCGTGATAGGTGAGTTGATGAGGAGCGTCGATAGGGATGGAAGCTGGTAAGGAGTTTTCAATGAGAGCTGGAGTGAGAGGTTGTAAGGGAGTGTCGTGGTGCTGTTATGATGGGAGAAAAGAGGGCGTTGAGCGAGACACTCTTTCCTTAAATACCTTGTCCATTGTCCTTTACCTACCAGACATTCTCCTTTGTAAAGACACCACTGTTCTCCGGTATAAAAGGGGCGCAGGCATGTTGTCGATGTTCTTTCAGACGGTATGATTCCACGAATAGCCAGAGACAACCTTCCATGTTTGGCATGGCACTTCTCATAGTACTCAGAAGGGTTGCGTCGAAATATCACCACACCGTTCTCTCTTGGCGTTTGATGCCACGTTTGATACATGTAGACAATTAACAGCTACAGACTGATTGAGATTTGACTGTGTCGAGAATGTCACCAGAAACATCTCATACTCAACTCTGGAGAAACACGCTTCGAATGTGCAATTACCCGCAGACGGCATCAGCTCCGTGGAGCAACGAGGCGATGCCATGCTGGCTGCAGGCCGGGAACTTGACGCAGATCAATCAGCCATTCATGAACCTGGTCTTGCTGAGACTGTCTGAGCCCAGCCACATAAACAAACGCTGCATCGGTACCTACTAGTACCATCTCGATGAGAGACAATCTCGCGAGTTCCAGTACAGGGGGGAGAAGCCACGTGTGTCTGAGCCAAGAGACGCTCTCCCTTGTTTCCACTCCTGGTCTGGCCTTTGTGCGAACCGGCGACGTGCCGATGCCAAGACACCCAATTCAAATTGCAACAAATAGACGTATAAATATATTAAAAATGGTGAAGAGATTCATGCTAGCACATAGAAGTCCCTTTCGAGTGGGACGTTACAGCTGACTCCTTCGAGGGTCCAGCTGCTGTATCAATGCCCGTTTCTGTACGCATCTTGATACTCTCTAGATGGTATTGCGCCAGCCACGCAATTCAGGCACTCTCGCCAGAGCATCTTCTTCGGACAATGGAATGGTTGATTACTATGTACTACATGTAGTCTTGCCCGGGAGAGACATTACCAAGACGACTCAAGTCAGTGTCTCAGAGCCAGCCTTTCACCAGCCTTCACACAACAGGAACCTTGAAGCATACTACCTAGTACTACTCTCTCTACCAGGAATGCCAGCCTTCGGACCGACGGCCGTTGGGTCTCATCAACCGACACTCCTGGCCTGCCTGCATTACTGACAGCTGCCACCACCTGCCAGCCCAGCCCAGCACAGCACAGCACAGCACAGCACAGCACAGCACAGCATGGCCCAGCACAGGCCAATACATCCCTAAAGTATATATATCAAAGGCCTGGCACTGTCAATTGGAAGGCGGGCAGCAGCTGGGTAGGTTGAGCGGTATATCGCAATCTTGATACCCGAGGCTGGTGGCCAGTGAAGGCGTCGATTCGATAACCGTTCGCTGCCCGTCTTTTTTGTTTTTTTGTTCCATTTTTTGCCCTATTAACTCTTACGCAGAACAATGCGAGTATCTGTTAAACTGAAAGGTGTGCAAAAGGACTCGACTAGCTGTATTCGGGAAACTGAGACAAAGATGCAATGGGAAAAATGAAGCCATCACCACTTTGGCATTATGCATGGACGCGTACTTTTGACGTCTTACCAAGATTTCACTACTACTTTGCATGCACCCGACGTCTAAATGCAGCGTGCCAACCAAGCAGAGAAAAATGATAGCATCTGCTCAACATTCAGGCTAAAGGAAATAAAGACCTCTGGTTGCAAACCCCTGATATACTCATCTGCGATACAACGCTCTATGTACTTACATGCTGCTACGCCATGTTCCGGAGCTGTAAACCCCAATGCATCTGTCCTACGTATCTGATAGCAGGCCTTGTTAGGAGATTGCCCCGAGTTATCAAGTCCCCAAATGCGAAGATCTTTTGTTTCTTTCGTATAGCCTTGATTGGATTGCTCGCTTCTTCCGCCAACAGAGCTCTATTTCGATTCACTCCGAACATCTGCGTAAATTCGCACCGAACTTCACTCACTCATTTCATATCAAACAAGAGCACAGAGCTCTCTATCTTTTCTTCAAGTTGGGGACTTTATTATCCTCAACAACCTTCCTGATTTGCCAGTGATGAAGTAAAGTACCTTATCTATCGTGTGTCGCCTCTCGTGGCCTTCCTATTCTGGACAACGACGCAGCTTGATTCGATGCATCCCAAGTCTTAAAGCTTACATCCTACAATCATGCCAAGAAGCTTAGAGCCCTCCCTCAAAGCCTTTATAATTTTATATTACACCTTAATGATCCAACAACCCTTTATCTGCCATCATCAGAGTAGTGCGGTAACGTTAACTCTGAGATCACTGCTCTACACCATCCTCAGCACATGTAACCGACCATAACCTCATATAGGCGGCACATCGCAAGCAGTTCTTCCCTGATTGGAATCTAACGAGCTCGTCTGTCCAAGGATCTTCTGGAAGAAGCTCAGTTCCTCATGCTACGGGTTGCAGCTTGGCAATAATATAGGTCCATTGGTATATAAGTTATTTGACAATCCGGTTGCATCTCGGTGTCCGGATGTTACACCCATGAGAGCGCTTTCTACTCCTAATGATAGAGAGAAGACCTGATTATCAGATCATGTTTCTGAAGCCACTCTGCAATCTATCAAATGCATATTTGAACAAACGTTACCTGCAGATCGATGGGTAGGTAATAAGAAGACATGGATCGTTACGCTTCTAATTAAGCTTAATTCTGACACGAGCGAACAGCTTGCCTCAAAGAGCCTACTCGCCACAACCGAGTATTAAATCAACTGCATTTGCTGTCGCTTGATCAAGGCACAAACAATTAGCGACCCTAATGAAGACGAAATTGCGAGAGATGTATCCAGTTGAGTATCGCCCGAGTGTCGCTTCAAGAATGCCACTTCTATAATAAGCGTGTTTGTGATTTTCCCACGAAGTCGTCCAAAATGGAACCACTGTCACTCTGGCGGAGGGTCGATATCAACTTAAGGAATCAGACTACCATTTCGCCGACGGTTCTTTATTGGACGCCTTTGTTCATGTACCTACCTATGAGCAAGTTCCACCGGCATTCAACATACGGATTGCGTAGATTTGCCCCCCTTAGATGCGCCCGAGATGCAGGGTAGGTGCTTGTTTGCAGACCAGCGCTGTGTTGGTTCTCGTGCAGTCTGTAAGCTGACTGCCAAGTTCAAGTTGTTACTACTACTAGTGGATATTTGTGCACTTACACACTGTACACACTCATCAACCCATCAAGTAAACGCCCATGTCTAATCATGACCTTGGCTTTGAAGATGCGCCATGAGGATAAACAACTAAAGTCGGTGCAGTCAGTGCCCTTGTGCTCTTCACGTAGACGGACATTGCTCGCCTTAACTCCGTGCGAGCGCCTCCCCCCTCTTCCCGCTTCAGCTTCCCACAAACCATCTGGTTCAGTTCCATCTCCTTCTCTCGCCTCAACGTCATTCACGGAAAGGAAAGCAAGTGAACAATCAAATAATCAGCGAAAAAAATGTCATGCCCAGACTGTTTCCGCGGCTCCGTCCACGAAGGGGACCCGCGCGGCAAAGTCACCCACGCCTACGGTCTAGAAACATACGTCGTCGAGCCGTCCAACGGCCAACCCCCGAAAGGAATCGTCGTCCTGCTACCGGACGGCTTTGGCTGGGAGTTTGTCAATCTGAGGCTGCTTGCTGACCAGTATGCCGATATGGGCGGGTTCAAGGTGTATGCGCCCGAATTCATGAACGGTAAGCGGAGATTATATATGACAATTCGATCTGAAGAGGAGGGGGGAGAGCCATTTATGCGTGTCTCATTCTGTCTCGGTGTATCAGTAATGCTTGCTGTGGGAAATGAAAGGCTGATGAATGCAGGGCGAGCCATGCCATTGTCTACGATGGAGAGTATGAAGATTGTATCATCACCTGTCGGGATCCTTACCAAAATGCAAGTATCACCAACCCCCTGGTATATCGCTGTCCAAACTGAGAACACGGGGTTTAGCTAACACATCAATGGCTGGCATCACATTACAGCCGCCACTTGTTCCGCGTTATATGTGCCATGGTTCCCTTCATCACCTACAACTGGCCCAGCAGGGCATGGCCCCGCGTCAAGGGCTTCTTCGAACAGCTCCGCAAGGAAGAGGGCTCCTCCCTACCAGTCGGCGCCGCGGGCTTCTGTTGGGGCGGCAAGCAAGTCATTCTCCTGGCCCACGGCGACACGATCGACGGAAGACCACTGATTGACGCCGGATTCACGGGTCATCCGAGCCTTTTGAGTATTCCGGGCGATATCGAGAAGCTGAAGGTGCCCGTTTCGTTTGCCATGGGCGACCACGACGCCTACCTTTCGGTGGAACAGGCGGAAAACATCAAGAAGATTGTCGAGGCCAAGGAGGAGTCCGCCCGTGGGGAGGTGGTCGTTTATCCTCAGGCTGGGCACGGATTCTGTGTGCGGGCGGATCACAAGTTTGCAGAGTCGACGAGGCAGGCGGATGAGGCTGCTGAGCAGTGCGTCAAGTGGTTCAACGCTCACTTTGGCAGTGCTTCATGATGTTTGGAGGTAGGCGTGTGATGGGCATTGCTTGCGATTGGTTGATGAGACTTTTGGTTCAAGAACAAAGGAGTGCTTCTCCGTCCAATTCTGTGTTTTTCTGGTTGCAAGCTTGTAGTAGCAAAAGTACATAGTATCTGGGCAGATCTTGAGGCGAGGTTGATCAAGGATGACATCAATCACAGAACACAGCATCAATTCCCCCTTTGCCAGAGATTGCCTTTCATGCATGTGCTTGTCAGCTAGATACCCTTGACTGCATAGGAACTTTTTAACGACGACTTACATACATGTAAGTATGAAATAGCGCACGTCTTAATTCCATAGACAACCAATGAAGTATTTTCGGCATATCATTCGGGCTTCGTAAGGCTGGGCAAGGTCAAGAACCTCCATCAACCCCATCGTCCAAAGAGGCAAGAAGCGAGAAAATCCGGGGTAAACAACCTGACAACAATAGCCGACGGCAATTAACTGGTCCTCTATATGGACATGTGATGCTCGTTCTGCTTGCAGATGTCTCCATCACAATGGCGATAATGTGGGGAAGACCCCCGGAACAGATCTGGAGATGTCGGCATATAGAAACCGGGGGGATGACCAGTTCCCCGCGATCGATGGACCGTATACATATAGTGGCTCATCAATGCCGTCGGGTTCATGGCAACGATTGGTCCCGAGTAATTGTGCTGGTCATTCACGGATCCAGATGGAACAGGCAATGATAAATACCACAGCTTCCGCTGCTATGGGAGTATCTCCGTTGACAATGTGAATCTTGGAGGAGCAGTCAGCTTTTATAAGTCATGATGCTTCTTCTTCTCATATACGCCACCGCCGCGGCTTCCGCAGCCACAGCCAGCACCCCGGGCCTCCGCAAGCTGAGCAACCTCGTCACCTTTGGCGACAGCTACACAGACGAAGGCCGGCTCAACTACATCTTCAGCCACAACGCCCTGCCTCCCCCCGGCGAGCTGCTGCCGGTCAACAACGCAACCTCGGTAGGCGGCTACGCCTGGCCGCGGCTCGTGGCGCAGAAGACGGGGGCCAAGCTCTACGACTACGCCGTGGCCGGCGGCATGTGCTCCGACAGCGTCACGCAGCACTTCCTCAGCAACATCAACGGGCCGTTCCCGTCCATCCTCGACTACGAGGTGCCGGCGTTCAGGACGGACCTCGGGTACAGGGGCCTGTATCCGGACCGGCGGCCGGACAACACGGCGTATGCGCTGTGGATCGGGACCAACGACCTGGGCATCGACGGGTTCCTGGGCGACAAGCAGGTCCGCGGCGCCACGATCCCGGACTTTGTCGAGTGCGTCTGGAAGGCCCTGGACGGCGTGTACAGGCTCGGCGGGAGGCACTTTGTCCTGCTCAACGTGCTCCCGCTGCAGCTCTCGCCCATGTACGCCTCGGTCGACAACGGCGGGACGGGCAACAACGAGTACTGGGGCAACAAGGCGACGTACAACACGACGGAGACGCAGGACCGGATGGAGCAGTACCTGAGCAGCGCCAACAGCATGTTCGCCACGGGGGCGCCGTATAACCTGCTGGTCAAGAGGCGCTGGCCGGGGGCGACGGTGAGTCTGCTGGACGTGCACTCGCTGCTGCTGGATCTGAGGGCAGACCCGACGAGGTATTACACGGAGCCGGTCAACATCACGGGGTCGTGGAGGGGATGCGGCGATGCGGGCTGTTGGCAGTCGACGAATCCGCAGTCGAGCTTTGTGTGGTGAGTTTCTGATTGAATTTCAAGTTGAACTTTGTGATGATTGCGAGGTCTGTTTGACTGACTCTATATTGTCTGTTGTTGTTTTCTTTGTAGGTACGACGAGGTGCATCCGTCGGAGAGGACGTGCGAGCACGTAGCTGATGAGTTTATCAAGCTGCTGGATGGACGGTCGAGATACGGGGTCACGTACCGTTAAGTAGGTACTTACCTTGCATGAACTTGAACTCTCAGTACACAATGACAGCTCGGGGCTTCCTCAGAGTTGCAATCTAAGCCTGTGAGGCTGAAAACAGTACCTAGATGTAACATGGTGATGACGATTACGTTGGTTGGGGTTCGATATGGGGTAAGCCTGACTGTTGACTGAGTGTCTTGCAACTCATGATGCTTCCAGCAGAGTCTGCTATTGTATACTTTTGGGCTTGACAATTGACAAAGAAGATGGGGAATTCAAATTGATCAAGTCAACATAAGAGTTTATAATTGACCTACTCGTCTTGAACGCATGAGAAGGGGTCGAGTCCCTCTGGATGTAGGTTAGGGAGTCGATACATACATGTATACACTGATACCATATAAGTAGGGAGAACCGTCCCTTGACTCCTCCTCCACCTCTCCATGACACACAACCATATAAACAATTCTCAAACAAAAACAAACACGGTCGCACAGGTATTAAACGTAAAAGACCCCGTCATCTTCTCCCCCCTTCTTCTCTCTTCAGTGCCTGTGCCTGGCGCAACCGTCCAACATCTCACGTCATTCCGCAAGCTGGTGAGAGGCGACTAGGCCCCCTTTGGCGCTGCCTCGACCCGCTAAACAGTCACCCCAAAAGCGCTGCCAAACCACAAAGAGTCTCAGCCAGCAGTCGGGTCTTTCTCTCCCATCTCCAAACTTTCCTTTCTTTTCTCAGCCTCCCGTCCACAATCACCACCAAAAAAGCCCGTGTCTCGCCACGTCTGCATTCCTCACTCGCGATCGCAATCGTGCAGCACCGGCCCCCGATCTGAAAGCGACTCAGGTTCTATATACCACACGACAGCAGAGATACAAGACAGCTCGAGAAAGGAAAAAAAAGGCGCCTCCGACAACCCGCAGCATCGCTTCCCTCCCTCCCTCCCTCCCTCCCTCCAGCCTCGCCAGCCATGTACTCTGCCAACTACGGCTTTGGCAATGCCGCGCCCAACTTTGCCAACCCGGCCGGCGCGCCGCAGCCTGGAATGCAGCCGGGGCAGCAGTTCATGGTCAATCGCCAGCAGCAGTTCGCCGGCATGGCTCCCCACGGCGCCTTTCCCGGCGCGAACCCGCACATGATGGCCGATGCCAGCGCCATGATGCAGGCCCAGGGCATGCCCGGCATGGCGCCAAACAACCAGAGTGCGTCTTTGTCCCCTATCCTCGCCCTCGCCCTCCCTTGATCGCCGTGTCGCGACAGAGTCAGAAACGCTCGAGATTGTTTGCTGACATGCACGAACCCCAGTGGCCTACCAGCAGCAGTTCCCCGGCGCGTCATACGGCCAGGTCCTCCCCGGCGGCGTCGGCCCCCAAGGCTTCGTCCCGAACAACTACATGATGAATCCCGCCATGCAAGGCTTCCCCATGGGCCAGCCCGGCATGCCCCAGCAGGCCCAGCAGGCCCAGATGATTCAGCGCATGCAGCAACAACAGCAACAGCAACAGCAACAGCAACAACAACAGCAGCCCCCCCAACCACAGCAGCAGATGCCTCCGCAGCAGCCTCCGCAGCAGCAACAGCAGCAACAACAACAGCAACAACAACAACAGCAGCAGCAGCAGCAGCCGAACCCAATGATGGGCCAGGTGTCGACCCCTCAGAGACCCCCGAGCACAGCGCAAGGAACGCCGACAAATATCATGCCTCCGCAACAGCCTCAGTTCTCGACGCCTCAGCACTTGGCCCAGGGACAGACGCCCACGAACCAGCACCAGCAGCCACCGATGGGCGTGGTCACGCCTCAGACCCCGACGTTTTCCTCCAACATCAGTGGCGGCATGGCTGCCCCGTCGACGGCCGCCGCGCCCATGAGCCCGACAACAGAAGCCCTGGAAAAAGAGAGGTTCGCGCTGCTGCTGGACATCAACCACGAGTTATTATACGAGTCCATCCAGATCCAGACAACGCAGCAGGAGCTGAAAAAGGAACACGCTGCCATGAATGGGAATGTTGCAGATAGGAAACCTACGGAGGAGGAGAATCTGTTCCAACAAGACTATCTCCAGTATGTCCACCCCTGCCGTTCTTGGGCCGCAGAAGAAAGGCATGAAACCCCAGAGTGATGACTAACGTGCCTTTAGTTGCATGCGACGATTACAAGCCAATCTGTCGTACATGGCCGCTCTGGCGGACAGAAAGCCCGACGTCAAGGGACCGCCGTGTCCAGCATATCTCAGCGCACCGCCCCTCAACCTCTCCCTCAGGCTGAGAGCGACACCCATTGGCGCCGAGAACATGACGACACCAATCGATACCGTAGCAGACAGAGAAGAGCGGTACAAGTCGATCCAGGACCTGTACCGACGACTGCAAGCCGTCTTCCCCGGGTTCGACCCCAAGAAGGAACCCGCCTTCCGCATGCCGAGCCAGAAGCCGCCCATGGGCCCCATGGTACCGAGCCAACAAGCCAGCCCGGCTGCCCAGAGGACGCCTCAGCTACCGAATATGCCTGGCCCGCCGATGAATATGCAAAACATGCAAAACATGCAGAATATGCAAAACATGCAAAACATGCAGAATATGCAGAACATGCAGAACATGCAGAACATGCAGAATATACAGCCCGGCATGACCATGCAGTAGGAAACCGAGGTCTCGGGATGCTCAGAGGAGGAGGAATCACATGAGGAGTTGGGTCAGGTAATGAGAGAATTTGCATAGCAGGGTGAGCGTGACCGAGAACGGAAGCTGGCATTGGTGGGTTGGTGAGCGTGAGTGAAAAAGGAAGAGCGGGCGTGCGATTCCTCGTTTCCTTATCGGCGTTTTGTGAGTTGTTTATTCATTAGAGGCGCGGTTTGATGGCTTGGCTATATGATATCACTCGGTATTCTCGTGCCCTCACCTTGGCTTTTTGTTTTGGTTTTTTTTTTTTGCTTGTTCATCAGGGGCAACGGACCTGGGACGGTACTTGGAAACGCACGACACTTATGAGGTATAAGATAAACGAAGAACTTGTAGATTAGCCGCTCCTATATACCTAATAACATCGTGTACCATTGTGGACGTTTTGGGGTAATTTCGATGATGCTTGAACAAGGGGCTGCTAATCAGGACCTGGCTTCAACGGGGGTACTCTGCGTAGCGCTTCCGCAGCTCGTCCGCCTTCTTGCTGGCCAGTTGCTCGCTTTCGTGTCCCGGGTATTCATTCACTCATTCTATGGCTACATTGAAGGAAAGGGTCATTCCAACTAGCCACAAGAGATCTAAGTGAAGCAATCGGATGGATTTCGGGGAAGTGAGCTCCTCCATGAATGACTGTGCCACGCAAGCCGAACCGTTTGCTTTGCAGATGTGCTTCAAAGGACGCAGCCGAAGCGGCAATGTGCGTCCGTCTTTGCCGCTTTGACAGGAGAGCGAAAACTTCCAATGACCGTTTCTCACCATTCAAACATTTGTCCTCCGTTTCTTTGATCGGGGTTTATTCTTTCTTCTTCTTTTGCTACCCTTTCAAGGGTCCAGTTGGGGGTTTCGTTGTCTTTTGTCATGGTTGTAGTAGAACATCATGCTGGGCGAATCACATGCAGAGTGACATTGCAGCAAGCCAAGCCTCTTTTTTTAAAAGTTCCGAAGAGACATTTGTTAGCGTCGCGCTAAGGCGTAGTTTATCTCGATGGCGGGTTCATGTTGCCTGGGGGGGTTGTTTCGGTTGATGGATGAGGCTTGTATGTACATGTATCTGGATGCGAGCAGCATTGGATGGCTTGATGCATGGCGGCCTCGCTCTTTTGTCCGGTTCTGTGCCTGGATATGGCTGTATAATGTTTGGCAACTTGGTTTGGTTATTTCTTGGAGTGTAACGATGAGCTGAGTTGATGTCATGGTGAACTGAGAGTGACTGAGCAATTAAACCGAGTCTTGGGCCACAGACGCAGTGGGCGGCCTCGAGATGGGGAGGATCTGCCCGTCAGTCTGTCCGTCTTGATGCAGGCGGCTTTACAAGTCCAGCGCCGAGCGATAAGCCAGCCTTCAGCAGAGCAGAGGTCAAAAGCCATCGGCAACATGCGTCGCCTTCCTGTCATGAATACACCAGAGAAACCCCGAAGCCACTCCCAGATCAAGAGACATTGCCTTTTGCTGGCCAAACAGGAAGAACAACGAGGCTGAGCTACCTATGACGGAGTATGGGAAGCAGTGGGCTGATGCTGCTGTCTGAAGTCATGCCGCCTCCTCCCGGAAGCAATGCTCTTCTTTGCTTTGACCTTCTCTCAAACATAAACCGGTTACTTGTACCTACTGCTCAACACTTGCGTTGAAAAGTCTCAAGCACCTGCTCACTTTCGCAACTCGACATCATCAACAAAACACGCGACAACCGCCATACAAAAGCAAGACCAACCCACAATCTTAACCAAGTGACATCTTCTTTTGTTCAAGGACTACTCCTCGCCACAAATGTCTCTCGTCAACCGCAGACCATCCGCCACCAAAGACGTCGAAGCCGCCATGCCCGACCACGAGGCTCGAGACCCCGTCTACGACGACGTCTTCCTCGACGTCGGCTCCCGCGGCTACTACCTCCAGTCCCAGATCCTGGGCATCCCCGACCACCTCGGCCTGTTCCAGCGCGGCGCTCCTAGGCGGAACGGCTTCCTGGGCATGCTCATCGTGTCCTTCTTCGGTGCCTTTATGTGGAGCTTCGTCCTCTTCATGTTCTACGTCGTCTGGCTCATGATTGTCTCGGAGCCGATGAAGCCCTCGGATGCCATGGTGTACGGCTTCATGCTTGGCTTCTTGTTTACGCTTTCGCTTGCCGTGACGGGCTTGGATAATCTGGATCGACGGTGGCGCCAGCGACGCGTGCTGCAGAGGGTTGAGAGGGAGATGAGAGAGCGGAATGGGAGCGGGGAGGTGTGATGCCCTGTTTAACATGTATGGTATGTGTGAAGTCCTGCTGTGTCTTGGTGATGTTGTTTCTAACACTCTGGCAGTGATCGACTTTGATAGTTCCTGCTCTTGTCTGGTGGTTGATTGCCTTGAAGTGGTCTTTCTTGTCTGCTGAGATGTCGAAAGAGGATCTCAGGGCTTGAAGGTCATCCATGTTGTACGAGATTCATGGAAAACCTGTTCAAAGGAGACCACAAGCTCATCGAAAGCGGATATATCGGCCAAAAAACTTCAGCATGGAGCGTCTAATCGGGTTTGCTACGTCGAAGGCATCAGTGGGACTCGTGTTCGGGGAAGTGTCTCTCCTTTGCGATATATATTGCTTGATTATGGATTGAAGGGAATTGTTATAACGTTAAATCGATAGATGGAATTGATTGGGAGTCCGGAGAAGAGCGTGTCTTGGTACTGCTACGGTTTGAGGGACTTGGAAAAACGAGCATGTGACAGTCGGCGCAAGTGGTACCTGTTGTCTTCCATTGTTAGTACCAATACCAGCTCTTATACTTTAATTTGGACATGAGAGATTTTGAATGGATCCATTGTATTTCAGAGACCGTCTTTGTCGTATCCGTTGAAGATTACATGTCTGTTAAGTACTAGGTAAATGCATGGTTGTAAGAGGCCGAAGTGGTGAGACAAGGTGAATGTGGGTGGAGTTTGGAGATACTATAGGAAAGGGTCCAGCAGTAGGTAGATCTGATGCTCAACTCCATCCGTACCTGAGCACGTGTGGATTCAGCGTCTCCCCCAAGATGTACTCCGTACTGTAGGAAAACTGTTACAGGCCGAAACTCGTCATGACTTGCCAACGGGCCCCAGAATGACGATAACCTGTACAGCAGACAATGACACATCGCAACGGCTCACCCGCGGGAAATCGTAGATTTGCTCGTCCCCCAACCTGCCTCTCTCCTCCATCCGGCTTGCCGTTGGTCCACATGGTGCGGAAAAAATTATTAGAAAGTTATAAGAAACAAGAAAGATTGGAGAAGGAGAAGAAGAAAAACCAGAGATCTGCGGAGGCGTTTGGATTGTGCTCCACAGGCTGGAGAGAGAGAGGTCCCATGGATGTCTCGTGCACGCGTCTCGCTTGTTTGCAACGGCTTTCTCTGGTGCCAATGAAGGACATGAAGGGGGCCATATATGGCACGAAGACTCTGTGATTACTTGTTATAATACAATTCATACCTAATTTGGCGTGGGACAGACGCAGAGCACCAGCAGAATAGGCCCTACTATTAGACTCGGTATCATCTATAACAGAAGCCATGGGAGAACCTTGGAACACTCAGCTTGGAGGGGTCCATCCATCCCATCTGAAGTTTTTTCTGCTAGTGTCCCCAGGGCCGCTGCGGGGTCCGGTTCAGCGGGTGCCTGCGCTGGAGGAATCCCACGCAAATGCCCTGTAAATGCCTGCGAGTGCCCTGCAAAGCCTCTGCAGCCATCCATCATAGGCAATATAGAGCCCCTACGCCGGTGACGTGATTGGCCCATCTTGTTGGTGGCGGTGGAACGGGCGTTGTGATCTCACTCGCATTGGCCAATCACAAGCCACCCTGCTCCAGACTAAACCGCGATAGTCGTGGCCCCTCGATGATATTGATTGGATTGGCAAGAAGGCAAGAAAAAAAAAAAAAAAAGAGAAAAAGAGAAAGTTGGTGTTTAAAGTCCCTGTGCCGAGATTTTTTCTCTTCCTTCTCTTTCTTTTCTTTCCTCCTCCTCCTCAGCTACGGCGAGGGCAACCTTTCAAATTCCTCTCTTTTTTATTCCCCCTTTCGAACCCCCTGAAGGACGCCTGCTGTTGTTTGTTGAGGCAGCGAAAGGACCGCGAGGTAGCTCTTGACTTGCCCGAGAGAAGCTCTGAGAACGAGTTTTTGTCGTCAGTCGCCAGCAAAACCTTCGCCCCTCATTCTGTGCCATCACCGTCTTTTTGCCCCGCCTTCGATTGCTTTTGTCTGCAAAGTCGAGCAACAAGACAGCTGCAAGGCTACAAGGCTATATACCGACGACATCTCGGAGTCGGTCTTGTGTCTGTTCCTACACTGAACCTCGATTAGAACAGAAGAGGAGATAGAAAAAGACGACACCCAAGACACAATGGCTGTTCAGGTTCTCCAACCCGCCTCGGCCAGCTACGGCACCGACGAGCGTCTCGTCAGCCTCGAGCTCGAGGATGGCTCGATCTACCGGGGCTACAGCTTCGGTGCGGAGAAGAGCATTGCCGGAGAGCTGGTCTTCCAGACCGGCATGGTGGGATACCCCGAGTCCGTCACGGACCCCTCCTACCGCGGCCAGATCCTCGTCATCACCTTTCCCCTGGTTGGAAACTACGGTGTCCCTTCGCGGGAGACGCTGGACGAGCTGCTCGGCGACCTGCCTGCCCACTTTGAGTCTTCCCAGATTCACATTGCCGGTCTGGTGGTCGCCTCCTACTGCGGCGAGGACTACTCCCACTTCCTGGCCACCTCTTCTCTGGGCACATGGCTCAAGGAGCAGGGCGTCCCCGCCATGTACGGCGTCGACACCCGAGCCCTGACCAAGAGGATCCGCGAGAAGGGAAGCATGCTGGGCAAGATGAGACTTGCCAGCCTCTCCTCAGCCGATACCTTTGAGGAAATCGACTGGGTGAACCCCAACACACAGAACTTGGTGGCACAGGGTGAGTTTCCCCCATCTGCCTCCCTTTTTGCTAGATATAAAAGAAGAAAAGAAAGAAACAAAAATCAAGACAGTATGCTCATTCGTGTCTTGGCGTAGTATCCATCAAGGAGCCCAAGCTGTATAAGCCACCCGCGTCTGTTGCTCGCAAGCATCCTTCCGGCCGGACGATCCGTGTTTTGTGTGTCGATGTCGGTATGAAGTACAACCAGCTGCGATGCTTCCTCAAGCGAGGCGTCGAAGTCGTAGTCTGCCCCTGGGACTATGACCTGGCCAAGGCCGCAGGCGAGGAGTACGACGGTCTCTTCGTCTCCAACGGTCCCGGTGACCCGGCCATGCTGGACATCACCTCCAAGAACATTGCTGCCGTCATGGAGACCAACAAGATCCCCATCTTTGGTATCTGCTTGGGACACCAGCTCATGGCCCGCGCTTCCGGCGCAAAGACGACCAAGATGAAGTTTGGTAACCGCGGCCACAACATTCCCTGCACCAGCATGGTCACCGGAAAGTGCCACATCACTTCTCAGAACCACGGTTTCGCCGTGGATGCCGAGAGCCTGCCCGCCGGCTGGAAAGAGCTCTTTGTCAACGCCAACGATGGCAGCAACGAGGGTATCATGCACGTCGAGAAGCCCTACTTCAGCGTCCAGTTCCACCCCGAGAGCACGCCGGGTCCCCGCGACACCGAGTACCTCTTTGACGTCTTCATTGACACCATGGCCAACTGTGCAGAGAACCCTGCTGCGCTGCAGGCTCCCGTCCACTTCCCCGGCGGAACCATTGAGGAGAATGAGAGGCTTCACCCTCGCGTCTCTGTCAAGAAGGTCCTTGTTCTCGGCAGTGGTGGTCTCAGCATCGGTCAGGCTGGCGAGTTCGACTACTCGGGCTCCCAGGCCATCAAGGCGCTGAAGGAGGAGGGCATCTACACCGTCCTCATCAACCCCAACATCGCCACCATCCAGACCTCAAAGGGCTTGGCCGACAAGGTCTACTTCCTCCCCGTCAACGCCGAGTTTGTGCGCAAGGTCATCCAGTATGAGAGGCCCGATGCCATCTACGTTACCTTCGGAGGTCAGACAGCCCTGCAGGTCGGTATCCAGCTCAAGGACGAGTTCGAGAGCCTCGGCGTCAAGGTCCTGGGCACCCCCATCGACACCATCATCACCACCGAGGACCGAGAGCTCTTTGCGCGCAGCATGGACTCCATTGGCGAAAAGTGCGCCAAGTCCGCCTCGGCCAGCAGCGTGGACGAGGCTATGCACGTCGTCAAGGACATTGGCTTCCCCGTCATTGTCCGTGCCGCCTACGCCCTGGGTGGTCTGGGAAGTGGTTTCGCCAACAACGAGCAGGAGCTGCTCGATCTCTGCCACAAGGCTTTCGCTGCCAGCCCCCAGGTCCTGATTGAGCGAAGTATGAAGGGCTGGAAGGAGATTGAGTACGAGGTCGTCCGAGATGCCCAGGACAACTGTATCACAGTCTGCAACATGGAGAACTTTGACCCTCTCGGCATCCACACGGGCGACTCCATCGTCGTTGCCCCCTCTCAGACTCTCTCCGACGAGGACTACAACATGCTGCGAACAACGGCCGTCAACGTCATCCGACACCTCGGCGTTGTCGGTGAGTGCAACATTCAGTATGCCCTGAACCCCTTTTCAAAGGAGTACTGCATCATCGAAGTCAACGCTCGACTGTCCCGATCTTCTGCTCTGGCTTCCAAGGCCACCGGTTACCCCCTGGCCTTTATTGCCGCCAAGCTGGGTCTCGGCATCCCTCTCAAGGAGATCAAGAACTCGGTGACCAAGGTTACCTGCGCGTGCTTCGAGCCCTCGCTCGACTACGTCGTCGTCAAGATGCCCCGATGGGACCTGAAGAAGTTCACCCGCGTTTCCACCCAGCTCGGCTCCTCCATGAAGAGTGTTGGCGAGGTCATGAGCATTGGTCGCTCGTTCGAGGAAGCCATCCAAAAGGCCATCCGCGCCATTGACTTCCACAACCTCGGCTTCGGCGAGACCAAGGCGCTCATGAGCATCGACGACGAGCTGCAGACGCCCTCTGACCAGCGTCTCTTTGCCATTGCCAACGCCATGGCCCAGGGCTACTCGGTCGACAAGATCTGGGAAATGACCCGGATCGACAAGTGGTTCCTCCGCAAGCTCAAGGGGCTCAGCGACTTCTCCAAGCAGATGACCCAGTTCACCACCGCCGACATTGCCCAGAAGCCCAACCTGCTCCTCCAGGCCAAGCGTCTCGGCTTCTGCGACCGCCAGCTGGCCAAGTTCTGGAGCTCCAACGAAATCGCCGTCCGCCGCCTCCGACTCGATGCTGGCATCCAGCCCTTTGTCAAGCAGATCGACACGGTCGCTGCCGAGTTCCCTGCCTTTACCAACTACCTGTACCTCACCTACAACGCCTCCGAGCACGACGTGGACTTTAGCGACCACGGCGTCATGGTCCTCGGCTCCGGTGTGTACCGTATCGGTTCGTCCGTCGAGTTCGACTGGTGCTCCGTCCGGGCCATTCGCACCCTCCGAGCCACCGGCCACAAGACTATCATGGTGAACTACAATCCGGAGACGGTTTCGACCGATTACGACGAGGCCGACAAACTGTACTTTGAGAACATTACGCTGGAGACGGTGCTGGATATCTACCAGCTGGAGAGCGCGAGCGGTGTTTTGGGTGCCATGGGAGGCCAGACGCCCAACAACATTGCCCTTCCCCTGCACCGCGCCGGTGTCAAGGTCCTGGGTACTTCGCCTGAGATGATTGACACCGCCGAGAACCGATACAAGTTCTCTCGCATGCTGGACCGCATTGGCGTTGACCAGCCTACCTGGAAGGAGCTTACCAGCTTTGAGGAGGCCAGGACATTCTGCCAAAACGTGTCTTACCCGGTGCTGGTCCGCCCTTCGTACGTGCTCTCTGGCGCTGCCATGAACACTGTGTACTCTGAGAAGGATCTGGAGAGCTACCTGGCCCAGGCTGCGGAGGTGTCGCGCGAGCACCCCGTTGTGATTACCAAGTACATTGAGAACGCCAAGGAGATTGAGATGGACGCAGTCGCAAAGGATGGTGTTGTTGTCGGCCACTTCATTTCCGAGCACGTCGAGAACGCCGGTGTGCACTCTGGTGATGCCACGCTCATCCTGCCCCCTCAGGATCTCGAGCGCACCACCATTGAGCGCATTGAGGAGGCCACTCGCAAGATTGGTGCCGCCCTGAACGTGACTGGTCCCTTCAACATCCAGTTCATTGCCAAGGACAACGACATCAAGGTCATTGAGTGCAACGTGCGCGCTTCCCGCTCGTTCCCCTTTGTGTCCAAGACCATGGGCGTGGACCTGATCGAGATGGCCACCAAGGCTATCATGGGCCAGCCCTTCCAGGAGTACCCGCCTACGGATATTCCTCCCGACTGCGTTGGTGTCAAGGTGCCCCAGTTCAGTTTCTCTCGCCTGTCGGGCGCCGACCCTGTTCTCGGTGTTGAGATGGCTTCAACTGGTGAAGTTGCTTGCTTTGGTGTCGACAAGAACGAGGCCTACCTCAAGGCTCTGCTGTCCACCGGCTTCAAGATCCCCAAGAAGAACATTCTGCTGTCCATTGGTTCGTACAAAGACAAGAAAGAGATGCTGCCCGCGGTGCAGAAGCTGCAGAAGATTGGCTACAAGCTGTTTGCTACGGCCGGTACCGCCGACTTTTTGCAGGAGCACGGCGTCCCTGTCCAGTACCTTGAGGTTCTCGGCAAGGAGGAGGACAAGGACTCCGAGTTCTCCCTCTCGCAGCACCTGTCCAAGAACACGATTGACCTATACATCAACCTGCCCTCCAACAACAAGTACCGCCGTCCTGCCAACTACATGAGCAAGGGCTACCTGACTCGTCGTATGGCCGTTGATTACCAAATCCCCTTGGTGACCAATGTCAAGAACGCCAAGATTCTCATCGAGGCCATCGCAAGGAGCTTCGATCTTAGCGTTTCCAAGCGCGATTACCAGACCAGCCACAAGACGGTTGTCCTGCCCGGCCTGGTCAACGTCGCGGCCTTTGTTCCCGGCCTGGTCACGCCCGAGAGCAACGATATGGAGACGGTCACCAAAGCCTCGCTCTCTGCCGGCTTCAGCATGATCCGCGTGATGCCCCTCGGACTCGAGGGCGCCATCACCGACGGCATCACGCTGCGGGCCGCCCAGCAGAACAGCAAGCGCGGCGACTTCTGCGACTACAACCTGTCCGTGTCGGCCACGTCTGACAACGACAGCCAGATCAGCGCGCTTGCCGGCGAGGTGGGCTCGCTCTTCATCCCCTTCAACCACCTGTCTGGAAACATCAGCAAGGTGGCTGCCGTCACCGCCCACTTTGATGCCTGGCCGACGCACAAGGTCATTGTCACCGACGCCAAGCTGACCGACCTGGCCTCGATCCTGCTGCTGGCCTCTCTGCACAACCGCCGCATCCACGTCACTTCCGTCACCAACAAGGACGACATCCGGCTGATTGCGCTGAGCAAGGCCAAGGGCCTGCGTGTGTCTTGCGACGTCTCCATCTACTCTCTGTACCTGTCGACCAAGGACTACCCCGAGCTGGACCGACTGCTGCCCACGCCCGAGGACCAGGCCGCTCTGTGGGAGAACATGGCTCACATTGACGTCTTCTCCGTCGGAAGCCTGCCCTACCAGCTCGCCCAGTCCCTGGGACACAAGGCGGACTCGTCTAGCGGCATTGCGGACGCCCTTCCTCTCCTGCTCACTTCGGTTAGCGAGGGCAAGCTGACGGTGGATGACCTCAAGGAGAAGCTGTACCAGAAGCCCATGGAGATTTTTGAGCTCCACGACCAGGTCGGCACCAGCATCGAGGTTGAGATTGACCGCGCCTACCAGGTGCAGCCTAGCAGCGTGTGGTCGCCGTTTGAGGGCCGCGTCATGCGCGGATCCGTCCGCAGGGTCACCTTCCAGGACACCACCGTCTGCCTGGATGGCGAGCTCCTGCCGGTGCCTCCCAAGGGCAAGGACATGTCGTCGCACAGCATCTCCCGCGAGATGCCCGTCTCGCCGGCTCTGAAGCCCAGCATGGGACTCATCTCGCAAGTGACCGAGAGCCCCAAGCCCCGACAGCCGGCGGCGTTCCAGAGCCCCAAGATTGCGGCCCGGTTCCGCAACGTCGATGGCTTGGCCTCCCCTGCCAGGCTCGGTGGCGCCGTGGATGAGCTGGGTCTGTCCCTGCTGCCCCAGCCGACGACTAGCTCCCCTCTGCAGCAGCTGCTGTCGCAGCCCAACTCGTTCAAGAACTCGCACGTGCTGTCCGTCAAGCAGTACACCCGAGCCGACCTGCACCTGCTGTTCACTGTTGCTCAGGAGATGCGCCTGGGCGTTCAGCGCGAGGGCGTCCTGAACGTGCTCCGCGGCCGCGTCCTCTGCACGCTCTTCTACGAGCCGTCGACTCGCACGTCGGCCTCGTTTGACGCCGCCATGCAGAGGCTGGGCGGACGCACCATTGCCATCTCGACGTCGCACTCGTCTGTGCAAAAGGGCGAGACGCTGCAGGATACCCTGCGCACGCTGGCCTGCTACGGAGACGCCGTCGTCCTGCGCCACCCCGACGAGACCTCGGTGGATATTGCGAATAAGTACAGCCCTGTCCCTGTGGTGAACGGCGGAAACGGCAGCAAGGAGCACCCGACGCAGGCATTCCTGGATCTCTTCACCATCCGTGAGGAGCTGGGCACCGTGCAGGGCCTGACCATTACCTTCTTGGGCGACCTGCTGTATGGCCGACCGGTCCACTCGCTGGTGTACCTGCTCCAGCACTACCAGGTCAAGGTCCAGCTGGTGTCTCCCAAGGGGCTGTCTCTCCCCGCCAAGGTGCGGGAGCAGTTGGTGGCTTCCGGACAGCTGCTGGCCGAGTCCGAGACTCTGACGCCTGAGATTCTGGCTCGCAGCGACGTCCTTTACTGCACGCGCGTGCAGAAGGAGCGCTTCGAGAGCGTGGAGGCGTACGAGAAGGTCAAGGACTCATACCGCGTGGACAACGCCACGTTGAAGAACGCCAAGAGCTCCATGGTGGTGCTGCACCCTCTGCCGAGGAACGAGGAGGTTGCCGAGGAGGTGGACTTTGACCAGAGGGCGGCGTACTTTAGACAGGTAAGCAGGTTCCCCCCCAAGCGGAACCGTTGATCACTTTGCTAACATTGGATGCAGATGCGGTATGGTCTTTACTGCAGGATGGCGCTTCTGGCACTGGTTATGGCTAGCTCGTAGAGAAGGCTACATTGTCATGCGCATTTCCAACGGCTGTACAGACTAGATTTTTTTTTTGATTTTTATTCTCGTTTTGGGTCGGAAAAGGATCTATTTTTTTCCAAGGCATACAAAAAGGGGTATGATGTAGAGGGCTATTTCTTTTGGTTGTTCGGACGTTGTTTTCTAGAGTGCGTCCTAGGTATAAAACCCGTATTTCAGCATGGGCATTGTTTGCCTTACTTTGGGGGTTTGGCGTTATTGGTGTCTTTTTGGAGGGCGTTGGGTCTGGCGATGAAGCCGTCCAGCGTGCCTTTTATGATACCCCCGCATGATTATGATACCCAATATAGTTTCTGTATGTTTTGCGTGTATGCGTATATGCGTATGCGTATACGTTTTGCGTATATGCGTACGTATGTGCGTTTCGTGCGTTTCGTGTGTATGTGTGTGTCGTGTGTGTTTTGTCTGGTTTGGTGTGTGGTTTGGTGTCTTGTTTGGCATCCTCTTGAGCAGAGGCATCCAAGCGTCCAGTGTGCTGAGAAGACGACGATGCTGAGTAAAGCAACTCCTTTGGACCTCGAGACTCACCGAGACAACAGTGACAATGTATTAACAGTACCTCTTCCTAAAAAATCAATCCAGCATCGTCTCTACCTAGTTTGTCCAAATTGCCTCATCACTCAGTCTCTCGACTTGAGTCGAGGTACAAGTCAAAGTCCCATTCATTTTGATTTGCAGAGTCACCACGGCTAAAAGCGGGCTTTGTCCTCATCCGATCCTTCTCCCAAAAGTCGAGTGTGTGAGCGTCATGCAATTCTCAACCCCACTTTAATTTTCCCCAACTTGTGGTTTCCTTTTCATTACTCATCATATCGAACGACTTTCATTCTCGAATTCCCTCTCCTTGCGTTGTACGATGATAACATAGCTTCACCCCCTCAAGTCTCAGTCCACACTTGAAACAGATCCTGACTTGTTTGTTTTTGCTGGAATCGAACGGATACTGAATAGAGGGAGGGAAAAAAAAAGATTTAGAGACTTCTCCTTGTTGTGGTTTGATTGTGGAAAGTTTTTTGAGTTGGAAGGGGGGTTTTATCATCATTGAGGGTTTTGATGCGGTTGCGGAGCGGCGTGCGACATTTCAGCTCCTGGACGACGACGACGACGGCAACGACGACAAAGGCTAGGATGGCACTGTATCGACGGCCTTCGACGGTGACTGCTGAGGAGGAGAAGCTCATCTGTATGTCCTCCACCTCTCCCCACTCTCAGTCTTCACTTACTACACTCATTCTCATGAGTCACCTCATCCAATACACCTCACCAACTCAACACCACAACACCAACCCTCCCACCATCACCAACCCTCACAAAAAAACAAACAAACAAACAAACAACCATGACACAGCTAACACACCCTCCCCCCGCCCCAGTCGCCCCAGCAGGCCACCAACCCCACGGCCAAGCCCCCCAATTCACCCTCTCCCGCCTCCGCAGGCGAGACCTCAACCCGGACTCCCCGATCCCGCAGTTCCACGCATGGTTCTCCCTCGCCCAGCGCACGCCCTCCATCTCCCAGCCCGAAGCCTGCACCCTATCCACGGCGGAGCTGCCCTCGGGCCGCGTCTCCTCCCGCGTCGTCTACCTCAAGGAGCTCGACGCCCACGGCTTCGTCATGTACACCAACCTCGGCACCTCGCGCAAGGCCCGCGACCTCGCCACCAACCCGCACGCCAGCCTCGTCTTCTACTGGCCCCCCTTGCAGCGCCAGGTCCGCGTCGAGGGCATCACCGAGACGAATTCCCGCGAGGAGAGCCAGACGTACTTTGATACCCGTGTCAGGGGCAGCAGGATCGGGGCTTGGGCCAGTCGCCAGTCTACCGTCCTGACGCCAAAAAAGCCCAAGAAGTCTGCGCAGCAACTAGCAAACGGCGTCGACAACAAGCCGTCTTCTTCTGACCCTGACCAAGCTGTAGAGGATGATGAAGAAGAAGAAGACGACGGAAGGGCCCAGCTGGAGGAATGGGTCAAGGAGGTCGAGGAGCGCTTCAAGGGCCAGGACAAGATCCCCGTGCCCGACTTCTGGGGCGGCCTCCGCCTCGTACCGCAGCGCGTCGAGTTCTGGCAGGGCAGGGAGAGCAGGCTGCACGATCGCTTCGTGTACGAGTGGGAGGAGGGCCAGGACGGCAAGGAGGGCAAGTGGAGGCTCGAGAGGCTGAGTCCCTGATCTACCGTATGTCCTTGGGGGATCAAGTGTTGAGGCTTGCTTTCGTATCTTGCATGGTAGTCATGTACATGTATAATTAGACGAATGCAACACGTTTAGTGTAGATCGCAAAAAGTACTGGACTTGAAGACATACGAGGGCTGAGTGTAGAAACACAGTCTCAAAACCAGATGCTGCAGGATCAACGACTTCACGGCTGGATACATGTGTACATATCAACACTCCAGGACCAACATGTACCTAGGTAAGGTAGGCATCAAGGAAACTTCTGGTATTGGTCATCAGACGCTGTCTTAGCAGCAAGTGATTACTAGTACTACTACTCGAATATAAACCGAAAAAGGTAGATAAAAGTGGTATAATAGATGGCCATCCCATCCAGAGAAAAAGACAATGGTATGATACCCCAACCCAGGAAATCCCTCTTCCTGAGCGACAAGATCCGATTTGCAACAAGTCCATCACCATGAAGTGCTGATGGTGCCGGTGTCCCAAACAAAAGCAAGATGCACTCAACCCAGAGATTGCTCCACGCTTGCAATTCTCCCAAAAAAACGCCCTTGTAAAAATGCTCATGTGCTGAAACATGCTAGGCAAATTTTCCAATAAGATGAAGAGAAAACAAAAAGAGGCCGGATATTAGAAACAGACAGATAAGACCAAAGATGCCATCGCTATGTCAATGAGTCGTCAAGTTGGACACCCTCCACTTCCAGCTTGAGGGATTTAGTCGTCATGCTGCTTTTGTTCATCATCGAGGCGCAAAGCCAACCGTCGTCTTGGACCGGCTATGGCTCGGCACGAACTCGCAATCGCTGCCAGCCGCACTATCCGGCGGCGTGGGCTGGCGGGCCACGTTCCACCGCGGCCCAGTCTCCAGCTCGGCGGCAAGCTGCATGTCCACCATGGCGTCGGTAAGGCAGTCGTCTTCGCACAGCGGCAGAATGCGGTAGTCCAGGCTCTCCATGATGCACCGCTCCGTGACGTTGAGCTGCTCGTTGGACCACAGGCCGCGACCCCATGCCAGGCGGTAGAATTGCGGCGGCTGCTGCGGGTCCTGGGTGAACTTGGCTGCGATGACGAGGGCCGCCAGGATGATGATTTCGGGACGGACAGAGTCAATGTGAAGCTGCCGCTGGGGAACGTCGCGCGGCCTCGGCGGAAGAGAGTGGCGCTTGCTAAGGGATGGTGATGCCGCAGCCGGGGAGTCAATGTCGTCCGTGCTCAAGGGGCATGACAGCGGGCACGACAGCCGCCATGTGCGCGCAAACTTGGTGTCGAGGCTGTCGAGGATGCAGACGGCCAGGGCCACCATCTCCATGGACAGCTCGGCCCTCGACAGCATGGCCTGGACAAAGGACACGGATGCAGTCGCAAGCGATGCCGATGCGGGAATCAGATTGACGAGGTGGATGGCGGGACCTGCAGAGAACCAAAGACAGTTAGCAAGCTTAGTCCTCTGAAAGCCATGCAAGATACGACCCTAGATTGCAGTCGCATTGTTCCGAATTCCGTGTCCCTGCAGGAGCCGAGACGCAAGAGGCGAAACGACACGAACCGAAAGCAGCGTTTGAAAGGGAAAAAAGAAGACACAAAAAATAAAGATATAATCAACCAAACTGACCTCGGTATCGCGGATTCAGCGTTTCATCGTCCTCGAGCGATTGGTCCACCACCAGCGGCTTGCTCAGCGTGGGAGGCGGTGTGGGCAGCCGAGACAGCGGCCGGTAGGTGAAGCTGGTGCGCTCGTACTCGTAGTCATCGTCATCGTCGGCAAAGCGGACGTCGCGGTTACCTCGTCGCTGCATCGTTGCTGTATGGAGGTGCTACTCTTCGGATATGGTGTGGTTCAGGTCTGGTAGGGCCGCTTCCCATGGTTCGCTGGCCAGCCGAGAAAGCGCTTCTCTTGCTGAGAACCGAGGCAATCTGATAATCTCCTTGCTCTTTCTAATCTTGCTTTCCTCTATTTCCGTCTTGATGTGCTTCTTGTTGGTCGCTTTTGTTGTTTCGTTTCTTAGTTGGCGCTCGTCGGTGGTAATTGAGTTGCCGTGGTCGTGGTGGGGAGGAGACCTGAATAAGTAGGTACAGGATGCAGCCGGGGAGATCGATGGTCGGGAGCGGTAGCTGATCACGCGAGCAAGGGGCCAAGATTCATCAGCGTCCAAACGAACAATGCCAAACAGATGGGCGAGCGGAGAGAGCAGTGAATCGAGAAGCAGGATGGAAGATCGGTGAGCTAGATATAAGAATCAGCGACAGGGGAGGGTCCTCGTATGCGTACTGTATGTATTAATACAGCACTCGCCTGCTAGCGGAAGCAGAGCCAGGAGAGCCCCAATCCGTTCGACTCCTCGGGATAAGGCTGAGTCGCTGCTGACCCTGGCGGAGGGCGATGCCAAGGCCAGGGAGCCCAGCCATGGTGCGGTGGCGCACCCGCTAGAGCCGCTAGAGTGCCAGCAGCGACCGCCTAAAGCATCCACGCTAGGGGACCTTTTCAGGGGGGGTTGGGGGGGCTCCAGCTGTCCAGCGAATGGGCGGCAGCGCTCTCCGCTGCATTGAGCACAGACCGAGCTGTTCCCAGAATCAAGGGATGGATGCTCCAACCTGCGACGAACCTGGGATACATCCATACTCCATACGAGCATGTACTTCGTGAAGTAATCATATCATCAGGAGAAACTCGTGTTGTGTTAGTGGCAGGCGTTTTTTTGATGGCATCGGTTGCTTGGTATAACTGTGTAGTCCAGTTAGCATTCACCACACGCGCCTCATCTCATCATCCCGTTTGGCAGCCGCAAGGCATTTCGTTCCTCAGCCCAAGACCCTTTCTTTTCTCAGCTGCATGTGAGATGTGAGCATGTGGTTTCGTTTCTGATCAATGAGGAGCCGGAACCCCCCAAAGCTTATTTGCTCACCAATCTCCTCCTCCAACAGGTCATCCCCCTCTATTATTAGTCTCGCATGCTTCGAGCAACAGTCTTCGTCGCACAACGTGTCACCCAAAATCGTCACGGGTAGAGACCAAGACGCGGAGAAAAAGGCAACTTCAAGCACGCAGCAAAGTCGTCATGTCGGGGCCAAGCTGTGTTCGGGAGCAGCTGCATGTCTCGATGCCGAAATCCCTGGAGAAAATAGGTAGTCACAAACAGCCTCGTGCCACTCCGTGCAACGCACTCGACGAATAAACACGGATTTGCAACAGAAGTCTGTCTTGTTGACGCCATCAGATCGACCCTTGGTCTGGTTCGAGTTTGTCAAGCATAATGCTCCAGCACGGAGTACGCCGCGCTGTGTCCAGGTACCGAAGAAAGGCTGCAACCGAAGCGTCTGCAGTCTGCAGGTACACAATTGGTGAACCACGGCGGCATGGCATCCCTTGCCTGCCATCACTTGTGATACTATTTCCCCCCGTCTTCTGTATTGTAGCGTCGCAGCGGCAGCAGGCGGTGAATGCCATCCTTTTGTCGTGCTTCCATGGGTCCATTCTCGCTTACAACCCAACCCAGTATTATTGCTTCTCCGTACTCCGTGCATCCTCGAGATCGCAAGACCAGACGTTCGTTCGCTTTCCAACGTGCAGCTTTGCATCTCCTGCCGCCGCTGTCCACTGGAGCTTCCCCGATTCGGCCCGGTGTATCTGGCGGGCCCCCTTTCTGGCGCGGAGTGCTTAAACGTCATGATCCCTGGCGGGTCAACGGTGAATACGAGGCCGTGGGTTTTGCTGCTTCGGCTCGTACGAGAAGCACCGTTATGCCGTCGTGGTTTGGAAACAGTGCGTTCCAGAGCGGCATTTTACCGGCGTGGGCCATATGTAAGCTCAACGGCTGGACCACCACCGTTCACACGCGACTTTTCTCCCACGGTGGAGACGCGGCAAACAAACATCATCGACCCCTTTAATTGTCGTTATCGTCGCATGCCGGAGTTGTGACGATGCCGGAGGCTGTCGAATCGACTCGGAGCATTTCTGCGGTGTCACTTGGTAATACGTCGTGCTTGCATCTTTGCAGCTTGGCCGTGCCGAGTTCATATTTTTGGAATCGATCCTTTCTTAGCTCCTCACCCTGTCTTGGTCCAGCTAGATGGGAAAGCGAGATTGCTTCACTAGCCACTCACGAAGCTCGCAAGCCGGATTACTCTCCTCTCTTGGCAGTTTCAGCGACCCTCGCAGGATGACGAGAGCTGCGATATTTTCATCTGCCAGCAGTGTTAGTGGGACAATTCCCACGTCCAGTAATCGCTGAACAAAGATCGAAGCCCGGTCCACTAGCATCGTGCGACCGACACGGAGCATCTGATGACGGTCTCACAAGGAAACCTTATTACCAACACTTCCGCAGGAACGTACGAAGAAGAAACGCCTGCGTTGTACAGAGGCGTGCAGCACGTTCTAGTTTGTAACGTGCCTGACAAGTGGAAATTCGAAAAGAATGATACGGAGTCCTGGGGGCATCTTCCATGACTGTCAGTACATTAGTGTCCAACGCACGAGCAGTGTTAATGCAGGCCATGGGAGCAGCACGAACCGAAATCGTTGATCAGGAACACACGCAAGCTGATCCAGAAAAAAACCGGTGGAGTATTCCAGCTAGTAGTAGTAGTAGCTCAGGATTGTCGCGATTTCAATCCCGTTTGCCGATGCTGCCGCGGATCATTGGGGCGGGCTGGGGCATCCATATTGGCTGCATACAGATTTCGGCGAGAAAAGAGGGCATAAAAAAAGAAATTGGCTGGAGCAAGCACGAGGAGGAGTGGTTTGGTGGCTCCGGCCCGTCGATTGAGGCTGAGCTGGAATGGCGGGGCCGGCGAAGCGACTGATTTTCGGTTCCTGGATGTCGTTTTGCTTGCGTGCTTTAACGTATGTGGCAATGCTCGGCATCTGCAGTTCCTGGGATGGAGACGCCAAGATCTTCTGGAGATAGGTTCTGCGGATTGATATTCAGGGGATGCGGAATGATGATGGTCGAGGTGACGCGGGGGATGGAAAAGGAAGAGGTTGAGGTAAATTTGGGTCTGAAATATGGATATCTGGATGGGGAGCACCTTGGTTGCTTGGGAAGGTGCCCTCGCTGGTCCTGCCGTTGCATCGCTAACCAGATGCTGCTACTCTCTGGAAGGAGCAGTGCATTGAAATGGAAAGTCTAGGTATATCCTGCCATTCATCTTATGTCATCAATGATCGAGAGGCTCTGCTATATCACCTACCAAGCGCTTTGCAGCAGTATAGAGTGCAAGATAATATAGACACACGTTGGGCTAATACGAGCATCGTTTAGGTAAGAGTACTTGGTGGTGAACGCCGCATTTGTGTGCGTATGGTTGGTTTTTCTATGAGCGCATGTTTGTTTCTCTGTACATTACAAGTCTTTTGCCTTCCAGACTTAGAATGCTCTCGCCAGAACCAACAACAGCTGCGACTAGACATGAAAACAGGTTCAAACAGCCTAAGGTAAAATTCATGAGATGGCACACGATACAATGGGAAAAAATACAGTTGAATATTTTCCACCAGTGTCGCAGCTTCTACCTGTCGTTGACCTCTGGCCATGCCGCTGAACAACAGAGCACAGCAAACCCTCAGATGTTGACCTGACGGACCTCAATCAAGAACCTGCTGTCTCTTCTTTCGATTAATTTCAGTATCCTCACGAAGCAGACGAAAGTGACCGCTAGCTGACAGGTCACTTTACTCTCGGCGTGACAATGGCTGTGACCACATGGAAGCACATTCATTACATGTACATGACCAGTCCAACTCCACCATCTCAGCTACATGTATCTACTTCAACATAATACTGCACCTAGCATCGAAACACCCTTCTGCTCCATCCCCTCCAACAAAGTCACAAATTCCCATCAACGTGGCTTGCCAGTTGCCCGCCTCAAATTCCATAAGGCGGCCATGATTCCCTAGCGTAGACATATTTTCCGCCTTCAGCTCATCGCACTAAGAAGAACAAAGCATCGCCAGCCGGGCTTGTCAGATGCCGGTGGGCAAATAAAACAAGCCGCCTCGAAAATAGCACATGCGTCCGTCAGCCGCAAGAAGACCCCATTCGCATGGCTTGCTGCTTGGACCCCCTTGTTCCTCGCACCAATCGAATGGCGACCCTGATTCTGATGGATGCTCTATGCGGATGACATCCGTTAGGGGGACCGCTTATATGGATACGGCGCTGATGTGTGTAAGGGACTTGCTGTCAGTGTGGCTATTTCAAGCTTACCTGGCGATGTCTGGGTGAGTTGCCGAGGTGGGAGCTATCATTCGGACATGCTTATTTGAACATAAGCTTATTCTTCACAGAGAACTTGAATTCGTCAAGCTATGGTCTCGGTGACACCGGTGCTTGGAGAAAGTACCTAGGTAGGTAATGTCGCTTCATCTGAGCTCACTTGATCTTATGGCAGATGTGTACGTCCTACCGTGCCCGTTTGCAGTGATTACGGAGACTTGTAGACGCCTTCATGTTGGTGAGAGAGGAATGTGATTTCCTCAAGCTGAAGGAATCAATATTGATGCTCTCTATAGAGTATAAAGTAAAGATACTATACATACACACACGTCAATGGGTAAAAGATGAGGCTTGACGAGCACTGACCATAACACTTCAACAACATGCATTAGCCAAAGACGACTCCCATCATCAAAATCCCGTCAAGTTCCCAAGTCGCGAGTCATATCTCGTTTCTCATAGCATGATCCTTCTAGATTCCAACCACCAAATGCACTCATCATGACCGGAACATGTATAACATCCCATCAAAGCCAAGAAAACGCCAACAAAAAGAACATCTCCCACCCAAAAACGTCCTCCACCTCCTCCTCAACACCACAAATCGCAACATCACCAATTCCCCCCCCCCCCCTTTCAATTTCAACTGTTCACTCAACCCACCTCCTCCACCCCGGCCAAACCCGATCCAAGCACCACGTCCCCCAAAACCACGAAACAACCGTCAACGCAGTCAACGGCACCGTAACCGCCCAGTATATCCAAAACTGGCCCGAAAGCCGCCACACCCCCGTCGGGGCATCAAAGTTGAAAAACGACGTGCTGAAAATCGCCGCCACAAACGCCGCCGGCAAGAACACCAGCCCTACCAGCGAAATCGCCCGCATCGCCGACGAGTCCACCCGCGCGGCGTCGTTGTACGTGAGCGCCATTTCGTTTGTGATGCGCGCGCTGTTGGACTCTGCCCGGTGCCGGAGGTTGGTCAGCATGCTGTGGAAGGCGTCCAGCCTGCGCTGGATATTGAGAAACACGAGGTTGGGCAGCGCCGCCGGTCTTCCCGCGCTCTGTATGCCGTCTCCGTCGTCGTCGTCGTCGTCGTCCTTATTTTTCGACACATCCTTGCTGCTGTGATCGAGAATAGACTTGGTGTTGAGAAAGTGATTGTGGCTCTTCTCAATGCTATCAAGCACCGACTCGGTCACATACACCGTCTCGTTGACATGCGTCAGGTGCCGCGGGATCTCATGCAGATAACTGTGCTGGAACCGATAAAACGCCCTCCTCTTCTCGAAATCCCGAATCAGGTTGCGCGACTCCCAGATGGTAACGTCATGCAGCTGCACCATCTCGTCCACCATGCTGGGGAACACCCAGAACGGGTCGCCCAGCTCCCGGGGGTTCACGTCCCGCAGCAGCGAGGCGCCCACGAGCCGCGCAAACTGCGGGTGGTCAAAAAGGACGACTTCGGTCCGGTTGCTGCGAGAAGACGCGTGCCACCGCGTGAAGGCGTTGAGCTTGACCCAGTGGTACTGGATCTCGTCGTGGCCGTGCCTGTCGAGGACTTTGCTTATGCGCTTGACCATGAAGCGCGTCCAGGTGACTGTAAGGGGGCAGTTTTCCATGTCAGGCCGAGCTCAGACATAGGAGGGTGGATTTTAGATGCTCGGGAGATTACGATACTCACTTGTCCCTGTTCTCTGCCCGCTATCGTCAACAACATCCTGATACCCAAAGTACCCGTTCGACCTCCTCGCCAACGTCGTCCACCAGCTCCGCGGCACGAGGAACTTGGTGCTAAACGCAGCCCTGCAACGGGGGCATCTCCGCAGCTTGTCTCCTTCAGCATATCTATCTCTCACCAATCAGACAAGAACATCCAAAAGAGTCATAACTACCACCTCTCCCATAACCGAAGAGAAGCAGAGGGGAGCGGGCCAGACTTACATGACAACAACATCAGCCTCCGCAAACGCCCCCTTCTCTCCCCTCGATATCTCCTCCACAGAGAGATACTCCGTCTTCGTCTGTTGTCTGCCTGATCCTATAAGATATCACACACACACACACACAAAGAGTCAGCGTCTCTCGTCCAACAACCCAGATGTCCAACCCCGAAAGAACTCTATCAAAAACAATCACTACACCTCCAACACCAGCAGTCCCTCTCCCAAACGAAAAACAACAAAAGCGAAAAGCTGCGCTAGGCAAGTGTTTTGAAGAGCAGGGAAGGGGAAAAAAAAATACATACCCAAATCTCGCCAACAAACCGTCTCCAGCTTCGGACAATAGCACGCAGCCCCCGTCGTCGTCTTCTCCTTCTTGACAGCCATCGCAGCTCAGTCAGGCTCGTTCGTAATCCAAGCTTCAAAATCCAACAAGATATCCCAAAACAGCAATCTTCTACTTTGTTTTTCTTTTTTCACACTCTCTAGAAGTCTCAATACGACACAACACAATACACCCCAAAACTCAATCGCAATGATTAGAAGGGGGGGGAATGAGAAGAAAAAAAAGTGGCATTTGCCCCCAAGATATCATCACAAGAAAAGAGAAAATCAGGCGGCCATCTAGCCGGCCAGAAAAAAAAAAAGCACCGCCTTCTCTTCCCCTGTCAACATCCACTCCCAGCTGTCCAGCCCAGCCCACTCGTCTCGTCTCGATCCCCCGAGACCTGCATGCAGTATCACCAGACTCCATTGCAACACGCAAGGTACTTAGGCACTCTCCTCGACTCGACTCGACTCGAATCATCAATCGTTCACACACGCAAATAAGGTAGGTATCGCCCCATCACAACCCCCAAACCCATACACACGCTCCCCCATCTCGCCTCTCTATGGCTCGCCGGGAATAATAATGACAATAAAACCCATATGCCCATAACCTACTACTATTATCTCTATACTGCAAGCAACATGGGGACCGCTGAGAGGGTGTTATCAAACATCAGAAAGGTATCCTGCATCAGCGTGTGTGTGTGTGCGTGTGTTCCCCTAGGATTGGTCCTGTGTTTTCCCCTCACTTCCCGTCTCCTGCTTATGGAAAAGATGCAGTCAAGTGTTCCGCGTCGAAGACCCCCTGTCTTGCTACTCCGCCCTTTGTGTAATAAAAGGTGAGGCTCCCAGTACGACTTACAAGCCAACTCCACCTCGCAGGATCACCGATCACAAGCAACCTCCAGACCTCTATACACGCTTCATCATTGGCCACATGACATGCACTTCGCCATGGAGTCAACCTCACCACCTCACCTCGGTGGCCAAGTCGACAAACCCCCTTGCCATCTCATCCAAAAACAGGCCGAGGCAGTGCTTTGCAACATCAGTCCGTCTCTCAGCTCTGCGCCTCACATGTCGGATCAACTCGAGCCAACAGAGTTTGTAACAATAACAAAGGGAAAAAGCCCGTTTCTTCGTATATTTTATCGTCGCTGCACACACAATCACAAGTCTTTACAACGTATTTAAACCCTTCCTGTTGCCTCTCCCCTTTCCCCCTCCGTTGCCAGTCTTGCCCTCCGAAACGCCGGAAACTGCAAACACATAGGTCGCGGAAACAAGGTGCGCTGGCCATTGCGAGTCGTGTAACGGTCTCGTCTGTCTACTGCCGCGCGTTCCTGTATCCGTCTTCTTCTGTGCAGTGGTTCAAATCCCTGTATGCCACCCTGTAATCCGAGTATGTGGTCCTCCATGTTGTCAATCTACTGCGGCGGGAACTGCTCGTCCATGTTTGGGACACCACCCTCTATGTTGTGGTAGTCCAGAATTTCCGAGTACCTGTGTTCAAGTCAGACCAAAGAGACACGATGGAGCATTGGTGGACGTTGACGTACATCATAATCTTCCAGGTGTCAACAGGAAGGTCGGCGTCGTTGAAGCTCCAGTCAAACTTTTCCTCGGCAACCGGCTCGTCAGTAGGGTCGTGGTATGGCGCGAGGTACTCGTGGGCCAGGGCTTCGGTGGCCGTGATTCGCTTCTTGGGGTCGAAGACGAGCATGCGCTCCAAGAGATCGACAGCTGCCTTGGGTCAGCATCTACACGGCGTATAGGAGTCATGACCCTTGTTGTTTCTTACCCGAATCGTCTGCATTCTTGAACTTGTTTCGCAGAGGCTGCCTCTCACGCTTGGGCAGCGACTTGACGAACCGCAACGTCTACCGACAAAATCAGTTCCCCGCCGGCGCCCCAATCATGTCCCTGGGAAACTCACATTCTCGCTAGCAATAGTGTTGATGACATCGTCCGGTGGCGTGCCCAGCAGCTCGGTGATGATGGAGAACTGGTTCACGTGGTCCTTGCCCGGGAACAGGGGCTTACCCTCGAGCATCTCGGCGAAGATGCACCCGGCGCTCCAGATGTCGACCTCGACGTCGTACTTTTGCCACGTGAGCATGATCTCGGGGGCGCGGTAGTATCGTGTTGAAACATAGCCCGTCATCTGCGGGTCCTGGATTCGGGCAAGACCAAAGTCGCAAATCTTGAGATCGCAGTTTTCGTTGACGAGGATGTTGCTGGGCTTGAGATCGCGGTGGACGACGCCGGCCGAGTGGACATATTTCAGGCCTCGCTATGAGACACGCATCTGTTAGCTGCAGGGCTTTATTTTGGAATCATGCTGGTTGCCGCTGGCCAAGGGGGGGGTTGTGCCATCGCATACCATGATCTGGTAGAGGAAGTATTGGATGAATTGTTTCTCGAGGGGTCGGGAGGTTAATAATCGGTGCAAGTCGGTGCCAAGAAGCTCTGTGACGAAGTAGCTGAAACAATGTTAGAACGGCACAACATCAACCAAGACTATGCATGCAATTATACGTACATGTCCTCGAGGGGAGAGATGAAGATGTCGCTGAGAGAAATGACCTATGCAGCATCGCAGTGTCAGCACCACGCAAGTAGTAGCTTATGGGCAGGCCCAGATCCAGCGGACGTCAATCGTCAGCCGAACCCAGCGATGCAATAAATCGCCCATCAAAAAAAGAAAAAAAAAATCGAGGCACAGCGCATACATTTTCGTGTCGGAGGTGCTTGAGCAGCTTCAGCTCACGGTACGTCCGCTTAGCGAGTACGGGCGTGCTGAAGGGCTTCATGATCTTCTTGACGGCGACATTTTGGTTGGTGAGCTGGTCTCGCGCAGAGCTGTTTGGCGGGGGAGGGGAAGCGCCGCGAATTAGCATGGGTTCGATTCGCCCGGCCGCAGAAAAGGCCATCTTGACAATTGGACGGAGGAGGGGGGGAGAGGGGGGAGGCGAAAACTCACCAGACGAGGCCAAAGGCTCCCATGCCCACGGGCTGGAGGTCCGAGTACCTAGACGAATTGTCAAGTCAGCTTCAAATTGCGTCTCGTCAACGCCGCCTGCGTGATCCGGTCGGGCGCGGACTCCCTGGCTGCTGGCTGCTGGCTGGCCTTACCGTGAGGTGATCTCGAAGGTGGTGCCAAAGATCTGCGCTCGCACAAACTCGGCCATTGTGACGGATGGATTTGGCTCGTGATGGCGGGGAAATGCGGCTTCAGAGGACGATGATGCGAGTGGTGAATGAGGAGGCGTGGGCTCGACGCAGGCGTAATGGCGGGACGGGAGGGCGAGGCTGGCGGAGATGGAAAGTCGAGCGTTGAGGAGAAGAGTAGATAGAGTAGAGTAGAGCTGAGCTGAGCTGAGCTGGACTGAAACCCCTCCCTGGTAAGATGGATGATGTTGCTGCTGATGCTTTTTGTCGGCTCGGTTGCAAGAACAAGAACCAGGCAGGCGGTGGTAACTTGCAAGGCGCAGGATTATAGCAGTTCCACTCGCTGGCTAGCAGGGCGGGGGCTCCTTAAACAGCGGGCTGGGCCTGTTCTGGTTGTGACTGGTTGCAGCTGCAATCTCGATCTCTCGGCGCTTCAAGTTGGTTGAGGGTGGGAGATGCAATGATGGTAGACCTATGCGATGCCAGCAAGCAAGTCGATTGAGATGTTTTGTTCTCCTGTTTCGTCGTTTATTCGGATGATCAAGTTCGCCTTCTTGATTTTTTCTTGTTTTTTTTTTTGTCTCTTGTCGTCGTAATTCTGGTCGAGTCGGTCCTTCGTCGCTCTCTCTGCGATCGGGAAAAGCCGTCGATTCTCCCTGGTCCGTCTCGCACAGCGGATCTTGCAGCCCAGCACCAAAAGGCGGGGCCTAACAATTGAGGCCTGTCTAGGTAGTGTAATAAAACCGCCGACAAAAAAGTCAAGCAGCGCACAGAAAATCAGGGCGAGAGAGAGAGAGAGAGATAGAGAGCTTCTGCGCAGGCGAATAGCGGGCGTCTAATAAGTCCAAAGGCCAAACAAATGATGCGGATATTCGAGAGAGAAGACGGAGAAGACGGAGGATATCAGGCGAGAGAAACCACAGCCCGGACTGACAGAACATAAACACACACCCACCCAATCTGTTAGTGGGCAGCTCCTCTGTAGCTTCGGCAGTTGTGGTGCTTTTTTTCAGCGGGCATGGAAGGGATAAACTTGGAAGAGAGCGCAACTGCGCGGGGTAACAACAGCAGCAGCAGCAGCAGGTGACAAGAGGCGAGCAGGGACTGGGATCAATGGAACTTGGTTTGCAGACCAGGCCAGACCAGCATTGATCTCATGTCTCGGCCCCAACAAGCGCTTGCTTCTCTCCCGTCCTTCTTATATACGTCTTTCCCCTCCGTTTCTTGTGCTCGTTTCGTCCAGGTTCCCAACTTACGTGTTATTCGTACTCTGGAAATACCTTGAGTACCCAAAGAATCTCAGCAAACGCAGAGGCCACTGAATGTCACCCGTGTCCTTTCTTTCGGTCGATGGAAATCTCGCCTCAGTGGGGGACGCGGCGAGATCAAATCCAGATTTCTCGAAAACGAAAAAGTTGAGCAGCAAGTCTAAGCTTCAGGGAGCAAGGAAGAAGAAGAAGAAGGGAAGAGAGAGAACCCAGGAATTCCTCTTCCAAGGCAGACGGCCCCCCCAGTATTTGAATCCGCAAAACCAAGAATGGGCGTGAGAGAGAGCAGCTGCTCAGGCGGGAAAGGCTCGTTCCCCCCCTGGTTTTAGGTACCTTTTCTTATATGCGGCCGTCTCAGGCGATCGATCGGGATTTTGGTCGCGAATCCAGGAAATTTCCTCGTGGTTCAATGCCAGCCAATGCCGTGTCCTCGTCGCTGGCAGGTCCTGGGTGAAGCCACTTCTTGGGGTATCTTTTCGTGTTCGTGCTGCCGTACGTATATGCTCAGTCAGTCAAACAAAAAAGACAAACCAGACCAAACGAACCGCCAGAGCCTCTCCAGAGCCACAACCCCCGTCTTATATCTTGCTCCCTTCGTCACAGTCAGGGTTCAGCATCCCCATCATCATCATCATCATCATCATCACCCCTCCCTCATCCAACCACCGAGACTGCAATCCCACGATGACAACAACCAGCTACCTAGGTATACTGTACCTACTGTACAGCACCAAGCTGCGCCTAAACTTCCCTCAATGACCACCTAGGCAAGGGCCCTTTTCCCGAACCAAGACCATCGTCATAGTAGCCCAAAAAAAAAAATCCCCGTCAGTCGCAGCCCCGCAGGACAACCAGCTTTTTCAGGGACGGACAAGCTCCCGGTGACGCCATCGTGCGCCTCTTGCTGGTCCTTTCCCCCCCCAATCTCGTGGGTATTCAATCTTTCCCCCCTTCCGCTCCAAGTTGCCTAAAGTCATGATTATTGCCCAGACAGACCCTTGTCCCTGGGACTCCAGCTAGGCAAGACCTCTTTGCGTGTACGAATTCTTATGTTGTTACTCGCTATTCCTCTCCCTAACGTCCCATCCTGGTTTTACCTTGATCATATCATTCGGTTAGTGGGCAGACTCACAAGACCTAGCAAACGCCTGTAAAGCCAAGGTCAAGCGTCCAACGTCCGTGCGGGTTCGGCATGTCATCCTCATCCCACCAACCCAGGCCACGCCATGCCATGCCATGCCATTGCCCAAACCCTTTCCCACCAAAAAAAAGGCACATCGCCATCATCATCAATATCTCCAAGCAAGCAGTAGCCTTTCCCACAGTGGCAAACAAGACGATCTGATTTACCTGGTCCACGTCCCCTATCCAGATCAAAAACCAAAAATATCCATCTATGAACAAACCACATCCAGAAATTCAAAATGCCCATCTCAGATCGACGTTTTTCTGAAATCCTCATCTTCTAGTCTATAATTTTTACAAAATACTCGTAGATAACCCCATCCAAGCAGAAGCAGGCCCCAAGCCCAACCCAGCCCAAATCCTCTCCCCTCCCTCTCGCCCTCACCTTGTCCACATAGGAGTTGCATACATACATACATACACACACTTCGCACTCAAGACCATCCCACCCACATATCCCCCGTTCCCCCCTCAAACCCCCATTCACACTCTCCAGGTACTTCACACACCCATGCTACCTACCTACCTACCTACCTACCTACGGGTACCTACCTATCCCTTTCCCTTTCCCTCCCATGGCATCAACCAAGGTCCCAGCAATCAGCAACACTAAACATCCTCAGTCCATCTCCAACTCCATATCCAATGCCAATCCCCCAGTCCCAAGACCAAGCCAAAGAGATCAAAGAGAAACAAGTGATGCCCCAATGACGTCACCCTCAAAACCATCATCTTCCCAGTAAGAAGAAAAAAAAGGACCCCACTCTCCCACGTTCCCACCCTCTCTCTCTTCTCTCAAGTCACTCCCAAACTCGCTCCGACTCCACGCACGCACGCACGCGGCGCCTTCATCAAACCAAGCCAGGCCAACCAACCCCCCAAACCTTCTGACGATTCCGCCTACAGGTACTACCTTAAATCCCCCTCTGATTCAGGAACGGGCCCTCCTCCCGCCCATCGAAAAACCCGCGGCGCATCGGCCCAGGCTAACCCCGGGAGAAATCGCTCCGGCTTTCCCTGCTTGTTTCTTCCCACTCGCAATCGGGGTTTTGAGCCATTCATCGTGACACCGCTCCTCCTCAAATTGTAACTTTCAAGGCAATGGCCCTGCCTGTCAATGCTCTAGCCTGCTGACCTCGACTGCGCAACCGGCACAGCATCCCAAAACTGATGGGCTATCCCAGCCACAGTTCTAAGCGTGAATAGCCGCAACGGATGCAGTCGTATTTGGCCAACATCATGTTACGTACACGCAAGCATAGTCCCATAGCAGTCAAAAGATGTAGGATCACGCAGTTCATCATTGGATTCATTCATCATATAGGAATAGTATCTGTTTGTGCCTCCCTGTCGTTTTTTTTTGGTCCCGACTCTTCAGGTATTTGCCAATCCATTCCCAAAACTACCCCCCTCAGGTGTCGGAGACGTCCAAGGGCTCAATGTTCCAGATCTCTTCGGCATACTCGTTGATGCAGCGGTCGCTGGTGAAGAAGCCCATGCGGGCCACCGACATGATGCACTTGGTCACCCACTCGTCCTGGTTGCGGTACGCCTCGTCGACCAGGGCGTGCGTCTCAATGTAGCTGTGGAAGTCGTCCGACACCAGGTAGTAGTCACCGTGGTCCCGGACGGCAGCAATCAAGGCGCTAAAGTCGTTGGGCATGCCAAATGTGCCCTTTTCGATCTCGACAAAGACCTTCTCCAGGTCGGGGTCAATGGTGTGAGAGCCAAAGTTGTGGGCGTGGCGCAGGTCTTCTACATCCTCGGCGAGGGTTCCGAACAAGAAGATGTTGCTGTCGCCAATCTCGCGAGTGATCTCAATCTATAACAAGAGTCAGCATTCTAAAAGTCCGCATGCGAAGAATTGGGCCTTACGTTGGCACCATCGCAGGTTCCGATGATGAGACCTCCGTTGAGAACAAACTTCATGTTGCTTGTACCAGACGCCCTGTTTCGACTGTCAGCTCAGTTCAGGTCACGTCCCAACTACTCGACTTACTCAGTTCCGGCGGTGGAAATGTGCTCGCTAATGTCAGAGGCGGGGATAATCATCTCGGCCTTGCTGACATTGTAGTCTTCCAGGAAGATGACCTTGAGGAGGTCGCCAATCTCGTCATCCTTATTGACAACCTCGCCGACGGCATTGATCAAGTGAATGATTTGCTTGGCCATCCAGTAGCCAGGGGCAGCCTTGCCGCCAAAGATGGTGACGCGCGGCAGCTGCTTCTTCCTCTCCTCGGGGCTCATGGCCTTGAGTGTCAGGTACCGGTGGATGACGCCAAAGATGTTGAGCTGCTGGCGCTTGTACTCGTGAATTCGCTTGACCTGCACGTCGAACAGGGCCGCTGGGTTGACCGACAGGCCCAGAGTGCTCTGGATGTACTTGGCCAAGCGCACCTTGTTGGCGTACTTGATCTCCGCCCACTCCTTGCGGAAGGCCTTGTCCTTGGCATGAGCTTCGAGCTTGTTGAGAACCGTCAGGTCCTTGAGGAAGGTTTGGCCGCCACACTTGGAGGCGATCAGCTCGGACAGGCGGGGGTTGGCCTGGTGCAGCCAGCGTCTGGGAGTGATGCCGTTGGTCACATTGGTGAACTTGTCCGGGCCGTAAATCTCAACAAAGTCTTTGAAGATGGTCGTCTTGATCAGGTCCGAGTGCAGCTCGGCCACGCCGTTGACCTTGTGAGAACCAACAATGGCCAGGAAGGCCATTCGCACCATCTTGGGCTGGCTCTCCTCGATGATGGAGACTCTGCGCAGCAAATCTCTGTCATTGGGGAATGCCTTTTCGACCTTTTGCAGGAAGAACAGATTGATATCATAGATAATCTGCAGATGTCTGGGGAGCAGATGCTGGACCAGTCCAACGGGCCACTTCTCCAGAGCCTCGGGGAGCACGGTGTGGTTGGTGTAGCCAAACTGATAGACGATTAGCATCCTTACTCTTCGCATAGTTATAGCGTGTATCAACATACCGTAGCAGTGACAATCGCCCATGCCTCGTCCCAGTCCAGGCCTTCAATGTCAATCAGGATGCGCTGCAGTTCGACAATGGCAAGAGTGGGGTGGGTGTCGTTGAGCTGGATGGCAACCTGGTCGGAGAATTCCTTCCAGGGGCGCTTGGTCTTCTTGAAGCGGCGCACAATATCATAGAGCGAGGCTGCCACCCAGAAGTACTGTTGCTTCAGTCGCAGCTCTTTGCCCTGCTCTAGGTTGTCATTGGGGTACAGCACGGCACTGATGGTTTCGGCGCGCTGCTGGTCGGCGACTGCGCCTTCGTAGTCACCATTGTTGAACTTGGGGAAGTCGAACTCGCCTCCAGACGCCTTGCTAGACCACAGTCGCAGGTTGTTTGTGGTGGGGGTATCGTAACCAGGGATGGGGACATCATAGGCAACGGCCTCGACAATATCGCCGCCCTCCCAGAGGAAAGCGGTCTTGCCGTCTTCTCTGCTCACCTTGCGGACTTTGCCGTAGAATTGGATCTAAGCCAGGGTAAGCTTCGCTCGATATTCCAAGGTTCAAGGAATTCTTACGTTAACCGTGATATCGTGACGGGGGAACTCCCAGGGGTTAAAGTCCAACCAGTAGTCGGGAACCTCAACTTGGTAACCGTCAATGATTTCCTGCTTGAAGATTCCATATCTGTAGCGAAGACCGTAGCCCCAGGCGGGATAGTTGAGCGAAGCCAAACTGTCGAGGAAGCAGGCAGCAAGTCGGCCCAAGCCGCCATTGCCCAGACCAGCGTCATGCTCCTGGCTGATGATGTCCTCGATTCTGAAGCCAAGTTCAGAAAGACCGTCTATATCGAAACGTGGTTAGCCAAGCCATCTTCGTGTCATTGCATACTTCATGGGACGGCAACACGAGCGCAGGAAAAATTTCACCTTTGGCAACATGCTTCAGTCCCACGTTGAGCATGGCATTGTCCAGGGTACGGCCCATGAGGAACTCCAGACTGAGGTAGTAGACACGCTTGGTATCGCGGAATGTCTGGCGCTGCTGTGTCTTGTTCCACTCGATGATGAGGCGATCACGGAAGGCCAGACTGGTGGCGGAGTAGGCAGCAGTCTCGTCGCAGTTGAACATGCTGCGAGCCAGGGTAGTCTCAACATGGCGGACGACCTCACGCTCGAAGTCGTCCTTGTCGTGAATGGGCTGGACCTGGTTCCGCCTCCATGCTTCACGTTGGGGCTCAGGGATCGAGGCTGTATAGGGTATTCATCAGCGTTTGAACCAAGACTTGGGGAATACATCTGTCAAGCAGCAGCACCGATCAAGGAAGGGAAAACGTTGGCAAGTGATGGTATAAGGCCACCACCGCAGCTTGCATCACGATGCCCCGCCAAAGCAACACCAAGCTTCCCCTCCCCCGCAGTATTATGGTACGATCGCCCGGCAAGACAGCAATCGACCCACGCATCAAATGAAACACCACAGGAAGAAGCAAGAAGGAAAGGAGTCACCAACCCTCAACAGTCTTGATCTCGCCAGCACCGAAACCCGTAAAGGTTCTCCTGTGCTTGGGCCGCGAAACGCCCGCAGGCCCGACAGCTCCCTGGATGTCGACAAGGGGAGCTCCGGTGGAGGGGCGGCGCTCGCGGGTGGGCAGCGCCTGCTTGGTCGCCATGCTGCAGGGCGGGTAATCAGCGAAGGGAGCAGAAAAAAAAGTCTAGGTGAGGGAGATACAGATGCTGTAAAAGAAGAAGAAGAAGAAGAGAACAGAAGAGGGATATGGAGAAACGATGGGAGAATGAAGATGACAAGTCGGGGCAGACGAGATACGAGGAAACGGCGAGGGGGAAGGCCGGATGGGCTGGTTCATGCCCATGCCCATGGTACCGATAGCATCGAGCCACGCATGGAAGCGACTTACATCAGCTCAGCTTGCAGAAGCTATGGTGGGGCAGCAGCGCAACAGCGGGGTAGTTTATCGATCAGAAGCTCTCTGGAGATGCAGACGAAAGAGAGCGATGATATGGAAACAATCAATTGAGAAACATGGAGAGTCTTCAATTGAGAATGAAGACGTGAAGCACGAAAAGACTTAGAAGAGAGAAAGGACGAAAGGAGATGTGATAGAAAGAAGAGAGAGGGGAGGGAGAGGAAGAAACAGAAGAAGAAGGAAGACGAGCAAGAAAAAAGAGGGGAAAGCTGGAACCACCCGCTTGCTTTAGGTATCAACAAGAGCAGGAAAGAACGTTTGACGACCATCCAACAAAGGAGGGGAAGCAGCAGCAGCACGGCAGGCAGGCGGAGACCATGCCCAATGGATGCTTCATCACGAGATGCTACCCTATTACTACCAGTTCCGTCATATAAGGTACCTTATATATGGGGTAGTATGTCTGCAGTGTCTCTTGCAGCGTCTCTCGGTCAAATCAAGTTTTGATCCCTTCCTCATCGTTGTCGCATTCGTGCTGCATAAGGCATCTGTAGCGCCATCCTGGTGTCATATCGTTGTACCTTAACTCAGTGGCCAGGAGACTGCGTTCTTTTACTTTAACCAGGTACCTACTCATGATATCACACGCAGCATGCATTTCACAATTTCATCGTTGATGATACTCTGTAGATGATGAAGGCAACGTATCAACTGTTCGAGTACGAATCCAGTCCTTGTATCTATATCATTCCGTCCCTCATCCGAACCCCCCTTCCAGACCAAGAACATGTGACAGCCCCGACGAACCTCCGCGATGCTGCCAGGCGGGCACATGCAGAGAGACAAAAAGAACGCGTTATAACAATGCGGCCTTGCCTTCCCCTTCCTCGCCGTTGGGCAACAATAACAATCTAAACATCATCTGCACCCCAGCCTAAACAAGGACCTCAATGCGAGCACATACATGCATACACACATGCCTTCTGACCTACCTACCTAATAGTACAGCCGAAGGAGATGCGGACAAAGACAAAACAGACTTTTATACCGCCTACCTCATTGCAACATACATACAGAGTGACTGCTCCGTCCATGACGGCCGCAGCCATCACACCACTTTCTTCTTTGTGGGGCCCTTTGGGGGAGAAGCATCTCCGTAGCTGTCGGTTGGCTTCCTCTGAGAGGGGGGGGGGGTGACGGCGGGAGCATCGGGTCGATGGAGCCTGACAAGTTTGGGTTGACTTGAAGATATTACTCCTTCGTGAACATAATCTTCCGTCTCTGGCAGCAAGGAAGGAAGAGGCTGATGAAGTAGGGAAACCCCAGACTAAGAGACCTTCGTGAGGCTTAATGATCCCATATTCGGTACATGCAGCCCGAGTACACCTCGGAGGCGGAACTCCATCAATAAATACCTAGTAGGCAACACTCCTGCAACTTTCCCACAACTTTCCACAACCTCCCGACATCAGGCTTCAACCAACTCAAAGACCCGACTCTAGCGAATGAGGCCAGCATGACAAAACAGGCCGCAGCATTAATACCTATTCTGGCGCATTGTACTGTAATAGTAGTAGTAGTAGTAGTAGTAAATAGAAGAGCTTCCTACCCAATAACTCCCCAATCCCACGCGTCCTGCATACCTTACGCGTAACGGCCCAAAGCGATAAATCCCAACTCGCAACGCACAAATGATATAGCTCCACGGCCAATTCTTTGACACAAACAATATAGAAAAAAACAAAACCACGCATCTCATCTTTTGTCCCTTCGGTATCTCCGTAATCAAAGGGCCTCTCATCTTTTCCGGGTCGTCAAGGCATTCCCGCCTGCTGGCTCGCTGAACGCCCGGAAACGGGAACCTCGACGAACCCACATGGCACGGTGCCATGCCTCCGAGAAAGTGCTGATTATTATATGTATGCGCCTCCGGTGCGCCGTACCTCCCTGTAATATCCAATTGCCCGTCGTTCGGCTGTAAATTAAGCCGCTGCTGCTCATCGGAGCGCATTATTCGTGGATACCGTTGCATCATTCAATTCCTACATCCAGACACCACCCAGAGGCGGTTGCTCATGTCGACTTTTGCTGTAGTCGCCGCGCGGAATCTGTACCGTGATCGCCAACCAAACAATCCGGGGTGGCGGAAACAAAGACGAGCAAGGAAATGAAGATATCGTCTGAGCGAATGAGTGACCGCGCCTTGCTGAAACAATAGTAGAAAGAAAAAGTAACAGATCGAGGCGTTGAGTGTTGCAGGTGCCTTGGTCCATGATCGTCGCCCAAAAGGGGGCTCCGTCGCATCGCCGATGGGAAAGAACGTGATGGTTTGAGAGAATGCCAGGAAGGCCCATGCACCGTCGGACCGGGAATCTCGACGGCGTTGGCTAAATCATTATCGGCCAACGGATAGCTGTAGTGGAATCCGCGCGATATCCCTGCGCCCTCTTTGGCGAAGAGGATAGATCGATGGTTGATCTGGACAGTAGAGAAGTCAAACAGAATAGACTTAGAGGATGCCCGAATCCTTGAGCGCGTTGTTGAGGATAGTCTCCTTGACTGCCGCAAAGACGAGCCGGATATTCGATGTGTCGGTGGCTTGTGTGAGGCTATGACGGACAGTCAGGTTAGTCAAGTGCTCAAGGGCAGCTTTGAATGCGTTCATATCGTCACTCACTGTGGGTATAGGTTGAGATGTGCTCGGTTGACCTGGTTGAACCGCCATAGCAGATATTTGGCAGCCTTGTTGACATCGGTGCCGCCGGTGTAGTCGGGAAAGTAGTTGGATAACGGTGAACGACCGAGCTTCTGCTTGAATATGTCCACCTTGTTGAGGAACAGGATGATGCTTGTCCGCATAAACCAGCGTGAGTTGACCACGGAGTCAAAGAGCAATAAGCTCTCCATCATGCGATTCTGCGTTGGTCGAGTCAGCATACAGCGCCGCAAACGCGCGGGACTCGGCCCAGGCTTACCTGACTGCTCTCCTCCAGGAGAACCTGGTCGTACTCGCTGAGGGCAACACAGAAGATGATGGATGTGACGTTTTCAAAGCAGTGTATCCACTTCTTCCGCTCACTCCGTTGCCCGCCGACGTCGAACATGCTAGAGGGGGACAGGTCAGCAGCCGTTGGTCAAAACGTTTCGAAACGGAGGCCGGGGATAAGCTTCAGGGAACTAAAATCCACAGGTGCTCGTGAACGTACTGGATGCTCAGCTGGCCCATCTGGAAACGCGTTTCGTAGATGCCGGTGGTTTTTGTTCGGGCACGCAGCACGTCCATCTCATTGGGCAAGTAGTTGGGCGCGACGATGCGCATTGCTTCCTGGAAAAAGCTACAGAGGCGGGTATGGTCAGAGCTGGAGCATCAACCGGGGGGGCAATGCGTCGTGGCGACTTACTACTCGGCAGAATCCATGAGGTAGAACTCCGTCTGGTGCTCCATCAGCTGGTCCTTGGCCGGGTCGCTCCATATGGCCTGCACGGCAAGGCCCACCTTGGGGTCGATGCGAGCTTGCGGCCCGGATTCCGGCTGGTAGTCTATCAAGAAGTCGGCGTATGCTCTGTTCTCCTCCTTCTCGAGCTCGATGTCAAACTGCTGCATGGCGGTGATGACGGCTTTGGCACACTCGACCAGGTTCTTGAAGACAGTCGGCCGGTAGTTGTACAGCTCCTCTTCTGAGTATCCCTTTAGGTGGATAATCTTCATCTGCTTGACAATCGTCGACTTGCCGCTCTCTCCGGAGCCTAGAAGAAGCAGGACGGTGAGCAATTGGAGTGCATTCACGGGGGAGGGGGGGAAGCGTACCTAGCAATAGAATCTTGCATTCTTTCCGTAGTCGTTTCGAGTCCTCGTCGAGCTCCTTGTCGATGGCCTGACTCCTCTTTTTCTGCTCTACCTCGTCATTGTTGGAGCTCATGCAGCCGCCCATGGTGGGCGAGTCTTCAGCACGCTTCGATTCCTGACGAGAGTGACGACGTTCCTTGAGGACTTGACGAATCGGTAGACGAAGCGATTTGGATCCAAAAGGTGGGTTTGCCATGCAGCCAATTACACACGCATACGCCGCGCACTCGAGGACGATGATGTACGGCGACGCGGGCGGCGATGCTTTAGCGGCTCTTGTCGTCTGTTGTCCGTTTGGGATCTGAGGCTTGCTGCTGGTCGAAAGGGGACGACGAAAAGTCGGGATGGGTATTGATCGAGTCGCCTGAGCTGGGGGTTGCAGCTTAGCGGAGAGTTCGGCAGAAAATGGCGGCGGCGGAGGCGGCAAATGTCGTGGGAAGGGTCAAGTAATAAGAGGTAGGTAAGCGCAGGAACGGGTAGCAGTAGGTCGCAACACGCAGTAGAAGCTGCAGCAAGCAGTCGCAGAACCAGCTGCAGCAGGTCGGCGGGGGGGTTTTTCGAGAGGTGAGCTTAGATGGGGGGGAGGAGAAAGATGAAGAGTAGTATTAGGTGGGAGGACGGGAGAGAATGGAGAGAGAAGAGATGGAGAAGGCAAAAAGAAGGATGGAGACGAAAGATGACGCCGGCGAAAAGGCACAAGTCCGGCGGGCTGGCAATGATGAAAGGCGTCAGATCTCCGGGCCGGGGCGACAGGAAAAGGACGGTGACGGTGACGGTCCCAAGACTCGGCGCGCGGAAGCAGCCTCGCCTGTCGAGGAGGTTTGGACTCGTTGCTGTGCTGTGCTGTGCTGTGCTGTGCTGTGGAGGTGCCGGGGAGGAGCTGTGAGGCTTTGGCCGTGCGCACCAGGCTGGACGAAGTGTCGAGGCGTGCCAAAGTGAGCGCTGCCCCGTGCCGCGAGGCTTTTCTTGTTGCAGGACAGGTACCAACAAGTGCGGCGTGCGCCTGTGCGAGGTGCCTGGAAGCCAGTTGCAGCTGGATGATTACTTGTAGAATCGTAATACTATTACAAGGAGCAGCAGCAGCAGCAGCAAGCAGAGCGAGGGATCCTGGGATCGCTTCAATCCGGGCCAAACCAATCCGTGCTCGGTGGACCCGGGGCTCTAGGGCGTGGCTGTAGAGCCAGACCAGGCCAGGCCAAATGATGACAGGTCGGGCGGAACCAGTGGCTCCAGCTTGGCGTCGAGAGCGGCGGTGATGATGCCGGGGTGGGAGCGCGAGGCGAGCGAGGAGAGTTGAGTGACAGAAAGAGAGAGAGAGAGAGAAGGCTGGAATCCCAGCCCGCTTCGCTTGTGGTCCTTTGGGGGGGACGTCAGCGGGCAACAACTGAAGGCGCCTGTACGGATGTCCCTTATTATTGCTGGTGCCTGCCTGTGATTGATGCTACCTCCTCCACCTGCTGGTGACGGGCAGATGGCACAAGGGTGATTCACGAGGCTTCAAAGGTCGCACGAGCAAGCTCGGCCTTAACAGGGCGGCCACGCAGGATGGCTGTTTATTTTTTTTTCTTCTCCTCTTCTTTCTGCAGTGGCAGGGAGGGGGGGAGGCAGTCGGTCGGTTGATGGCTTTTTTTTTTGTGGTGTTTGCCTAATGAGGATTCGACGCAGGAGCCGGGCCGTTCTGCTAAGGTCTACCGCTGCGAGTCCAAAGGACAGTACGAATCGGATTCGACGTGGATTCGTCGAGGCACGAGGTGATGCTGCTGCGTGCGGCCAGCTCCGAGCTGTCTCTGGATCCGACCGGCCGACCGACTGTGACCAGGATCGCTACAAGGGGCGGCTGGGTTTGCGCCAGCAGAGGAATTGCATACGAGGTATTACGGAGGCAATACCAGTAGTAGTATCATCCCAGCTGAAGATGCAGTAGCAGTAGCAGCAGCAACAGCAGCAATTATCCTGGCCAGAGGATGTGTGATTCTAGGCACCCCAATCAGGTCAAACAAGGGTTTTCCTTCAATCACATTCACCACCAAGCTGGGAGCTCTGCTGCGGCGCCGAGGCTGCTGGTTGGCCCAAGAGCCGTTGGTTGTTCACATCCATCAGACGCTTCCCTTTTTCCAGGGCCATTGATCGTCCCATCTTTCACGGTCCCAGTTGCAGAGCCATCGCTACCATTCATCTGGAGTACCGCTCCGTCACTGTCGCCGCCTGTGCAAAACGTTGGACCCTCATCGGTGCCAATCTTTGAGGGTGCAACTCTCTTGGTCCCTCATGATCCATTGATATCCATCTCCACCCGCCTGCACATGCGCCCTGCCGGCTGTCGCGTCTCGACCGCCCCAAGCTTGAAGCTCAGCACCCACTTCTACCTGTGCTTTAACGTGAGCAGGTAGATATACGTACAGTGGCGAGAGTTGCCTCCATTCCAAGCCTGTTATACGCAGTATGTACATTCAATCCAGCCTCTGATCTTATATCCATTCATTCATTCATTCATCCATCCATCCATCCATCGCTCACCTCTAATGTCCAACTGCAAATCATCGGCCGCGGCTTGCAATACCTACATACCTAGGTACTACTACTACTATCTCCAAGCGACCAACGCTATCTCGACGCTTGCCATGCGACGGCCGAACGCTGCGCGGCTGCGTGCCTGATGCGGTTTCAGCCAGCAACCTCGCAGCTGCATATGCCGCCTCCAGCTGTCTTGTCTGCTCGATAAGATACTTTCGATTTCATCGCATGCCATGTCCATGAGTGGTATACGTTGTGCTGGAACCACCGCCTACAAGTACAGCCTCTGTACCTCAGCAGTACCAGCTCGATCCCCGATTGTCGCCTCAAATGTCTCATCCAGCCGTCTGCAGCATCGCGGCGCTGGGCGTCGAATCGCGCCCACGGCACAGGCCCGCAGCCCACAAGGGGGTGTGTATGTACTTTGTCTCGTAGTCTTGTGCTTGTCTGTCCGGTGGCTGCTGCGTGTGAATGATGGAGGGTGAGTGTGATCAGATGCGAACCGTGGATTAATTCCGCTCAAGCTCATCCTTCCACATCTCGATTATGCCGCCGAGGGCTCTTTCGGTATCAGACACCTGATCTCCTTCTCTCTTGCTCTCTCTCTTGCCTCGTGCCATCCATCCAACCAGCATTAATACCATCACCACCATCAACTTCGCTTCATATCTCTCTCTCCTCTCCTCTCCTCTCCTCCAATCTTTCTCACCCCCCTTCTGCCCACCCAGAGATCCCCACAGCGCCTTGCCCTTGCCGGCTACTCGCCGCTGTCCCGGCCTTGACCCTCAGCGCGCAACGCCTCACCAAGCGATTAAACCTCTCCACAGCAGAAACAAGCCACCACCTCACCTTGTGCACAAACCCCGACTTGGCGACCCTCTCTAGGAATAGCAAAGCATTTTCTCCCCCATATTAAGTTGCCCGTCGAGGCCTGTGCGAAAATTGAATGAAGAGAAAGAAAAGAAAAAAATCCAAGCAAGAAAATCATGCAGGGGGTGGCTCTTTTGCGACTCCAAACACCCCACATGCCGACCCGGTACCCCGGCAGATTCCTTCAAGGCGGGCGACCAACCAGCGTTGAGCTGCGTCCTCTCGATGCAGGAGGAGCAATTGGCCATTGGAGTCTAGAGGGTGTAGCGGTGTTGTGTTGACGATTGCTGCGAGTCCAGGGGAGATGAGTTTTGCTGAGAGCTATCGAAGACCTAGTCCGTATAAAGGTCGTATGATCTTGGTACCTACTTTGAAGCCATATCGGCTCGACGGTTACGTATGTATAAGACACGCATCGAAGCCTTGACTTGCCGGCTGCTCTCCCTGAGACTCTCGAAATAGAAACTGCCACGTGCGATTGAACCTCGGGGGGGCACCATCCAAATCACACCCAACACCAGAAACTCACATGGCAATCTCCAACCCAACCCCAAAAGCCTCAAAAAACACCAGACAACTTGCACACTCACAGTATTCCCAACACGCAGCTTTTGGCTCTTTGACTTTGACGACGCCTGTTTCAGCACACGCGTGCATATATACTACTTTGATATTAACATAACCCGTCCTCTTACAAGAACCACGATACCTCTCTTCATGGTCCCGCTTAGTATTTACAGCTCGTAGCAAATCTTCACCGCATAACCCACTATCTATATATTAGTACCTAGGTACCTACATATGAGAACCAAAAAGTGTGATTAAGCAGCATCTCGGGTCTTCGCTTGATACTCTCTCCGCCAATGGCTGCTCAATATGTCGATATGCATATCCTTGCTTTATTTTCCCCCTCTCAAAATACATCCCAGCCCGCCACCATCAGGGCGCCGCAATCTCTCCATCTTATGTACTTCTTGCTTTTTTTTTTCTTCTTTTTTTCTTTCCTTGCCGGAGTACCGAAGTTTGTTTGCTTGCTTTTCCAAGATTCCATTGTACCACGGCCTTTCCGGTAATCGAAATTACGTACCTGCGCACAGGGCTGAAGGATCCATCCGCACGGACTCGTCGATCTAATACGAGTGCCATCTCTCGATCAAGCTGATTGATCCCATAATAGTACTTGTTATTGCTACTTCATGCAAAAGACTCAAGCGCAGGCCATCATCCGTAGCTGCTGATGATTGATTGATTGATTGATGATGATGATGCTGGCAGTGACCGACGGACCCTGGTTCAGCCTCATCATTTCCGAGCCGTCCCCTGGACCCTTTGGACGTGAGTGAGACTGATGGGTGCTGGCTGCTTTCTCGGCCACATTTCGAGCTTACAATGGATCTCGTGCAGTTTCGCACCGGCTTACTTTAAACTTTCAGGCACGGAGAACATGACACCGTCGAGCCCCCCGATCATTCTGATCCGCAAAGTCCGTCTACATGGCGATCGCCAGGCCGATGCCTCGCACCAGCTGCTTGGTACTCAGCGATTGGACATGCCTCCCCGCTTGCCTCTCCCTGGGCGCGCGCCCGCCTCGAAGCCCTTCATCAGCGTGAGCTTACGACAATGATGTGCTTGTGAGACAAGTTGAAGGTTGTGGAGAATGTCTGAGCAGGAGTCTAGAAGAGCGATCTGGTTATCCGGCCCAGGAGCACGGCAAGTACTGTAGGTACCTTACTGCATAGTACTACCAGATCCCCATGTGCCCTTGTCCTGGAGTACCTAATTGCCATCATCCATCACGGATCGGACTAGCACAGCGCTTCCTGAAGCCAAGCTCGGTGGCTTGTTTGGGAGTGAAGCCCCTGGATCCAGCACCGCCAAACCGAAAGAACGCAGGTGTGGTGAGCGATGGTCTCTCCCCATGTCCATGGATGGTCGTGTTTTTACGCAGTTTTTTGCTCTTTTGATCACCACCCCTAAGCAGCCACAACTGCCATTTTCGTCCAACCAGATCCGATCATCTCATTTCGTCAATGTGATGGCGCTTCTCTGTTTTCGATAGCTTTTTTTTTTTTTTATGTAGTTGCCCTTTTGCCCTTTCTCTCTTTGTAATACCGAGTAGATAGCGAGGGGGGGTGGTGTGTATTTATCCGCGTCCAGCTTTGCACCAATGGCGTTTGAAGGATTCAGGCTGCTCTCTTTTGTTTGATTGCTCATGATTTCATCTCAGCCTTGCGATGGACGTCGTACCTACATTAGGATGTCCCTGACTTCAATACCGGTAGAACTCGACCAGTAATGAATACCGCCTGCCTCTTTGGACAAGATAATCGACCAGGACAAGAGGCGCTGTTATAAATTCACGGCCGATCTGGTCGATGATTTCTACGTGGACCGCGAGTTTCACGAGCTTTGTGGAGACCACTTACACTTACCGCGCTGGCTTTGAAAGCATGACGCCTCTTTTTTTTTCTTTCCTCTGGCCAGAACTAGATCTTGCTCGGCAGCTTGAAAGCGTTCCTGATGACGCGAACGAGGTAGAACTGCAATAGGGGCGTGCTGTGTTTGAGAGCGTGGAAGCATTCCAGAAGTTGCCGCTTACATGGAGTTGTTCATTGAGGCGTTTCCCAAGCTTAGACTAAGGTACCTGCATTACACATTGCAAACCGAGGGCAAGATGGTGACTGGCAACTTGCAAACATGCATCCCATGGTAACCAGCACGGAAGTCTCGACGTCAGGACTATTATAACCATGATATGGAGGCTATCAACGTATAAACAAGTCAACTCTACACAGACCCGCACCGCCGAGAGTTTAAACAGCGTTAGCCGTCGCCCTTCGATCCAGTACCTCTCCGTACCCCGTATATCTACGACCTTGTTTCTGCTTGCGGTCGTTTTTCCCTAGCAGGAAGCGGCTGAAGATGTTTGCTTCTCGAACCCTGGACATGTAAATCTTTTTCAGCTGGTGTCGGGCATGTTCTTTTCGATCTGCGTGCACGGGTCACCTTGCATGATATGACGGCAGCTCACTCATTCATTAAGAGCAAGGAGTTCTGAAAGCTTCCTGACAACTGACTATACCTACCCCCCAATACAATTGTTAGAATGCACCCAATTGTGCAATTATTCGTACTTTTAGAATCGTGACTTTGCCACACCCGGTACCTTGCAGTATGACACTGACACATATCAGATATACTACCTAAGTACGTAGTCACGCATACATGTAACCAGTTCTCACAGGTTTTATGGAATACGTGAGTGTTATCTGTGACTTGCAACCTTAGGTACTCTCTTAACTCTTGGCATGCTCTCTCAGGAGGGAAACTAACAATTCATCAATCCCATGGTAGCTCTTCTTCATGTGGCCCTGGCTCATGGTTACACGCAGGTTTTCATCAGCAATTGGAAGCCAGCTGTGTTTGCTACCATGCCCCATGTGTTTGTGTGGTGGTGCTACCACTCTGTTTCAACTTTGTGCGGGCCGCCGTATTTATAGTTCTTTGTGTGTTGATGTGATATCAATCTCCTGTTGGCAACCCATGACGGGGTGTCCTCATGTAGGATTGTACCTACCTAGGATAAAGCATGTATTGGCTGGTACTGGGCATTACTAGTAGTTTGCTTTATTGGGGGCCATGTTGCTTTTACTCTTGAACAAGAGGGTGACGATAGAGACAGTGGGGGTTCCTGCAAGTTGTCACACTCGCCCATTGTTGCTGATACCAAGTGTGCATTGCTCTCCAAGCTTTGAGTTATATCTTGGAAGTGCCTAGTACTATCATTTGATGCCCTGAGACGGTGACTACATAGTAGTCCTAGGTGCATGACGACGCATCCGTGCGCCTCTTACTATCTGGGTATGAGTGGCGAATCCGTTGATCATGGTCTGTGCCTCGGAATGCGCACATGAGACGAAAAGAGGTGCTCACACATGCAGCATGTTACACTCCCAACTCCCTCGCCATGCTGCGGCCTTTGCCTCTGGTTTGGAGCGTTGTACAGCGAGAAGCTACTCGGCGGATCATCTCCGTTGAGATCGGACATGGGAGAGCACGACGTGGCCTGGGTCAAAGTCACCATGCTTCAGACTTCTTGTTGGGAGAATTACCTGCTCGTGTTACACGGGCGCTGGGCTGTGACGCAGCTCTTGAACTGCGTGATGGCTTCCCGTCGATGGGCATCGAGCCTATGTAGCAGCCTTGCCTTGAACGCAGAACTGCCATTAGATGTCTAATACATTGTATTGATACCTGCGTTGCTCCAGTAATTCGCCGATTGAATCAGCGATCGTGATGGACGACTGGGTCTCATAGGGCTGGAGCTTCATGTGAAAGTATCTATGCATTGTGATTGTGCCATTTCGCCTTTAGTAGAGGTAATCCTCGTATGTATGGACTTGTGACATCTCGACTCATTGGGTGGTCTGGAGATGTCACTGGGGCATATGGATCTGCATCACGATACTGTCGCTCACCACAACATATACTGTAGTAGGTATTTTGGCTGTCCAAGGTAATAACGGCGATTGCAGACGTTATCATGCGGTCCATCTTGTGATATCTGCCATTGTACCAATGTAGCAGACTTTGGCACCAAGAAAGATCAATAATACACCCTGGCAAACTGAGAGAGCTCAGTTCAAGAAAGGAAAAACGAGGGAACGGCAGAGAACGGTGTGGAAGCGAAGAAGAAATGCAAGAGAAAAAGGGCGGGTATGGCTGCAAATGCAATGCAAGACACGCTGGCAGACCAGCCTCCAGGCCCGCCATTCGCCAGCACACCCCTGCAGAGGCTGCAGCCAAGAGGACGGTGCAGGCAGAGGAAGGCTCTGGATGGGGGGGCAGCGAAGCAGGGAGGCTGTTTGTTGACGTGGAATCATGTCGGCCTGTAGGACCAAGGACTGGGTTTTGGGGGAATATCCGCTGTCGTGGTTCTTTGAGGTCGATCTGGTTGGAAGATGGTGATGGGCTCGGAGATGCATCGGTGAGTGTGTCTCTTTGATCTCTCTGGTCTCTTGTGAAAACTGAAGCTCGTGGTGCTTGTCACAAGACCGTGGAAGAAAGCAGCTCAGATGCAGGCCTCAAATCAAAGAGAGTTCAAGTCCGTCAGCTTCTTTTTCTTCTTCTTCTTCTTCGAGCTCTTCAAGTTGGTGTGACGTAGACTCTGTAGCATCTCAGGAATCATGCCTGCACGTCTGCGCTTACCCTAGGGCTACATCCACTCGCTGCAGATTTACCAGGCTCGCAATGTACCTCTGCTGCCCAATCAGCGCCTCATCCTCCAACCCGCACCGCTCAAAGAAAGCTCCGGCTGGCCTTTGTCAACAACAACAACAACAACAACAACAACAACAATTTCCAGCATACGAGGCCGTTGTCCTCCTGCTCGCCTTTCTTTGTCTCTCCATAGGCGCTTCTTACACAAACACATCAAGACTCTCACTCACTCTGACATCCCCTCTCATCGCTGCGTCGAGCGCAATTGATCGCGGCATCAGCCAAACATCATCGCCATCGTCACCCTTGTCAGGTCAGGGATCCCCCGCCATTGCCAATTCACCTTGCAGCAGCCTCGGACGCGCGACCAGTTCGAAGACCGCCGGGGGCTCTGTCGAGGACGAATTGATACCGCCTCTTTTGCACCAGGTTTCCATCGCCGTCACGAAGCAACAGCACCGACGCAGGTCGAATCCGCGAGCGACTTGTCGGCACAGATCCTGCGGCCGGTGTCAATCTTGGGATTTCCCGCCCTTTTCTCGCCACACCGACTCGACTCGTGCTTTGCCCAGTGCTTTGCCCACTGCTGCCCGCCGGCTGCTTCCACCCAACGACGACAACGCTTGGAAACCCGGCCGAACCTCCGGAGTCGAGCAGAAGCTCCCCGCGAGCCCGAGAGTCGGAGGCTGAGCTGTTCCCGGAAGCGCATGGCATCGCTGTAGCGGCGCGCAGCTGCAAGCATCTTGTTCACCCTCGGCCGGGCCTTGCGTTGCATCAGACAGACATCGGCAGTCCCGAACCATGTCCACCGAAAGAATCAAGGTCCCGCCCAATGGGCTCGAGATCAAGAGTGTCTTGTCGCCAATCACCCCGACGATACCCACCACCCCGTTCACCTCTGGCTTCACGCCGCTGGTGACCGTCGTTGGCTTCCACCATGCGCGAGGCCCCGAGGTCGAGAGCTGGTTTGGCGTCGAGGAGGGCGTCGACCCGGCCGCCAAATATGGATGGAACTTGCTGCCGTTCATGGCCCTGAGCGATGGAGCGCATGCGTATGTCCACGGCTCTTTGTCGTCTTTGAGCTGGAAGAGCCGTTTGCTGACTTGCCCTTGCTGAGCAGCTCCGAGGAGGACTTTTCCTACTTTACCCTGTTGCGCCCCGAGACCGACGACGGACCGGCGACATCCCTCTTTGGCATATCATGTACTCGCCAGCTCGACTCGTCCCAGCTCATCAACCGGCCTGCCGACGTGACTCGCTCAACCGTGCAGAAAGCGGTTGTCGTCATCGCAGACAGCCCCCAGTTCTTTGGCATGCTGAGACAGCGCCTCAGCATAGTCACCCAAGCATGGTTTGCCCAGCGCGAGTTTACAGACGTCGACATCCTGCGCGGATTCCAGGAAAGCCTTGCGGATGAAAAGGCGCGAGGAATCTTGCAGGAGGAAGCGCAGAGAGACCAGTACCTCGGCATGAGTCTGCGCGAGCTGATTCACGAGTTCAAGTGGCAGGCTCTGGTGCTCCTCAAATGCTGTCTTCTTCAGCCCAAGGTTGGTATTGTCACTTTCTGGAGAGAGAGAGAGAGAGACATACGTTCTGGTGTATTCGTGCCAGAGGAAACCAGCTAATGATCCATCCAGATGCTCTTTTTCGGATCGCGGTGCGATCGGCTATGCATGGTCCAATTTTCCCTCATTTCCTTGATACCCGGACTCATTCGTAACCTCCAAGACTGCGCCGATCCCGAGTTGAACAGTTACGAGAAGAAGCTCGCACAGCCAACGAGTCTGCAGAGTAGTAACCGCAACTCGCTTCTGACCTTTATGGGGCTTCCCCTGCAGATATTTGGCAAGGTACGTGCCCGTCAGCTCTCAAACAAAGGAACGGCATTGCTCACAAGGGAAAAACAAACAAAACAGGGAAGCATCTTTGGCCCGTATACGCCCCTACAGCAACTCGATCTGCTGGCCGATGTCGGCACCAAATCCTACATCGTCGGCAGCACCAATTCCCTACTTCTCCAGCAAAAGGACCGCTACAGCGACATAATCATTAATCTCGATGACGACACCATCAGCATTACATCGCCTTCACTGAGGACGGCACTGTCTTTGACTGCGGCGGACAGGCGATGGATCGACTACTTGACTCAGGAGGTCAACAATACGTGGGACGAATCCAACCCCGGCACGCCAAAGACGATGCAGTACGCGGGAAGCGAAGAATACATCCGGGCGCAGTTCGAATCCTACATCATCGGCCTCATCTCGTCCGTCAAATTCCACAACTATCTCGTCAAAAACGCCGCGACCGGCCGCAATACGGCGGAGAGCGACCCGGCCGTCGACTTTGGCCTCGACTGGGTAGAGGCATGGCAGCGCACGGAAAACTACCGCATGTGGGACGCGCACACCGATACGAACCTGTTCGCCGTCTCCGAGCCACGGCACCCATGCGCCGGCGGCCTTTCCATCGAGGACGTGCAGAGACGCATTGCAGAGCAGGTCAAGGAGCTTCACCTCGACGAGCGCCTCGCTCAGGGCCGCGATATCCTGGGGCGCAACTTTGCCGCCGGGAAGGAGAAGGCGTCGACGATGCTCAACCGGCTGTACAACGACATGGAGCAGATGCGCGAGGCGCAGCGCCGCCGCGCCGAAGAAAACGCCAAGCTCAACGAAGCAAACGGCGGCGGCAGCAAGCGGAACAGCATGGCTAGCGGTACCAGCGTGGACGCGGCATCAAAGCCCCAGCAGGAGACTGTGAGCAGCCGGGCGAGCGCGTACATGGCCAGCTGGGCGTCGTGGGCGGGCGAGAAGCGGCGCAACGGCGGCTGGGGCGGAGGCTGGGGCAAGAAGAAGACGGCATCGTCGACGACGTCCGGGGGGGCGGCGGCGGCAGCAGACGGGACGGCGTCGATGCCAACGAGCCCCATTGAGAAGGACTACCAGTTCGTCAGCATGCTGGCGTCGGCCGCGGGTCGCGGGACGAACTCGACCGAGGCGTACCGGCCCATGACGCAGGGCAGCTTCAGCGAGAGCATACTCTCTGGTGCAGACAGCAGCCGGCCCGGGACGGGGTCGTCTGCCGCGGAGGCCCCGCTGACGCAGTATCCGAGGGAGTTTGATCGCGATGATGATGATGATGATGATCGTCATGAAGATGATGGGTTCCGGGAGGAAACGCTTGTTGGCAATGGCGGGACCAAAAAGGCCGATTGAGCCCCCCCCCCCCCCCCTTTTTTTTTTGGGCTTTGTTCATTGTTGACGAGCATGACTTGAAGCGAGAAAGAGAGAGAAGTAGATCAGGGATTGATGTTTGGACTTGTATGAGCTTCTGTTATTTTTTTATGGCCTTTTTTGATTTCCCCCGTTTTGGTTCAACATGGTATATATGCAATCAACGCACGCGGCGGGATGGAAACGACGGGATGAATTGACCAAGGGAAAACTGGGATTGGGAACGGGATGAATATTTAAGACGCACACACACACACACACACACACTCAAGACCTGCACTTTGATATATACATATATACATGAGCTCAAGCAATGTTTAAGCAATGTTTAAGCAACGGCGTATTTCAAGAAAATGAAGAAAAGAGTTGTGTTTATCCGGTTCACGTCTCCTGAATAGGGTAATTGCAAAACACCCAGGGTTCATTCATCAATTCTCTATAAAATCAAGTCTACCTAGTCAATCAGCTGAAAAAAAAAAAAAAAAGAATTCAATCAAAGACACATATCGACCATCATTAGACCAGGTCCATACCTCCTACAAGTAAGCTACAAATGATACACACATGGCCAAATGTATATTGAGCGGGGGGGGGCAATCCAATCACGCACATACATAATCGTTCAATGATGGTCACATTAGGGGCAACAAAAATAATAAATGACACAGAGGACAGATTCTTCTCAAGTCCACTCAACTCAGACCACCTCAAGCATCGACTACACATATACATCGCATTCTGGATCTCATCGATCGTGAATAACATACACGTATTCTCTGTTAATGTAACCTTGAGCTGCCTGGCATGACCGCCCCTATGGAATCCCTCCCAGCAAGCATTCATAACCCTCGTCAGACAAACAAAAACAACCATGAGGAAATTCCATGCCCTTTCCAGCTCATCCTGTTCCCAGATGGCCTGAATCTACGCATAAAGCAACCGGTATGGGCGAAAACAAACAGATAACAGAAAAGAGGTATGGTGGGATAAACCTGCCCGCGTCCAAGAGGCGAAGGGGCCGAGGATGATGATGCATGGCTGTGGACATATTCCGTGAATTCTACCAAATGTGCTTTTAATGAGAGCGCGAGAGAGAGTAGGCTTATGCCAAGTAGCCCAACTCATCATCGTCCAGACGCTCGAGGTATTCCTTGTCAAGAAGAATCTCTATGCACTTCTTGATGTCGGCAACCTTGGGGACGAAGCGGGAGCGGATCTGGTTGATGGTCTCGCTCACGAGCAGCCCGTGCTTCATCTTCTTTCGTGCCTTCATGATACGAACAATGGCGGACTAATGAATACTTGTGTTAGCCATGACAGAAAAGGTGTTGAGAGAGAGGATAACAAGGGGGTCAAACGTACCTGCAATACCAACTTGCGGTCCTCCTCAATAGTCTTGTTCGTCTCAACCTCCTCCTGCTTCGCCTCCTTGATGCCACCAAGGTTGAGGTTTACCCTGATCTTCTTGCTCTTGAAATCGTAGTTGAGGTTGAACACCTTGCCGGGGCCGGGCTTGTCGCCGCCATCCATCAACAGCACCTTGGCCTTGAGGATCACGGCCAGCGCTTGGTCGAGCACCTCGGTGCTCAGCTGGGTGGCGGTGCAGATGTCTTCGTACACGTAGCTGTCCTTTTCGTTGAACAAGAGGAGAATGGCCATTTGGTAGATTGACACCTGGAAGGTGTAAGGGGTCTTGCTATTCTTGCAGTAGCCGGCCTTGATCTCGCCCTTGCACAGGTGCCACAGCCAGGTGAGCTTGCGGCCGTCGTGCTTGTGCTTGTAGAATCGAACGAAGCGCTCAATCTCCGAGGCGATCTCGGGCGGCGGGTCGAAATGAGTGCTCGGCGGCGTCAGGGGCCAGAAGCCCGTGCCGAGAATGGAAAAGGTAGAGTCAACAGACCTAGCGTTGCCGACAGTCTCGAGGTGCTCGCGGAACTCCTTGTTCAGATCCTTTGATATCTGCATATCCTGGAACATGCGCTGGAGCTTGTTAGTATATTCGAACCCGCAGGCCTCCTTGAGCTTGCTGATCATGCTCGTCTCGGCATCGTCCGACGACGAGTTGCTGTGCACCAGTCGCCTGGCCAGCATGCGGGAGTAGAACTTTTGAAACACGTCCTTATCCTCAATGTACTTGAAGACGGTCATGATTTGAGACAGGGTCCTCTCGAGATCGGCCTCTTCGATGCTCGTGGTGCTCTTCCTCAGGAGCACATCTGTATACTTGGCCAACAGCTCGGGCGACTTGTTCGACCCCGATTTGCAGACCTCATTTCTGTTGACGAACTCGCGGCAGGCGTTGTCCAGGGACCGCGTGAACTCGGGCTCGTCGTTGAAGGCTCTCTTGACGAGGCCCTGGTACTGTGTGTGGATTTCAAGCAGAGCGTCCACGTAGACTTTGGGTTCTAGCTTGTCGCCCTCGGACGACTGCACCTTCTGCACGGCGGCCAAGCCCGCCTTCCGGACATGGGTCTCAAACCTGGTGCGCAGCGGATCCAGGCCATCGGGGATGCGGGAGAGCAAGCTGTACATCCGAGCCATGTCCTCCTCTCGATCATTGTCTAGCAGCACCTGAAACTCCTCTCTAAGGGGCAAGGAATGATCGGCAATGAGGGCTTGGTTGCACGTTCTCTTGAGGGGAATGGCAATGTCCTGATGGAGGTACATATTGACGCGTTCCTCCTCCTCCGCCAGTCGGGCCTCTGCCTTTTTCATGTACTCGACAACGGTGTTCTCGGCGATGAACTGCTTCGATTCGGCTTGGTAGAACTCCTTGGTCGCCGCCAAAAAGGGGCGCTCAAAGTGGAATCTGTACACGTCGAGCGTGGACTTGGAAGGATCCGCCTCGTCGAGGCCGAGCGAGACAAAGGAGTCGACGACCTGCTTGATTTGGCCATACTCAATGGTCTCGCCGTTCCTCTGCTTCTCCACGAGCTTCAGCACGGCGTCCATAACCTTATCCGACACCTGCTCGAAGAGCACTTTGCGCCATTGCACAAGATGAAGAGTGTAGACGTCATAGATGTTCTTCTTGCCCTCATCAATCTCGCGCTTGACCCAGTGCCGATTCAGATACTGGAAAAGGTGATGGATGTATTTCGCAGCGATGGTATACCGATTCCATTCTTTGATATAGAAGGTCAGTAGGGCCTCGTCTGTGTGCGACTTCGACGACTGGACCAGATCGGCCAGGTGACGTTGGAGGTATTTGATCAGGTGGTTGTAGAGGTCTTCGCCCAGCAGATGCGCTATTCAGTCGACGAGGAGAAGTCAGCATATGTGTAGTCTCCGGGAGGAAGAGGAAGAGGCTGGGGGAGAAGCAGAGAGGATGACAACAAACCTCCACGGTGGCTAGTTGCCATAGTAGGACCACTGAGACCGACGGCTTTCTGCGACGTGCAAAAGTTATGAACAGCGCTGTGACAAATGGTAAGCAATCAGGCCTGCATGTGCGAGAATTCGAGAGCCGCCGAGGGACGGGCAAGCGGGAACGAAAAAAGAAAAAAGAAAAAGAAAAAAAAAGCAGGCAAGGAGGTGACATACGTATAGACTCCCATATACATCTGCATATCCATGCCCTGTTCGAGGTCGGTCATGATGCGGGTAATGCCATCCTCCAGGTACTTCCATCTGCAGCGGGCGTTAGTGGTCTCTCTTGTCTGCTTGCGGGAGCTGCCATGGACGGCTTGGAACCCGATGGGCGTCGACTCACGTTGCTTTGATGTCCTCACGGTTTGGCACCGGGGGCATTCCCGCCGTTCTGGCCACCATCTTGGAAGAGCGCGTGGGAAGACGGCGAGGCTGAGCTCCAAGCAGCAGGCCTTGCTCGTTCGAGAGAGGCGGGGGTGGAGGGACGAGGTTCGACGCCTCTTACGGACTCGCGTGGGCGGGAGTGGCTGACGATGCAACGCAGCAAGCGGGAGCGACTCCTTTCGCGTCGGGATCGACCGGCAGCGGAAGAGGCGGAGAGAAAGAAGCGTCGGAGACGAAGGGCACAAGTCGGCGTAGGTGCTGTTCTGTTGCGAGGCTCTGCGGGAGGAACGAGACGGAGAATGAGGCCGCAGGCAAACGCAAAGGTCAGCGGTGATGCTCACGCACCAGCCGGACAAGGCAGTGGGTCACTCGATTAGAGGCAAGTTCACAGGCCAACCAGCTGGAGAGCGGCTCAACGCGAGCTGAAGTGCAGACGAGGGGACACGGCCTGGGACGAAGCAGATGCTCGTCGGGTGTGTGCCCTCGGCTGTGTCCACTGCGAGTGCACAAGAGGGGTTGCGAGAGGAAGAAGAAGAGGAAGAAGAAGAAGAAACAAGAAAGGGAAGAAACAACACAAAGAAGAAAGGCGAAGATGCTGTTAGGGGGGATCAGGAAGAAGGGAGGCTGCGAGCAGAGAAGACGCAATGATGAGAGGGAATCAGGCAGTCAAGCCCAAAGCTCGAGTAACTACCGGTGCTAACCTGGGCGCCTGAACGGGCTTAGCGCCGCTTTCTGCCCCGGACAACCGCCTTTCCGGCCGGTCTGCCACTGCAGTTTGGGCAGAGCAAGAGGATCAAGTGGTTGATCATTTGCGAGGGATTCGGCAGCTGGATGCTATTCCTCGGAATAAAAGATAATAAATATAAGGATATCGGCTCATCAACATGCATTTGCAATTCGTTGCGGTTGAGAAAGGCTGCCTCAACTTCACGCAACTGCTGTTAAGCAAACAGGCATCCTGCCTATATCGGCCCTGTGTTTGTACTGTACCTACCTACCTAAGGTACCTAGTACTAGGTTAATAGGCATCTCCAGTTGCACACGACTGATGGTCAAGACTTGACCAAAAGACAATCAAACAGCCTCATGCCGGCTTGAGGAATTAGGCAACCGACCCTTATAGACATATATAGGTAGTACAGTAGACACTAGCCGAGGGTATATACAGTATCCCGGCTTGGACAAACAGACAGCTGGGCCATTCGTAGCTTCGTTCAGTTCGTAATGCGCCGTGCTCCGTCGCTGAACGCCATGTAGAATCCTGATGACATGCAAAAACGCTTCGAAGATAAACAATACAAGATCAAAACACGCTGCTTGCGGCTCTCCCGCGGATGAACCCCCTCACCTGCGGTCGTCCTCGGCACCCCCTAACCGCGCTATCACTCGGAAGATGTTGACGGTGAGATTCGCCGTCCACGCGAGGAGGCCAAGGAGCATGAACGACGCAAGGGCCTTGGCCAGCGCCCTTACCTCGTGGTCGCCAAAGGTGTGATAGACGACATGCTCAAAGGCGAGGGCTGTGCCCGCCGCTTTGAATATGATAAAGACCAAGTCGAGCAGGATGAGGGATGTCTTCGACTGGGCCGAGCGCAGACCAAGTGGTTTCCCCGTGTACTCGTCCCATATCATGTACCCGTTGTATGGGACAGCCACGCAGTCCACCGCAATGGCAAAGATGGACTGCGTCCGCTCGGCGCCCTCGCCCAACGCTCGGTCTTCGAGGGCAAACATTTTTGCGGCGATTCCCAGGGCGATGAGGGACATGATGATAACGGTCATTCGGAAGAGCAACGGGGAGAGGGAGCTGCGCATGGCTCGCTTCCACACGCGCTTGGAGAATGGGCGGCGTTTCTCATGTTTGGTCTCTGGCGCGTCCAGTGGCAATCGGATTGGCGCATTGAGGTTGGGCGGCAGCTGATTCAGGGCTTCGACGTCGACAATCTCGCTCTCTTGACCGCGCGGGCGCCCCCAAGCCGATGACCGTATGAATTCGGCCCAAGAGAGGGCGGGCTGTCTCCACGCCGCGGCATGGGAGGAGACAATGACGGGCTCGGCCGACCGAAGGTGATCCCATTTCCTCCCCCGTGCTGAAGCTCGTCCGTACTTGAAGAGATGTGGAATACGGCCACGCTCGGATTGTGGAGGGCCCAATTTGGGGTCTTCATCCCAGGTAACGAATCCATCCTGCGAAACTCGCCGCCTGGGCTCCTGAGGCGTGGCATTGTGCTGCGGCGCCGTGGCAGGCCGAGGAGGGTTCAGCAGCCGCAGCTGCTCTTCGACATTGGGGTCGTGAACCTCGTGATGGAGAGCAATCCAGGCTATGTGGCAGAGGTGAGATTAGCATTCATGCCTTCCAGGCCGGATCTGCCGACGCGATAGGGACTGCTTGCATGTCCTTACGAGGGATTGTTCTCACTGGGCGTTGGCGCGCCTGCGTTCCGGCAAGTCTGGACGAGGCTGAGAACGAGGTCTCGGCCAGATCAGAGGTGGGTGAGCTGTCTGTCAATCCCGACGCGGCGTCTGTCCTACCGTCCGGCTGCTGCGTGGGTGACGACATCGAATGACGGCAGCGCGAGTCGCAAACAGGTGAGATGAGGTGCGGTGAGGCGAGGCGAGGCGAGGTCAGGTAGGATTATGCAGCAGAATCCCAGCGGCCGATCTTCAATCTCTGCAGGCCGGGCGCTGAGGAGGGTCAAATCTTTGGACGAGAGGACGAGCCGGGCAGGCCCCGGATCCGAGGGTTTGGGCGACTGATTGGTTTTGTACAAAACAGGGCGAGTCAGAAAACCGGCGGGACTGTCGTCACAGGGACGCCGGTTTGGCCTGGAGGTGGGATCTAAGGCGATCTAAAATGAGTGACGATGATACACATACAAGTAACCGCAGCTAGGGATGAAAGGGTGTGAAGCTGGGAAGAAGGCTGGAAGCACGCGGTGGGTCGATAGGCTGGAGAGATGCTGAGCTCATGGTCACACGCTTGGAAGGCGGGAAGCTGGGCAAAGAGACATTGCACGAGGTCCACGATTGCGGGAGGCTTGAATTGGGACCTTGGCCTGGGCTTGAACCTTGTACCTGAACCTTGATCCTTGAACAACGAACCGGGGCCTCGATTGTACCTGAAGGAGACGCTTCTTTCTACCGTCTGCCTGGACAGGGGCGGCAGATGGCTGGGGGGTGGTGCTTCTTACCTGATGGAACCGATCGAGAGGCTGGAGAAGGACACACGCCTAAACATGGAGCAGCTGAGGCCTGAAGAACCAGCATTTGCCTGCGGCCGAGCCGTGAGTTGCTGCGCGATGCTGCCCCGTAACAATGGGACGATCAGGTGAATTGAAGCAGGGAGAGCAGGATTTCGGGATACTAAAAGAGGCGCTGCTGCTAACAGGACCGGGGAGCATTAGCGGCGGAGCGGCTGGGCAGGTTCCGGGTACCGAATAATACTTATAAAATGAGCTGAGCTGAACTGAACTGAACTGCGACTTGATCAGAAGAACTTGCCCGAAGATATCATGTTCGGACAGACGTTGTGTTGCTACTACAAGCTCTGAAAAAACACATGCTTGACACGTACTTTGGAAGCAACCTTGAAATCACCTGCTCGCAACCCGTTGTCAAACAGCCAATGGTCCAGAATGGTTCAGCCAAGCATCGACTGAGCCTCGGCATCGCTCGTAATATGTGCTCAGCCTCTGATTCGGGCGCGCACTGATCGCGACCTTCGTCTTCGCTCGGTCCATCAATGACGTTGCTCCCTGGTCGTGGCTGGTAGCGGGTACTTTCTACGTCACCTGATTGCGCGCGCCTGTTCTGTGGCTGCCAGACGACGCGCGCTGCTCCAGTTGCTTCGTTGTCACTGTCGCTTGTCGCTTTGTCGCTGTTACTCTTACTGTTGCTGTTCCTGGTCAGTACTGTTTCGACCGTGGCGGCACGGTCTCTAGGTAATAGATAGGCGCCGCAGTTTTGAAGCAGCGCTTGTGATCGAGACTTCATGGACTATTATCTGCGTCGGGCTGAAATACATAGCAGTAGATGCAAAGATCTTACCTAGTTTCTTATCTGGCGACCTGTACATAGAACTGCATTTTTTTCTTCTACCTCTTTGTCCTCTCTCCCTTCTTTGATGCATGTGTGTGTCTTCCCCCCCCTCCCTTCCTTCCTTCCTCCTTCTCTTCCCCTCGGAGCATTTGTGATGTCAGGATAATCTATCTTGATTGTTCCTTCTTGCTTTTTTTTTCGGGCGCTTGCCCTGCCACCGACACCGCGGGACCCTTCCTTCCTTCCCAAACCGCCAGCTGGGCACCGACGACTCCTCTTCTTTGCGCTTCTTCCTCACGCAGCTTTTGTCTTCTTCTTCTCTTCTTCTTCATATTTTCTTCATTATCCTCCAAGAACTCCCCCGGCGCGAAACTCTTCATCGCCATCACGACGAGCGACTGCAACACCTGCAGTGTGTCGGCAACAAGGAAGCTGAACTTCATAGCATAACCACGCGCAACCTTGCACTCTGCATTGGGCATGCGGGGGACCAGAGCAGAAAACCCAAGCAAGATGCCAGCCTCATTGAAGGAGCGATCGAGTCGGCTGCAGATGTTTGCACGCCTCAAGTCCGAAGCCGACGTCAAACCAAAAGAAAACAACAGCACAGCCGCCAATGGTATCCCCAACGGCAATGCGGTAGCACAGTCAGTCCGCGAGCCAGAGCGCTATCAGAGCTCTGCTCCGGTGCTCACGTCCGTCGCAGAACGGAGGGAATTGGCAGACAGCGCTCGAGTGCCCGTGCCTGGGCTGAACGGAAACGCTCGCCAGCCTGCCGGTCATCAGCGCAGATTCAGCCAGCCGCCGCCCGAGTCGGTGCAGCGATCACACTCGCAGTCCCCCGCCAGCCAACATCGCCACATGGACATCTTTACGGGCTCCCAACTAGGCGACAGCTTTATGAATTCTGGCCTAACCACGCCGCTGTACGAGCCATCCGAAGCCGATCACGAACCGATACCCGACAGGAAGAATGCCGCAGTTGCTGCTCCTGCGCCCGCTCCTGCCCTCACCACAGGCCCTGCCACCACCAGACCGGCCCCTCGCTACAATTTTGACAAGAGATTTCTCACGAGCGACAATGCCACCTTTCAGATTGGGGATGATCTCCTCATGCGGGTAGTCCCGGGTACCAGGAACCACAACCCTACGTATATGAATGATGGCTTTAACAGAACCATCGTCAACGGTTATAACAAGCCGGCGGGACACTATCGAACGAGCTACACGCGACCAGAACCGTTGCCGGAGAGGCAGCCCAGTTTGCCTGTGCGCGAGGTCAAGATTCGTCACATGCAAAAACCTAGGCAGTTGGAATACGACAATGGGCAGAAGAGGAGCGCGTCGCCTGCCTTTGCGAGCAGAGGGCGGCCAATGAGAGGCAGAGAGGACGACATGCGGCCCCTCAGCAGGTTCCGTGAACTCGAAGAGGTAGACGAGGAGGACGGGAGGCAAGGGGCATTTGACGTGGAGGAGAACGGGGATATGGACGATGGTACATCTACCGTGGGCGGCCACCAAGATGGCCATTCGACACCAAGAATTAGAAGGCATCCCATGTCGCCTCAGCGAGTTTTGGAGAGCGCCATAGCCACGACCATGCAACCGTTTCGGCCCTCCGCGCCAAAAGGCAATAAACGCAGGCGGGAGAGCCTCGACTACGACGACATGGCTCTGAGCACCATGAGCTATACCGAGCTACAGAATGAGCCCTTTGACTTTGATCCATCCAAGGCGCCAACGCACGTTGGCTCGGGCGGCGCTGCGGGCTCTGCGGACACCCTCACCGCAAAGCTGGAGCAGTACCAACACCAGAGCGAAAAGGAGCAGCGCGCCCTGTTTCGAAGCATGAACGTGGACGACTGGGAAGAGGCGGGAGACTGGTTTGCCGACCAGTTCCACGAGATTATGCACAAGTTGCGCGAGGCCAGGCGTAACAAGCGCCGGATGATTCAGGAGTTTGAGAACGAGGCGGCCGATCGCGAGGCGGCAGTGCGGCTGCGAACGGAGGCAATCGAGCGGAAGCTGGCCAAAATGAAGCAAGACGGCCAGCGGGTGGTGACTCCGAACGAGGCGGCTAGCAGTGGGCGTTGATGGCCCGGTCATTTGAGCAGGCAAGCTGCAGCTTGTCGGCATTGTCATCGAAGCAGGAGTTTGGAGTTGATATGTCATGATTTCTTGTTTCCTCATTTGTCTCTTCCTGCAGGCTTGATGGATGGAGAATGGGCAGCGCTGGCCGTGGCCTGGTGCACTCGAGCCTGACGACGGGACGACGGCGCTGGCGGATAATGACCTAATGAGATAGAGACTGACTGCATGACGGGATATACTAGTGGAATGGCTTAGCCGAGATGGGCTCATCTTGTGCCATATGAATTCTACCTGTTGCCGAATGAAGTACCTGGTGCCTACCTCTGTTGTTCACCCTGTTGGCTCATTGTACTTGTAGGAGCCCGGATCTATATCTCTATAACCCGCTTCACCTTTCTATCCCGTCCTACCACCATCCTCAGCTGCGCCCCAGGCCTATCTTTGAACAGCCCCTCCCGCAAGCCATCGCAATACAGCTCGTAAGCAGGGTAATACGCGTCAACAAACTTGATGACCTGCTCCTTTGTCATGCCGGCGTTGGGATCGCCCCTCGCCAGACGAAGATGCTCTTCCTGCTCGAGCCGCCACTCATACACGTGCTCTGTATCCTCGGCATCAATATGAATAAAGGCACCAAACAAGGTGTTGATGACCTCGTCATACTCGCGCAGTTTCTCATTGATGGCGAGGAGATGCTCCAGGCGGTGGTTCTGCAGCGTTCGGCTGGGTGAGGAGTATCTCTGGGATAGGAGTGAAGGGGGGAGGGGGCGGAAGCCGATGCACCAGCCTTCGAGGATGATGACTTGGAGGGGTTGGCTGTTCGTGGAGGAACTTGAGGAGTTAGGGGAGGAGGAGAGATTGGTGTTGATGGGTTTCCAGAGATGGGGAGGGAGGCGGTCGCCTTGGCCGGAGAAGAGGGCCTTGTCGTATTGCGGGATGGAGGTTGGTTTGTGGGAGAGGAGGGAGGTGAGGACGGATTTAAGGAGGGGGATGTCGTGAGTTCCTGGGGGGGTAATGTTAGTCTTGGAGTAGACGAGGAGTATCTTTCACAATGATGTAAACCTGGTGATGAACATATGACCATGATTATGGGTGGGGGGTTATGTATTGAGCATAGTCTACAGGTTGTGTAAGTGTTCAAGTGAGAGTCGAGATTGAGACATACCTGGTTCGCCGCGGACCTGCCACAGCGCATTATCCGGATTCTCCCTCGCCAGCTGGACCTGCTCCTCGTGCGTGAGGTAGAAGTCGTCGATGCTGCATACGAGCGTGGGGATGCCCTGGTTTGCGAGGGTTTCGGCGAGGGGGCCGACGAGGGTGGATTTTCCGATGCCTTGGAGGCCGTTGAGGCCGATGATGAGAGGAGGGGGCGGGTTATTCTCGTTGTTCGAGAGGGTTTGTTGTTGTTGTTGCTGGTGGTGGTGGTGGTGGTGTTTTTGGTGGTGTAATTTGAGGCGGTTGAGGATGAAGGGGATGCATATTGGGGATTTATCGTCGATGAATTGAGGGGGCATGGTTGTCAGGTATTTTTGGGAGGTTTGTGTAAGAAGTCCTTGTTTATAAGAGGGTTGTGTAAGGCCGGTAACCTAGGTATATTGGGGGTTTGAAGTTGAGGTGGGAAGGTGTGTAAGAGGTACGACGGAGGTACATGTCCGTTGCAGCAAAGAGAGGTGCTTCGGCATGGGAAAAGCGGGTTTCTGGGGGTTGGTGAGTTGGTGCGATTGATTGGCTTTTGTCTGTGGGGGAGCCGATAGGATGAAGAGCTGTCAAGTGTGTATGCCGCATGGTGGTGAAGTACCTATCCAGTACCTGCTGCTACAAACAAGATGTCGGCACGAATAAGGCAGTAGCAGTAATGTTTATTGTCCCAGCCATGGCTGACCGAAACACGTGAATGTATCCCGCAAATGCTCCATCCCGCCATCGTCCAACCCCAACTCCAAGTCTGACGCTGGAAGAAAAAGCATGTGAACAAGCCGCCCTCTTCTGATGCCTCCCTCTCTCCCCCAGGTATCCCGCTTCCAGCTTAGCGCCTCCCCCAGCTCTAGAACTCGGCTCGGTACAAGGCGCGGCTACGGTGTACAAGCAGCCAAGTACCTTAGTATTGCATGTACCCTCTCCACGCTCGTGTACCCGCACCGAGAAGCTCAAGCCGAGGCATCGACAGCCGATCCGTCCGCATTTCTTAAGACACGGGCGACGTCTCTTGCTTTCTCTCTCTCAGTCTTTCTTCTCGTTCCTGCAACCTCCTCCTCCTCCTCTCTCCCTCTCCATCTCCCCGTGTTTGTTTGATCAACTTAGATACCCGTTCCCTTCTTCTTCTTCCTCCTCTTCTCTCCTGACTCTCCTCTCTTGCCGTCCTCAACACCACCACCACCACCAAATCACCACACAGCAATTGCCGACGTCATGGCTGACCAGCTGCGATACGACGGCCAGGTGGTGGTCATCACCGGCGCCGGCGGCGGTCTGGGCAAGGCCTATGCCACCTTCTTCGGCTCGCGGGGCGCCAGCGTCGTCGTCAACGACCTGGGCGGCTCCTTCAAGGGCGAGGGCAACTCTACAAAGGTGCGGTGACCCCCCAGAAGAAACTCTGCAGGCCATTCATTCCTCAGTGTCCGTCCATGGCAGAACAACAAGCTAATGCATTTGGTGAATTCAAAAAAGGCCGCCGATGTCGTCGTCGAGGAAATCAAAAAGGCCGGCGGCAAGGCCGTCGCCAACTACGACAGCGTCGAGAACGGCGAGCGCATCATCGAGACGGCCATCAAGGCCTTTGGCCGCATCGACGTGCTCATCAACAACGCCGGCATCCTGCGCGACGTCGCCTTCAAGAACATCAAGGACGAGGACTGGGACCTCGTCATTAAGGTCCACGTCACGGGCGCCTACAAGTGCACCCGCGCCGCCTGGCCGCACTTCCGCAAGCAAAAGTACGGCCGCGTCATCAACACTGCGTCCGCGGCCGGTCTGTTTGGCAGCTTTGGGCAGACGAACTACTCGGCTGCCAAGCTGGCCATGGTTGGCTTCACCGAGACGCTGGCCAAGGAGGGCGCCAAGTACAACATTCTGTCAAACGTCATTGCCCCCATCGGTATGAGCAGAATCCTCCTCCTCACCCTTGTTCGAGATCGAAAACTCGTGCTAACGCGGAACACCCAACAGCCGCCAGCCGCATGACTGAGACCGTCATGCCCCCCGACGTCCTCAAGGCCCTCGGCCCCGAGTGGATCGTGCCCCTCGTCGCCGTCCTGGTCCACTCCAACAACACCACCGAGAACGGCAGCATCTTCGAGGCCGGCGCTGGCCACATGGCCAAGCTGCGCTGGGAGCGGTCCAGCGGCCTGCTGCTCAAGGCCGACGACTCGTACACGCCCGGCGCCATCCTGAAGCAGTGGAACAAGGTCGTCGACTTCTCCAACCCCCAGTACCCCTCGGGCCCCAACGACTTCATGACCCTGCTGGAGGAGTCGATGAAGATGGGCCCCAGCGAGCAGGGCGAGAAGCTCGACTTTACCGGCCGCGTCGCCCTCATCACCGGCGCCGGTGCGGGCATTGGCCATGCGTACGCTCTGGCCTTTGCAAAGTACGGCGCCTCGGTCGTCGTCAACGACCTGGTCAATCCGGACACCACCGTCGAGGAGATCAAGAAGCTCGGCGGCAAGGCCGTGGGCGTCAAGGCGTCCGCCGAGGATGGCGATACCGTCGTCAAGGCCGCCATTGATGCCTTTGGCCGCGTCGACATTGTCGTCAACAACGCCGGCATTCTGCGTGACAAGGCCTTTACTAACATGGACGACAACCTGTGGCACCCTGTCATGAACGTGCACCTTCGCGGCACCTACAAGGTCACCAAGGCTGCTTGGCCCTACTTCCTCAAGCAAAAGTACGGCCGCGTGATTAACACGACGTCCACGTCTGGCATCTATGGCAACTTTGGCCAAGCCAACTATGCCGCTGCTGTAAGTCTTTTTCTCTTCTCCTCATGATGTGTATATATATATGTATAAATATATAAATATGACGATCTAACACATGACAGAAATGCGGCATCCTCGGCTTCTCCCGCGCCCTGGCCCTCGAGGGCTTCAAATATGGCATCTACGTCAACACCATCGCCCCCAACGCCGGCACCGCCATGACGGCCACCATCATGCCCAAGGAGATGGTGGACGCCTTCAAGCCCGACTACATTGCGCCGCTGGTGCTGGCCCTCAGCAGCGACAAGTGCCCGAACCCGACGGGCGGGCTGTACGAGGTGGGCAGCGGCTGGTGCGGCAAGACGCGCTGGCAGCGGACCGGCGGCCACGGCTTCCCCGTCAACAAGCCGCTGGTGCCGGAGGAGGTGGTGAAGCACTGGGACGAGATCATCAACTTTGACGACGGCCGGGCGGATCATCCCGAGAAGGCGCAGGACGGCCTGGAGAAGATTATGAAGAATATCGAGAACAAGGTATGAGAGGACCCAAATGGCTCCTTTTTTTTCTCTCACCTTTTTTTGCTTCTTCTTCTCCTTGCTTTGCTATGCGCCTCAATCCGTCATGATTTAGCATGTGGGAGCACACTTGTATCATCACCACCACCATCTATCATGTCCCCTTGTATATATATACTGGATAGTTCCCAAAGATGAAAGAAATGCCCTTGAAGGAAGATGTCCAACAAACAGACACTGGTTGCCTCGTTCTCAAGTAGAAGTCTGTGCTAATATGTGTTTGTCATTTTTTTTCTGTGTCATAGGCTCAGGGTGATTCTTCTTCTTCAGCTGCTGTTGCTGCTGCTCCCGCAGGCAACGAGTATCTCGCCGCCATTGACGAGGCTCTCAAGAAGGAGGGCGATCCGACCGAGTACAGCTTCACGGAGCGAGACGTCATTCTATACAACATTGGTGTGGGTGCCAAGCGAAAGGAACTCAAATACGTCTTGTAAGTCCATCCTCTTTATCCTCTCTATCAAAGCTCTGCCCCTTTATCACACATGAAAGATCCAATACCCCCCCTCTCGTCCTTGACAGACACCATACATCCATCACTCAAAAGGAAGAATTACAAAAGACTCGCCTAACAAACATCTCTCCTCGTTTTCCCACGCAAACAGCGAAGGCGCAGAAGACTTCCAGCCCCTCCCAACCTTTGGCGTCATCCCCCCCTTCTCCGCCGAAACGCCCTTTGACTTTGACGCCCTCGTGCCCAACTTCTCGCCGATGATGCTCCTCCACGGGGAGCAGTACCTCGAGATCCGCAAGTTCCCCCTCCCCACATCCGGCCGTCTCGTCTCCCGCGCAAAGCTCCTCGAGGTCGTGGACAAGGGCTCCGCGGCAATCGTCAAGACGGGCGTCACGACGATCAATGCCGAAACCAACGAGCCCGTCTTCTACAATGAAATGACCGTCTTTTTGCGCGGCTCCGGCGGCTTCGGCGGCTTGAAGAGGGGTCAAGACAGGGGCCCTGCCACGGCGGCCAACGAGCCTCCCAAGCGCGCGCCGGATGTCGTCGTCGAGACGGCCACGGGTGAGGACCAGGCGGCGATTTATCGGCTCAGCGGAGATTATAACCCGCTGCATATTGATCCCGGGTTTGCCAAGATGGGGGGGTTCAAGGCGCCGATTCTGCATGGGCTGTGCACGTTTGGGATTGCGGGCAAGGCCGTGTATGATCGGTTCGGTGCCTTTAGGAATATAAAGGTGAGGTTTGCGGGGCCGGTGATTCCCGGGGAGACGGTGGTGACGGAGATGTGGAGGGAGGGGAAGAGGGTTGTGTTTCAGTGTAGGGTGAGGGAGACGGGGAAGATGTGCATTGGGGGCGCTGCGGCGGAGCTTCTTTGATGGGGGAAAATGTTGATGATGCTTGATGTATAAAGGGGGGGGGGGTTTAAGAAGATGAGGGGGAGAGAGAGTCATATACTGGTTTCGAATCTTGAGAGTAAAGTCCAGCTAGATTGCCAGCTTAAATGATGGATCACACAAACGTAGAGTTCATGGTATCTGTGTAGGAATTCAAAGAATTCAATCTATCCATTTCATCTCGACATTCTGTATACTGACAAACGCTCAGTCCAAAACAAAGAATGCTATTCCCAGGTTCCAGCCCGCCTAATTAAGGAAAAGAAAACAAGGGACGAAAGAAACACACAACTAAAGGAGCAGATGGAGCAGAAACATCAAGAAATCGACGAGAAGAAAATGCTCATATCTTGCATTGTAAGCAGCAATTTGCACAAGAAGATCAGACAAGATTCGAGGCATAGATGAACAAAGGAGAGAGAGAGAGAGAGAAAGAGACAACAGATGGAAGAAGAGAAAAAACGCCAACGATAAGCCAGAAATAAAAGTCATAGCATCCAGAATTTCATAGTAAATCAATGCTTCTCATCACACCCAAATCCTCCTTCCCCTCAAAAAAGCTCAAACGAGAACCATCTCGACGACAATATCCAAAACTTCCCCCAGCGAAGGCATCCTCCCCGCCGCGAGAATCTGCTCCACGCTGCCCATGCCCGTCGCCCGCGCCGCGATGCCCGTCTCCAGAAACGCCTTCTCCGGCGCAGACAGGTCCCTCTTCTCCGTGTCCTTCCACTTGCGCTCCGCCTCCTCGCGGGCTTCCTGCAGCACCTGGTCGACGTTTTCCGACTCCCACAGGTTGCACCGCTCGCACTCGAGGCACGGCCGGGGGTCGCCGTCGGGCCGGAAGTGGTCGCAAAAGTGCCGGTACCCTTCCTCGGTCAAGTCCGCGCGGCACACGTAGCACATCTTGTAGCCGCAGGGGCAGGTGAGCTTGTTGCAGCCCGCGTTCTTGACAAACGACGTGTTGCACCGCGGGCACACCCGCTTGATGGCCATGCTCATGGCCTGCTCGACCTGCGTCCGCAGCGCCACCAGCGACGACTCGTTGCAGACGTGGATGTCCGTCCAGACCTTGCTGCACGACAGGCAGGATACGCGGCCGCACTCGGGATTCTGGCACGAGAATTGCAGCCCGCGCCGGCGCCGGCAATGTCGGCCAAGGGCGTGCCTCCACTCCGTCGACAGCTGCGTCCACAAAGTTCGCCAGGACGTAAATGTCAACGCAACGCCAAACGAGACGACGGCCAGGGGAAAGACGAGGACGACGCAGAGGAAGCAGAGGAAGAGAAATAGTAGGTGGATGACGCCAGCAACCCTGATCCGCAACTTTGTCTTTTCAAAGGGCATGTAAATGTCGTCAATCTCGGCGTAATTGCAAAACGGACAGTGTACCAGTGGTAGCTTCGCGGCAAGCAGGGCATGCTCCGCAAGCCGCTGGTCGAGCTGGTGCAAGATCTCGGCCCCCTTCTTCTCTTCTAGCATGGCCCTGCGCATGTGTTCGGACGAGATATATCCGGGACATTCTTCGCGGCCAACAGCCATGCACCTCAGAGTCCCCATCTCGGGGATGATGCTGCTCTGCCAGCCCTGGCCGAAGACGGCCTCCTTGATGGAGTGCTGCACGCAGCGGAAGCAAATCATGTGTGCGTCCCTGTTGCAGTGTGTGAATTCCTCAAAGGCGCCAGTCGTGAAGCAGCACATGCACTCGTGGACGGCGCCCGCCTCCTCGGCCTCTTTATTGTTCAGCAGCACAGCAGCCGCGCGGTCTTTTGCCTCCCGCTCTTGTCTGTCCTTTTCCTTCAAGGGCCGGATCAGCGCATCGTATAGCTCCCGGTCGAGCTCGGCGTTCCCCGTAGACCGTATCGTAGGTATGTTAGAGCCCTGGCCGGTTTTGTGCCAGCGGACCAGAGGGTGGTGTTCCGCCTCGCCCGTCGCGACGGGCTTCCGCCTCATGAAGATGGACGAGATGGTGAAGCGCCACGACTTAGATGACAGCGTCACAAGGATCCTCCGAGCGTCCAGATACGAGTAGTTGGACTCGGCAAGCACCGCATTGATGGTCGACTTGGACAGGCCTTTGAACTCCTGCCACGCAAGCGCCTGAACCGCCTTCTTGTACTCGTTGCTTCGAAAGATCTCGGCTCTCGGCACCAGTCGATTGCCCGGCTGATCCGCATTCGCTTCCGCCTCTGACTTGACCTTGTCCCGCTGCTCGTTGTCGCCGTTGCCCGGCCGAAGTCTGTTGTGGCTCTCCGGACCGGCAACCCTCCACCGTCCCTTGACCCAAACGGCCCCATTCTTCAGCAGCGCATCCGCCACCAGGGCCAGCCTCGACTCGCCGTCAAAGTTGCCCAGCAGCTCCCGAAAGACTTCAATCTGGACGTCGGGGAAGACGGCCGCCAGGGCCTCGAGCCCGCAGTTGAGCTCGCGCAGGTCCGGTCGCTCGGGCGGGATGCATGGCAGCTGGGCCTCGTCGTGGATGAACTCGGGCGGGATGTCGCCGTCGACGGCGGGCACCGCGCGCGCCTTGCTCGAGGACGAGCCGAGGGGGGACGACCTATCGCTGGAGGAGAGCAGCGCTGGCAGGGGCATGGCGGATGCTCATGCTGGAGCGGCGCCCTGTGGCATGGGCCGGGATTGCGGGTTGGGGGGGGATGACGAGGGGTTTCTATCGAGCCTCGGCCGTCTCTGCCTTCTGGTCAGGTGCTGCGTTGTGGTACGAGCTGGAAGCGTCGACCGCTGCCGGGCGGGTGATAATGAGGAGCAACGGGGAGAAACTCCAGAGAATCGTGTTGAAGATGTAGATGGCGATAAAGGCAGCAGGTTGGTGGAGTCGGGCTGTTGGATTGAGTTGAGCCGGACCCGTACCTGCGCGCCTGGGACGTGGGTTTTAGTGTGCGCTGCTCCCTGGCCGTCTCTGAGTGACCGCTATTACCTCACTGCTTCAGTCCCTGGAAGTTGTCTGGGCTGTCGATGAATGAATGCTGTCTTTGGTGATACTACCGCCGTACTCCATACCTGCCAGTGAGACTGGAATGCTGCTGTACCTGGCGGTATTCTCTACCTTTACTTCAAACCAGAACAATCTGAACTCGACATGTCAACAAACTTGTCGAGGTACTCGAGTGGTCTCCTCGAGTGGTCTCCAGTTGAGGTACATGTACGAGTACGCAACCAGGTGTTGGGCGCTCGTCCGCCTCCTAACATGCCATGAAATTACCCTACATCTGCTGATGTCGAACGCCTTGACCCGACAGATGACAACTACTAATTGCCTGCAACATCCCACACAAGCATTGAGTAGCTACGTAGCTGCTGTGAATTGAGAGCTCATGGCATGTTAGAGCACAAGTGACAACATCCATGGCCATGGTCAGCTCGTGCAGCCTTGAAATACACAGGAATCAAGGATGCTCGCCAAGTGAGGCACCACATCGTCAGTCACGTCTTATACCATCGACAACAGCATCGCTATATCAGACAGCTGATAAATGAATTGCATGCGTCGCAAATCTCATACTAGTATCTGTTTAACCCACTGTATTTTCTTCCTTCAAGTAACAAACCTCCCTTTTTGGCCACCAACCGCGGGGGTATCTAAGCACACAATACCAGGCAACCTCTGTCTGCCGCCGTAAATACCTTCATTATCTCAAATCACACGTGGGTACTGCACAAAACATAACAGGTCGAGCCGCTCACTCGTAGTCGCTCATGAGTCCGAAGATGGACGAGCCAGGGTGCGAATCACCGCAGCATGGACAGATGCGATCGTCGTCACTATCCCAAACCGATTCCTCAACCTCATAGCCGTTGAGACGGGAGAATTGGATCCAGATGCGCTTGTCCGACTCGCGGGCGACGGGAACCTTCTTCCAGATGACTCTCTTCTCCTCGCGAGTTGAGGGAGGATGGCCTTCCTCAGAGGGAGCAGCGGGCAGCGTGCCCACCTTGTGGTAGCCCTCAAACGAATGCAGGTGAAACTGCTCGTCGTCGTCTTCATCACCGCCGAATCCGAGGCCTTCTTCTTCCATTTCGTCCTTGAGATCCTTGTATGCTCTAATCACTCGAGCGCACCAATTGTCTCCCGAGAGGCTCTGCAGACCCTTGGGAAGGGCGATGAAGGCAGCAGATGCATCTAGATAGAGGCCTTCATCTTTCACCAGGCCACTGAGCTCGGCAGAAGCTTTCATGCCGACGTCATCGAATGGCATCCCTGTCACCTGAAGCTCGTTTAATGTGCACCCCAGCTCGTGGGAGGCTACTTCGTGGAGCTCAGATCCAGAAAATGGCAAGAGGGAGTCTGAAAAGTTGACCAGGTCGAGCCGCAACGACGACAGTGAAGGAAGGAGCCTTGGTCTCGGATTCTTCTTGTCCTTGTAGTTCGGATCGTAGGGCGCGCGCAGGGCCAGGAGGAAATCAATGACCTGATTCCAGGTGTAGCAGCGGAAGCCGCCACGCACGAGAGGCGATTCCTTGGGGCGCATCTGAATCTTGAGAGGTTGATCTCTCTTCAGATCCGGGTGATAGTAGCGTTCGAGCTTGTGCCTGCGGCGCTGGTCATCGTAATAGCGGGCAATGATGCGGAGGTTGATGTGCAGAATCTTGTGCCGATAGTGGAAGCTGAGCTCGCTGAAGTTGCGCAGAGCCTGAGGGGTGGTGAAGATGAAGTGGTTCGACTCCCAGAGGATCCGTGTGCCTTCGGCTTGCATTGCTTTGCATGTTGCCAAAAAGTGGATGGCGATTTGGTTGCCTCTCTTCTTCTCTTCGTCCGTGAGATTTTCGGCCGTGACGGGACTGAGCGGGTCAATGATGGGATATTTGCTTTTCATGGCAAACTTGAGAATCCGCAAGAGGACCTCGGTGGGTAGAAAAGGCGAAACCGCGTCTCCAAGGCCGGCGGCGGTGGATGACCGGGTCTTGCGTCTCGTAGGGTCATTCTGGTTCAGATGATTCTGCGCCAAGGGTGACCAAGCGATGCCATTTTCGCGAAGGATCCGTTTGAGTCTCATGTTCTCCTCGACGAGCAGCTGGTTGGTCCGGCGAAGAGGATTACTGTAGGCAGCGAATGCCTGGTCTTCCTTGTCGCGGCATTCCCACGGAAACACAAGCTGCAGGGGCATTAACAATTGATCTGGCGAGTCGAAATAGCAGAACGTCTCCTTACCTGTCGTGCCATCTTGCTGCGATGTCCGACGCGGCAATGGAAGTGTTTGAAAAAAAAAAGGGGGTATATGAGATACCTTCCAATGGAAGATACAAAGAGCGGCGACAAGCCCCGATGACCGATTCGTATCAAATCTCAACAACAGAAAGCACCCGACAAGATGACCTGCAATACGAAGCTGCTGATACGCCGAATGAGACGAACCGGTTGAAAATTGACGACCGAACACGATGCGCACGATAACAAGATGAGAATCAAGGAAAAGGGAAGAAAAATTCAAGAGGTGTGAAGTCAAGTAGGAGTCGGAGAGAAAGACGGAGAAGGATACGGCACACAAGCAGCCAGCCTTGTGCGACTCAATGCCAGCTTAATTCTTCTCCTCCTCGGCCTTCTGCCGACACTGTGAATGAAAAGGGATGCCGGCTCCCGTTGCTGCTGGACAAAGTGGCGGGCAGAGAGACCGGCCACGATTGACTGTGAATCACAGATGGAAGAGACGGTTAGGCAAGCTGGCGACAAACAGGGCGGCACCTTGAGTACCAGCTGGCCGACGCCGGTTGGGTGGGCAATGGCCAGATCGAGGATGATCCGGGAACTGTGCCGGGAGATGAAGATGAGGGACGATGGAGAGAATTGACGGAGAAACGAAGAAGGAGGTGGAGGAGGAGGAGGAAAATGAGACTTGACTCGCTGTCTGGTGAGAGACGCGAGCCGCACAACCCGGAGGAGGAGGATGAATGACCGAGTGAGAGTGAGAGAGAGAGAGGGAAGAAGAAGAAGGAAAAAAAAAAAAAGACGGTATGGTGATGTGGCCGGCAAAAGGTTTGGGGCACTGGGTCGCAAACCACCAGAAAGAGCGAGAGAGAGAGAGGGATGGGGATTGCTCCTGCCCGGCGACCGAGCTGATAAGCCGCCACCTCCTTCCCTGTGCGAACGGCAGCAGACGGTTGAGGAGGGAATTTATCCGCCCGCTGGGAGGCAGTAGCGACCTAGCACCTTCCACCTAACCAACCTTACCTATGTAGTAGTATTGTAGCATGTAGCAGCAGTACGAATCGCACGATCGCGCCTGCCACAGTTCGTTTGGTGGAAATAAACGGCCGGTAGGGTAGACGGACGCGGGGGATGGGAAGGAGCGGCCTTGGGATTGCGGCATCCGCGGTGTGGGTTGGCTACTACTACCTACTACCACTATTTTGGGCAGTGGCAGGTGCGAGCTCGAGCTCGGTGGTGCTTTGTTCTTGCCGAACAACGCGCTATCAGGTGACGAGCTGGGCTGTCAGCGGCGGGAATTACTGGAGCCACGACCTGCTGGAGACTGCAGTGAGTACTTGCGAGGTATTGGTGAACAAGGCGCTGCTGCGGGTATCGCTGCTTGATGCGAAGGCGGTCCGATTCCGGGTCCTGCGAGCAGGCCAAGGTCGTACTAAGTCATCAAGCATTGGAGGAAGCAGGTTGGCCATTGATTGATTGATTGATTGATTGATTGATTGATTGATTAAGCTTGGCTACGGAGAAGCTAGCCGAGTGCAGCTGATGCTACCTCTCAGGTAATAGGCACCTACTAGGTAGGTATTTACCTGTATGTTAGTAATTGAACATACAGAAAGCTCTGCCTCCAACAAATAGCAGCAGACATTGAAGCTGTTGTTTGGTACATCGGCGTCTATCGCAGCTCCAATCGTATCTGCTCAAGCCTCGGCACTCGAATCCGTTGGCTATCAGATTGTGCACCTGAATCACTCACAGACAAACGAACAGCGATACGGTACTCTAGTGGCAGCGGCTTTAGGCTCCTGGTACTAACAGGATGCAGCAAGAACCTCGTCGAGGGAGAGGATCGGATGACGAGATGATAGGCTCTAAATTTGGCTTCAGCCGATCTCCAGCTAAGCTCTGCCCTTGAGGAAATCGAACAGCTCGATCCAAGTCCAGCCAGTCACACCGTCTCGGTACGTGCAGCTGTGGCCAAAAGAACAGCCTTCCTGACGTCATGTCCGTGCCCTCATGTAGCAGCTCTTCGCCTGATGACACTCGACAGAACTCCAAGTTACGTCTATATGATGAATGTGGTAAACCATACCAAGGCCTGGGACTGTGACGACTGTGATTTGCGAAAGTCGTTGTCATCTACCTGGTATATAATCAGAGCTCTCCGCATCGAATTCATCTAAGTTCCATCAAAGACCACATCCACTCAATTGATAGCATATTGCCAAGATACCAATCACTCCGATATTGAATCCAAATCGCTACTAAATCCATCACAATGTCTTCTGAGAACAAGCCCGCCGACCCGTACACCGCCGTCAATAAAGATGAGGCCGATCTGCAGACCAAGGTCACTGACCTCGTCAACTTCATCACCAAATGCAAGTTTGGCATGATGACCACCATCGAGGCTGGTTCTTCCCAGAACAACCTGGTTTCCCGCTGCATGGCTCTGGCCGCAACGGTACGTGAAGATGAGTCCTATGCTCTGTCGTCTTACCACTTGACTTACATGAACAGGAATCCGGAGGCATCGACCTTCTCTTCCACACAAACAACGAGTCCGGCAAGACCCACGACCTGTCCGACGACCCGCACGTCAACGTCTCCTTCATCAACAGCTCCGGCGAGTGGGCGTCCATCTCTGGTCAAGCTGGCCTCGTCAAGGATCGCGAGCTGGTCAAGAAGACGTACAGCAGCAGCCTCAAGGCGTGGCTCGGCGACCTCGGCGACGGCGTTCACGACGGCTCGGAGAACGACCCCCGACTTGGCGTGATTCGTGTCAAGACCACCAGTGTGACCTACTCGCTGCAGCTTGGCAACTTCCTCAGTCGCGCTGCTGAGGTTGCCCAGGGAGTCCTCACCGGAAAGACGGCGCAGGTGAACAAGCTGCGCGAGATTTCGGCCGAAGAGATTGGACAGTGGCGTTCTTCGAATAAGTCGGAGTTTGAGAAGATCTGAAGAAGCAGATGATATCACGACGAAATGACAAAATGTAATTATAGGAAACAATAATGGCATAACACATGTACTTTCACTGTCGAGGCTGATCATGAATTGAACTGGCTCTTTTAATACCTTTATAATGCACAAATCACTGATGTCCGTACTCCTCCTTCCATATTCTGTCCCACTTCTCCTTATCAACGGCAAACTCGCGCACGTAGTCGCGCTCTAAATCATGAGCTCTCCTGCCCAGCAGGACAAGGCTGTGCAAGGGCGGTCCCAGCTCCTCATCAGCAGAGCACAGCTCCTCCAACGTCCCCGCGACAAACTTCTCCGTCTTGCCGCCAACACGAGCGGCGCCAATGGCCAAGCTGTCCTTGGTGTAGACGCCCTCTTTGCGCTCCTCTTCGATCTCGAGCATCTGCTGCGCGCACTGCCCGACGGTCATGTATCGGGGAGGCTCGTAAACCAGTCGGCCCCTGGCCATGTTCTCCAGGCTCTGCTCCTTGACCTTGATGTCGACGAGGACCAAGGTGTGCAGCCCAATGCTGCGGTTTTCTTTGATACGGTCGTAGAAGGAAGATGGCTTCCATGTTTCGGTGAAGAAGACCATGGAGACGGTCTGGCCGAAGTTGTAGAGCTGGAGGCCGCAGGCTCCAATGCCGGACATGATGGAGGCGTTGGGGACGGTTCGCACAGGGATCTTGAGCTCGCGGGCTCGGATGACGAGATCGGTATGCGTAGTCGCTCTGTAATGAAGTCGTCAGTTACGCCGTAGGATGGCGCATTGAGTCCAAGGGGGGGGGAAGACAAACCCAAAGGGGTCTCCGACAACGCAAAAGGCAACGTCCTCGGTCTGCGCGTCCCTGAGGATCTCGTCGCTATTTGACTCGACCATCTCGCGGTCGGCAACGATTATGGGCCGGCCATAGTAGTTTTCCTACTTTGAGTGTCAGCGTTAGCTGTTTTTGCCAACATGAGCATCGAAGGTTTGTCGCATGCGCATACCAGGACGGACTGGTCCACGAGCAGAATGCTGGTGTAAGCCTCAAGGTAGACTCGAGAGGCCTTCTTGACCACCTCGAGGCCCTTGACGGTAATGTCCGTCTCGTCCGAGAGACCGAGTCCAACAAGGTACAGCATCTTGGCTCGATTGACACATGCAAATTGTCGCAAGACGTCCAAGTGGAAAAGTTGATCAGATATTTGGGAGCTGCCCCGCGGTGGGGTTGACGATTTCTTATCTTAGCGCCGGCTGATCCTTGTCTTGCCGCTGACTGTCAAATACTAAAAGCAATCGACGATCTGATTTGGTGTCGCGTCAAGGAAGCCTTGTAGCATCTGCCCGTTTTGCGCCCGGTTCTTCCATCTTCTGCATTCATAGTCCAACAGCACTCAAGTTCAGCCGTCACCATGTCCGACTCAAAAAACAAAAGCGCCTACGGACAGGCGGCATCCGACACCGACTTCCGCAAGAATTGGGACCTCGACGAATATGCGGCCAAGGCAAAGGAGCGCGAGCAAAAGGAGCGGGAGGAGGGCAAGGCGCGCTACGAGGCCAAGCTGGCCGGCAAGAAGTACCACAAGCCCATGACGGGCAACGAGACGTACACGTCGGCGCGGCGGAATATCATCGATGTCAGCGCGCAGGTTGGCAAGACGCAGCTGGTGCCTGCGGGCGCGGGCGTCGGCAAACGGGGAAGAGGCGCCGGATTCTACTGCGAGGCTTGTGATCTTACATTCAAGGACAACCTGCAATGGGTAGAGGTATGTATATGAAAATTATGGGAGGGTGGAGGAGGCTTGGTGGTGAAGTCCAGGACTAATTGACTACGCGTAGCACTTGAACACGACGCAGCATCTGCTCAACACCGGACAAACGACAGAGGTCAAGCGAGCGACGGTCGAAGAGGTGCACGCGCGGATCGAGTACTACATCCGTCGGAAAGAAGAGCTCGAGAAAGAAAAAGCCACGAGCTTACAAGACAGGCTGAAACTAAGAGAGGAGGAGATGGAAAAGGAAGCAGAAGAGAAGAGGAAGAAGCGGAGAGAAGAGACGGAGAGGAGGCGGCAGGAGAAGGAACAGGCGGCCAAGGTCAAGACGGAGTACGGCGAGGATGTGCGGATCGAGGGCGAGCACGACGAGGACGATATGATGGCGCAGATGGGATTCACCGGGTTTGGCACGTCGAAGAAGTGATTCGTTTTGTCCTCTCGTGGCATGAGGTGGAGGGCGATGGATTGGATGACTATGATACCCAGACCGGATAGATGAGAGTTGGTTGTGTGTGTGTGTGTGTGTGTGTGTGTGTGTGTGTGTGTGAGGATTTACAAGTGACACAATTGGCAGCATCTGACATGGATTGTGACGGAGTACAGCGCGTAAACTGTATAACGAGAATAACAAACATGCTGGCATGCATCATCGCTGCTCACTGCTTGCTTCTATACGAAAGTCACATGAAGCAAATCTCCAGCTTCCCGGCCATCCAGCTGCAGGCCGTGCCGGAGATGTCCAGTTGTAAGATCGTGTGCCCACCCCAACCAAATGCCGGAACAGCGGACCTGTAGCCCCGCAACCCCTCCAAAAGCCTTCTGCCACCCGATTCAGTCATTGATTTCACCACATGCACTCCAGCTGCCATTAGGTATCAGTAGTTTCAACAAGCAAAAGCTCCTACATCTCCATTCTCCCACGACCACCGCTCCGACCTGCGCCCAACGTCTTGTCTGCCCCCCTCGCCTCTACCGAGACACCTCTACCGAGACACCTCACACGAATCTGCCTATCCAACATCTTAGTACTGTCAGCCAGCCAGCTTGTGCAATACCGAAACCATGGCTTCAGCCGGTGCCGCCGCCGCGTCGCTGCTGAAGCGCCAGCTCAAGGAGATCCAGACGGGCAAGGATCTGCCGGGCATATCCTGCGGCCTCGTCAACGATAGCAACATGTTTGAGTGGGAGGTGATGCTCATGATCAACGACGACTGCAAATACTACGGCGGTAAGCATCCTCCATTCCACACACACACACACACACACACACACACACATCCTTGCTCCCTTGCCCCCAACCTTTCAAGCAAACCCTCCTTCGGTTGTCATAGATGCGTATAACCGGGAGAAGAAGATGATGAGAAGCTGACCTGAGGTGATGTGCAGGAGGCAACTTCCGCGCCCGACTCGTCTTCCCCGAAAACTACCCGCACATGCCCCCGTCCCTGACCTTCCAGGACCCGATCCCGTTCCACCCCAACATCTACGAAAACGGCACCCTGTGCATCTCCATCCTGCACCCGCCCGAGGAGGACCAGTACGGGTACGAGTCCGCCGCCGAGCGCTGGAGCCCCGTCCAGACGCCCGAGACGATCCTGCTGAGCGTCATCAGCCTGTTCTACAGCCCCAACGAGGAGAGCCCGGCCAACGTCGAGGCGGCGCGGATGCTGCGCGAGGAGAAGGAGGGGAAGCACAAGGAGTATCGGAGACGGTGTCGGAAGTGCGTCAGGGAGAGCCTTGGGGAGGACTGAAGGAAAGTGCGGCTTTGGAAAACCGTGTTTGCATCGGGTGTGTGTGTGAGAGAGAGGGGGGGGGGGGGGGGGGGGGGGGGGAGTGTGTGTATGATGGGGATTGCTTTGTTAGTTGCTATAAGAGCGTGGATGGCGTTTGGTGAGGGACGGAACGTCCTGGTAGCTTGCATTACTTGGCGTCTTGCGTTGAGGGCCGGGGCAAATGCTCGACTTGTTAATTGCAATTTGACAGCGGTATGAAGAAGAATGTATTTATTCATCAAGTAGCAACAGAAAGGCAGGTATATAACAAGCCTCTGGGACGGCAGTGCGAGTACCTCAGTGGCTGTCTATTATGGGTTTTGGGTCGCCCTACGTCTACTTGTTGGGTACCCCTATCAATGGCCCGACGACACTGTCCCATTCTTCGTCCCACCGCCGTGAACCCTCCTCAATGGCCCCCTTCTTCAGCCTGGTCAGCTCCTCTGCGCCCTCGAGACTCAACAGCCGCTTCAGAATCTCCGTGAGCTCTGCCACCGTCTCGAAGCCGCAGCCGTTCTGCCCTTCCTTGACCAGCTCCCCGATGCTCTCAAACCCGGCATAGGCGGCCACGGGGAGACCCGCGCCAAACATGTCCACCACCTTCATCGGCAGATCGACCCCAGAGCTAGATTTGTGTAAGGAGATGCCTAGATCGGCGGCGGCGAGCAGCGAGGCATAGTCTCGGTTGGACAGCCAGGCGCTGAGAATGCGGATGCCGGGGAGCTTGCCGCCATCCTGGAGCTCCTTGATCTTGTCAAGGTAGGCTTGCCTCTGTGGGCCCTTGCCGGTGATGATGGCGAGGATGGGGGGAATGTCTTCTTGTGCCGAGGTGGGCGTGGCGTAGGCGACCAGCGCATCGAGCAGCATGCCAAAGTCTTCATCCGCCGTCCAGGAGGTGCTGCTCACAATCAGACGAAGATTGCCATCAACGATATTCCTTGCATGATTTTTGGTCTCTGGCAGGCGTGACAGAAACTCCAGTCGAGCGGCTGGAGAAACAATGGGCTGGAAAATCTCGGCCGGCCGGTCGTGAAGCGTGTAAACGGGGTTCTTGAGGTTGAATCGACCCCCGGCCTTGAGCTGCTTCGCCATGGCGTCTGTGACTGCGAGGTTTGCGTTTCCTAGGTGTCGCCCGAGTTTCATCTCGTAGAACTTGTAAAAGGGCACAAGAGGCCGGAGTAGGGACTTTTGGGCTAGTATGGTGTGGCCATAGTTGTGCCAGTCGACGATGACTTTGCTACCACGAGCCCAGGCGACGAATAGCGCCACGTGAAACGTGGGGATGGAGGGAGGATTCTACAACTTGGTCAAAACGAGGTCGAGTTCAGGGAGTCATGGAGCTGAAGCTACCTGAATGATGATCCACTGAGCAGGGGGCGCAGTGTACATGAGCGTTGCGAACAAGGTCCAAAACTGCTGGATGACCTTGGAGGGAATGTTGAGGAAAAATGGCAGCGTCCCCCAGGCAATCCATTCAGGCTGGGGAGCAAGAGGATAGACGGTCACGTTGGGATTGCCGATGAGGTCAGGATGCCTAGCGGTTTCTATGCGTCCAGTATGAGAGATCAGTGAGCCTCATGTGAGCGCAGACAACGTGAGATGCCGTGCAGTTTCTCACCCTTGTAACCGACAATGTCGACCTTTTTTCCATGTTTGGCAACGCTCAGGGCGTGATACTGCATCCGCGGGCTTCTGCCAATGTCTCCCACCACGAGTATCTGAATATGTTCATCCTCTGGCTTCTCTGCCGGCTGGTAGCGGGTGGGAAAGATTTCAAGGGATTTCCTGCCCAGCCACAGGATGAAGCTCCAGACGTAGCCGAGGGCAATGACGGACAAACCACCGACGACTGCGGAGAGGGCGAATGAGATGTAATATGTGGTCGACATCTCGGTAGTGCTGGCCGTGGATGAGTGCCTAGTGTGCTGTTGGCGAGAGGCACAGTGACAGCTGGCCTAACCAGGGAGGTGATGGAATCGGAATTTCTGGCAGATTCGTCAATATCCTCACTTTCAGGGTGCCACGACGAAGTGAGAGAGGTTCTGAGGGTTCGACACGCGCTGCATGAGGACGCAAAGCGCGAGTTGGGCGCCTCTACTGACGATGGACTTTTTGGTGGTTGACTTGCGAATACATACCTGAGGTAAGCTTCACGTTGCTGCCAACCGAGCTCGAGGGTTTGATAACGCCATTTGGTGACTCTCTGTGGCGCAGCAACAAGGTTGCAGAGGGTCGCATGTGGCTGGTGAGGGAGCTGCCGTCATCGCCAGAATCCCTGTCCATCTGCTGAGGCGCCACATGCAATGGAGATCGTGGGGATGGATCCGATGGCCAATCAGTGCGGCCGGGATGCAAGACATTGGGTCCTTGCGACGCTGTTTGTGAAAATAATCCGGCGTGCGAGATCTGTCTGATTGCTGGGAGTGTGGCCTTCTTTAGCCAGGCGTATGGATTGAGTAAGCTTCTCCTCTGGGATTCAATGTCCCTACCTCCCAGACAAGCCAATTGAGAACCTGTATCTCGCTCGGGACTCTTTCTGGGGAGAATCGAAAATGGCTGAATTAAAGTGCTGCTAGGCGTTTAGCATCAAGTTGACACCTCGCCTTGAACCATCACGCGGCTGCTTTTAGGTTTTAACCGGTTGGGCTGAGGTTAAACAGAGAGAGAGAGAGAGAGAGCGAGCCCGACAAGGTCATGGATGATATCTTAGGTACCCTTTGGATGTCCTCGTTGACCGTTGCCGTCTCTCGTCTATTAGTCTGGCACCTTGAACGGACACTGACAGATCTTGACGATTTGGCCCCTTTCCAGACCGCCTTATTGCGTCACCGTGATTGCAGCGACAGATCAGCCTGATCGTACCTTATCGGATCTAATCTGTCTCAGCCGTTGGGCACAAACCACCGACTTCCCTCTGCGCTCTATTACATGTACATAGTGGGTGATTTGATACCACCAGAAGACGCCTGTGCTTTGCATCTCCATGAGATCTGGTATGAGGCCATTGAAAGGCCCTGCCAACGCTCCATCCCCCCAACAGACAGTAGTACTGTAGAGCCCTCCTTGGACCCGAGATGCAGCGGGTATCGCGCCCTGTCCTGCTCCTGGTGCGACGGTACCTGCCGCTAATCCCGCGCTGATAACACCGCTAGCGCTCCCACAGGCCCTCGCTGGCTCTCACTGGCTGCCGCTGGAGCCCCCCCCCCCCAACCAGCGCCTCCACGTGCCCCGCAAACCCTCCAGGGCTCCTAAAGTCGGTCACTGCGCTGCTGGAATAGCGCACCTTGGCAGCGGCAAGTATTTTTCTCGGTGCTGCCAAGTCGAGTCGGGTTCCTTTCTATGCCGTCCACACGCTCCTCTGCTCTTCTCTGCTCTCCCCTATTACTGTGGCCTGTCCAGCTTGGCTCCATCCTCGCCTTGTCTTGCTTCCAACAGTCCCAGCTGGGGGGAGGGGAATTGTCTCTGCCTCGTTCTCTGTCTCTCTTTTGCTGAGGCTCACACACTCGCTCGCTGTCTGTCGCCCCAAATTCGCCTCTATCGCGACCAATTGCTTCCGCTGGCCGCTCCATCTCGCTTGATGCGGTGGTCGATAATTGACCGCGAGGCGCATCTCGTAGAGCGAGCAGGCAACGCGTTCGTTTGCGGCATCTAGCCGATCATTGCCTCGACTATAAGCAGAATTGCGCGGCTCAACGACCACGAATCGATCACAAGACAACAGACACACAATGGAAGCCTCTTACCCCATGCCGTCGGCATTGCCGCACACACACACGCACCGGGTGCACACGCAGTCCCAGCCGGCCTCGCTCAGCGCCTGGCGGATGACGGTCTCGAGCGAGACGCTGCCCTCACAGCTAGAGGACGACGAGGACCGAGGCCGGCAGCATGACCACCATGATGGCCAGGGACACGATCACGATCATGACCACGATCATGACCACGACCACGACCACGGTCACCACTACGACCACGGACACTCCCACTCCCACTCCAATTCGCACTCCCACTCTCGCTCCCAGCCGCGGTCGCAGACCTACTCCATACCGCCACCGCTGCCTTCACCGTCACATTTGCACGCGCACTCGTTCAGCTTTCCTCGTCATGGCCACAGCAACTCGCAAGGCTCCAATGCCAGTTCTACCTCGCTACACGACAAGCCGTCGGTCGGAGTAACGGGGAACTGGTCCCAAGCGAGGAGGAGTCGCTATACACCCGAAGCCATTGACGAATCCAGTCACCACCACGATCACGACCACAGCCACAATCACGTTCACAGTCATGATCACGCCCATTCCCATTCGCACTCGCACTCACACTCGCACTCCCATTCGCATTCTCCTCATGGCCACGACCACGACCATGGCCACAACCATGGCCACGGCCACAGCCATAGTCACGAAGCCAGCCACGGCCATAGCTCTGAGCGGTCTTTGTTTACCAGGACAATCCTCCCCTACACGGTTGGATGGCCCATACTCTACTCGATCCTGGCCGAGAAAGACTCGAGGAGGATCTTCTACTTCATGTCGTATGTCTACGCTGTGGCATGTCATGGTTCGAGTGAAGGTGACTGACTCCATACACAGGCTCAACTTCGGTTTCATGATCATCCAGGCATTCTATGGCTACGTAACCGACTCGCTGGGCCTTCTTAGCGATAGCATCCACATGTTTTTCGACTGCGTGGCCCTGCTCGTGGGATTACTGGCAGCCGTCTTGAGCAAGTGGCCCAAGAGCCAGCGGTTCCCATACGGCTTTGGCAAAGTCGAGACTCTGAGTGGCTTTGCCAATGGCATTCTCTTGATGTGCGTTCCAGCATCCACTACGTGGCGACTTTCTGGCTCTGACTATTTTTCTCTAGGCTACTCAGTGTTGAAATCGCGTTTGAGGCATTTGAACGCTTGTGGGAGGGGACACAGACGAAACGTCTTGGCGAGCTCTTCGTTGTGAGCACTCTCGGCCTAATTGTGAATCTGGTCGGCATGATGGCATTTGGACACCACCATCACGGCCACGACCACGGTCACAGTCATGGGCACTCTCACGGTGAAAAGCATGATCATGGTTGTGGTTCCCATTCAGGCCACGATCACAACCACAACCACGGGCACGGGCACGGGCACGGGCATGATCACGACAACGAGAACATGCGGGGTATTTATTTGCATATCCTGGCAGATACTTTGGGCAGTGTCTCAGTCATTGTGTCCACCGTCTTGACAAGCTTCTGGGGATGGGCCGGGTGGGACCCGTTGGCTTCCTGCTTCATTGCGACGCTCATTTTTCTGTCGGCGCAGCCACTTGTGTTTTCATCAGCCAGACGGCTTCTCTTGACGGTTCCCGAGGGCGTCGAATACAACCTGCGAAATATCCTTGCGGGCATTGGGCAGCAGCGAGGTGTTGTGAGCTACTCGACGCCCAAATTCTGGATGGACGATTACGGAAGCGATCGGTTGCTGGGCATTGTTCACGTCACGGTGGCTCGCGGAGCTGCTCTGGAAGACACCAAGGACCGTGTTCGAGAGTATTTGCTCAAGGAGGGCATCGATGCCGTCATTCAGGTAGAAAGAGACGGCGATAACGGCTGCTGGTGTGCTCGAGGGCGGGCCATGACCAATCCGCCGCAGACGTCGAAGCAATTCTAGGTGAAGGGCATCCTGCTCTGCGTACCAAACGGCAGACGGCCTGGGGCTGTACCCAACGATGCCGCGGGACTGCTACGGGGAAGAAAGAGATAATGAAGAGCGATAAATTACCCGGGAGTACACACGTTGACACGTTGAAGCGCTGGCATGACATCCCAGGGCACGGCTTGCCTGGTTATGCTTAGTGCTTTGCAAGAATTGGCCATGTTTTCTGTATAATAATAAGTGAAGAGGAAAGCTTGGCGTATTGGTGCGAGTCTGGGTTTTGCTTGGGTAGGGGGTTTTGGATTACGGTTTTGACTATAGCTCGGTCATGGTGGTATTTGCTATTCGTTTGGATGGCTGGCTGGCGACGGAGTCTTGGCTACCGAATTGTAAGGGGTCACTGATAGCAAATGCAATCATTAGGCTGCAACAAGATGTCTTTGGTGACACAGTTCAAGTGAAGTCTCCTTATCATAAAGGCTTTTTAAGAGCCTATGATGAAATCACCAAATAGTATCACCATATAGATGTCTAGCCTTCCCCGTAATAAAGGTTGACTGAGAGCAGCTCTTCCATCCTCGAACAATATCCTTGAACAATATCCGAACTGTTACACGGCGGCGTATGTAAGCACATGTGTCGCACAGTTCAGCCCGGCTCTATCACTCTTGCGGCAGAGGGGCATGAGGGGTAGCAACACATACCAAGGTAAGGTACTGTGCTTAATGCAGGCAGCAAGAGAAGGCGTGATAACCCTTCACCTTACCCTGACATTGCAGCCGCATCGTACATGTGCATATATGCCTGTTGTGCATGAGACGCGCGCCTCGTATAATGAGTATGTCAAGAACGAGCACACACACTGTTATTGCATTGCAGCTGGACTGATGACACATGTGACCAGCTTCTATCGACAAGGTGAGATGCCCTCTTCTCCCACGCGCACACACAAAAATCGTTTCAAAACTTCCAGAGCTAAGTACCCATCGATGAACCCAGACGGGCTGTCAGCTGTGCGGCGTCACCTTCAACATCAACCGGATCCGCGCCCACAGCGAGCCCCGGAGCGCCGCCTGGGGCAACTCGTACGTCAGCAAGCACAAGAGCCGGGACTGGGTCGCCGTCACGGGGAGCGACGCGGCGGATTGTCCGGATGGCGGGTGCGCGGCGGTGTATCGGGGGAGGCCGCCCGGGGAGCTGCAGTTTTGCCTGAGGCTGTATGAGGAGGATCCGGATGATGCTACGTATGTGCCTGAGAGCGACGAGGAGGGTGGGGATGATGATGATGATGATGATGAGCCGTTGGAATATGATTCGGATGCGGAGAATGATGGGGAGGATGAGGTCGAGATGGGGTTGGCAGATTCTCAGGAGTGTGATGGTGACACAGACGAGGACTCGCAGTCGGGAGATCAGTGGTTTTTCACGGCCAGCGGCCTCGAACCTCAACCAGAGTACGACACGGACTTTTTGCCGCTGAGCGCGCCCTACGATCCAGACGGCGGTGCGAAAGACGACGACATTGATGTCGACATGCACATCATGGCGCTCCCGACGGCTCGCAGATACGAGCACATTGCTGGTCCTGGCTGCTGCAACCTCCGTGGGTACCATGGAGACAGACTGTCCCTCGACGAGATGATGGACTGCCATACCGTGCAGGGGCTCTACAAGAAGACGGACGACTGGACGCCGAGCGACGACGATATGGACTTTGAGAGGGAGTCTAGGCAGTACCATCTTACGGGGCTTTCGGATTTCATGCCGCCCAATGGGGGAGACGTGCGATGCGCGCCGATTCGTGGAGGAGCGGTCTGGTTCAATGCGTCTAATCTGAGTGATACTTGGAAGGATGTGCGTGTTGATGCTTTGCTATCACACGAGGCATGAGATGGCTGACGAGAACAACTACTAGCTTTTCGGATGGGGAACCTATGTCCTCCCCTTTCACCCTACGTGTTTCGAGATCTTCATCAGGATAAGCAAGCAGCGCATGGGCACGGTGAGCCTGGACTCGCTCATGAGGCTCGAGTGCAACGGCTCCCGCAACATGTTTGGCACACGGCATCCCGACGTCGTCGACGCCCGGAACAGGGGCTGGAAGTGGGCCTGTCTGCTTGGATCCGAGTACCTCGCTGCGAATCCCATCTTCATCCCCGGCTTCAGGGAGATTTGCGAGGCTGCCATTTCAGACGCAGAGGAATTTGACAGTCGAGGGAGTCCATTCCCGGAGCGGATGGAGGAGGAGGAGGAGCGAGCTGTTGTTGATTCCAGGGCGCGGGGTGATCCGTTTTGGAAGTTGCCTACGGAGTTGAACCATGCGATTGCTTGGACGCTCGATTCAAAGGATATCGCTGCGCTGCGACTGGCGTCGAGGGCGTTTTACCATTTACCGATGACGTTGTGGCATACGCTCCTGGTTCGAGAGATGCCGTGGGTGTACGAAGCGTGGTGCGATGATGACGCGACGCCGTATCCCTGGGCCATGGCGGATGCTTCGTACCTGAAGCAGAAGCGTGAGCTGGAGGAAACGTATACCACCGAGCGACTCCGCAGGGCACACGTCCTGAGGACGACGGAGCCCGACTTTTATCCCATCTGGGAGGAGAAGGAGCCCAAGACTCCAGTCATGCCGCCCGAGCTGGAAGCGCAGACGAGGGCGTTTTTGGAGAAGAAGAGGGCGATGATGCCGGTGAGGATGCCGAGGGAGAAGACGAACTGGTATCAGCTGTATACGGATATCAGAAAGAATGAGGCAAGACTGAAGGGGTTGAAGAACAGGAGGCGGATATGGAGCGTTGTGGAGGAGATTGTGGTGAATGTGAAGAGGTGCTGGGAGGATTCGCTCGGGGAGATTTCTGAGGAGGAGGAAGAAGAGATGTTTGATGATGCTGATGATGATGATGCTGATGCTGATGGCATTTAGCGAGGTTGTTCTGTAGGTACCTATATGATGAGACTTTAGCTGGATGGAAGCCATCGTCATGTTGTACAAAAGGTATAAGGTATGGTACTACTAGTACCTATGTAAAGAGTGGCTTGGATTTTGGCATGTGATTGCTTCCTTGTCTTTGACAGAACGTGGGGTTGACAAGAAAGTGGCCCCGCTCTTTCTGCTACCCCACGGGCGGGTTTTTTTGGGGGGGGGGGAACTGGAAGGAGCTTCGGCAAGATGGATTTAGACCGAGGTACCGGTACTTTGCTTTATGCATGCATCAAGGTTATGCCTCGCGGTGACTAAGAGGGAGATCAGGGTTCGCCAGCTGGAGCTACTAATTACTCTTAGGCCGTGATCCAACTCATCTATTTAGCCAGCGTGGCTAGTTAGCCAGGTACATCTGAGTAATAAAATAAGTGGAGAGACCACTTTATACTATAGAAACCCTGGTTGCCGCACTACACTAAAACCGTTAGCAATGTTATCACCGCCTTTGCAAGGCTTTTTCTTTAAGGCCAGACTTCCCTGCAAGGCTAATGCTTAAATATACCTTTTTTTATAAGGAATTTGCAGCTATTTTAAAGTTATAATAAGCTAAACGCTAGAGCTATTATCTTAAGCCCAAGTCTTAAAGCAGTTAAATCAGTAGTTAAATAAATATACCCTCTTTTTCCTTAGCCTATTAGCTAACGCCTAGAGCGCTAGGTAACTGAATTCTTTAAAAATAATATACTTACAGGTTGCCTTTAAGGACTTGTTAGCTAAGCTATAAACGCACTAGCCAGCATATACCTAAGAGCTAAAAATAATTAAAAATAAGTACTAGGATTTAAAGAAATTCTAGCAGGCGTTTAAGGAAGCAGCAGCCTATTTAAGGATAATATATAACCCTTTTACTAGCTGGCTATTAATAAGTAAGGAAAATAAGGCTATAATAATAGTATAATTCCACTTATATAAGAAGAGGGTTATTTTTAACAGCATCCTTATTAATAAATTTATTAACTTTAATATATAGGATTATATCTTTTTTAAGGAGCAACTAGCTAGCTAAATAATTATAAAAGCAGATAATGCTAAAGGATAGGCCTAGGCTATAGAAAATAATAGTTTAAAAAGTATTAGCGTTTAAGATCTGTTTAGTAAGGAAGTAGAAGACTTGCCTTTAGATTTAAATACAGATAGAGAAGTTAATTTTAAAATTAGCTTACTACTGCTATTAACAGCGCTTTTACTAGCAGGTCTAGCGCTATAGCAGTTATAGCAGTTATAGCCTTAGGCATTATTATTATTAGCGCTAGCATTATTATTACTAGCGCTAGCAGTAAGAAGGAAGAAGTTAAAGAAGGAGGGTAATAAGGGTGCCTTTAATTAGATTACAGCTATAATATTTAACTAACACTTGCAGCCTTGTAAGTATGTAATTATTATAAAGCCTATAGTTAGCATAAAAGCTATTAAAAATGCCTTTAAAAATGCATACACTCTTGCTAATAAATATAGCATAGAATTTTTATTTAAAGTAGTTTATTAAATTAGCAGCGATTTAATAAATGCATTAATATAGAATTTATTACTATTAAAAGAGGTAAAGGATGCGTTTTTAGTAAGGAAATTTAAGCTAAATTCTTAATAACTCTAGGGCAGCTAAAGATAATATATAAATAGCTTTAAGAAATATAGGATTATCCTTTTTCTAGGCTATTTAAGTAAATTAACTATTAATTTAAGAAGCTATCTGCACTGCTATTTCTATTACCTTTATTACTTTTATTATTATTATTATTATTATTTTTATTATAACTTTATTTTAGATAATCTTTATATACTACCTAAGCCTCCTAAATAATCCTATTTCTTATTTTAAGGCTGGTTAATAGCATAATAACTAAATCCGCCTATTTATAGGCTTAAAGGAGCTGCTGCTATTCTTATTAAGTCCTTAAAGAGTGGTTAAGTTATTACATCTCCTTAAGAAGTTTCCCCCTAAGCTTAATAAAGTTAAAGAGCCTTATAATAGCATAAATAATTAAGACCTAGCTAATAAAAGAGTACTTAAGCGCGCTATAGTATATAATCTTCTATTTCCTCTTGCATCTTTTAAAGACTTGCTTAACTTTTATTTAAAGTTAGAAATGTTATAAGTTAAAGAGCTCCTCTGCAGTCTAGGGCTGCTAACTAGCATTGCCTTAGTCTTTAAGATAATAATAAGTCCTAGAAAAAGGAATAATAATATTTTTCTTTAAACTAAAGCTATTATTAGCTAGAAAGAAGCATTCTTTTAGTATTATTAATAACTAGGTTAGGCTATAACCTAAAAGCATAGCATTATAAATAGAACCCTTGCTGCTAGCTAGTATATAGTAAAACAGGCTATTAAAGGTAATAGCGCAGAGTATATTTTATAATATGCTGTTATGCCTTAAGAAATATCTTTACTAACTTATAAATAGAATATAGGCTAGGATATATATGCTATTAATAGCCTTAATCGCCCTGTTAAAGCTTATAAACTTCTTAACTAATTCCACCTTTAGCAAGATATATAAGATATTTAGTAACTAAATAAACTTTATATATAATATCCTTATTAGCGTTATTATCTTATAAATAATCTAGGATATTATTACCTAACCTATATAAAAGTAGCAGGCAGTGTTATACTATAGCTTAGTAAATGCATATATTTAAAGGAATACTATAACTTTATACTTTAGCAGTTACTGCTAACTTAAGTCTGCCTTTATATTTATCTACAGCTAACTGTAAAGGTTAAAAAACAGTAGCTTTTCTAAGTAAAATAGTTTAAAAAACATTAACTTAAGGAGCGCAAGGAGTTTAGCATAGTATTAATAAAATAGCAGCATAGTGCCTTAGGCTAACCTCCTTACCCTGCAACTAGTAACTTAACGCTGCCGCATCCTTTTATAAATATATTACTATATAAAAATAGTAATGCAGAGGTCTAGGTTATTATTATCTTTATCCTCCTTTATAATATTTTTAAATAATAAGGTTGCTAACAGCACTGCAGTATTAGGCAGGGATATTATAACAGAATATTATAAGTGCTGGCTAATTAAAAACATTATGTATTTATATAATATTTCTTATTAGCTAGCATAGGCAGAATTCTTATAAAAAGTCTTACAGCTATACCTATTACAGGCATTAATACAGTCCCTGCTAGTCTGGTACTTTATTAACCGGGGGTTTAGCGTTAAATCCTTGTTAGAGATAAGATATATAAAATTATATGTAAATCGCACTTTAAAAAAGGTATAGCGGCTCCTTTATGCATCTAAATAACCTGGCTAACTAGCCACGCTGGCTAAATAGATGAGTTGGATCACGGCCTTGATGACTGGTTCTTTCAGCATGTCCGAGTTGAGTAATGGCTGTTCAAGTTCAATCCTCCTGTCTTAGAGGCTGCTCGTCACGCGCGGGGGGGAGAGGACCCGTGGCTTGGTTCGCGCTTTGACCCGGAGAAACGAGCCGAGGTTCGGGGCGGGACTGATGGCACTGGGTCGGGCGATATGCATGTAGAGGGTCATTTATTGCTTGTTTGTACAATGTCTCTTGTCATGCTACGGATGGATGAAGAGAAGAAAGGCCTTTTTCGAGCAGTGAAAGTCTTTTGTGAGGAGGAGTGGCAGCTGAAAATTGCCTGGACGCGGGTGTTGTAGTGGTGCGAATCCGTCTTCTGACATGTGCTTTTGCTAAGGTACCAGAGTGCACGTACCAACTTGAAGTACTACCTCATCCAGCAGAATCACAAGCTTCAGCCGTCATCGAAAAGCCAAAGATGCAAAATATGTGTCTGCAAAAAAAGACAGTCATACGGCAACCATCACGAGGAGTTTTTTCATATATACATCTCAAACAGAAGAAATATATAGCTCTGCAGGTCAACTTATCATCCTGTTTGTATTACGACATCCCTCCGTCCGAACAGGTTCCTTCTCTCCGTCCGCCCACCTGAGCTGGCTTGCGCGCTTGCCCACCAGCGCTAAATCTTATGCTGCTTTGTACAGCTACCCTTGCCCGCCTAACTGCATACCTACCTAGGTACTGTACGTAGCACCACAAGCATTATATCATCCTGTCGCATTTGTATCTTTCTCTTCCTCCTCCTCCTGGCAGACACTCCCTACAACCCTCAACTGCAGCTGCGTCTTCGTCCTCTCTCTTCAAACATCTCCTCTCCTCTCTCTCTTTTTTCTCCCCCCCCCCCCCTTTTCTAAATTCACTCCCTCTTCCTACCCCCTCACCAAGTCACAAACCCTCTCCGCGGCGCCACAATTTTTTCATCACCAAGGAGGTTCTCCTCCCCTTACTCATAGCTCGCCCCTCTAGAGGTGCATCCCGACCTCCGCGACAATCACCCCTCGCCCTGCCCAGAGTGCCTGCGATCCGATCATGCAGCCTTCCGATGTCCTCGTTCCGCGAAAAGCTCCGATTGGCCAGCCAACCCGGCACATGTTCACCCTGCTGACTCTCGACTCGTTTCGGGGACAATCTTTGTCGCCAGAAAGCTTTGAGAGGATCACCCCACCCCCGCTGCCTCAACTCATGCTAGCGAAGTGAAAAGGAAGAGCTTCCTCAGAGAAAAGACTACAAAATCTACACAGACGTCTCTACGCCTACCAACAGTGAACCGGCAACCTCCAAAGCTTGTTCTTTTGACGCCCCCCCCTTTCGACATTCCTCTCATCCAACGCGCTTTATCTGGGCCCAGAACCTTGATAAACCCCTTCAGCTCCCCCGGCCATGGCTGGCTGCAACTGACCCTCGGCAACCAAAAGTGCCAGGAGAAAATTCTGCACTGCTTGTCACCCGACGTTTCATCCGCAATATCCGAACATTGGCGCCACCATTTCCCTAACAGCTTTTCGCCGCCCCTGTGCCCAGGGAAATCCAGAGGCCCCCTAATGAACTTTCCCGAGGGCAGTTTCATTCTAGGTCCCCCGGGTCGCCAATATTACTTTAATGGCGTGAAACAGAATCCCTCCCATATGTGGGACGGGGGTTGTCCCGTAAACGCTTTTTCCCCCCTTTTTTCCTCAAAAGGGAATCTATCCTAAACCGTGACATTGCCCCCCCGCCCAGCTAGTTTTCTCCAAAAAAAAAACAGACATCGGGAGCTCGAGCACGCTCAAAACAAGTACAGCCCAACTTTGTTAATCCGCCACAAAATCACGTGGGCTCAATACAATCCAGGGGTCCCTCCTTTAGTGACCTCTCTAGAGTATAGTTCCTGCGTAACCCTCGCTCCTATATTTCC